ACGGCGAATGATATCGTGTTATATCAGCGAAAAGATATTGTATTTGATCGACTAGATTGGATAAATAATACTCCCGCGCATGATCTTGCTCAAAACTGCAATCGATGACCATGATCTCACCGAGTCGCGCCGGCGCGAGTAATAGCTGTTCGCGTATGAGTTTCTCATTTTGACGACCTAGATGACGAAATATTGAGGAATAGCCGGGATAGTTCGTTGGTGGTTTGCCATCGGCAAGTAAAGCAGCACGACGTTTCGAAGCTTCAGCTCGGCGAATATCATTCGAAGCAACAGTCGCAGCACGACGTTTACGATGCAGCTCGCGCAGAAACAGATATCTAAATTCGATTGAAATATAGCTTTCATCGATCGCATGCCTTCGTACTTTGTCTTCAACAATTTTCAGGCACGGAACTACGCTGCATTACTGCTATAATAGTATAAAGTAAGTTAACTTACGCATAGATCCTCTTCCGAGATTCAATCGAAGCGGCATCAAGCAGTTCTTTCCAATGTCCGTCAGGAATGACGTCTGGTACGCGATCGCCAGCTTCCCTCAATGTTTGAATTTCTATAGGAAAAGATATTTGATTCGATAAAGAATGACTTTAATCTAACCGATTTCGATAACACGGCGCCGCTGCTCTTCGTTTAAATCCGTAAAACCTTTACGGTCACGTAAGTACGTCCATAACCATTCATTATCACTATCATTGTTTTGCTTTGCTGTTGATAGAAATCGTCTGTGATTCGATGATACTAGTGCCGCATTCGATAGACAACATTGTGACTGTTTCAATAACTTCCATGAAATCACACGAGATAGCATCATAATTGAAAATTCTTCTGATGAGAGAAGACGAATATCTTAGAATATCCATGGAATACCACGATTCGAATCTTTTCATCTTATTAAATGTAGTCTTTACAGAGGTCGTGCAATTTCAGAGTTGCATTCCCGAAGTACAGTTTGCAAAATTGACTCGACTCTATTCTGCTTTTTTTACAGATAGAAGTGTCGATAATGCGTAAAATTTCTTTCTATCCATTGTGAGTACAGTGAGTATTGACAACAAGCACCCTGCGGGTGTTCTTAGCACTACTTAGCAGTTCATAAATACAACACAGGAAGTATGCCAACTTTCCCAATATCGTTTCTGTTACGCTTCATTATCAAAAGAAAAATAAATAGAGATTAATTAATCTTATCATTTCTATGAATTATCGTTGACTGATTTTCATAAACATCATCTCAATACATTTCTGATCGAATGAAAATGAAAGCAATCAAGAATTGGCATCGATATTTTTCTTATTCGATCAAGATAACATCATGTGATGCACATTTGTTCATTTTATCAGCAACAGATGAACATATGTAGAGATCAACGCTACGGTTGATTTACGATTAAATTAAATACGATAAGAATAGTTCCTATTGAGAACTGCTTTTCTTATTTAAAGTTCATCATGCCCTTTAGTGACAGGTTCACTCGTTTTTATGTTCCTGACTAAGCAACGGAGCATCTTTTCCGTGATGATGATTACATTTTAGTGTGAAGTTATCGACGACTTACATCAGCAAGCAGGCTGTGATATGACTTTGATTTTATCACAACATTTCACAGGCTGTGTACTGATAGGAATCGCCATGTTAGATGAAAAGAAGTTCAAATCCGATGTATTACCTGGATTGCATATGATGAATGTTCGTTTCATGTCAACAAAGCAAGACTGTGATATGAATGTCGATGTTCACATAGCACGATCTCTTTGCTGACACAAATAAATAAGAAAATTGAAGAGAGAAGTTTCTATGCGAAATAGAAAACGTCTTCCGGATGCTCTGCAACTCGATGAGTCAGAGTTCGAATAAAAATGACAAATTGATTTGAAGATTGCTTTTCATTGAAGAAAATTCTCGCTTTTTCTGCTTTGTATATATCTGAACAATGTATTGAAAAGGTCGACGAATGAGTGTGTGTGCGCGTATATACATATATATATACTTTTTCCAGACCTTGAATATTCAAACAATAAATAAATAATTGATTTTTAATGAAGAAAACCAAAAAGTTCTTGAAGATTAATTTATCTGTATTTGAACAGAATCAAAATAAACAAACTTACTCGCTTGTGAGAATTTTGCCATTACTACATGAAGTTATTAATTCTTATTTAGGTTTGGTGCTTTCACTATAACTATTACTATTGCTGCTTCTCCTCGTCGAGATAGAGGCAAGCTGAATGATGTGATGATGCGCTCGCGGCGTCGGCTGCAATGCTGTGCTGTCTTTCCTTCTTTCTCTTTCTCTCTCTCTCTCTTTCTCCTTCGTATCTCTTTCTTGTTCGCCTCTCTCCCGATCGTCGATCTTCTGTTCTCCATCAATACAAAAATAGATAGATGCAGAACATGTCTGTATGCCAGTTTTCTCTTGTTTCTTCTTTTCCCCCTCTCTTTCTGTGCGTTGCGTGCGCGCGCACTCTCTCGTTCCCTTTTTTATGTTATTATTGACCTATTCGCACTAGGCACACGATGAAGAAAAGAGGGGTGGGATGTAAAAGAAAGAAGAGAACGCTTACCAGTTTGGGATTAATGATGTGGTCGTGTGATCGGTCGAATTTGTTTTTATACATGTTTGAGAAAGAAATAGATTGATGAATAAGAAGAAAGTATAGTGCTATCGTATGCTTCTATGTTTGTATATGCACATACTCCTTGGTTTCACATGTTCGTCTTCTTACTTCTCCTCTTCTTTCATCGTTTTGACGCCAATAACATTTGCGCCCGAAACAAGACGCCAGTTTCGACGACTAGCTTAGGTCTAGCAGAAATGAAAGAGAGAGAGAGAGAGGAAAAGGAAAGAAAGAAGAAAAAACCCGAGAAATAAAGAATCGAATTTTCTTCTTTTCTCCTGATACCATCGGTCGTACCTACTACTACGACTACCACATAACAATAAGACAGACGATGTTGAAAAAAAAGAAAAAGGAAAGAAGAAAAGAGTAGCAGGCAACAGTAGTAATTTTACCGAGTATTTTTGACAAGAGAATTGGGTTGGGGGGTAATAGCAATAGAAGAACGAGTCTATTAGGGAAAACACAAAGTTTATGATGGTGATGATGATGTGTATAGATGCGTTGGTGGCCGACGTGCGTTCGCTAACTACTATCCATTTTTCTTACAAAATGATGACGACAACAATAATAACAACAACTTGCTTTAAGAAGGAAGAAAGAAACGAACTAGTTTATTTTCCTATCACTAATACTATGCATTATTCTCATCAATAATAACAAACATCTTCGACAGGCTTGTTACATAATTCTAAAGAAAAAAAAACTTGATAATAGTGATAGTATCGTTATGGCGAAAGGAAGACGATTTCATGCTATATATGTTATCCATTTGTAATTACTCATCTACACGCAGTTAGTGTAGACAGAGCTCGGGTGCGTGTGTAATAATTGAAGAAACTGTTGCCGCTTGATTCAATTTGATGCAGCAACGTTGAAAGAGTGAGAGTGTATCTGTTCTAAATCAACTGAACACGGCGCGAGGAGAAGAAGAATAGTAGAAATTAAATTAGACAATATTTGTCACGCATCATCTGTCAAGCATCCATTTCCGTAGTAGATTGCACCTGAATAGAAACGTTCACCGAACAAAAAGAAAAGACTTTCAAATGGCATCTATAACGTGTTTTCATATTCGCATGAATATTTGATAGAAAATGTAATCAAGAAAGTAATATAAAGCACAATTGATTTCTACTAATGCATTCATCCACTTGATTGAATTTCATCATAATTCGTTCATATATAATTCTTTTGATTTCTCTTCCATTACTCATTCAATGCCGAACCGTAACTCGACAAACAACCATGTGCGTGCCAAAGATTATGCTCAAGTAATTTGATCTCTCTCTAAAGTTTAGTCTCTGTTTACAGTTTATCGTCAGTCGACAACAACGACACTAGAAAGAAATCTTAAACGGAAATATGACACAATAATAGTGTGACAATTGATTCTTTCATTCACCTAATCCGATGATCAATAATAGACAATGACAGTTGAAGGTGAGAAGAACACGCCTGTTTTTTCTCCCTGATACTCACTATTTGTACTAACATTGACCAATAAACACGATATGTATACAGACTAAAGCTGAAGCTAAACAGAAGTCGAACAATGGAAAGCGATTATCATCAATGGTCTGCACGTCATGCACGAGTTTGAATCGATAGGAAACGAAAATGTGACGTTAGAAAAGGATATCGAAATTAATTATGTTTCACGCAAAACTAGTTCGTACTATGGCTGACGCGCTTTTCCGACTGATTCAGAACTACGATATCATGCCGTACGTAATAAATACGGTGAAGTTTTTTTTTCTCTTTCGAGCAAAAACCGTGCGACACACTGTGAGTCGTAGACTACAAGTATCTTTTGTCATTGCACAATGTTGTTAACTTTTACTTGCTTTTCATTTCAATACTCGTAAAACGTGGCAAGGTGCGTTGTTTTTTTTCTTTTTTCTCGCAAAAAGTAAGCATGACCAACGAAAAACGACACGCATAGATCAGACGTGTGTTTCAATTTTGCCTGACTTACACCATTTACGAGCGATACAAGTAAAAGAAACTAAGATTTATTTTACACGATGTCCACCTCACAAGTACCGAAAGAGTCTGAAGGAGAGGCATTACTATCGAAAGAGCTCTGTTCTTATTGTTGCGAAAGGCCGTACACTTTCGTTTGTACGTGTGGTGAGAAATACGATTCTTTTTGTGTTCAATCGCACGCCGAAGTGATCAATCGAGAATTTCAACATGTTCAAAACACTGTTGGTCAGCGTTTATTAGAAGTTGAACAAATAATCGACGATGACGCATGCGACGATGCAAAAACATTCGTAGAAAATTGGGTGCGTATTGAAAACCAATAATGATGTTCGAGATACAATACTCGCAGTTTTCTTTTGTAGAAACATCAACGCATGCAAATGATTAACGAGATTGCCGAAGGTGCGCTAATGAAGATACGAGGTCGTAAAGAGATTTATTTAGATTTTGGTTTGTTACGAAATGAGTTCAATTCCTTGTTCGACTCAACTGGAAAAGTTACTCATGAACAATTAAACAGTATGATCGACTTACAACAACAAGTCTTGAAACAAGTTGATCAATTACCAACTCTACTCCATACACTTTTCAATCACACAAATTTAGATTCACAACTTCTATTTCGTTTAAATGTCGATACATCTAATCATTTGCCCGACGATCATCAAATAACAGAAATGTTACAACCGTCAGCACGTTCTCCTGATCTTCACGTTACGATTATGAACAATGGAAGTACTGACAACAATTCTGTATTCAACTCAGTATTTCATCCTATGGAATCTTCAACAGAGTCGACTATTCATCGATTAGCCAAAATTGATTCAATTGTACCAGCTCCCATTGCTACTACACTAATAAGTCTAGAAAACAACGCACCTGATTTTGAAGCAAACATTGAACCACACGAATTAACAAATAATCCGTCCGCAAATCATGTAACGAACGAAAGTATAACCAGTGATCAATTTGATTCTGGTTATACATCGAGTATCATACGTCACAATCCCACAATAATCAATTCGCACAATGATAAATTTGCTGGTACTTTGTGCTGTTATGAAAACCAACTGTTGTTCAATGACTATCATCAACGATTAATATGTCCTCGTCTAACTTTCATACCAAATGTTTCTCAACCAACAGTACGACAACACATCGCTTGGACTCAGCCGGATACGTCTATTGGCGGTGGAGATGACAGCTGGATACAAGATATAGCATATTCAACTAAACTAAAAGGATACTTCTTACTGAACCGTGCGCGTTTACGATTGCTACGCAGTGACACATTACAAATGGAGGAATTCGATCAGTTCCCTGATTATAGTATGAAACGAGTTGCATGCGATGAAACTTCTATTTATTTAATATCAGCATCGGGTAGTATATCGCCAAACGGCGATGAAGTGATTGTTATGAACTATACCAACCAAGATAAAGTTTTCAAAACATTTCGTGATTTGATACTTATGCGGAATAGGCGTGCGATCGGATCACTTATCGGCGAGATAACTGATATAGCTGTAGGAAGAAATGACCAAGTGATTCTCTCGTATCGTTACGAACGACGACATGATGTTGGCACTTGCTTGTATAAAGTAACAAACCATGGAAATGAATGGTCGTTTATTAAACGTTTACTGTTAAGTGATTGTTGGCGAGATGACGTGTTCTTTACACCACGAGTGGAATGGTGTGACAATTTGAACGTTTTCATTCTTGTCGAGTATCTGACTGGTCATTTAATCATGATTGATCAAACGGGAGTAGTGAAAGGTGAATGTCACATGACACATACAGGAGTTCAACGTGAAGCACCACTTAATATAAGTAGTTCTACTAACAATTGGCTTTGTGTACGGTATAAATCGTCAATAAACGTTTATCGACTAGAAGACGCAAGATTTTGAGCGAGTTCTACTTTTATCTTTGCTTTTTACTGTAAAGTTCGTATATGTATCATATATGAAACGATAATTTCAATAAAAGAATATACTTTAGAGTTTGACAGCAGTACTGAAAAGCTATAATACACTTTTCTTAATAGCTTTCTTTACTCGTCTATTCACTGTAATGCATAACAAACATCAGAAGCATTTCCTAACGAATTTTATGTATGGTTCATTTTCTAAGTTGCAAATAAAGTGGATTTGTGCATCGTAGACTGAGTATTATTATCCCAATTTTCTGCTTTTTTCACATGTTGATAAATGAATGGATTTGAATAGAAGGTAACAATCTAAATGGAAACTTATTTCGTCAGTGACTTGTTCGAAAAAAGCCTTTTTCATGAAAACAAGTTTAGCTAAAGCAAAAGAAGGATCCAATACAAAACATTTTCTTGTTAAATTAAGCTAAACAATCGCTCAGGACACGGCCATGGTTCAATGATATGATCACATTCGTTACAAGAAAAACGACGCTTCGTACCACTTTGATTTTCCGAACTTACAGCGCAGATATCCGTTAGGAAACCTGCGGCAACAAAAAATTTTGAATATTTCGCTGTGGAGTTCGTGAAGCTAAACTCTAAGTAAATTACCAGCATCTTTTTTGAATGGATGTGGATATAAAAATAAGCACTCTTATTAAGCGGCAGCGCCCGAATTCATCCAGTCTTGCTTCTTGATGAATTTGGACCTTCGTTGTCGACTCTGCTCATATCTACATCCTTTCTGGCCAAGAGATTTTCGAACATCCGGTCACGCCGTCATATGTTCGTAATAGATGGTACGAAACGTAGCACACCCGTCAAAACATGTGAGTTCTTCGAGGAGAATAAAATGTAAGCTGTTCGATATATTCTTGTATTTTCGTTTTCTCAAACACTAATGGTACCTTGAATAGTGTGAAACGTAAAAGAACGTTGTTACATTTTGTAGTTTGAAAATTGGACGATAGCTGCCCCCACCGATTGGAATAATGGTGTTGCTCCAAATTCGGTTCTCAAAGGGTTTTAACCATCTACATACACACTTAAATATATAACGAAGTGTGAATAGATCAGTGACAGTAGAAAAATATTGGTTTATATGCGTCACCACCGGGAATATTCTTTATAGAATTTCTTCAGACAAAATATCCTTTTTCTTTTCGCCCTTGAGGGTGAGCTATATATAAAACGATGAAAAGAAAAGGGGCATTCTCGGCTGTATTCCCAACGACGCCGTTTCGATTGTCATATCATGCTTGGTACAATACAATAGCTCGCGTGACGAACAACAACCTCTTCTGTATATCAGAAGACCGTTAGATTTATTTAGAAAATAAGATAAAGATGCTTTTTCACTGTTTTCAAGAAACGACGAAGGTAGTCGTTGCGCCTTGTGATATCTTTGCCATCAGCACATTATCGACCTACAGCAGCCAAACGAAAGACAGGTGGAGAATGCAAGATAGATAAAAGATCGCAACTAAAGAGTGCGTCGCAAAGTTAATCAGTTGTAAATTGATAGCAATACGTTAGCGACAAATTTCGTGTGCGCCCTCATTCTTTCCTTCACTGGAATATCAATCAAATACTGAAAAATGAGTAGTACCTATACATTTCTTCGAACTGAGGTATTCATTGATTTTCAACGTTCTTGTTGTTTTTATTCATGACAATCTTTCTATTAGAAATTGTCTTATTATCTGTTCATTATCTCTTGTCACAAAGAAAGAAAAGGAGAGAAGGAATGAATGAATGAATTGACAGTACACTACATACAGACACACAACAGATAGTAAGTATATCCTATCGAATTAGATAATGTTGATGCGAATAAAGGACAGAGTAACAAAGAATACATGATTGGAGGAAAGGTTTTTTGATGAACAACAAAAGAAAAACGTAGAAATAAAACAACAAGATAGCTGATACAGCTAGTTGATTACATATATATCATTGATTGAATAGAAGATTAGATTATATGCCTAAACGTACACTTCAATCGGTAGATTTTGATCTTTTTCTGTTCGTTTTTAGTTGCAATACTGTCCATCGGGATGTTTAGGTGGAAGATTTTAATGGAGGGATGGAAACAGGTCGGTCTGGTAGAGTGGTTGAGGGAACAGTGGCTGTACATGCTGGTGTAGATGAGGGACGCGTATTTGTCGATGGGGAATCAGCTGTGCTCGAATGACGATGAGATTTCGCATTCGGTGATGAGTTTGATGATCTCGAAGACGAAGGAGATGTTGCCGACGGACCAGATGATTTACCATAGAAATCACGTTTTTTACGCGGTGATTGCATAATCATCGATCGACTTCAAAGCAAAAAATAGAGATATTCAATAGAAGTATTCGCCCATACCTGATCTCATCAGCTAGTTGAGATGTTTTTGTATTTGATGACGATGGACTACTGAGCAATGTTTTGACACTAACCGATTGAATAACGGCTGCTTGCGGTGGTTTTTGTTGTTGTTTAGATTGTTGCCCAACTGAATGAACTTGAACGGGTTCTAATTGTTTAGCAGAGAGAAGGCTGTTGGCACTCGCAGATGTTGTCAGTGATTGAGATTGCCCAGATTGTGCTCCTGGACGTTTATCAGTCGTTTTAGTTGGTGAAATCATCGAATTACTATCCGAAGTTTTCTTCACCTTTTTCGGAATAGTAAATCCGGATTTCCTTTCCACTTTCTTTATGTCGAACGATGATGCGGAAACTAAAACAAACATTCGAGCGTATTTTATACGATTTAAGAATTTCCTTTACTTGGATTTGAAGAGGATGGATATTCAATTGATCGTAATGTGGTTCCCTTCTCCAGCGTGGGATACGATTGCTTGGTACTTTCTTGTTGCTGAGTCTGTTTGCTCATACTTGCTAATAATGTTGAATAAGTGTTATCATTAATAGAATGATTGCTCGTCAACGAATGATGGCCGTTGGTTTGAATCGATTGTAAAATAACTGATAATCTTTCGTTTTCTTGATCATATTCAGCAATTTCTTTTTCCAATGTAACGACTTTCGATCGAAGTTCTTTGTGTTTACTTGATATATCATTGGCGTAAGTTATTAGTTGAACTGGTCGCTCGAGATCCTCGATGCCCAACTCATTCGTACGTAATTTTAGTAAATTTATTGTATCTTCAAGTAACAGCTTGATGTTGTTCTCCAGACAACTAACTTTCGTCTTCAATGCTTGGTTTAGCTCTTTCTCATTCTCAACTTGTTGTTTCAAATGTTCACGGTAAGCGTTTGACTTCATATAGGTAAAATATGAAAAGAGACGTTGTCGAAAGTGATCCAGATAAGTGTTAATCGAATCGAAGAATTGTTGATCTTCTTGTTCGGATAAACAATCCCGGAAATGGCGAATGTCGAGATTTTCATTGGCTAGTTTTGTCATATGGCGATAGTTGAAACGTTCATTGTGGTTTGATGATGAATAAGTTTGACTAGTGGGATGTAGATCATTCAAAGTTGAATGATAATCTTTCGATGATGTGCGATGACGTTTTGAAGTGAAAAGTTCGTCATTGGAAAGATCGGATTCGTAGTCGAATTGACTTTTATCAGAATGAGACTTTTTGTTAGTTGTCGACGAATTGCTTTTGCGTTTCCGATTCGAATGCTTTGAAGCATGATGAGGTAATAGATTCTCATCAGTCTTGTCAGGTCGCTGGTGAGAAATAATTTTTGTTTGACGCTGATGTTTTCCGTTTGATGAGGGATTCGTTGAAGATGAATTGTTGGATGATGGAGATAGAGAGTTGTCATCGTCATTCGATTTCGTATGACTACAATAATATTTTGGATGAGTTTATTCAATGAATGACAAAACTTACATCGATCGAGGTCCTTTTCCGTGTGATTGATGCATCCTTTCATAATACAGTGCTAATTTGCTGTGGTCGATGACATGAAGATAATATTGCACAGATTTATCCGACCAACTAACTTTGCCAAAGAACTCTTCGGGCTTCCTGTAGAAGATTATATGTTCGGAGTGAGAAAAAGTAGCTAATTTCGAGAATACATACGTCACATGCATAACAGCACCTAAGTCGTTTTTCGTTCGATCATTCAATCGAAACGTTTCCGGACAAAATTCTCGTGATGATACTATCCTTGCCCCATCTAAATAAAACAATCACATCAAATCGATCATTTCACTTCCCCGGTGTGGCTTCCAAAGACGATTACCTTTCATACTCATGAATTTCACCTTCAACTCATGATTCACTCTCGAGCCAAACACATAGTTATTCACAAAAATCACATCAGCTTCTTTAATTCTTTCGTCAATCATCTCATGCACCAAGAAATCGCCTTGTTCCAACTGAAAATCAGAGTACTGTTTGCCGTACCAACGCATCCAGGAACGAAATTCATCCGCCATGGCACGCGCATAACCTGCCGGCGTTTGTTCGTATTCAATTCCATAGACATGTTTACAATTGGCTAATGCAGCGACATGCAGGACGACATTTCCAACACCTGAGCCGAGATCAATGAAGGTTTGATCTTCGGTTAGGTTCATCACTTTAAGTATCGAATCGATCAAGTCAGGTGACGTTTCACCATAGACCTAAATGCCAATACGAAATTTAATAAAAAGGACAAATGAAAGAGTGAGTTTGTTTGTTTACTGAGGGTGAAAATGGTTCATAATCACGTAGTTTTTCTGGATCAATCACCGCTCGGCTGTACACTTGAGCAAGAATATGACGAAATAGTTTCGAAGTGGCACGTTGTTCCAGACGGGCAGAAAACGCTTCTGTGCCTCGATTTAATTTAATGTGCGTATCAATAATTTTATTGAATTTATCGCACAGTTCTTTCATTTGTGTATATGAATGTATGTCGCATGTCGAAAGACCAAGATTTTGTTGATACAATTCAGGATAATCTATTGCAACAGAACAACAACATCGGTTAGCTGAGTGATGTTTGAGATAAAAACGCTTTACCTTCGAAAACTAAACGAATTGTTTTGACAATCTCATCACCACCAACAAATACGCCATCTTTTTTCGTATTCTAAATAGAGTAAAAAGAGAAATAGAGTTTCAAAGTGAAGAAGATCATATGTTTGTTACCTGTCGTTCAACACTCGGCCAAGTAAATACAGCTGGCTCAACACCTGCTGGACTATGAAGTTTGAGTTCACGAATAGGATTCGCATTGGCCATAGTTGTCTAGAAAAACAAACACGCGTGAATATGCACAGATTCCGTATCGACAAGTTAATTACTCGCTATGTGAAGTAGTACGCAAAGTGAGTAAGTAATTTGATTAGATTTAAATTACAAAACAAAATCACATCGATTGATTTCTTTTTCGTTCGTTTTTTCCTTCAAATCACTGCTGTATGACAATATCTACATCTACATATTCATTCGTTCGACAGTATAGAGGCGTGGTTCGTCGAAACCGACAAATCAAATTATATTGTTGTTTGTCATACGACAAGAGCAGAGGGACATCTATCGACCGGATCAGTTTTATTTCGCTTTGTTTGAATCTATAAGAGAACATCTGATTTGTAATGATTCTCGTCGGCTAATCACTGATTGCACTTTATTCTCTTTTCTCTCTTACCTATCGCATTCGATAGATAAGTTTTATCATTACAGAAACAAATATAACGGAATCAAAAAAGGAAAGAAAATAATCACATGAAGAAAGGGTTCTATCATAAAGTAATTGCTAAAAGTGGTAAATATAGGAAATCTAATCCACGCGACATTTTAGATTCTTATCACCATAAACATCATTCACACGTCCACATGATGGCCAAAATTTGTAATTGGGTGAAACAAAATGCTAGAAAACAAGCAACTCTTTCGCCTGATAGAACTCAATAAAGAACTTACAATAGGAAAAACAGCTTTATTCAATGAATAAGGCAGAGTCCATTTCTCATGAAGAAAAACATGTTGTGAATGTGGTGCATTTTTCAGTGGGTTGTTTTTCTTATCGAATTCTCCGCTTTCGATTTGAGAGATTTCCTTTCGAATTTCTAAACAGAAGCAAACAAATAAGTGTGTCGAACCGATCTCTTTTGTATTCAACTGACCAATTAATGCATCACAGAATCGATCGAGTTCATTTTTGTCTTCAGATTCTGTTGGTTCAATCATTAATGAGCCAGCCACCGGCCAGGAAACGGTGGGGGCATGGAAACCGTAGTCTTGTAAACGTTTGGCAATATCAACGGCATCCACATTTGTACGCTCTTTAAACGGACTCACATCAATGATAAATTCGTGTGCAGCAAAACCTTTCAAAGAAAAAGAAATAAACTAATTGAAACTTCGATGTGCTACAAACCATTTTTGCCACGAAATAAGACTTTGTATGATGATTCGAGACGTTTAGCTATGTAATTAGCATTGAGTATTGCTGTTTCTGTTGCACGTCGAAGACCACCAGCGCCCATCATTCGAATGTACATCCAAGAGATTGGTAAAATCGATGCAGAACCAAATGGAGCTGCTGAAACAGGACCGTACGAATCTTCTGAATTGTGCTCGGAACCACGTTCCAATAGAGGATGATTTGGAAGGAATGGTGCAAGATGTTTCTTACTAGAAACAGATAATACAAAAAGCAATAATAAGGTGATTCGAGATTGACCAAGAGAGGAATTGTCTGTGACAAAAAAAAACGAGCAACTTACACTCCAATAGGTCCTGAAAAGAAAATAGAATTTAGTTGAGACTTCAACGAATTCGAATGTTTCTACAAACCCATGCCAGGTCCACCACCACCATGTGGAATGCAGAATGTTTTATGTAAGTTCAGATGTGACACATCTGAACCATAGTCACCTGGACGACATAAACCAACTTGAGCATTCATATTTGCTCCGTCAAGGTATACTTGGCCACCGTTCTTATGGATAATTTCGCAGAATTCCCTGTTGCAAAGACATGTTGCAAATCTAAGTTATTCGCCAACTTATTTTACCTGATTGTTTCCTCAAAAACTCCACTGGTACTTGGATATGTAACAATACCACAGGCAAGTGTGTCCTTATGTTTTTCAGCTATTTGAGCTAAGTGTTTCATATCCACAGCTCCGTTTTTATCTAACTGAACTTTTTCGATTTTCATTCCAGCCATGACTTCAATGTAAAACGTAGTAGTGTTTTTCTTTCATCGAAAAGAACAAGTTCTTTTACTAGCTGATGCAAAATTCGTTCCATGAGCAGATATTGGAATCAAACAAACCTGAACAGAAACATAGAAGTTTGCTACTAATCAACAATATCATATCAGAGATCTTACTCGTCGCTGTGGTTGACCGCTGTGTTCATGGTATGCTCGTATTACCCGCAAGCCTGCGTATTCTCCTTGAGCTCCACTAAACAAACAAGTAAGAGATTTGCCTTGCTTTCTACCGTACACTGACCTATTCGGCTGAAATGATATCTTATCGTAACCAGTAATTTCACATAGAAATTGATTAAGATCAGTGAGTAATCGAACATAACCTTTCCATTGCGAGGATGGAGCGAATGGATGGATCCGATTAAAATGTGCCCATGAGCATGGCTAAAACATCGGACACACTTGGTGAGAACGAAAACTATGAGAAGCTTGCCATACAGTTAGTTCCGCCGCAGCATTCAGTTTCATTGTGCATGAACCTAGTGGGATCATGGAATGTACCAATGAAATATCTTTGTTTTCTAAATGTTTCATATAGCGCATTAATTTCGTTTCAGATCGATATCTAAAATATTAATTTTAGAATTATGGAAGAGTCAGTATCGATCAGTAATTTACTTATTGAATATTTCAGCATTTAGAAAACGACTTTGACGGGTTAAGTTACCAAAATCACGTGGACGTTGTGTTGTTTCACTCTAAACCAGACAATTCTATCCATATTTCGACTAAAAACATGATGCCATCTTCTTACTGATGATTGATTCTCAACATTAAATATCCATTTCAAATCGGCAACGTCATTCTCATTCATTGTTTCATCTAATGAAACACCAACCTGAACGACAAAAGTAAACCAGTCAGTCAAAGTTCATCATTCACTGTCAGTTATACATACACTACCATTATCATGATAACGTAAATTGATGCGTTTTTTTTGCGCACGTTGTTTGATTTCGTCGATACTCATTCGTGGTTTGATTTTTAATGTATCAAAGAAGAGTTCGTTTTTGATTGAATGTCCACCGGCTTTGACACCTGAAAGAAACCCGTCGGAATTTATGAGTTCATTAGAAACATTCTAATATTCACTTTCGGCAAGATCACAGGTTAGCACATGAATTTTCGTAGCTATGTTCCGGAGACCTTGTCTTCCATGGTACAAACAATACATGGCAACCATATTGGCGAGCAATGCTTGTGCTAGACGGCAGAGAAAAAGCGTTTTTCTTCTACTTTTCAGTGTTCATTTTCCATACCAGTACAGATATTGCTTGTAGCTCTCTCCTGTCGGATATGTTGCTCACGCGTTTGAAGTGCTAAACGATAAGCTTTGGCTCCATGTGAATCGCTAACAGGGATCAAATCAGAGACATGGACGAATAAACGAAGATCTTACATTGTTAAACCAACTAATCGGCCAGGCATATCACGTTTAAATGTTTCTGCACACGAAAAGAAAGCTGCATGTGGACCACCAAAACCTAGTGGAACACCTAATCGTTGAGAATTGCCATAGCAGATGTCCACGCCCATTTCACCAGGAGGTTTAAGAAGGCAAAGAGCAAGCAAATCTGAACCACAGATAACAGCAGTCTAGCGTGCGAAATTGAATGAACCATTGAATCGAATCAATGAAAATCTTACTCCGTTTTCTTTAGCTCGAGCAATTAATCCGGAAGGATCACATATATTTCCGGTTGTGTCAGGATATTGAAAAATAACACCAGACACATCTTTTTTCGAAAAATCCATTTTCTCAATTGGTAAAACTTCCACCTGTGTACGAAATCCACTAAAACCATATTTTATTCGTTCCTTGTCGAAATCAAACCGTATTCACTCACCCAGCGCGTGTTCGAATAACTTCAATCACATGTGGATGAAGTTGATCGCTAACAAACATTCGTGGACGTTTATTATGACGAAAACACATTGCCATGGCTTCAGCAGCGGCTGTGCCTTCATCGAGTAAACTAGCATTCGCATAGGGAAGTGCTGTGATATCACTGACGGCTAGAGGATTCAGTTTTTGAAAATTATCATCGAATTAATCGAAGAACTTTGTTGCCTTACCTGTTTGATAATTTAGTAAACTTTCTAAACGCCCTTGAGACAACTCTGCCTGATAAGGTGTGTATTGCGTATACCAGCCAGGATTTTCGAATAGATTTCGTTGAATTACTGTTGGAATAATACAATCGTTATAACCCATACCTATGTATGAGCGCCATACTTCGTTTTGAAAAGCAATTTCCTCCGCTTCTTTCAAAGCGCGATGCTCCGCTGTTCGAACAAAAGAAAAGATAAGGTGTGAAAACAACATATTTTTACATTATTTACAAAGTGCTTCAGGAATATTCATGTTTCCACGAAAGCGAATAGCGGCTGGAACTGTTTTATCGATTAGTTCGTCCATGGATTTCAGGCCTAATGCTTGAAGCATTTCCTTTGTCTGTCGTTCATTCGGACCGAGATGACGTCGAACGAAGTCATACGCTGGATTGGAATCCGCTGCCTGGGCTTCGCTTTGATCATGAAGTTGTCTTTTCTGTAACTGAAACACGCCCATAGGAAATTGAAGTGGACGAATTGAACGTCGCGCTGAAAAGGTGTCGTTGATGAATCATCAAATGAGGCGAAAAGTAAACAAATATTTACCACACAGTGAAAGTATTCCTGTCGAGCTCATGTTTTTCTCTCGATGAATTTCAGATTCGACAAAAGAAAATAAACCGTGATCTTAACTCGCCTAAAGAATAAAAGTAGAACGTATCATTGTTGTTGTTTTTATATTCTATATTCGCAGTCATTCTCTTTCTTTTCAAAATCCAGCATTGGTCGTATCTATTTGCCCTACTGTTGTTTTTTTATTTCTTTTCGTTATATGAATGACCTTGTTTTTATCTTATTTTTTTCAAAAATGTTTAGTACTGGTCTTCAACAAAAAGATTAGAATTGAGTAGGTGTCCTTTTTCTTGATCGATCGAAATAGTAGAAGAGAAAAAAACGAACGAGAGTGATGTAACCAGAAGAAGTAGATAAGCTCTCTTCTATAGCCAAATTCGAAAAGAAAAAGGAAAACAAAATATTTGTAATTTCGTGTTTTTTTTTCTTCAAGAAGATGATTATATTTCAGTTGTGAATGATATCAGAATGGAAACAAGTACGAACACATACTCATTAGAAGAATGTATTGATTTTATTGGATTGGGAAGATATCAATGGCGATTAATAGCAATCCTTGGCTTTTGCTCTATGGCTGATGCCGTTGAAATGATGCTGTTAGCTATTTTGGGACCAGCATTAACATGCTACTGGCCTAGTGTCACACAGATACAAATAGCAACACTAACAACTGTATGTTCCGACGAATTTTGTGATAATTTGCGAAATTGTTTTCGATTTTTAGGGCGTCTTTGCTGGAATGATGATTGGAGCATTTATATTTGGCATTTTAGCAGATAGATACGGCCGCCGACGAGTCATCTTTGCTAGTGCAGTTTTGAATACAGTATTTGGTATCGCCACAGCACTAGCACCAAACTATTACTGGATTCTTATAGCGCGGGTTTTAGTCGGATTTGCATTATCAGGTGCTTCACAAGGGTAAGTAACGATATCGTCTAAGATTCTTACGAAAGATCGAATTTTCCGTGTAGTTCAACATTGATGCTTGAATATCTCCCATCCTCAAGTCGAGCAACGATTACTATTGTTATTGAATTATTTTGGTCATTGGGTAGTATATTCGAATATCTTATGGCAATGGTTGTTGTCCCAACGTACGGATGGCGAATATTAACCGGACTTTCTGCTTTGCCAATAACAATTGTGGCTATTTGTATGTATGTAAGTATTTATCCAAGTCGTGCTTTTTCTCTCTGCTAAATCAATCTCACTGCGTCTCGTCTACTGACAGTTCGTACCTGAATCACCACGATTCTACGTTGCCAGTGGACATTCTGAAAAAGCTGAACGTATTTTAAAAGTAATTGCATTCACAAACAACCGTGCTCTACCACCCGGCAAACTTCGTGATATCAACGCTCGAGTGAGTATCTCCAGACAACTTTGTCAACAAAGAATTCGTTGAACAATCGATTTAGGACGAATGCGGTTCTGTAAAGCAACTATTTCATTCGAACTATAAGCGAACATCGTTCTTACTTGCTTTCATGTGGATGACGGTGGCAATGAGTTACTACGGTTTAATATTAATCAATACATCGATCATGACATTAATTAAACATGATCCACAATCAATTGCCAGCAATGACACCACAAACTCGTCCGGTCATTGTAAAATGTTAACAACCGAAGATTATAAATCATTAATATTTACAACTATTGGCGAGATGTTTGGTATACCTTTATTGTTGATCTTCCTTCGCTATTTTGGTCGACGAACAACATGTGCAATCAATTACTTTTGTTCTTCTCTTTGCTTTTTATTATTTGTTTTCAATATACATACGAATCCATGGGCAGTCGATGTCATCACATTTCTTGCACGTATGTTTATCAATGCTCAATTTGGTCTGATCTATTTATACACAATGGAAGTTTATCCAACAGTTATACGTGCAATCGCTGTTGGCTGTGCCTCGTCTATGTCCAGAATCGGTGCAATGATCACGCCATATCTAGCACAAGTGTTAATTAAGAAGACTTTCCATGGAACTATAGCAGTTTATGTGATAGCTACAGCGTTGGCTGCCCTCTGTTCTATTTTGTTGCCAATTGAAACCAAAGGACGTGAATTGAAAGTAGGATTTTTGAAACAGAATTATCTTTTCTCACTTGATTGGAGACCAGGAAAAGCGAGAACACCGAAGAGGAGAGTTTGAATGAGAAAAGCATGATGTATTTATCTTGTAGGAAACAACTTCATGTCTATCTACACGTCCCAGTCGGCGACGATTTAGTGCTTGAGTATTCCTCTGATCTGCCGCTTTTGTAATATTGTTTTCTTTTTGACGAATATTCCTGGATTACAAACTTCAGTATGAATCTCATTGTTTTCTTCTCCTAGCAAGCAACTACAGATCACGAGCACTCTATGACAACGGCAGTCGATGATGGTGATACCGGTTCTTCTTGGATGATAACTGTAGGTAACTTGACATCATTCATGACTAAAAACAACGGTGTTACTGTTGAAGGATATCAGCCATTAAAACAAGAAGATATCGATGACGGTCATGCTGATGACGATCTTTAAATTAATCTTAATTTTTATTGCATGTTACGAATATATTTTTTGTGGAATTTTCCAAAATCCAATATCATTTTTTGTCAAAATCATTCTGTTCTTTTCCTCGAATCTCCTTACGTATGAATAAACAAACGAATATAAAAAGTCAGATTCGATTCTAGACGAAACTTGAGCGAACACGCGCAATCCGCCACTAAACGTTTTTATTACTTTCTCAGGTCTTTCTCGCACAGAGAAAATCAAGCGACAAAAATGAACAACATTTTCAATCAGATACACACGCACAACATCATGTGTGTGTATATAGAAGTTATAATGATAACACGACATAAACGAAACAAACTTCGAAATATAGAATAGTCCTACTTCTATAAAGAAGAACCGGTATAGTGTGTTCCAGATCAAACAAAAAAAGATATATGAAAGCTTTACATTAATATACAAGTAAAGAAAGATCACATTCACAATGTTGTTGAATTATTATCATTGACAACAAGATTTGTATTGGTTTGTGGTGATGGAATCGTATTAACGATATGATTATTATTATTCGTGTCATTTGTTGTTTGCTGTTGACTTGTGATCCATGTTAAACGATCTTCGTAAAACTTTATCACAACTTGTGGACATTTTATATTACATATACGAGCAGGAATAAGATCTGCTTCACCTGTACCTTTCCATTGGACTAAGAGCATCAGTTCACCCTGAAAAGTTTTAATGTAGGTTGAGAGAAAAGCGCGCGTTCGAAAGCAATGTCTTACTGTTGCATCGGTAGCACCAAGAATCTTTTCCGCTTCAAAACCACGATCGAACGCAGATGGCTCTTCGGATTGTACGGACGATGTTTGTTGTTTGGAGTAGTTTCGATGAGCTAAGGAATCATTCGGCGGTCGACCACGTTTGTTTTGCACTTGCGTTTGATCTATAGAGGATTTGCGTTTGAGTGACGTCGAAGGTTCATTGATGTAACGAGATTTTTGCACTAGACGATTTTCATATTCTTCGATCAAATCCGGACAATCTAAGTTTTGATGAGGTTCCTAAAACAGGAACAATGACGTCTTTGAAACAAGAAACATTATTTCCTGTACCCAAGTATTTTCTTCTTCGGAATAACCTTTCCAAGCGAGTAAATATTCTTTTCGTCCATTACGAAAGCGATGATTAACAATACGTTCAACCACGAATTCTTCACCTTGTTCTACACGAACTATTTCGTCTTTATCTAATCCAATATTGCTCATTTGTATTGTATGACCAACCAAAGATGACAAGCTACGGAAACCAATCTAAAAAATGAGGTGATTATTTGCGCGTCGAAAGACAGACAAGTCAATGAAAGAACAAACATTACCTAGTATGAAAACGAGGAAAACGTGGAAAAGTAAAGACAATTACTGTGATAAATCATAACCAATTGTAAGTCAGATATGGTCTCAAATGGTATTTTAGTGAAAAAAAATTAATCTGAAGTTTTATTTGCACAAAAACAATAAAATGTTTGATTATTTATAAAAAAATGAACTCATTTTGGAAAAGTAGATGTCGTACGTGAACTGACAGGCTTTGAGGGTGTGAAACTTTACAATGTGCCTGCGTTTCGAAATAAATTTCAACACGGTGAAGATTTTCATGTCTTAGGCACGACTGCACCCAATAGTAGTTATTAGTACATAAGTAAAAGTAAATGCTTAACAAGTCCCGCATTCAATGCGTGCATTGGACAAAAACATCACTGTTTTATCTGATTATACAAAGTACCTGTGTGCAAGGTTCTCGTTTTTTTTTTATCTCATTCAGTGAATCAATAATTTGAATACATAGATGTGAAATAATACAATATGCCCTTTTCCACCTTTGTACCTTAGGATGAAAAATGTCCTTGAATTTGATAATATTTCGAAGTGTTATAGCGAGGGCTTGGCCGCGCCCCTTGTATCAACTATTATTTTCTATCGTTCCTTGCATTTTTTTTCTTCATCGTCATACACGTTTTGCAAAGAAAGTAATAAATAATATACAGAGAGAAAGAGAGAGAAAGAGAGAGAATAAAAGGCAGGATCCATCCATACGTCGATTCTATTGAGGAGAAAACATCTGATAATGGCGTGAAGAGAAGCTGAAAAGGCATTTGCATGTTTTTTTCTTTGCGCTTCTCCGTCCTCTTCTTCTTCTTAGCAAATATACGCGGTCTGTGTTAAAATGCTTAATACTGTCTATTCTGTTTTTCCTCCTACATACATGAAGCGAACGAAAAGCATACGATTGGTACTCGTATAAAGTCCATGTTTTTCTCTATTATATGCGCCGATATTTTATTGTCGGAAAGGAAAAAACAAGGACAAATATGCACACCTCCTTCCCTATGTTCCACATAATAATGGAGAACTTCCGATAGTTTTGTTTTTCGAATCAATTTTAGATATGTCGATCCTATCGCGAGCTGCATTTAGTCATTTGTCATCGCTAAAAGTCGGCAGTGGAACTAGCCATGTGTTTCGTTTTACGCGCTCTCTACAATCTACTGCAACCGACTCAACACCTGACACGATGGATCTAGACAGCGAGAATCAACAAGAAGATCATGGGTACGAATTTGTTTTAGTTCGATATAGAATTTTGCAATTTGAATCGATTGAATAGAACCGGTTTTTACACTATGGTGGAGAAATTCTACGATCGTGCTGCTAAGATTCTCGAAGATAAATTAGTCGAAGATATGAAAAAAACTAAACTCACCGATGAACAAAAACAAACCAAAGTTCGTGGAATTTTAACGATGATGAAACCACCGAATTACGTTTTGTCCATCACCTTTCCCGTTCGACGTGACAATGGCGAATGGGAATTAATCGAAGCATGGCGTGCTCAACATTCGTTACATCGTACACCATGTAAAGGTGGTATTCGTTTTTCAACCGATGTCAACTTAGATGAAGTAAAAGCTCTAGCCGCATTGATGACCTTCAAATGCGCTTGTGTCAACGTGCCATTCGGCGGCGCTAAGGCCGGTGTGAAAATCAACCCAAAAGGTATACAAAGTCAACATATTCTATCGAGATAAAACCTACCTTTGCATTTAGATTGGTCCGAAGGTGAATTAGAACGTATCACTCGTCGATTAACAGTCGAATTGGCGAAGAAAGGTTTCATTGGACCCGGTATCGATGTTCCAGCTCCAGATATGGGCACAGGTGAACGTGAGATGGCTTGGATTGCTGACACCTACGCATCAACAGTTGGCTGGGAAAACATCAATGCCATGGCATGCATCACGGGTAAACCCATTTTACAAGGTGGTATTCATGGTCGAACATCAGCCACTGGTCGTGGTCTCTACCATGGTGTGAATAATTTTATTAACGAGAAGTTCTACATGGATAAAATTGGTTTGACAACTGGTTTAGTCGGCAAAACATTTATTGTTCAAGTATGTTCATAATTTCGAAATGCAAGATAATTTTGACTTGGAATTTCACAGGGCTTCGGTAATGTCGGTCTTCATTCAGCCCGTTATTTGACACGACATGGTGCCAAATGTGTTGGTGTACTCGAATGGGATGCAGCTATCATCAATCGAGATGGTATCGATCCCAAAGCACTCGAAGAGTATAAACTCGAACATGGAACAATCAAAGGTTTTCCTGGTGCTCAACCTTACGACAATGCGGATAAAAAAGAATTACTCTGCGAAGCGTGTGACATTCTTGTGCCCGCCGCTAGTGAACAACAAATCACATCTAAAAATGCACGTCGTATCAAAGCTAAAGTAAGCTGTCGATGAACATTTGATCGGCAGTCTTGATCGAATGAAATTTTCAATAGATCATCGCCGAGGGTGCCAATGGTCCGACAACTCCAGCCGCTGATAAGATTCTTCTATCGAAGAATGTTTTAGTTATTCCAGATATGTATATTGTAAGTATTCATTTGGAACACATGTTCTTTGAATTATTTCAATTGCGATAAAGAACGCCGGTGGTGTTACCGTTTCATACTTTGAATGGCTAAAAAATCTCAATCATACATCGTATGGTCGATTAACTTTTAAATATCAACGTGATACGAACTACTCACTTCTTGGTAAGATATAGAAAAAGTCGTGGGCGAAATCAGATAATTCGTCCTGTTTAGAAAGTGTACAAGGTTCATTAGAAGCTAAGTTTGGAAAAATGGGAGGCAAAATCCCTATTGTAAGTTCTCTTCGATGAACGATTCCTGTCGACATGCGCCTATTCCCTAGATTCCAAGTGACAACTTTTACAAACGCATGGCCGGTGCTTCTGAAGCTGATATTGTCCATTCAGGTCTCGAGCAAACCATGGAACGTTCAGCGCGAGCAATTATGCAAACAGCACAACGCTTCAATTTAGGTTTAGATTTACGTACTGCTGCCTACGCCACTTCGTTAGAGAAAATCTACAATGTCTATTCAGCTGCTGGAATGACATTCGGCGGTTAATCAAGCAAAACAGATCTTCTTATAAATTTCTTTTTTTTCACCCCGATGTTTTTATTTTAAGTCCCATAGGCGATAAAAAAGGAAGGAATGATTATTTGAGTCATTTTTTTTTATAGATAAAAGTAAGAAATGTTGAACGCTACCGTTCGTCATAATCGATCGTTATATCGATTATCCACTTTATCCTATCACACATCAGCGATATTGAATGCCGCCTCTCAACCAGCAGCACCACAACAAGCCGGTCCAGGGCATTTTGGATTTTATCGTCAAGTAGAACTATTTTATGATCGTGCTGCTTCAATTCTCGAAGATAAATTAGTCGATGATATGGTTAAATCAAAATTACCGGATGATATGAAACGTAAAAAAGTCAAGGGTATCTTGAAAATCATTAAACCATGCAATCACGTTTTGGAAATGCGCTTTCCCATACGCAAGGATAATGGAGAATTACACATGATTGAAGCATATCGTGCACAACATTCTCAACATCGTACACCATGTAAAGGTGGTATTCGTTATTCATTGGATGTGAACTTAGATGAAGTAAAAGCTCTAGCTGCATTGATGACATATAAATGTGCTTGTGTGGATGTACCATTTGGTGGTGGTAAAGCTGGTGTGAAAATCAACCCAAAAGGTATAAAAAGTCAACATATTCTCTCGAGATAAAACCTACCTTGACCTATCTTTGCATTTAGATTGGTCCGAAGGTGAATTAGAACGTATCACTCGTCGATTAACAGTCGAATTGGCAAAGAAAGGTTTCATTGGACCCGGTATCGATGTTCCAGCTCCAGATATGGGCACAGGTGAACGTGAAATGGCTTGGATTGCTGATACTTACGCATCAACAGTTGGCTGGGAAGAAATTCATGCCAATGGTTGTGTCACTGGTAAACCAATTCTGGTCGGAGGTATTCATGGTCGAACATCAGCCACTGGTCGTGGTCTCTACCATGGTGTCGATAACTTTGCCAACGAAGCTTCGTTCATGTAAGAGTACAAACAAGTCGTTTTGTTTTTTTTTTGTACAACAGTGTATGTTCAGGGGCATGGTTGGTCTTTTACCCGGTCTTGCTGGAAAATCGTTCATTGTTCAAGTATGTATACTAATGTATGTCGTTATTGTTTGAAGAAACACTTGTGTTTGAAGGGTTTTGGTAATGTCGGTCTTCACTCTATGCGTTATTTGACACGACATGGTGCCAGATGTGTTGGTGTACTCGAATGGGATGCTGCTATCGTCAATCCTGAAGGCATTGATCCCAAAGCACTCGAAGACTATAAACTCGAACATGGAACAATCAAAGGTTTTCCTGGCGCTCAACCTTACGACAAACAACCTAAAGAAGATTTGCTCTGCGAAGCGTGTGACATTCTTGTACCAGCAGCAAGCGAAAGGCAAATTACTACTGACAACGCACATCGTATCCAAGCACGCATCATCGCCGAAGTAAATGATCTTATTTTCAGAGCTAAAAAATGAATACAATCCCTTCAATTTCTTATTTAGGGTGCCAATGGTCCAACAACACCAGAAGCTGATGTTATCTTACTGAAGAATAATGTTCTAGTAATTCCAGGTACGTGAAATACGAGTATTTATCAGCTGTGAGTAAACTGACAATTATTCTAGATTTATATATCAATGCCGGTGGTGTCACAGTTTCTTACTTCGAATGGTTAAAGAACTTAAGTCATGTTAGTTATGGTCGATTAACATTCAAATATCAACGTGATACAAACTACTCATTACTAGGTAATTTTTGACATCATCTTATTCGGGTTAACCTTTGTTTCTTTCTAGAATCTGTTCAAAGCTCATTAGAAGCTAAATTCGGTCGTATGGGAGGAAAGATTCCAATCCATCCCAGTGACGAATTTTTGAAACGCATGGCTGGTGCATCTGAAAAAGATATCGTTCATTCGGGTCTTGAACAAACGATGGAGAAAGCAGCACGTGCTATCATGCAAACAGCTATGCGTTATAATCTTGGTCTTGATATCCGTACAGCAGCATATGTGAACGCTATTGAAAAGATTTACAATGTTTATGTTAGTGCTGGCATCACATTTGGATCATAGATTTGTTTTCTCATCCTTCCCATTTGCTTTTCACACGCAAACTTATAAAACAGAACAGAGAAGCATTGCTTCAAACACAGTTATATTCTATCAGTCTATTTTTCGTTATTTTAACTCACGAAATTTTAACTTCATATCTTACAGCATATTGTCTATCCTAAATGATCGTTTGGATCGATGATTTTTTTTTCTCTGTAGAATTTATTTCGAAAAAATAGAAAAAAAAGGTTGAATGACGACTTAATTATAAAAAGAAAAATAAGCGAATAGATTACAATAGACATAACTATGGAATTTTGCTTAGTAGATTATGTTCCACTGCGTCGATTCTCTTCTGTCCTACTTGTCTTGCTGTAATTGATCGTGTTCGATTAATTATTAACAAGGCTTGATCGATATCGAATTGGCACAGTCGCAGCAATAAGTAGGTGATGGCACCGGTTCGATGTAAACCAGCTGCACAATGAATGATCATTTTTACAGGTGCGCTTTCGGTACTGTTCAAAAGAAGTTCACGGATGGCCGGTGCGCGTTCAATTAATAAATCTACTGTTTCTTGTGATGATGCGAATACTGATAATTCAGCACCTTCGATTGGAAGATGTAGCGACTGAATACCAGCGGATTGTACATGTCCGCAGATCTTTGTATTCTTATTTTCCTTCTCGTTAATCAGAGAGAGGATGTGAGTCACACCTAAATCTTTTCGAAATCGACCTAAATCACGTCGTCCTGGTAATGGCCAACACGCAATTTGTGTATGAGCTGAAATGGATACGAATTGCGGTTCTTTAGGTGCTGGTAATGACGGAATAGATTCATGATCATCACGGTCGATGAAAAATATATCTCCTAGAAGTTGACAACGAATTTTGCGGAGAAAATCTTCGTAAGATTCATTGACATCTTGTACAAGAATCTTCAGTTGATATTTATATATCCTATTATTCGATGAGAATTGTCTATTCAAGATTAACGAGGATAATTGCGAATGTTGAACATCTTTTAAAATGATAAACATCGCGTAGTCAGTCCGTTGATAATGAATGGCCGTCGATAGATAACGATCGATCATATCTTGATTACAAACCGAAGAAACATGACAGTTATTTTTGGAAATGGGTAGATAATTCTTCGAACAAAATTCCTGAAATGCTTGCAATTCCTCTTCAGTGCTTGCCGCAATTCCAAGTCCATAATCGTCACTTTCATCTGGTTTGTTATCGATTGTACTCAACGTTTCGATACCTTGTCTTAAGATGTTAATTAGCCGAATAAGTTCATCTTTAGAATATTCTTCCAGTGCCTTGGATTCATTCGGCAAGCAGTTAAAAGCTTTGAAAAACAGCTTTTCGTACGTTGTCATAGTCTGATTATATTTTGTTGTTTTTCTTTCTCTTCCTCTTCGCACTATATATATATATATATATGCCTAACATTGATGCAATAACAGTCAATTTGAATTAGCTGATGAAAGACACGTGAAGTGACGTAAGAATTGGCTGAGAAAAAAAACTTCTGTTTGACTAACCCATAGTCGAAGTTCAATTGCACTTAGTTATGATAGACGATCGTAATCTATCATGTAATTCTATCATATATACACAAGACGAGATGTTGATGTTACGAGCCTATTACTATTTGGCGTACAACATGTTGACCTTCTGTGGTTAATAGGAAATGTAGTTCGTTTGTTTTTTCGATTCAAACAAATTTCGTATCGAATTCGGTCGAGTTGAAGTTGAATAAACATTTGTTCACTTTTCATCTGTAAGTTTATACAGGAAGCAAATTGAACTGAAAATCGAATACTGTAATCATATTAAAAGTTTCAAGATTATATTACAGACTAAATTCAACGAAAGGAAGACAGAAAAGAAAGAGAACGACACAGATGATAATGCAAAAGGTTGAGTAACAGCCGAAGATGCATCGAATCACCGGTGGCTGTTAAGATCTTTCTATTTAAAAGAGAGAACGAAACGAGGTGCTAATCTAGATAATTGCCATTGATTTTATTACAAGAGTGAAAAAGAAGAAACTCCTGAGTTAAATTTTCAAACGAATTATTCACTCATCATACGGTGTCATTTGAACAATCTCATAAACATCATTATCCACATGAAAACGCAATTTCGATTTTTCCGATTGCAATCCGCAGCAGAAGCAACAGCTCAGTATTGTTGTGAATAAAGTTGCACCAACAGCTGCAATGATTAACCAAAATGGTAAGCCGAACCGTTCAACCTGAATTAACCAGGGATTCAAGGAACGAATCAAGGCGTCATCTTTAAATTCATATGTATAATCAGGTCGATAAAACCGTTCGTGTACCCATTCATATAGAAAGATACCCAAAGCTCCTGCACCACTTAAAAAACGATGCTAATGACATGAAACTAACAAATGCAAATGGGATTGAATAAAACCGCTCGACACAACTTATACAGAATAGAATTAATAAAGCCAGAAATGTTAATAATGGTGCAGCAANATGAAGATACGAACTGAGCTTTATGACTGACTTTGTACATGTTTTTCTTTCGATCGACGATCTTCATGGTTTTGTGTGGTGTCCATCGTCCGATATCGCCTGTGTGTAGCCAACCTTGTTCATCAATGGCTTCACGAGTCTTAGCCTCTTCCTTCAAGTAACCTTTAAAGACGGCTTTGCTTCGAAGACAGATTTCGCCAACACCGTCTTTGGCATAGTAATTCTTTTCTGGAACATCGACCAGTTTGACATGGTTCAGTGATGTGGGAATACCAGTTTCGCCGGATTCAATATCATGAACAGTCTGTGAGCAACCGATAACACATTCTGTTTGACCATAACTTTCAACGAAAAAACAAGAGAAAGCCGCACGAGAGAATCGGCACACTTCAGGTGAGAGAGGCGCACTTGAGGAAATAACACGATTGACTCGGCCGCCAAAGCCTTGACGAACTTTTTCAAAAATTAACTTGTCCCACAGAGTGTCCTGAGAAAATTTTCCTCGCCGAATTAATGCTAATTTACTTCGAACAGCTAAGTGAAACAGAAATCGTCCTAGAAGACCTTTCTTGCGTAATTCCAGCCGAACTTTATCGTAGAGCTTATTTAACAGACGTGGCACCATTGTAACAATCGTTGGTTTGAAGTCTCGGAAATCATCAGCCAATTTATCTACTTTGCCTTGCCAAAAGCCAATTTCGCCTCCTAGAAAAAAGTGTCAATAAATCTCGCTGACTTATATATTGGAAAAGAAACTCGTACCTAAGTAACTAATAGAAATGATTGTCCCACATCCAAATAGATGCGCTAATGGTAGGTAATTCATAACTCGTGGCGTCTCAGTTACTTGCAATATGTCAAGAGCCGATGCGATTCCATACATAGCATAAACGAAGTTTTCATGAGTGACAATACAACCTACAAGTTTCAAAATGAAAATGATGTTGAAAATACAGTTGAAAGAGATTACCTTTAGGTTCCCCGGTGCTGCCACTTGTGTACATAATCATCGCTGTATCACTAGGTTTTGGTGGTACAATCGGAACGAGACGGTTTCTTCCGTTTTCTTTGAGATTTTCGAATGAAATTATATCTAGATTTTTCTCTTTTGCTTGACTAATCAATGCCTCTGTTGGCTCAACGAAACACACGATTGTTTTTAATGCTAATGTATCATCTTTCCATTCGATCAAATTTTTCATACGTTGAAGATCATCAGCAAAGATCAACTTGACCTCACTTTGTTTGATAATAAATCGAACACCATCACGACCAAGTGAGTCATAGATACCAATGGGAACCATGGAGTACGGCCAAGCAGAATAGAGACACAGTGCATAGTTCACCGTGCACGATCCATAAATACCGAAAAAGGTGTCGTTTTCTGGTTTAAGACCAGTATTAATTATTCCACTACCGATTTCTTGAATCATTTTGTTGACTTGGCTACAAACGATTTATGTAGTTCTTCTTTTATTTCTATACAATTTACTATTACTTGTACGAATAGGATTTGAACGGTTCGCCAGATGATTGCCGATATGAAAATTGTGGACGATCACCACCTATCTTGACACCATGTAAATAACCCTCATAGATTGTTTGTACTTCAAATGTTTTCGGATCTTGCAAATGGTCTGCAAAATCAGGATGTGCATAAACATGTTCTTTTGAATCGATTTCGACAGCACCTTTGGGTGGTAATGGTTTTTTAAATAAAATTTCAAATAACGAAAAGAAATATTGAAGTAAAATACTAATTACTACGACTAATATAGTGACTACGATAATAACCATTGTTTATAAATACAATCCTTGTTAATTGTCTATCGAAGTATATTGCTGGATGAGAACGTGATTTTTTGCTTCGAAGAAAGAAACGAAGACGAATATTTTCGTTTATTTTATATCACTTATCAATTAGATAAAGAGTACAAAGTGTGAAAAATATTGGTGCAACAATTTTCTTTTCATCTAGTAGCAAACAAAAAGATTATATAGACTTTCTTCTATTCACGTATCACCTTCAATATTACTCTATATATCGTGTTGGTTACGCACACATCAACTATACTCATTTAATAGATGACAAATAAGAAATCTGGGCATCCTATCTATTCGGAGATAAAAAAAAAGAAGAAGCAGAGCGTCGAGTGCGAAAGTCAATATTAACAATTGTACTTTGTAATTTCATATTATCTCGCATACTATTTTTTTTTCTTTCACGTCTGTGAAATTTTACTCAGCTGTCATCGATACAATGATGAAATGAGGAGATCACCGATGACGTCTCAATAAGGCAATTACGATACCATAGTAATCGATCGATATGCGTATCTATCCGCTTATTCGATAACGCTCGTCTGTTTCGTTTTTCTTCTCATTTCTGTTATTCATCCGACACATGCTAATCGACAGATCAATACTACAGAAGACAAGGTGATCACCATCGATTGCTGTAATCTTTTCGGAATATCAGATTTCTATTCGAGTCGATCGTAAGAAGAAAATTTTTCATTTAATTTTTGATTTTATTTTGTAATCTTCGAAAATAAAATATACACAACACAACGATTCAAATAAAATCAAAATAACAATAATACAAAATAAGAAACAAACGACTTGTTCAATTATTTTCTATGAAGATAGAAGTAAAATAATACAGACACTACTCTTGATTATATTTCAAACCAAAAGATCTAAACTATAGAAAATAGAGTCTATTATCTTGATTGGTTGATGCAGGAGTTCCATCGCTGGCTAAGGTGCTCATTTACCGAACATTAACACGTTCAAGAGCTTTAACAGCTGATGATGGCAAATCTTGATTGAGTTCTTTGTACAGCGATTTCAACACTTGCAATTCCTTCATCAAGAGATCGACTCGATCGGTTAATGAACGATTCTCATTTGCTAATTCGACCATTTTGACCTCTGTAGTCTTTTGTTTTTCTTTGGCTTTCATTCGACTTTTCTTGACAGCTTCGTTATTCTTGACACGGCGGTCGTGATACTCGTCCGAGTACTTCACGACTTGTTTGTTACCAAATCGTGCAAGCTTTCGAACTGGACCACCGCTTTTCTTCAAGCCACGTCGATTGATGTCATCGCGTTCATTATCATCCGATGTAGAGTCAACTGAAGATGTGGTACTCTCATCATGATTTGATGAGGTCGTGGTACTCTCATCATGATTTGATGAGGTCGTGGTACACACGTCAGTAGTCATACCGACGTGTGGAAAATAGTTGTTGTTGTTGTCGTCTTGTTCCATAGACATACCAGTATACTCTTTATAGGTCATATCCAATTGCGGAGACAGTAATTGATCAAATGAATCAAACTCTAATTCGGTCGGCCAACTATCGTCGAATTCGGAGGGCAATGGAGTATTGTTGACGAGTTCGTCGAATAAAGGATCGTTTAATGATAAGTCGAAGGAGGGTTCAGGAGTTGCGAAGTCAAATGAGAAGGAAGGATCAACGTTCGTTTGAAGAGCAGTTGTTTGTGGTTCGTCGGAGTTTTGTACCTGAAGTGAACAGAGGTATTTTAATTCGGTCTTGATTTTTGTAATGGCTAGATTTACAGCTGCTGTTGATGATAGGTTATCATCTGCTTGCTGGCTAGCGCAACTAGTATTCTCTGACTGTTCTATAGGTTCATGTTTGATTTTAGCATAAGTATGGTCGCCCTTACCGATTGAAAAAGTGCTGGTAGTTTTGCCGGAACCTGTGTTGTTTTTCGGCTGAACAAACCAGTGGGTCGGTGTAGTGTGAGACATACTGTTGAATTGTTAGCAGACGAAGAGAAAGCAATCGGTCGTTTATCAGACACGGACAGTGTAGCTGAAAAATTGCGATTGTGAGTTAAAATCTGAACCTGCAGTATATGCGCTTCGGAGAAAGAAAACTGAGCGAAGATGTCTACCTGTGCTGTGCAGTAGTAGAAATGCTAGTGATTTCGAAAGTTGCTCTCCTTTTTATACCGATAGATTTCTTTTTCCCTCTCGCAAAGCGATTTCGCAATTACTCGCAGTGTAATTGCATCACTTTTCTCTCAGTGTTGACTCAACGTTAAGGTTTTTTCCGCTGCTATCACGCGCTATTTACCCTCAAAAGGAAAAATCTATTCGGATTGCCAGCAAACAGAGGATATTGCCGATAGTTAATAGTTAACCTAAGAAGAAAAGGAAACTTACCGATGAAACTGAATATGGATTGCGATTGCGTTTGGAGAATATCGTAGACGAATTAGTCTAGTTTACGAGGCATAATATGTGTGAAGTAGAATAAAGATAAATAGCGAATATCGGAAAGTTATGTTCACGTAAGCATTGGTTTTCAAAATGAAGGCGAAACTAGAAATTCTTCGATATATATATATATGTGTGCATTTAATGGACTTGCATGCTATATAGAAAAAGAGAGAAACCGACGACGCAATTACACGTCATTGCACAATAACATGAGTCATGAAGAACGAGAAAAAGAGAATATTGTCTCTCCCGGCATGTATTTTCTCGTTTTTTCGCGTTTTTTGAGGTATGATGCAAAAGATAAGTCCATACTGATTTTTTTTCCTTCGTCCAGCAAAAATTCACGATTGGTTCACAACTCAAAAAGAAGAAAGAAAAAAATATTCATAGTTATGACGAAATTACAGAGCGCGTATAGGAAGTAATGATGAAATACCTTATGCAAAGCCAAACTAAACTGAAAGCGTGGGTGTAAAGCGTAAAAGTTCATCGAAACTGATGTGACAGCTAGTGAGTTCTGTACTAACCAACAGTGTTTCAACGAAATCGTTCATCATATGTAAATCTTGACATTCATGTCTGATCTCAATTTGCATGAATACACGTTTGTTTCTTCCTACAAAGTGACCCTGAATATATAAAATGAAATCGTGGACATCTTACACATACAAATTGTTCGTCACAAATCAAAATGAATGTGAAGTTCATTTAAGAGAAAAACAGATCCTAGAAAATCGACGCTTATAAAGATCCAATTATGACTAGCTCAGCAAAATCCAGTTCAGAATCTACTAGCGGTTCAATATCATCATCATCAGCGGCCGGAACGACGAGTCCAATCACTCAACAATTGGATAAACGTCTTTGGCGTTCAATAGATTTTTTGCATTTGATCAGTATGATATTTGCCTTGTATACGGCGATTATTGTTGCCATATTACGAAATGAATTATTTGAACAGTAAGCTCACATATTCAAGGTTTCATTATAAATCTCTTTATTCACGTATGGATGTATACTTTTGCTTCGTTAGATGTCCATTGTATGCTAAACTTTATCTTCGCGATAATGCAACATATTTCTCCACCGAGACAATCGACCGACAAACCGTATGGGGTAGTGTTTATACATGTGAATTTGCCTCGTTTGCATATCTATCTGCATTTGTTCTTTCATTTATTTCACTTTGGCTTCACATTGTTTTTCGACGACTTATTCGAACTGACCGTTTGCTTCGTTTACCGATAGGAATAGTAATATTAATATTTACTCTTGTGACAATTTCAGCAACTATCGTCGTTACTGATGGTGTTATCAAGTTTTGTTTAAATAGTCAAAATGTTATCTGTTCGTCAGGAGATGAAGATCTGTTCGCACGATCACGATGGAAAATCTTCACTTTACCCGCTGGTAAGACTAATATTTTTGATTGAGAAGAGAAAGATTTGACTATGTTAAGGTGGTTGGTTAACATCAATATCGATCTTATTAAATACAATCGCTCGTCTATTTCAACTTTTTGTTAAACCGAAAAAGTCATCTGAAACATTGAAAACTCTTGTTCAACAATTGATGACAAAAAAATATCAAAATAAAGTCGAGAAAGAATCCAGCGAATATGGGTCACAGATCTCGCAGTCATCTCGAGAACAAATGCGCTCACCAACACCGACACGTCGATACTCATCAGATCAAGTTCACAATCATGAACTTTATCCTTACTATCACCCTTCCATTCCTCAATATCGTCAAATCAAAAAACGATCCTGTTTTCAACGCTTCTGTTGCCCGTGCTTTCGCCGTCGCCGACGACAACGCTCGTTCCATGAGGTATACCGTCCACCTTACGTAATTCCTGACGAATATTTCCATCGATTGAATCACTTGAGACAAAACGGTAGCGCTTCACCCAATTATTGCCACCATCATTCGATGCGTCATCCTGTGGAGCAGCAAACTCAAACAGATACGGACTACCAACCTAAAAGTATTGAACCGGCAAATGAAACACCTTTTGTCGGACGACGTCGTAGTTCTGTTCGATTCGAAGATGAAACACCACCGACACCAATTCCGATAATTAAAGAAAAAGTAGAACAAAAGCCAGAACCGGTCGCTGAAAATGACCTACAAAGAAACGTTTCTTTTCGAAACAACGAAGATGACCTTTGGACAACTATCACTATAAATACCAAGCAATCTGTGCCAATCCAATCAAGCCATTTCAATCGACTATCATTAGAAAATCTATCCTGTATTAATACATCGATATCAAATAATGACAATGGTGTCACTGCTATACAAATCAATAGTACACCTTGCACGGAACCAAAACAAGTAGAACCCAATGAGAAAGAAATACCAGCTCCACCGCCTTTGTTACTTCTTCCATCTTCATCAACGACAACAAGTTTTCTACGGAATCGACAAAAATCACAGATATGTTCGAAACCGTTACGAACTCGGTACAAATCGCCACCAGCGCCCCCCTCACGAACTCTAACCACATCAAGTGAAGATGATACTGATCTACGAAATATAAAGCCTGTTGAAGAAATTAATCGACTAGTAGCTGATAAATACAATTATAACGATATATCCAAAGCATTGAAATCGAACGTAGAACGCTTGAAGAGCACATTTCTTGCTCAAGAAAATCAATCTCATTATGATAAACCTAGACATATTCGTTCGAATGCGATACAGAAAACCCACGAACATTCGAGTGATTGTTAATAATTGTAAATTTAGATTTCTCATGTCGAATATGCTTTTTCAATAAATGCTATCTCTTAGATATTCATGTCAATTTGTTGTCTTATCAATGCATAAAGCTCGAATGTCAGTTGTCATTACAGTATTTGCATGTTTATATAACTTCCTCTCTCTTAATGTACATCATTTGGTGACTGTAATTCGAATATCTTCATCGTCCGCCTCCTGTTCCTCTTTCTTTGTTTATAGGAGTAATCTTTTTTGTTCTTAAAGCCAGATGTGTTTAAGGTCGTATTAACGGTTTTAATATGTATATCTATATATAGTGTCATTTGTGATTTGTTCGTCATAAAGAAATAGTTTTCAGTTACAGGAATGGATCGAGGCTATTAACCAGACTAAATAATGTGACTTTCTTCAGCGATTACTTGCCTACGAAAGCATTGACTAGACGTTGATTTGATTCGCATTCTCTTTGCGATACATTTTGTCATCGATTATTTGATTATTATCGCCACGCAACCGATGGCATGCATATGAAGACGATCTCTACTTACATGAATGTAACATTGACGATCGTGTGATAGGATCTCATTGTGAGACAAATAAAAAAAAAGAATGGAGACATCTCGGCAAGCATTTCTCTAGTTAGATTAAAATCAGTCTGTTGATGACATTGTCCAGAAGCAAAGAAAAGATTCAATGTCACAACAATATCACACATATATCTATTAATTATCTTATGGGTAGCACAACTAGGCTTCTTCTTTTATCTGTACTATCCTCTTGCATTAAAAGGATGTACTCTTCAATGCATCTCTACATAGCAATTAGAAGTCAAGGTACGCTCAATTCAGCTTGTGGTTTCAATGTTACAGAACTCAAAAAATAAAAAAATAACCTCCGTCGCCTTGACAAAACAATAAGCAAGTGATACAAAAGAGCAGAATTACATTTGCACAAGTGCGCTAATCAAGATAATATATATATATATATGAGTTATTGATGATTATATGCTTGATTACACGTATGCATCTTAGAGAATAACCCGTCTTTTCTCTCATCATTTGGTCCCAAAAAGGATTAGAAGAAGACTAACATTGCCCTATTGTTTAGTCGATCTATGTTTCAATTGAGTTTTTTTTTGTCACCATTTTTTTTTCACTTAATCGTCGACTGCAGTCTATTCCCTGAAGAATCCTTTCTCTTCTCGTCCAATTACCAATTTCCAAATGTTTCCCATGATAGTTACGATCTATTTAACTCTGTGGGTTCGCTTTCTTGTCAAGTAGATGAAATCATCGTTTGTATAATGCCATCGTTCTTTGTAATTAGTCGAGATTGTTAATTGCTACGCCAGAATATCTAATGAATGCGCTGAGCCAAAGAGAAAGTTCAATCGATGTTGTTTCCTCTTCTTTGTTATGTTTAGCATTGTCAATATAGAACTAATTATAAAAATATTTCCGAAACTGAAGTCAAAAAACAAGTTTTTCTTACAGTTCAAGGCTTGTTACCATCGTCTTTTCTTCTTTTCCGTCTATTTTCTCATTCGGATGAATCATTGGAGAACTTGCACTGATCTTCAGCTTGTTTCCTTTTTTTCTTCTTTTTTTTTCCGTTGAAATAAATGGTTATTGACACTAGGGTGAAGAAGACAGCGGGAGAGAAACATGAGAGCGAAGAGATGGAATCGTCATTAGAAGCTTTCGGACTTACTAATATTCCAAGCTCTATCGTTCCGTCTGTTGCTCGAAAGTCGACCTAAACCGAAGGCAAACTGTTCAATTCTAATCAGTCCTTCATCTTTGATTTCCGATGAAATTTTAATCATTAAGTGAGAGAACAATGAGTATATTAGATGTATTAGTTTGACTTGCTCATTTATATCTCGCTAACAAGTATTGTTTTTCTCTTCGGATGTCCTTGAGTCCATAAAGATGAGGTTTTTTTTCATATATATGAAAACAACATTTTTTTTGTTAATTGAGAGAGAAATATAAGTAATAGTAGAGCTGTCATGAAGCAAAAAAAAACTGGTTAACTAAATTACACGTTGTCGTGTCATACGATTTTTTTTTCTTTTTTAGCTTCAATGTATTTTCTAGACAGTTCGAAAGAGGAGAAGAAGAAACAAACCCGAAGACGATTAGAAGAGCAAGTTCTTCCCCTCTCATCGGCTTTTCTTCTCATCTTTCTCTTACTTGATGAGAAGATTTGTTGCGACATCACTTTGTCGTCCTAGTTCAACTAGTTGTTTATGTATAACGCTAAACAAAAAAGAAATTATCTCATCCAGCTGACGTGCCTATCCGAGTTTGAATTAATCGATTTTTTCTCTTCTGTTTTTTCAGTTTGTTTTCTTCATAATGTATGACGACTAATGTCGCTCAATTGTTCACTCGAAACCAATTTAATCGATTCGCGGACAGTTTCGATTAAGTACATCGTAGGCGGATGGCTAACATTGATCTTTTGTATGTCTGGTAAGACCGGCATTGTTATTTCTCAAATGAATTTTTCAACATTTTCCTTGCAGGTATTGTTACTAATATTTTTACAGTTGTCGTTCTGTTACATCCACGCATGAGAAACAGTTCGACACATGTATATTTATTAGCATTATCCATATGCAATATTTTTCTACTCGTTGGCTTAACAATAAACTATTCAGTGAAATCGATTGGTTAGTAGGAATTTGTTTATCTGAGATTTGGGTCATCGCGTGCATTTTCACGGGATTTCGTCACACATCTGAGCAGGTGTGCTACTACCCCGACAAAGGAACGAAAGATCTGAATAGAAATCTACGACCGATAATTTAAAGCTCGCTTATCATTTGATTTTGTTACTAAACAGATGAATTTTCTATTTGTTTTTTCTAGCATCGTATCCTGCACTACTGTCATATCTGCATCGACCAGATGCGATCAACCGAAATGCATTACTAGCTAATAATTATGAACAATTCTATGCTCGCGTGGCACCATATACGACTCCACTACTTTCCATGCTATTACTTTGCAGCACTTACTTAACTGTGCTTGTAAGCGGTGATCGATACTTTCTTATTTGTTGGCCATTACTTGCTGAAAAGATTCGTACACGGAAAATCGCTCTGCTTTTAGTCTTGCTCGTTTTTGTACTCGTCAACATCTATATAATTCCGCACTGGTTTGAATATCGTACCACAAAGCGAACCGAACAACGGTCGGGAATGGCCGCGAACTCAACGTCGAATAAAAGCGAAGTGGATGTGTTAGCCGAATTGACCTATACACCTTTAGGTTTGAATACGATTTACTTAGCAATTTATCGGTTTTATTTAAACGTTCCAATAACATTTGTTATTCCATTCACATTACTAACTCTCTGCAATGGCAGTATGATTCATCAATTGCTGTTGATCAAAAAGAAGAAGAAACGTCTTGGTCATCGCATGAAAGCAGATATTCGCATCACCATTATGTTAATTGTGATCGTCTTGACATTTATGCTATGCCGTTCAATGAATTTATTCGTCAATTTACTTGTACAATTATCACCATGTTTGAATACAAATTCGTTACATCGCTTTAATGCATTTGCTAATTTGTTAGTTGCCTTCAATGGTTTTGTTAACTTTTTTCTATTCGCTGCATTTGGTCAACGCTTTCGTGAAATGGTTTTATACATATTCTTCCGTCACGGCCAATATCCATTTCCAGCACAACACGATGGAATGAGCACACATCGATGTCATCCTGTCGGTGTGCCGGCATCCGCCGACATGTTACGACGACAATCAAGACGACTTTCAGTCACTGACAACGACGCTTGGGCAGCCATGGCACGGCGACGTTCGTCCGCATCGATGGCTGTTTTGTATAGTTCATCTGAGATGCGAGCGCGAACATTATCAAATTCTTCGTATTTACATAGTCCAACAACGGTGCAAGGGATGAAAACTTCAACTGCCGATACTATTCACTCACCTCTCCTCAGTTCCTTCAATCATAAATTAACTGTTTCTCACCCTCACCATTATCAGAGCAGTTCCAGTCCAACTTCAACGAATACAAAATCAGTTAGCAATGAAACACCGACACCGCTTCATGTCACATTTGTTTAATACGCTTTTCTGCATTTCTTCTCTTTCGCTTTCTTTTCTATATCGCCATCTCGTTGATGTATTTTATTTTTTTACGAAATAAAGTAATGACGGTGATTATCAAGAACAAGTTTTCCGATGTATATTTCCCTTTATCGGATATCCGCTAATTATAGAACGGCGTAAAAAATCTATGCGTATTTATTTGGCATCCGAGCTAATTGCTATTATTGTGATAAGCAAAAAATATCTATGCGTTCGATACAATATGTCAAAACAACAAGATTTTGCTGTGGAATTTGCAATGAGACATGATGAGAGTTATCGACAAGCGAAATGAAGCATGAACATAACTTCATTTGCTTGCTCGTTTTATTTGATAACATTGAATTCGTAAACAAAAACAATAATTTGACATCAACCACTCAAACCGATTTTTCGGCCGAATTTTTCCGTTAAATTCGGTTTTTTATCTGAATATCGTTCGACTACTTTTCGTTCTCTAAATAAAAGATCCACTGTCTTGTAAAGATATGAGTAAACGTTCGAATACGTACGGAATATATTTAAACGCTTCAGTCCAAGATCCAGTTTGTTTCAAAGTCATGAGAATATTGTAAACTTGATCAAGGGTTAAAGATTTGCCACTGCCACCACCGAATCTAATCAGAATACAAATGTTATATTGATGTTCATCGTTTTCGACAACGACATACTTAACATATCTATCGATGGGGAATCGTTGGTGTTTGATATTTTCACGTTTTGCTTTAGCGAACGTTAGCGGTTTTTTGCCAGCTAAATGCATAGAAAAACGACTTGAATCAGATTCATTTTCAAATCGGAATTTTCTACACACTCCGATCGGCAATGCCACCAACGATATATACAGCATCATGATCGAACGATGTCATCTCGTTCTTGGAATCAGGTGATAGATAAACAAGTTTCTCGTGCGGGAATAAATCCAGATAACTCGATGATGTCACTTCAAAACATGTATTCTCTAATGATGCACGACGATCAAATTCAGCTTGTAATCGTCCATGAGGTGATAAATTACACAGATAGATGAATGACGGCGAATGATATCGTGTTATATCAGCAAAAAGATATTGTATTTGATCGACTAGATTGGATAAATAATACTCCCGCGCATGATCTTGCTCAAAACTGCAATCGATGACCATGTTCTCACCGAGTCGCGCCGGTGCGAGTAACAACTGTTCGCGTATGAGTTTTTCATTATGACGACCTAGATGACGGAATATTGAGGAATAACCGGGATAGTTCGTTGGTGGTTTGCCATCAGCAAGTAAAGCAGCACGACGTTTCGAAGCTTCAGCTCGGCGAATATCATTCGAAGCCACAATCGCAGCACGACGTTTACGATGCAGCTCACGCAGAAACAGATATCTAAATTCGATTGAAATATAGTTTTCATCGATTGCATGCCTTCGTACTTTGTCTTCAACGACTTTCAGTCACGGAACTACGCTGCATTACTGCTATGATAGTATAAAGTAAGTTAACTTACGCATAGATCCTCTTCCGAGATTCAATCGAAGCGGCATCAAGCAACTCTTTCCAATGTCCGTCAGGAATGACATCCGGTACGCGATCACCAGCTTCCCTCAATGTTTGAATTTCTATAGGAAAAGAGATTTGATTCGATGAAGAATGACTTTAATCTAACCGATTTCGATAACATGTCGTCGCTGCTCTTCATTTAAATCCGTAAAGCCTTTACGATCACGTAAATATGTCCACAACCATTCATTATCACTACCATCGTTCTGCTTTGCTGTTGATAGGAGTCGTCTTTGATTCGATGATACTAGCGACGCACTCGATAGACAATATTGTGACTGTTTCAATAATTTCCATGAAATCACACGAGATAGCATCATCATTAAAAATTCTTTTGATGAGAGAGGACGAATATCTTAGAATATCCATGAAATACCACGATTCGAATCTTTTTATCTTATTAAATCCAGTCTTTACAGAGGTCGTGCAATTTCAGAGTTGCATTTCCGAAATACAGTTTGCAAAAATTGACTCGACTCTATTCTGTTTTTTTAGCAAATAGAAGTGTCGATAATGTAAAACTTATTTCTATGCATTTTGAGTACAGCGAGTATTGACAACAAGCACCCTGCGGGTGTTCTTAGTACTACTTAGCAGTTCATAAATACAACACCGGAAGTATGCCAACTTTCCCAATATCGTTTTTGTTGCGCTTCATTATCCCAAGAAAAATAAATAGAGATTAATTAATCTTATCATTTCTATGAATTATCGTTGATTGATTTTCATAAACATCATCTCAATACATTTCTGATCGAATGAAAATGAAAGCAATCGAGAGTTGCCATCGATATTTTTCTTATTCGATCAAGATAACATCATGTGATGCACATTTGTTCATTTTATCAGCAACAGATGAACATATGTAGAGATCAACGCTACGGTTGATTTACGATTAAATTAAATACGATAAGAATAGTTCTTATTGAGAACTGCTTTTCTTATTCAAAGTTCATCATGCCCTTTAGTGACAGGTTCACTCGTTTTTATGTTCCTGGGTAAGTAACGAAGCATCTTTTCCGTGACGATAATTACACTTTAATGTGAAGTTATCGACGACTTACATCAGCAAGCAGGCTGTGATATGACTTTGATTTTATCACAACATTTCACAGACTGTGTACTGATAGGAATCGCCATGTTTAGATGACAAGAAATTCAAGTTCGATGTATTACCTGGATTGCATATGATGAATGTTCGTTTCATGTCAACAAAGCAAGACTGTGATATGAATGTCGATGTTCACATAGCACGATCTCTTTGCTGACACAAATAAAGAAGAAAATTGAAGAGAGAAATTTCCATGTGAAATAGAAAACGTCTTCCGGACACTCTGCAACTCGATGAGTCAGAGTTCGAATAAAAATGACAAATTGATTTGAAGATTGCTTTTCATTGAAGAAAATTCTCGCATTTTCTGCTTTGTATATATCTGAACAATGTATTGAAAAGGTCGACTAATGAATGTGCGCGTGCGTATATATATATATAGATACTTTTTCCAGACCTTGAATATTTAAACAATAAATAAATAATTGATTTTTAATGAAGAAAGCCAAAAAGTTCTTGAAGATTAATTTATCTGCGTTTGAACAGAATCAAAATAAACAAACTTACTCGCTTGTGAGAATTTTGCCATTACTACATGAACTTATCAATTCTTATTTCTGTTTGGTGCTTCCACTATAACTATTACTATTGCTGCTTCTCCTCGTCGAGATAGAGGCAAGCTGAATGATGTGATGATGCGCTCGCGGCGTCGGCTGCAATGCTGTGCTGTCTTTCCTTCTTTCTCTTTCTCTCTCTCTCTCTCTCATTCGTATCTCTTTCTTGTTCGCTTCTCTCCCGATCGTCGATCTTCTGTTCTTCATCGATACAAAAATAGATAGAGGCAGAACATGTCTGTATGCCAGTTTTCTCTCGTTTCTTCTTTTCCCCTCTCTTTCTGTGCGTTGCGTGCGCGCGCGCGCGCTCTCTCGTTCCCTTTTTTATGTTATTATTGACCTATTCGCACTGGGCACACGATGAAGAAAAGAGGGGTGGGATGTAAAAGAAAGAAGAGAACGCTTACCAGTTTGAGATTAATGATGTGGTCGTGTGATCGGTCGAATTTGTTTTTATACATGTTTGAGAAAGAAATAGATAGATGAATAAGAAGAAAGTATAGTGCTATCGTATGCTTCTATGTTTGTATATGCACATACTTCTTGTTTTCACATGTTCGTCTTCTTACTTTTCTTCTTCCATCGTTCTGACGCCAATAACATTTGCGCCCGAAACAAGACACCAATTTCGACGACTAGCTTAGGTCTAGAAGAAATGAAAGAGAGAAAAAAAAAGGAAAGAAAGAAGAAAAAACCCGAGAAATAAAGAATCGAATTTTCTTCTTTTCTCCTGATACCATCGGTCGTACCTACTACTACGACTAGCACATAACAATAAGACAGACGATGCTGAAAAAAAAAAGAAAAAGGAAAGAAGAAAAGAGTAGCAGGCAACAGTAGTAATTTTACCGAGTATTTTTGACAAGGGAATTGGGTTGGAGGGTAATAGCAATAGAAGAACGAGTCTATTAGGGAAAACACAAAGTTTATGATGATGTATATAGATGCATTGGTGGCCGACGTGCGTTCTCTAACTACTATCCATTTTTCTTACAAATGATGACGACAACAATAACAACAACCTGCACTAAGAAGAAAGAAAGAAACGAACTAGTTTATTTTCCTATCACTAATACTATGCATTATTCTCATCAATAATAACAAACATCTTCGACAGACTTGTTACATAATTCTAAAGAAAAAAAAACACTTGATAATAGTGATAGTACCGTTATGGCGAAAGGAAGATGATTTCATGCTATATATGTTATCCATTTGTAATTACTCATCTACATGCAGTTAGTGTAGACTGAGCTCGGGTGCGTGTGTAATAATCAAAGAAACTGTTGCCGCTTGATTCAATTTGACGCAGCAATATTGAAAGAGTGAGAGTGAATCTGTTCTAAATCAACTGAACACGGTGCGAGGAGAAGAAGAATAGTAGAAATTAAATTAGACAATATTTGTCACGCATCATCTGTCAAGCATCCATTTCCGTAGCAGATTGTACCTGGATAGAAACGTTCACCGAACAAAAAGAAAAGACTTTCAAATGGCATCTATAACGTGTTTTCATATTCGCATGAATATTTCATAGAAAATGTAATCAAGAAAGTAATATATAGCACAATTGATTTCTACTAATGCATTCATCCACTTGATTGAATTTCATCATAATTTGTTCATATATAATTCTTTTGATTTCTCTTCCATTACTCATTCAATACCGAAACGTAACTCGACAAACAACCGTGTGCGTGCCAAAGATTATACTCAAGTAACTTGATCTCTCTCTAAAGTTTAGTCTCTGTTTACAGTTTATCGCCAGTCGATAACAACGACACTAAAAAGAAATCTTAAACGGAAATATGACACAATAATAGTGTGACAATTGATTCTTTCCTTCACCTAATCCGATGATCAATAATAGACAATGACAGCTGAAGGTGAGAAGATCACGCCTGTTGTCTCTCTCTCCCTGACTGATGCTCACTATTTGAACCAACATTGACTAATAAACACGATATGTATACAGACTAAAGCTGAAACTAAACAGAAGTCGAACAATTGAAAACGATTATCATCAATGGTCTGTACGTCATGCACGAGTTCGAATCGATAGGAAACGAAAACGTGATGTTAGAAAACAATATCGAAGTTAATTATGTTTCACGCAGAGTCAGTTCGTACTATGGCTGATGTGTTCTTCCGATTGATTTAAAACTACGATATCATGTCGCACGTAATAAATACGATGAAGTTTTTTTTTTTTCTTTCGGACAAAAACCGTGCGACACACTGTGAGTCATAGACTAAAAGAATCTTTTGTCATTGCATAATATCGTTAACTTTTACTTGCTTTTCATTTCAATACTCGTAAAACGTGGCAAGGTGCGTTGTTTTTTTTCTTTTTCTCGCAAAAAAGTAAGCACGACTAACGAAAAACGACGTACCCAGATCTGACGAGTGTTTCAATTTTGCCTGAGTTACACTATTCACGGGTGATACAAGCAAAAGAAAAGAAGATTCATTTTACATGACGTCCACGTTACTAGTACCGACAGAGTCTGCAGGAGAGACATCGCTATCGAACGAGCTCTGTAGTTATTGTCTCGAAAGACCGCACACTTTCGTTTGTATGTGTGGTGAGAAATACGATTCTTTTTGCGTTCAATTGCACGCCGAACAGATCAATCAAGAATTTCAACATGTCCAAAACACTGTTGGTCAGCGTTTATTAGAAGTCGAACAAATAGTCGATGATGATGCGTGTGAGGATGCAAAAGCATTCGTAGAAAATTGGGTGCGTATTGAATACGAATGATGTTCAAGATACAGTACTTGCAATCTTCTTTTGTAGAAAGATCAACGCATGCAAATGATTAACGAGATTGCCGAAGGTGCGTTAATGAAGATACGAAAGCGCAAAGAGATTTATTTAGATTTTGGTTCATTGCGAAATGAGTTCAATTCCTTGTTCGACCCAACTGGAAAAGTTACCCATGAACAATTAAACACTATGATCAACTTACAACGACAAGTCTTGAAAAAAGCCGATCAATTACCAACTTTACTTCATGCACTTTTCAATCACACAAATTTAGATTCACAACTTCTATCTTGTTTAAATGTTGATATATCTAACCTTCTATCCGGCGATCCTCAAATAACAGAAATGTTACAATCATCCGTACGTTCTCCTGATCTTCACGTTACGATAACGAACAGTGGAAGTACTAACAACAATTATGCATTTAACTCAGTATTCCATCCTATGGAATCTTCAACAGACCCGACTATTCATCAATTAGTCAAAATGGATTCAATTGTACCAGCTCCTATTGCTACTACACTAATAAGCCTAGAAAACAACGCATCTGATTTTGAAGCAAACATTGAACCACAAGAATTGACAAATAATCAGTCCGCAAATCATGTAACGAACGAAAGTTTAACCAGTGATCAATTTGATCCTGGTTATACATCGAGTATTATACGTCAGAATCCCACAGTAATCAATTCGCAAAATGATAAATTTGCTGGTACTTTGTGCTGTTATGAAAACCAACTATTATTCAATGACTATCATCAACGATTAATATGTCCTCGTCTAACTTTCATACCAGATGTTTCTCAACCAACAGTACGACAACACATCGCCTGGACTCAGCCAGATACGTCTATTGGCGGTGGAGATGACAGTTGGATACAAGATATAGTATATTCAACTAAACTAAATGGATACTTCTTACTGAATCGTGCACGTTTACGATTGCTACGCAGTGACACATTAACAATGGAGGAATTCGATGAGTTCCCTGATTATAGTATGAAACGAGTTGCATGCGATGAAACTTCTATTTATTTGATATCAGCATCGGGTAGTATATCGCAAAATGGCGATGAAGTGATTGTTATGGACTATACCAAGCAAGATAAAGTTTTCAAAACATTTCGAGATTTGATACTTATGCGGAGTAAACGTGCAATCGGATCACTTATCGGCGAGATAACTGATATAGCCGTGGGAAGAAATGGCCAAGTGATTCTCTCGTATCGTTACGAACGACGACATGATGTTGGCACTTGCTTGTATAAAGTAACAAATCATGGAAATGAATGGTCGTTTATTAGACGTTTACTGTTAAGTGACTGTTGGCGAGATGACGTGTTCTTTACACCACGAGTGGAATGGTGTGACAACTTGAACGTTTTCATTCTTGTCGAGTATCTGACTGGTCATTTAATCATGATTGATCAAACGGGAGGAGCGAAAGGTGAATGTCACATGACACATACAGAAGTTCAACGTGAAGCACCACTTAATATAAGTAGTTCTGCTAACAATTGGCTTTGTGTGCGGTATAAATCATCAATAAACGTTTATCGACTCGAAGACGCAAGATTTTGAACGAGTTCTACTTTTATGTTTGCTTTTCATTGTAGACTTCGCATATGCATCATATATGAAACGATAATTTCAATAAAAGAATATACTTTCGAGTTTGACAGCAGTGTTGAAAAGCTATAATACACTTTTCTCAATAACTTTCTTTACTCGCCTGTTCACTGTAATGTATAACAAACATCAGTAGCATTTCCTAAAGAATTTTATCTATGATCCATTTCCTAAGTTACAAATACAGATGATTTGTGCATCGTAGACTAAGTCTTATTATCCTGATTTTCTATTTTCTTCACATGTTGATAAATAAGTGAATTTGAGCGGAAAGTGACAAGTTTAGCAAAAGTAAAAGAAGGATCCAAGACGAAACATTTTCTTGTTAAATTAAGCTAAGCAATCGCTCAGTATATGGCCATGATTCAATGATATGATGACATCCGTCATAAGAAAAACGATACGTTAAAGCAGGAAAATTACGTTTCGTACCAGTTTGTTTTCCCGGACTTCCAGCACACGTATCCGTTATGGAGTCTGTAAAGCTAAACTATAAGTAAATTACCAGCATCTTTTTTGAATGGATGGAAGTGTAAAAATAAGCACTTTTATTAAGCGACAGCGACTGAACTCATCCAGTCTTGCTTCTCAGTGAATTTGAGCCTTCGTTGCCGACTCTGCACAGCATTTCTAGCCAAGAGATTTTCGAACACCCGGTCACACTGTCAGCGTTCGTAATAGATGGTACGAAACGTAGTTCACCCGTCAAAACGTATAACTTCTTCAATGAGAATAAAATGTAAGCTGTTCAATATATTCTTGTGTTTTCGTTTTCTCAAACACTAATGGTACCTTGAATAGTGTGAAATGTAAAAGAACGTTGTTACATTTTGTAATTTGAAAATTGGATGATAGCTGTCCCCACCGACGATTGTCATATCATGCTTTGTACAATACAATAGTTTGCGCGGTGAACAACAACCTCTTCTGTAAATCAAAAGATCGTTAGATTTATTTAGAAACTAAGATAAACAAACTAAGAAAAAATAAAGAGATTAATGACGATAAATGTCCATAGCGATGGTGTTTGTTTCTTCATCACTCTCATCTTTACTGTTTTCCAAGAAATGGCGGAGGCAGTAGTTGCATCTTGTGATATCTTTGTCATTAGCACATTGTCAACCTGAAACAGGCAAGCCAAAGGCAGATGGAGAAGGCAACGTAGATTGTTATGAAATCAAACACAAGGAGAATGCAAAATAGATAAAAGATCACGACTAGACAGTATGTCGTGAAATTAATTAGCCGTAACATGATAAAGAGTATACACAGATACGAAGAGCGAGTGATATTGTCAGAATGCAACGGGATCAGCTTAATAGAAATGAATTCTCAAAAATTTCGTGGCAGTGAATCTTGGGAGGATGTGTGTACGTGTACCATAAAGTAGCAGCGCTAACTGAAACCGAAGTCAATTGAAAATCCATACATCAATGACTATTTCAAGCTTAGATTTTTTCGTTTCAAATCAGTTCCGTGTGTAGTTATGTGTTAGTAGAATTAAGAGAGATTTTCAATGAAAATAGGATAGCAGTACGTTAACGACAAATTTCGTGTGCGTCCTTATTCATTCCTTCACTGGAATATCAATCAAATATTGAAAAAGAACGAGTATCTATAGATTTCTTCGAATTGAGGTATTCATTGATTTTCAACGTTCTTGTTGTTTTTTATTCATGTCAATCTTTCTATTAGAAATTGTCGTATCATCTGTTCATTATCTCTTGTCATGAAGAAAGAAAAGAAGAGAAGGAATGAATGCATGAATTGACAGTACACTAAATACAGACACACAACAGATAGTAAGTATATCCTATCGAATTAGATAATGTTGACGTGAATAAAGGACAGAGTAACAAAGAATACACGATTGGAGGAAAGATTTTTTGATGAACGACAAAAGAAGAACGTAGAAATAAAACAATAAGATAGCTGATACAGCTAGTTGATTACATATATATCATTGATTGAATAGAAGATTAGATTATATGCCTAAACGTACACTTCAATCGGTAAATTTTGATCTTTTTCTGTTCGTTTCTAGTTGCAATACTGTCCATCAGGATGTTTAAGTAGAAGATTTCAATGGAGGGATGGAAACAGGTCGGTCCGGTAGAGTGGTGGAAGGAACAGTAGCTGTACATGCTGGTGTAGATGAAGGACGAGTATTTGTCGATGGAGAATCGGCTATGCTCGAATGACGATGAGATTTCGCATTCGGCGATGAGTTTGATGATCTCGAAGACGAAGGAGATGTTGCCGACGGACCAGATGATTTACCATAGAAATCACGTTTTTTACGCGGTGATTGCATAATCATCGATCGACTTCAAAACAAAAAATAGAGATATCCAATAGAAGTATTCGTTCATACCTGATTTCATCAGCTAGTTGAGATGTTTTTGTACTTGATGACGTTGGACTACTTAGCAATGTTTTGACACTAACAGATTGAATAACGGCTGCTTGCGGTGGTTTTTGTTGTTGTTGTTTAGATTGTTGTCCAACTGAATGAACTTGAACGGGTTCTAATTGTTTAGCAGAGAGAAGGCTGTTGGTACTCGCAGATGTTGTCATTGATTGAGATTGCCCAGATTGTGCTCCTGGACGTTTATCAGTTGTTTTTGTTGGTGAAATCATCGAATTACTATCTGAAGTTTTCTTCACCTTTTTCGGAATAGTAAATCCGGATTTCCTTTCTATTTTCCTTATGTCAAACAATGATGCGGAAACTAAAACAAACATTCGAGCATATTTTATACAATTTAATAATTTCCTTTACTTGGATTTGAAGACGACGGATATTCAATTGATCGTAATGTGCTTCCCTTCTCCAGTGTTGGATACGATTGCTTGGTACTTTCTTGCTGCTGAGTCTGTTTACTCATACTTGCTAATAATGTTGAATAAGTGTTGTCGTTAATAGAATGACTGGTTGTCAACGAATGATGACCGTTGGTTTGAATCGATTGTAAAATAACTGATAATCTTTCGTTTTCTTGATCATATTCAGCGATTTCTTTTTCCAATGTAACGACTTTCGAGCGTAGTTCTTTGTGTTTACTGGAGATATCATTGGCATAAGTTATTAATTGAACTGGTCGCTCGAGATCCTCGATACCCAACTCATTCGTACGTAGTTTGAGTAAATTTATTGTATCTTCAAGTAACAGCTTGATGTTGTTCTCCAGACAACTAACTTTTGTCTTCAATGTTTGATTTAGCTCTTTCTCATTCTCAACTTGTTGTTTCAGATGTTCACGGTAAGCATTTGACTTCATATAGGTAAAATATGAAAAGAGACGTTGTCGAAAGCGATCCAGATAAGTGTTAATCGAATCGAAGAACTGTTGGTCTTCTTGTTCGGATAAACAATCCCGGAAATGGCGAATATCGAGATTTTCATTGGCTAGTTTTGTCATATGGCGATAGTTAAAACGTTCATTGGAGTTTGACGATGAATAAGTTTGACTAGTGGGATGTAGATCATTCAAAGTTGAATGATAATCTTTCGATGATGTGCGATGACGTTTCGAAGTGAGAAGCTCATCATTGGAGAGATCGGATTCGTAGTCGAATTGACTTTTATCAGGATAAGATTTTTTGTTTGTTGTTGAAGAATTGCTTTTGCGTTTCCGATTCGAATGCTTCGATGCACGATGAGGCAATAGATTCTCATCAGTCTTGTCAGGTCGGTGGTAGGGAATAGATTTTGTTTGACGTTGATGTCTTCCATTCGATGAGGGGTTCGTCGAAGATGAATTGTTTGATGATGGAGATAGAGAGTTGTCGTCGTCATTAGATTTTGTATGACTACAACGATATTTCGGATGAGTTTATTCAACGAATGACAAAACTTACATCGATCGAGGTCCTTTTCCGTGTGATTGATGCATCTTTTCATAATACAGTGCTAATTTGCTGTGATCGATGATATGAAGATAATATTGCACAGATTTATCCGACCAACTAACTTTACCAAAGAGTTCTTCGGGCTTTCTGCAGAAGATTATATGTTCGAAGTGAGAAAAAGTATCTGATTTTGAGAATACATACGTCACATGCATAACGGCACCTAAGTCGTTTTTCGTTCGATCATTCAATCGAAACGTTTCCGGACAAAATTCTCGTGATGATACTATCCTTGCCCCATCTAAATAAAACAATCACATCGAATCGATTATTTCACTTCCCCGGTGTAATTTTCAAAGACGATTACCTTTCATATTCATGAATTTCACCTTCAACTCATGATTCACTCTCGAGCCAAACACATAGTTATTCACAAAAATCACATCAGCTTCTTTAATTCTCTCATCAATCATCTCATGCACCAAGAAATCGCCTTGTTCCAGCTGAAAATCGGAATACTGTTTGCCGTACCAACGCATCCACGAACGAAATTCATCCGCCATGGCACGCGCATAACCCGCCGGCGTTTCTTCGTATTCAATTCCATAGACATGTTTACAATTGGCTAATGCAGCAACATGTAGAACAACATTACCAACACCTGAGCCAAGATCAATGAAGGTTTGATCTTCGGTTAGGTTGATCACTTTAAGTATCGAATCGATCAAATCAGGTGACGTTTCACCATAAACCTAGATGACGATGAGAAATTTAGTAAGAGGATAAATGAAGAAGTGAGTTTGTTTGTTTACTGAGGGTGAAAATGGTTCATAATCACGTAGTTTATCTGGATCGATCACTGCTCGACTGTACACTTGAGCAAGAATATGACGAAATAATTTCGATGTAGCACGTTGTTCCAGACGAGCAGAAAACGCTTCTGTGCCTCGATTTAGTTTGATGTGTGTATCAATAATTTTATTGAATTTATCACACAGTTCTTTCATTTGTGTATATGAATGTATGTCGCATGTTGAAAGTCCAAGATTTTGTTGGTACAATGCAGGATAATCTATTGCAGCAGAATAACAACGTTAGTTGACTGAGTAGTACTCGAGATAAAAATGCTTTACCTTCGAAAACTAAACGAATTGTTTTGACAATCTCATCACCACCAACAAACACGCCATCTTTTTTCGTATTCTAAACAGGGTAAAACGAGAAATAGTGTTTCAAAATGAAGAAGATCATATGTTTGTTACCTGTCGTTCAACACTCGGCCAAGTAAATACAGCTGGCTCAACACCTGCTGGACTATGAAGTTTGAGTTCACGAATAGGATTCGCATTGGCCATATTTGTCTAGAATAAACACGCATGAATATGGATAGATTTCGTATCGACAAGTTAATTACCTACTATGTAAAGTAGTACGCAAAGTGAATAAGTAATTTGATTAGCTTTAAATTACAAAACAAAATCACATGGATTGATTTCTTTTTCGTTCGTTTTTTCCTTCTGATTACTGCTGTATGACAATATCTACATCTACATATTCATTCGTTTGACAGTATAGAGGCGTGGTTCGTCGAAATCGACAAATCAAATTCTATTGTTGTTTGCCATAAAACAAGAACAGAGAGACATCTATCGACCGGATCATTTATTTCGCTTTTCTTTTGAATCTATCGAGGAACATCTGATTTGTAATGATTCTCTTCAGCTAATCACTGATTGTACTTTATTCTCTTTTTTTCCTACCTATCGTATTCGATAGATAAGTTTTATCATTACAAAAACAAATATAATGGAATCAAAAAAGCAAAGAAAATAATCACATGAAGAAAGGGTTCTATCATAAAGTAATTGCTAAAAGTGGTAAATATAGGAAATTTAATCCACACGGCATTTTAGATTCTTATCACCATAGACATCATTCACACGTCCACATGACGGCCAAAATTTGTAATTGGGTGAAACAAAATGCTAGAAAACAGGCAACTCTTTCACTTCACAGAATTCGATAAAGGACTTACAATAGGAAAAACAGCTTTATTCAATGAATAAGGTAGAGTCCATTTCTCATGAAGGAAAACATGTTGTGAATGTGGTGCATTTTTCAATGGATTGTTTTTTTTATCGAATTCTCCGCTTTCGATTTGAGAGATTTCCTTTCGAATTTCTAAACAGAAGCAAACAAGTATGTCGAACCGATCTCTTCTGTATTCAACTGACCGATTAATGCATCACAGAATCGATCGAGTTCACTTTTGTCTTCGGATTCTGTTGGTTCAATCATTAATGAACCGGCAACCGGCCAGGAAACAGTGGGGGCATGAAAACCGTAGTCTTGTAAACGTTTGGCAATATCAACGGCATCCACATTCGTACGTTCTTTAAACGGACTCACATCAATGATAAATTCATGTGCAGCGAAACCTTTTAAAGAAAGGGAAATAAACTAACTAGCTGAAACTTCGGTGTGCTACAAACCATTTTTGCCACGAAATAAGACTTTGTATGAAGATTCGAGACGTTTAGCTATGTAATTAGCATTGAGTATTGCTGTTTCTGTTGCACGTCGAAGACCACCAGCGCCCATCATTCGAATGTACATCCAAGAGATTGGTAGAATCGATGCAGAACCAAATGGAGCTGCTGAAACAGGACCGTACGAATCTTCTGAATTATGCTCGGAACCGCGTTCCAGTAGAGGATGATTTGGAAGGAATGGTGCAAGATGTTTCTTACTAAAAACAGACAACACAGAAAGCAATGATGGAGTCATTCAGAATTGATCAGGAGACGAATAGTCTGTGACAAAAAGATGAGCAACTTACACTCCGATAGGTCCTGAAAGGAAAATAGAATTCAATTAAGACTTTAACGAATTCGAATGTTACTACAAACCCATGCCAGGTCCGCCACCGCCATGAGGGATGCAGAATGTTTTATGTAAGTTCAAATGTGACACATCTGAACCATAATCACCTGGACGACATAAACCAACTTGAGCATTCATATTTGCTCCGTCAAGGTATACTTGACCACCGTTCTTATGAATAATTTCGCAGAATTCCCTATTGTATTGACATGTTGTCAATCTAAGTTATTCGCCAACTTATTTTACCTGATTGTTTCTTCGAAAACTCCACTGGTACTTGGATATGTAACAATACCACAGGCAAGTGTGTCCTTATGTTTTTCAGCTATTTGAGCTAAGTGTTTCATATCCACAGCTCCGCTTTTATCTAACTGAACTTTTTCGATTTTCATTCCAGCCATGACTTCAAATGTAAAACATAGAAGTGTTTTTCTTTCATCGAAAAGAACAAGCTCTTTTACTAGCTGATGCAAAATTCGTTCCATGAGCAGATATTGGAATCAAACAAACCTGAACAGAAACATAGAAGTTTGATACAAATCAACAATATCATATCAGAGATCTTACTCGTCGCTGTGGTTGACCACTGTGTTCATGGTATGCTCGTATTACTCGCAAGCCTGCGTATTCTCCTTGAGCCCCACTAAACAAACAAGTAAGAGACTTGCCTTCCTTTCTACCATACACTGACCTATTCGGTTGAAATGATATCTTATCGTAACCAGTAATTTCACATAGAAATTGATTAAGATCAGTGAGTAATCGAACATAACCTTTCCATTGCGAGGACGGAGCGAATGGGTGAATCCGATTAAAGTGTGCCCATGAACATGGCTAAAACATCGAACACAATTAGTGTGAACGAAAACTATAAGAAGCTTTCCATACAGTTAGTTCTGCCGCAGCATTCAGTTTCATTGTGCATGAGCCTAGTGGGATCATGGAATGTACCAATGAAATATCTTTGTTTTCTAAATGTTTCATATAGCGCATTAATTTCGTTTCAGATCGATATCTAAAATATTGATTTTTGAATTGTGAACGAGTCATTATCGAATAGTAATTTACTTATTGAAGATTTCAGCATTTAGAAAACGACTTTGACGAGTTAAGTTACCAAAATCACGTGGACGTTGTGTTGTTTCACTCTAAACCAGATTATTCTAACCATATTTCAACTAAAAACATGATGTCTTCTTCTTACTGATGATTGATTCTCAACATTAAATATCCATTTCAAATCGGCAACGTCATTCTCATTCATTGTTTCATCTAATGAAACACCAACCTGAATGATAAAAGTAAACCAGTCAGTCGAAATTCATCATTCACTGTCAGTTATACGTACACTACCATTATCATGATAACGTAAATTAATGCGTTTTTCTTGCGCACGTTGTTTGATTTCGTCGATACTCATTCGTGGTTTGATTTTTAATGTATCAAAGAAGAGTTCGTTTTTGATTGAATGTCCACCGGCTTTGACACCTGAAAGAAATCCGTCAGAATCTATGAATTCATTAGCAAAATTCTAATATTCACTTTCGGCAAGATCACAAGTTAGCACATGAATTTTCGTAGCTATGTTTCGGAGGCCTTGTCTTCCATGGTACAAACAATACATGGCGACCATATTGGCGAGCAATGCTTGTGCTAGACGGAAGAGAAAAATCGTTTTGCTGCTACTTTTCAGTGATCATTTTCCATACCAGTACAGATATTGCTTGTAGCTCTCTCCTGTCGAATGTGTTGTTCACGCGTTTGAAGTGCTAAACGATAAGCTTTGGCTCCATGTGAATCACTAGCAGGAATCAAATCAGAGACATGGACGAATAAACGAAGATCTTACATTGTTAAACCAACTAATCGGCCAGGCATGTCACGTTTAAATGTTTCTGCACACGAAAAGAAAGCTGCATGTGGACCACCAAAACCTAATGGAACACCTAATCGTTGAGAATTGCCATAGCAGATGTCCACGCCCATTTCACCAGGAGGTTTAAGAAGACAAAGAGCAAGCAAGTCTGAACCACAGATAACAGCAGTCTAGCATGTGAAATTGAATGAATCACTGAATCAGATCAATGAAGGTCTTACTCCGTTTTCTTTAGCTCGAGCAATTAATCCGGTAGGATCACATATATTTCCGGTTGTGTCAGGATATTGAAAAATAACACCGGACACATCTTTTTTCGAAAAATCCATTTTCTCAATGGGTAAAACTTCCACCTGTGTACGAAATCCACTAAAACCATATCTTATTCGTTCCTTGTCGAAATCAAACCGCGTTTGCTCACCTAGCGCGTGTTCGAATAACTTCAATTACATGTGGATGAAGTTGATCGCTAACAAACATTCGTGGACGTTTATTATGACGAAAACACATTGCCATGGCTTCGGCAGCGGCTGTGCCTTCATCGAGTAAACTAGCATTCGCATAGGGAAGTGCTGTGATATCACTGATGGCTAGAAGATTCAGTTTTTGAAAATTATCATCAAATCAAACGAAGAACTCCTTGTTTTACCTGTTTGATAATTTAGTAAACTTTCTAAACGTCCTTGGGACAACTCTGCCTGATAAGGTGTGTATTGCGTATACCAGCCAGGGTTTTCGAATAGATTTCGTTGGATTACTGTTGGAATAATACAATCGTTATAACCCATACCTATGTATGAGCGCCATACTTCGTTTTGAAGAGCAATTTCTTCGGCTTCTTTCAAAGCGCGATGCTCCGCTGTTCGAAGAAAAGACAAGATAAGGTTTGAAAACAACACATTTTTAAACTATTTACAAAGTGCTTCAGGAATATTCATGTTTCCACGAAAGCGAATGGCAGCTGGAACTGTTTTATCGATTAGTTCGTCCATGGATTTCAGGCCTAACGCTTGAAGCATTTCCTTCGTTTGTCTTTCATTTGGACCAAGATGACGTCGAACGAAATCATACGCTGGATTAGAATCCGCTGCTTGGGCTTCGCTCTGATCATGAAGTTTTCTTTTCTGTAACTGAAAAACGCCCATAGGAAATTGGAATGGACGAATTGAACGTCGCGCTAAAAAGGTGTCGTTGATGAATCATCAAATGAAGCGAAGAGTAAACAAATATTTACCACACAGTGAAAGTATTCCTGTCGCGCTCATGTTTTTCTCTCAATGAATTTCAGGTTCGACAAAAGAAAATAAGCCCGTGATCTTAACTCGTCTAAAGAATAAAAGTAGAACGTATCATTGTTGTTGTTTTTATATTCTATAGTCGCAGTCATTCTCTTTCTTTTCAAAATCCAGCATTGGTCGTGTCTATTTGCCCTACTGTTGTTTTTTTTTTATTTCTTTTCGTTATATGAATGACCTTGTTTTTATCTTATTTTTTTCAAAAATGTTTAGTACTGGTCTTCAGCAAAAAGATTAGAATTGAGTGGGTGTCCTTTTTCTTGATCGATTGAAATAGTAGAAGAGAAAAAAACGAACGAGAGTGATGTAACGAGAAGAAGTAGATAAGCTTTCTTCGATAGCCAAATTCGAAAAAAAAGGAAAACAAAATATTTGTAATTTCATGCTTTTTTTTCTTCAACAAGATGATTATATTTAAGTTGTGAATGATATCAGAATGGAAACAAGTACGAACACATACTCATTAGAAGAATGTATTGATTTTATTGGATTGGGAAGATATCAATGGCGATTAATAGCAATCCTTGGCTTTTGCTCCATGGCTGATGCCGTTGAAATGATGCTGTTGGCTATTTTGGGGCCAGCATTGACATGTTACTGGCCTAGTGTCACACAGATTCAAATAGCAACACTAACAACTGTATGTTCTGACACATTTCGTAATAATTTGCCAAGTTGTTTTCGACTTTTAGGGCGTCTTTGCTGGAATGATGATTGGAGCATTTATATTTGGCATTTTGGCAGATAGATACGGCCGCCGACGAGTCATTTTTACTAGTGCAGTTTTGAATACAGTTTTTGGTGTCGCCACAGCACTAGCACCAAACTATTATTGGATTCTTATGGCGCGAGTTCTAGTCGGATTTGCATTATCAGGCGCTTCACAAGGGTAAGCAACGATATCGTCTAAGACTCTTACAAAAGATCGAATTTTCTATGTAGTTCAACATTGATGCTTGAATATCTCCCGTCTTCAAGTCGAGCAACGATTACTATTGTTATTGAATTATTTTGGTCATTGGGTAGTATATTCGAATATCTTATGGCAATGGTTGTTGTCCCAACGTACGGATGGCGAATATTAACCGGACTTTCTGCATTACCAATAACAATTGTGGCTATCTGTATGTATGTAAGTATTCATTCAAGTCGTACTTTTCTCTCTGCTAAATCTATCTCGCTGCGTCTCGTCTACTGACAGTTTGTGCCTGAATCGCCACGATTCTACGTTGCCAGCGGACATTCTGAAAAAGCTGAACGTATTTTAAAAGTAATCGCATTCACAAACAACCGTACTCTACCACCTGGCAAACTTCGTGATATCAACGCTCGAGTGAGTATCATCAGACAATTTTGTCAGCAAAGAATTCGTTGAACAATCGATTTAGGACGAATGTGGTTCTGTAAAGCAACTATTTCATTCGAACTATAAACGAACATCGTTCTTACTTGCTTTCATGTGGATGACTGTGGCGATGAGTTACTACGGTTTAATATTAATCAATACATCGATCATGACATTAATTAAACATGACCCACAATCAATTGCCAGCAATGATACCACAAACTCGTCCAGTCATTGTAAAATGTTAACAACAGAAGATTATAAATCATTAATATTTACAACTATTGGCGAGATGTTTGGTATACCTTTATTGTTAATCTTCCTTCGCTATTTTGGTCGACGAACAACATGTGCAATCAATTACTTCTGTTCTTCTCTTTGCTTTTTATTATTTGTTTTCAATACACATACGAATCCATGGGCAGTCGATGTCATCACATTCGTTGCACGTATGTTTATCAATGCTCAATTTGGTCTGATCTATTTATATACAATGGAAGTTTATCCAACAGTTATACGTGCAATCGCTGTTGGCTGTGCCTCGTCTATGTCTAGAATCGGTGCAATGATTACGCCATATCTAGCACAAGTGTTAATTAAGAAGACTTTCCATGGAACTATAGCAGTTTATGTGATAGCTACAGCGTTGGCTGCCTTTTGTTCTATTTTGTTACCAATTGAAACCAGAGGACGTGAATTGAAAGTAGGAATTTTTGAAACAGAATGATCTTTTTTCATCTTGATTGGAGACCACAAAAAGCGAGAACAACCAAGAGGAGAGTTTGAATGAGAAAAGCATGATGTATTTATCTTATAGGAAACAACTTCGTGTCTATCTACACGTCCGAGTCGGCGACGATTTAGTGCTTGAGTATTCCTCTGATCTGCTGCTTTTGTCATACTGTTTTCTTTTTGACGAATATTTCTGGGTTACAAACTTCGGTATGAATCTCATTGTTTTCTTCTCCTAGCAAGCAACCGCAGATCACGAACACTCTATGACAACGGCGGTCGATGATGGTGGTACCGGTTCTTCTTGGATGATAACTGTAGGTAACTTGACATCATTCATGACTAAAAACAACGGTGTTAATGTTGAAGGATATCAGCCATTAAAACAAGAAGATATCGATGACGTTCATGCTGATGACGATCTTTAAATTAATCTTAATTTTATTGCATGTTACGAATTTATTTTTTGTGAAGTTTTCCAAAATCCAATATCCTTTTTTATCAAAATCATTCTGCTCTTTTTCTCGAATCTCCTTACGTATGAATAAACAAACGAATACAAAAACTCAAATTCGACTCTAGACGAAACTTGAGCGAATACGCGCAATTCGCCACTAAACGTTTTTATTACTTTCTCAAGTCTTTCTCGAACAAAGAAAGTTAAGCGACAAAAATGAACAACATTTTCAATCAGATACACACGCACAACATCATGTGTGTGTATATAGAAGTTATAGTGATAACACGACACAAACGAAACAAACTTCGAAATATGGAATAGTCCTACTTCTATAAAGAAGAACCGGTATAGTGTGTTCCAAATCAAACAAAAAAAAAGACATATGAAAGCTTTACATTAATATACAAGTAAAGAAAGATCACATTCACAATGTCGTTGGATTATTATCATTGACAACAAGATTTGTATTGGTTTGTGGTGATGAGATCGTATTAGTAATATGATTATTATTATTCGTATCATTTGTTGTTTGTTGTTGACTTGTGATCCATGTTAAACGATCTTCGTAAAATTTTATCACAACTTGTGGACATTTTATATTACATATACGAGCAGGAATCAGATCTGCTTCACCTGTACCTTTCCATTGGACTAAGAGCATCAGTTCACCCTGAAAAGTTTGAATGTAGGTTGAGAGAAAAGCGCGAGTTCGAAAGCAATGTCTTACTGTTGCATCGGTCGCACCAAGAATCTTTTCCGGTTCAAAACCACGATCGAATGCAGATGGTTCTTCGGATTGTACGGACGATGTTTGTTGTTTGGAGTAGTTTCGATGAGCTAAGGAATCATTCGGCGGTCGGCCACGTTTGTTTTGCATTGGCGTTTGGTCTATGGAGGATTTGCGTTTGAGTGACGTCGAAGGTTCATTGATGTAACGAGATTTTTGCACTAGGCGATTTTCATACTCTTCGATCAAATCCGGACAATCTAAGTTTTGGTGAGGTTCCTGAAATAGAGACGATGATGTCGTTGAAACAATGAGCATTATTTTCTCTACCCAAGTATTTTCTTCTTCGGAATAACCTTTCCAAGCGAGTAAATATTCTTTTCGTCCATTACGAAAACGATGATTAACAATACGTTCAACCACAAATTCTTCGCCTTGTTCTACACGAACTATTTCGTCTTTATCTAATCCAATATTGCTCATTTGTATTGTATGACCAACCAAAGATGACAAGCTACAGAAACCAATCTAAAAAATGAGGTGATTATTTGCGCGTCAGAAGACAGGCTAGTCAACGAAAGAACAAACATTACCTAGTATGAAAACGAGGAAAACGTGGAAAAGTAAAGACAATTACTGTGCTAAATCATAACCAATTACAACTCGAATATGGTCTCAAAAGATATTTTAGTGAAGAAAATAAATCTAAAGTTTTATTTGAAGAAAAACAATAAAATGCTCGGTTATTTATAAAAAAATGAGCTCATTTCGGAAAAGTAGATGTCGTACGTGAACTGACAAGCTTTGAGTGTGTGAAACTTTACAATGAGCCTGCGCTTCGAAATAAATTTCAACATGTTGAAGATTTTCATGTCTTAGGCACGACTGCACTCAACAGTAGTTATTAGTACATAAGTTAAAACAAATGCTTAACAAGTCCAGCATTCAATACGTGTATTGGACAAAAATATTATTGCTTTATCTGATTATACAAAGTACCTGTGTGAAAGGTTCTCGTTTTTTTTTCTCATTTAGCAAATCAAAAATTTGAATACATAGATGTGAAATAATACAATATGCCCTTTTCCACCTTTGTGCCTTAGGATGAAAATGTCCTTGAATTAGATAATATTTCGAAGTGTTATAGCGAGGGTTCGGCCGCGCCCCTTGTATCAACGATCGTTTTCTATCGTTCCTCGCATTTTCTTTTCTTCATCGTCATACACGTTTTGCAAAGAAAGTAATAAATAAGATACAGAGAGAAAGAGAGAGAAAGAGAGAGAGAATAAAAGGCAAGATCCATCCATATGTCGATTCTATTGAGGAGAAAACATCTGATAATGGCGCGAAGAGGAGCACAAAAGGCATTTGCATGCTTTTTTTTTCTTTGCGCTTCTCCGTTCTCTTTTTCTTTCTAGCAAATATACGCGGTCTGTGTTAAAATGCTTAATACTGTCTATTCTGTTTTTCCTCCTACATGAAGCGAACGAAAAGCATACGATTGGTACTCGTATAAAGTCCATGTTTTTTTCTATTATATGCGCCGATATTTTATTGTCGGAAAGGAAAAAAACAAGGACAAATATGCACACCTCCTTCTCTATGTTCCACATCATAATGATGAACTTCCGATAGGTTCTTTTTTCGAATCAATTTTAGATATGTCGATCCTATCGCGAGCTGCATTTAGTCATTTGTCACCACTAAAAGTCGGCAGTGGAACTAACCATGTATTTCGTTTTACACGCTCTTTACAATCCACTGCAACCGACTCAACACCCGACACGATGGATCTAGACAGTGAAAATCAACAAGAAGATCATGGGTACGGATTTGTCATTTCGATACTGAATTTTGAAATTTGAATCGACTGAATAGAACCGGTTTTTACACTATGGTGGAGAAATTCTACGATCGTGCTGCTAAGATTCTCGAAGATAAACTAGTCGAAGATATGAAAAAAACTAAACTCACCGATGAACAAAAACAAACCAAAGTTCGTGGAATTTTAACGATGATGAAACCACCGAATTATGTTTTGGCTATCACCTTTCCCGTTCGACGTGACAACGGCGAGTGGGAATTAATCGAAGCATGGCGTGCTCAACATTCGTTACATCGTACACCATGTAAAGGTGGTATTCGTTTTTCAACTGATGTCAACTTAGATGAAGTAAAAGCTCTAGCCGCATTGATGACCTTCAAATGCGCTTGTGTCAACGTACCATTCGGTGGTGCTAAGGCCGGTGTGAAAATTAACCCAAAAGGTATACAAAGTCAACATATTCTATCAAGATAAAACCTACCTTGACTTATCTTTGTATTTAGATTGGTCCGAAGGTGAATTAGAACGTATCACTCGTCGATTAACAGTCGAATTGGCAAAGAAAGGCTTCATTGGACCTGGTATCGATGTTCCAGCTCCAGATATGGGCACAGGTGAACGCGAGATGGCTTGGATTGCTGATACATACGCATCAACAGTTGGCTGGGAAAATATCAATGCCATGGCATGCATCACTGGTAAACCCATTTTACAAGGTGGTATTCACGGTCGAACATCAGCTACTGGTCGTGGTCTCTACCATGGTGTGAACAATTTTATTAACGAGAAGTTCTACATGGATAAAATTGGTTTGACAACTGGTTTAATCGGCAAAACATTTATTGTTCAAGTATGTTCATAATTTCGAAATGCAAGATAATTTTGACTTTGAATTTCACAGGGCTTCGGTAATGTCGGTCTTCATTCAACCCGTTATTTGACACGACATGGTGCCAAATGTGTTGGTGTACTCGAATGGGATGCAGCTATCATCAATCGAGATGGTATCGATCCCAAAGCACTCGAAGACTATAAACTCGAGCATGGAACAATCAAAGGTTTTCCTGGCGCTCAGCCGTACGACAATGCGGATAAGAAAGAATTACTCTGTGAAGCGTGTGATATTCTTGTGCCCGCCGCTAGTGAACAACAAATTACATCTAAAAATGCACGTCGTATTAAAGCTAAAGTAAGTTGTCGATGAATATTCGATTGATCGTCTTGATCAAATGAAATTTTCAATAGATCATCGCCGAGGGTGCCAATGGTCCGACAACTCCAGCCGCTGATAAGATTCTTCTGTCGAAGAATGTTTTAGTTATTCCAGATATGTATATTGTAAGTATTCATTCGGAACACATGTTCTTTGAATTATTTCATTTGCGATAAAGAACGCCGGTGGTGTTACCGTTTCATACTTTGAATGGCTAAAAAATCTCAATCATACATCGTATGGTCGATTAACTTTTAAATATCAACGTGATACGAACTACTCACTTCTTGGTAAGATATAGAAAAAGTTATTGGCAAAATCAGATAATGCATCCTGTTTAGAAAGTGTACAAGGTTCATTAGAAGCTAAGTTTGGGAAAATGGGAGGCAAAATTCCCATTGTAAGTTCTTTTCGATGAACAATTTCTGTCGAAATACGCCTATTCCCTAGATTCCAAGTGACAACTTTTACAAACGCATGGCCGGTGCTTCTGAAGCTGATATTGTCCATTCAGGTCTTGAGCAAACCATGGAACGTTCAGCGCGAGCAATCATGCAAAATGCACAACGCTTCAATTTAGGTTTAGATTTACGTACCGCTGCCTACGCCACTTCATTAGAGAAAATCTACAATGTCTACTCAGCTGCTGGAATGACATTCGGCGGTTAATCAAGCAAAACAGATCTTCTTATATATTTCGTTTTTTCGCTCCGATGTTTTATTTGAAAACCCATAGTAGAAAAAGGAAGGAATGATTATTTGATTCATTTTTCTTTATAGATAAAAGTAAGAAATGTTGAACGCTGCCGTTCGTCATAATCAATCGTTATATCGATTATCCACTTTATCCTATCACACATCAGCGATATTGAATGCCGCCTCTCAACCAGCAGCACCACAGCAAGCCGGCCCAGGACATTTTGGATTTTATCGTCAAGTAGAACTATTTTATGATCGTGCTGCTTCCATTCTCGAAGATAAATTAGTCGATGATATGATTAAATCAAAATTACCGGATGATATGAAACGTAAAAAAGTCAAGGGCATCTTGAAAATTATTAAACCATGTAATCACGTTTTGGAAATGCGTTTTCCCATACGCAAAGATAATGGAGAATTACACATGATTGAAGCATATCGTGCACAACATTCTCAACATCGCACACCATGTAAAGGTGGTATTCGTTATTCATTGGATGTGAATTTAGATGAAGTAAAAGCATTAGCGGCATTAATGACATATAAATGTGCTTGTGTGGATGTACCATTTGGTGGTGGTAAAGCTGGTGTGAAAATCAACCCAAAAGGTATACAAAGTCAACATATTCTATCAAGATAAAACCCATCTTGGCTTATCTTTGTATTTAGATTGGTCCGAAGGTGAATTAGAACGTATCACTCGTCGATTAACAGTCGAATTGGCAAAGAAAGGCTTCATTGGACCTGGTATCGATGTTCCAGCTCCAGATATGGGCACAGGTGAACGCGAGATGGCTTGGATTGCTGATACATACGCATCAACAGTTGGCTGGGAAGAAATTCATGCAAATGGTTGTGTCACTGGTAAACCAATTCTGGTCGGAGGTATTCACGGTCGAACATCAGCTACTGGTCGTGGTCTCTACCATGGTGTCGATAATTTTGCCAATGAAGCTTCGTTCATGTAAGAGTACAAACAGATCGTTTTGTTTTTGTTTTGTACAACAGTGTATGTTCAGGGGCATGGTTGGTCTTTTACCCGGTCTTGCTGGAAAAACGTTCATTGTTCAAGTATGTATACTAATGTATGATATTATCGTTTGAAGAATCACTTGCGTTTGAAGGGTTTTGGTAACGTCGGTCTTCATTCTATGCGTTATTTGACACGACATGGTGCCAAATGTGTTGGTGTACTCGAATGGGATGCTGGTATTGTCAATCCTGAAGGCATTGACCCCAAAGCACTCGAAGACTATAAACTCGAACATGGAACAATCAAAGGTTTTCCTGGCGCTCAAGCTTACGACAAACAACCTAAAGAAGATTTGCTTTGCGAAGCATGTGATATTCTCGTACCAGCAGCAAGCGAAAGACAAATCACTACTGACAACGCACACCGTATTCAAGCACGCATCATCGCCGAAGTAAATGATCTTATTTTCAGAGCTAAAAATGAATAAAATCTCTTCAATTTCTTATTTAGGGTGCCAATGGTCCAACAACACCAGAAGCTGACGTTATCTTACTAAAGAATAATGTTCTAGTAATTCCAGGTAAGTGAAATACAAGTCTTTATCAGATATAAGTAAACTCACCATTATTCTAGATTTATATATCAATGCCGGTGGTGTCACAGTTTCTTACTTTGAATGGTTAAAGAACTTAAGTCATGTTAGTTATGGTCGATTAACATTCAAATATCAACGTGATACAAACTACTCATTACTTGGTAATTTTTGACATGATGCTATATGGATTAATCTTCGGTTCTTTCTAGAATCTGTTCAAAGCTCATTAGAAGCTAAATTCGGTCGTATGGGAGGAAAGATTCCAATTCATCCCAGTGACGAATTTTTGAAACGTATGGCTGGTGCATCTGAAAAAGATATCGTTCATTCAGGTCTTGAACAAACGATGGAGAAAGCAGCACGCGCTATCATGCAAACAGCTATGCGTTATAATCTTGGTCTCGATATCCGTACAGCAGCGTATGTGAACGCTATTGAAAAGATTTACAATGTTTATGTTAGCGCCGGTATCACATTTGGGTCATAGATTTATTTTCTCATCCTTCCCATTTGCTTTTTACATACAAACTTATAAAACAGAACAGAGAAGCATTGCTTCAAACGCAGCTATATTCTATCAGTCTATTTTTCGTTATTTTAACTCACGAAATTTTAACTTCATATCTTACAGCATATTGTCTATCCTAAATGATCGTTTGGATCGATGATTTTTTTTTCTCTGTAGAATTTATTTCAAAAAATAGAAAGAAAAAGGTTGAATGATGACTTAATTATAAGAAGTAAAATAAGCGGATAGATTCCAATAGACATAACTATGGAATTTTGCTTAGTAGATTACATTCCACTGCGTCGATTCTCTTCTGCCCTACTTGTCTTGCTGTAATTGATCGTGTTCGATTAATTATTAACAAAGCTTGATCGATACTGAATTGACACAGTCGTAACAATAAGTAGGTGATGGCACCAGTTCGATGTAGACCAGCTGCACAATGAATGATCATTTTCACAGGCGCGCTCTCAGTACTGTTCAAAAGAAGTTCACGGATGGACGGTACACGTTCAATTAATAAATCTACTGTTTCTTGTGATGATGCAAATACTGCTAAATCAGCACCTTCGATTGGGAGATGTAGCGACTGAATACCAGCGGATTGAACATGTCCGCAGACCTTTGTGTTTTTATTTTCCTTCTCATTGATTAGAGAGAGGATGTGAGTCACACCTAAATCTTTTCGAAATCGACCCAAATCACGTCGTCCTGGTAATGGCCAACATGCAATTTGTGTATGAGCTGAAATGGATACGAATTGTGGTTCTTTAGGTGCAGGTAATGATGGAATAGATTCATGATCATCGCGGTCGATGAAAAATATTTCTCCTAGAATTTGACAACGAATGTTGCGGAGAACATCTTCGTAAGATTCATTGATATCTTGCACAAGAATCTTCAGTTGATATTTATATATCCTATTGTTCGATGAAAATTGCCTGTTTAAGGTTAACGAGGATAATTGCGCATGTTGAACATCTTTTAAAATGATAAACATCGCATAGTCAGTTCGTTGATAATGAATGGCCGTCGATAAATAACGATCGATCATATCTTGATTACAAACCGAAGAAACATGGCAGTTATTTTTGGAAATGGGTAGATAATTCTTCGAACAAAATTCCTGGAATGACTGTAATTCTTCTTCAGTGCTTGCCACAATTCCAAGTCCATAATCGTCACTTTCATCTGGTTTGTTATCGATTGTACTCAATGTTTCGATACCTTTTCTTAAAATGTTAATTAGCTGAATAAGTTCATCTTTAGAATATTCTTCCAGTGCTTTGGATTCATTTGGCAAGCAGTTAAACGCTTTGAAAAACAGCTTTTCGTACGTTGTCATAGTCCGATTATATTTTGTTGTTTTTCTTTCTCTTCCTCTTCACAATATATATATATGCCTAACACTGATGCAATAACAGTCAATTTGAATTACCTGATGAAAGACACGTGAAGTGACGTAAGAATTCGCTGAGAAAAAAACTTCTGTTTGACTAACCCATAGCCGAAGTTCAATTGCACTTAGTTATGATAGACGGTCGTAATCTATCATGTAATTCTATCGTATATACACAAGACGAGATGTTGATATTACGAGCCTACTACTATTTGGCGTACAACATGTTGACCTTCTGTGGTTAATAGGAAATGTAGTTCGTTTGTTTTTTTTGATTCATACAAATTTCGTATCGAATTCGGTCGAGTTGAAGTTGAATAAACATTTGTTCACTTTTCATGTGTAAGTTTATACAGGAAGCAAATTGAACTGAGAATCGAATACTGTAATCATATTAAAAGTTTCAAGATTATATTACAGACTAATTCAACGAAAGGAAGACAGAAAAGAAAGAGAACGACACAAATGATAATGTAAAAGATTGAGTAACAGCCGAAGATGCATCGAATCACCGGTGGCTGTTAAGATCTTTCTATTCAGAAGAGAGAACGAAACGAGGTACTAATCTAGATAATTGCCTTTGTTTTATTACAAGAGAGAAGAAAAAGAAGAAACACCTGAGTTGAATTTTCAAACGAACTATTCACTCATCATACGGTGTCATTTGAACAATCTCATAAACATCATTATCCACATGAAAACGCAATTTTGATTTTTCCGATTGCAATCCACAGCAGAAGCAACAGCTCAGTATTGTGGTGAATAAAGTTGCACCAACAGCTGCAATGATTAACCAAAAGGGTAAGCCGAACCGTTCAACTTGAATTAACCAGGGATTCAAGGAACGAATCAAGGCGTCATCTTTAAATTCATATGTATAATCAGGTCGATAAAACCGTTCGTGTACCCATTCATATAGAAAGATACCCAAAGCTCCTGTGCCACTTAAAAACGATGCTAATGACATGAAACTAACAAATGCAAATGGGATTGAATAAAACCGCTCGACACAACTTATACAGAATAGAATTAATAAAGCCAGAAATGTTAATAATGGTGCAGCAAGGAAGAGAAGAAACATGACAAAATATCGAATACGTTTTGTATAATAATGAGATCCTTGTGGAGATGTTTCATACGATGACAAATAACTTTGTAATTCGTGATTGCCAAGCCAAGTTGATTGCCACATACAATTTCCTTGCGGCCAATAGTAACGTGTTTGATTGTACGGTCGATTACAATCCTTCTCGTCATAATATGACGGACAATCAGGTATATTATTACATCGCACCATCTAAACAAAGTAATAGATTGCATTCAAGGACAAGGAATAACGAAGGACCTTACACAGCAATCAGTACCAGGGCATTGGTTTTTCGGATCATGACATCGTTGACAGGTTAATGTTGAATTTGTTCGAAATTGTTGTTCAGATGCTGTCGGAGCTAGTTTAGGTGTTAAGAGATTGATCCATCGAAAATCTAGACAGTAGCCGAATAAACCGTAGTAAGAGCGAAATACATAACGAGTTGGTTTCATTTGCAATGGCAGTCTATTTGGAACGTCATTTGATTGTACACGTTGTCGTTCTTGCAACAGACTATGTTGATCAATTAAATCTTCATCTAGATAACTCCAACGCGTATTTAAAAACGCATAAAAATAAAGACCAATTGACGTCAGCATCGGCAGAACAATAAGCGTAACTAATACACTAATCTTCATCTTTGATCTATTGTGCTTTGAGTTTTCTTTTCTTCTTTCAAGTTAAGAATCTACAAGAGTCGAAGATAAAATAGTTCGATCAGATCAAAAGTATGACAAATAAAACAAGGATACGGTCGATTAGCAATCGATGGAGGAGAGGAAACACTCAAAAAAAAAAGAACACACGAGAAAGAAAGCAAGAAGAAATCAAACTAACAAATACTAACAGCATACGTGAACATAATGATGATTACTCATGCTGCTACTCAGTATGCCGAGTCAATACACCACCCGTCTGACTACCTCTTTACTTCAGATTCTGACATATCATCGTTTTGCGTATGCGGTTTACATTCTTCTTCTCTTCTTCATCATCATAGAAAATTTTTTCTTCTACTTACTGTTACACGTTAACCTTTCTCTTTTTCCCTTCTCTTCTCTCTTTCTCTTCCCTCGACTCTTATCCTCTAAAATATAATCAACGAACGATTTTTTTTTCGTACAAATGCGACAAATACACATAGATACACGTACATTAAGCGAACAAAAAGAATCGAGAGGCATCAGCATTTGAAACAATCTGCTATGCTTCTCCTTCTCGTTCAGTCAAGCACTTAACAATAGGAAGACACATCTCGATCTATTCACAATACTAATAAATTGTATTATGCACACATGCAGTCTCTCATGGACGTGCTTTGATCCTTACTACTCTAACTATCAGGCGTATACACACACACACACATCCAACTAAGTTGATTACGTATTCATTGACACTAATGCCGACATGCATAAACACAATGAATGGTTCATCTAATTTATTTGTATACATCTCTAGACGAGAAAGAGAAGAGTTCTCTACTGAAAAGGTAATTTGATGCAAACGATCAAGAGAATAAGAAATGTGTGACTAAAGCGTATTAAGATAATGTACCAATCTAATGATTTATGATTGACAACTGATGAAATACTTCTCTTGTCTAAACAAAACAAAGAACTGAGCAGGAAAAAGACAAACAAGTCTTCCGAAACAAAGATGTGTTAATTATTATTATCATATCGATGAAGGACAAACGAAGCGATCTATGGACTTGATAGAAAGAGAAGGATCGTTGATAAAAGTGATAGCATAAAAATAAAAAACAACAAACTATATATTTACAGCCACAAAAGAAAACGTTTGAGGTAGAAAAAAGGGTAACCAGCTGCGGTAACGAATAAAGAATGGATGCGTATAGCACTGAAGGCAGACACAGACACAAAAAGAAAGAAACGGACACCGATCGTGTCTATGTCAATGAGAACAAAACACATACGACGATCGTTTATATTCGTCATAGTGCATGATTTTTTTCTCATTAACCAGCTTAACTCATCTGATTGACTATCAGTCGCTCATGCCGTTGAAAACTAACGTTTGCCTATTCGCCTCAACACTTCTGATTAGGCACGAGTTGAAGGTTGTTATTTCGAGAAGATTTATGCTAACCTTGATCTTGTCATGCCATACATTGAGCATAATTCCATGATCGTTTACAAAGCAACAAGAATAACCGAGATAATGGCATCTTGAGTAACTCGAGAGCGTTATTTGTATACATTGAGTTGAAACAGAAAAAGGTTAAGTAAAAGAACAGATCCTTTCGAAAAAGTTCGGTTCAAGCATTTGTTTTATCTCAGATCATAAAGTTAACTTGTCAAGTTTGCTTACTCTGCTACCGAGATACACACTTGAATTAATGTTCGCAAGGCTAAACTAACTTGAGCAACTAAAATACTTCTGCATTTCAATTGAAAGCTGAGCTCTGAATGGACGCTGCGTCCTTCGAACCGTCGTATTTATATATACATTCATCAAAATAGGACGAAGCATAGCTTACCTTGATTTTTTCCATATGTGTTTATGATGAAATCAATTTCCTTCGAAGAATAAATATTTGAAGGATAAAAAAGAAAAGAAACCGTCTTTCAATGAACTTCAAGCTCTTCAAATAATTACTACTGAAGAGATGTATTTCATGTTGCTTCTCGATTGTCTTAACAGCCTCGACGTCATGTTTTATTGAAGTGCATACATTGCTTCTATCGAAACAACTACGACGAGTTGTAAAACAAAGTTTTCGAAAGGATTTATCTCGAAGTTTATAAAATGTGTATTCGACGCGAAAGATTACTGACGTTGACTAGCGCCGTCTATTGATTTCTTCGTCGATTTGAACAGTACAATACCTCTTGAAAGCAAAGAATAAAGAAGAAAAAAAAAGAGAAAATTGATCGATCGATCATTTCTCGTTCTGCGATTCTGGAGTCATTTTGCAAATATTCGCTTACATTCAGATCAAATGGCCGACACACGAACATTTTCATCATCTTCTTCAACTACAACAACAACAACTAACGTGAATAATTCAGTACCTACTATATCATCGCCATCGTCGGATGCTGACAATATCAATGGTTTAACGACATATGTAAGCAACAATCGGTACTTTGGCTTCAGAAAAACAAGTGACTTGTTTAGGTGAATACGATATTCCATCAGATGGAAGAAAAGTTCATGGCAGCTAGTGATCAAATGATGAATCGAATGAATGAGTTAGGCAAAAAGATCGACTCACTGGAAACTAATCTTGGTGATATCATATCCCATTTGCCGACCGAAGAATCATCGACACAGACCAACTCCAGTAAACAACAAAATAAATCGGAAAAATGAGAGACATTCTTGTTAGGTTTCTCACATTAATCTTTAGATTTAGATAAAAACGTGTTTGGTTGTCCATATATCATCTTGATTATTGTTTACTTTTTCCGAGATTGATGTTGTGCTCGGTTTTCATACATATGGAGGAGACTCGAACAAAATCCATTTCGTCTATCTTTATAGTACTTTGAATGTACTTCTTATCGATGATAATAATAATCATAAATAAAGAGAATTTACATCGGAAACTGAATCACTAGAGAACCATTATGTAGAAAATATTTTCGAGTGGATTTCATGATAGATCATCGAAATCAACTCAAATTCGATGTGTACAATGTTCTCGTGATGAAATATGATGCTAATTGTAATGTGTCATCAAAGGCGGCGATTGATGGACACATGAAGTGCATATTTTTTTTCTCAGATTACTGACAGTGACAGATATGGTTATGTCTAGGAAAGTTTACTTAACGAAAAAAGTTCGACTTTCCGACGATAAGTATCTCGAATCATACTGTGACGAATCTGTCATGTAGATATTTGATTTAAAGATCGATGCTCTCTTGTTAAAAAAGATACTACTTGTAAGATACCAGCGCCATCTATATTTGACAAAGATTATTTTAGAGACGTTGAAAATCGCGCATGAAATACTTTCAATTGGACAGGACGGCAGCGAAAACCCTTCTTCTTTATCTGGTATTCCTTGCTAATTGAATCAAGTTTTGGATTGACTTAATCATGAGTAGAACAACTTCAGACGCAACAACTAAAAAAGCAGCTTCATTTGAGCCACACGAACAATCAATGGATACAGATATGCAAGTATGTTCCAACCATGTGACCGAAGATAATGTATACAGTTTCATGTGTATAGAATGGTTCTGTTGATTTGGACAAAATGGCTCCTGAGGATATGACATCGAAAGAATACTATCTTGATTCGACCGCTCATTTCGCTGTTCATGAAGTACTAGTCATCCAATTAGGCTGGATAATAAGCTTTTCTTGTGATGATTTAGGAATTACTGAAGGATGAAATTCGCACGAAAACATTTCGTAATGCGATGATCAGCAATCGACATTTGTTCAAAGACAAAGTCGTCTTGGATATTGGCTGTGGCGTGGGAATTTTCAGTTTATTTGCTGCCAAAGCTGGTGCTAAAATGGTTATTGCCGTCGAAAAATCGAACGTAGTTGAATACGCCAAGAAGATCATTCGTGCAAATCGTTACGATAAAGGTAAATGATTGAATCTAAAAGAATCGAACTCCGCATTTCTTGATCTTTGTCTGAAGTGATTAAAATTGTCAAAGGTAAAATCGAAGACATCGAGCTACCAGAAGGAATTCAAAAGGTGGATGTGATTATCGCTGAATGGATGGGCTATTCATTATTTTACGACTCAATGATTCAAAGTGTCATTTATGCAAGAGACAAATATCTCGTAAGTGGAAATTGAAGATCGTTGCATTTTTTTGTTATGAGTAATTTTCTACCTGAGATTATCTAACCGATAGGGCTTACATTTCCACTTTCCTTGAAGTACCTGAAATCGATAGCATATGAATACATAATCAGGGAAAAAACGTTTGTGGCTTCGTTAAAGATCAATTTCGATATTTCGCTTTAGAAACCAGGTGGTGTTATACTTCCGGATCGCGCTACCGTCTATATCACTGGCATCGAAGATCGTGATTATAAGGAAGATAAAGTTGAATGTAAGTTTAGATGTTATCGCAAATGAATGCGAAGTTCGAGGTCGTTTAGGGTGGGCAAATGTTTATGGTTATAATATGAGCTGTTTGAAGAACTATGTTATGCGCGAACCATTGATCGATACAGTTGACAAACGTCAAATTTGCACCGATCATTTTGCACTTAAGGTAAAACGATAACCCATTTCATATGTTTGAGAGTGTGCTTATGAAATTCTGCTTAGACGTATGATTTGAAAACAATGACGGCGGACGATATTGACATGGATGTGAAGTTTCAATTACGTGCTGTACGCGATGATTACATTCATGCATTTGTCACCTATTTCGTAGTGGAATTTTCTGCATGTGCACAAAGAACGGTCATTAATACTGGTAAAATACTTCGAAAACGTTGTGACATCAAATCGAACTTTGTATTCTATATTTAGCACCCGGTGCCGGACATACACATTGGAAACAGACGGTTTTCTACTTTCCGGATTATGCAACAATCAAACAGAATGAAGTTTTAGAAGGAAGATACTATTGCAAAGTCAACCGTGAAAACACCGTAGGCTAATGCTTGAAAAACGATTTTATTTACTTTTGTTTGATATTTTCTATAGAAAAAAATCGAATTTGGCATCGATTTCGATTTTCAAGGTCAACTATCAAGTTTACACAGTAACAATCAGTATTTTATGAAAAGTTAATACGGTTTATTGTAACGTCGGAAACGCAACGAATCTGTTTTCTGTTTTTGTTTGTTGTTGTTTTTCTACTTCAGAACAAGTAAAAAGAAAAGAAACCCCGAACCATTTAGCTGCTAAAATCTACCATTATAACAATCAGTACGCATACAGAGGAGTATTACTATTAATTAAGATGTGTAACTTATCTTTTCACACATTCTTTAATCAATTTCTCGTTGTTTACCTAATAACACAAAGTCATTTGCATAGCTTAGATACATACTTTATGCATTACTCAATTGTTTGTAAAAACCAGTCGGAAAGATGTACATTCTTAATCTCGTGAACTATAACAATAACAGTGACTAAAGCAAGAAAAAAAAAGGTCCAAATGAGTAGAGAACAAAGAAAAGATCGAGTCAACAAATTATAAAACAAACATAATCATATAAAGCCAAGAGACAATAGAAACGGCTCGATCGATGACCGTACCTGTTCGTGAGAGAGAGAGAGAGAGAGGGAAGATGAAGACGAAAATAAATCTCTCTTCTCTTGACGTTTACGTCATGTTGCTTTCGTTATCGATCGGTATGTGTTTGCCATCGTTGATCGTTCATGTTTCATCATTGTTCTAATCGAGGAACAAACCACTTTGTAAAATCTCGCACACTTCCAGAAGAAGACGACGAATTGTTATCATGCATTTTTCACTCTATTTTCTCATTCTGCTGTCCTTCCAAAGTAAAACCCGTAGATTTTATCGACTCGAACTCATTGATTTCGTTTTCTCTAGTCTCCTTTCTTCTCGCCGCTGATCAAAAATTCAAAATCGTCTGTTATTTCACCAACTGGGGTAGGGGACTATTCACATCTCGATTCATTCTAAATATCTATGCTTGATATCATAGCGATGAAACGTCCTGGTGGAGGTTCAATGCTACCAGAAGATATCGATCCATGTCTATGTACACATATTATATATGCTTTTTCCGAAATGGAAAATAACCAATTGATTCCCATGGAAAAACATGATCTTAAAGATGGAAGTCAACCAGGTACGTACGCGTACCGATTCTCAATCTGTAAAAAACTCGTTTGTTTAGGCTTTTTCGAACGATTCAATGCTTGGAAAAGTGTCAATAAGAATTTGAAAACCTTACTTGCCGTCGGTGGTTGGGTATGCTACTCTTATAGAGTAAAGATGTATTAGTATACTTCGAATGATGTATTTAGGATATGGGAATGAAAGATTTTGCAGGTAAAATAATACAGCTTGTTTTGTTTGTTTTCACTTCAGCTGTCTGAATGAAATACGATGAGGAAAGATGTTTGTCATTGATAGGTATTGTTAAATCTGAGAAAACAATGAAGAAGTTCGCTGAGTCAGCAGTGAAATATTTACGAAAACACAAATTCGATGGTCTGGATCTTGGTTAGTAAATGTTTACCATTCTTCGTGATGAATATCCATTGATTTTATATTTAGATTTCGAATATCCTGGTAAAGATCATTTCCTACGGATTTATTTCGATGCGTCATTTCCATCATAGGTGTCGATTGGAGAGATAGTCCTAAAGAAGATAAACAACGCTTTACCAAAATGTGTGAGGTCCGTATAAGAGTATAAAGACTAATTCGAGTGAACTCAAGATTTCATCTAGATTTTATATGCAACATTCGAAAAAGAAGCAGAAACAACTGGAAACGAACGTCTTCTTCTTACTGCTGCTGTGGCAGCTGCGAAAGTAAATATCGATAAAGCATACGAAGTGGATAAACTTGTTCCGTAAGTTTTGTTTTCTATTACATAATCTACATTGCAATGATCATTTTCATTTTAGAGTAATCGATTGGTATGTTTAATCAAGGATTAACTTCAAAAAACTACTTTCTACTTGAATAAAAGGTTTAATTTGATGACTTATGACTTTCACGGTTCATGGGATCAAAACCGAGCCCATCATTCTTCATTGAACAGTAAAGATAACGAAAAAGACGACACCATGTACATCGTAAGTTTTACAGACATTGAAGTGATTTTTATTCTAGTCGAAATGTATCTTTGGCAGGATTTCGCTGTTAAATATTTCCAAAAATTAGGTATGCCACCAAGCAAAATGATGTTAGGTATGGGCACATACGGCCGAGGTGATACACCGGCAATGCCTTACACAGGATTTAAAGGTGAAAATGGATTCGTTTCCTACTATGAAGTAAACCAGTTGAATTGCTAGTTAACGTTTTGAAATTGAGTCATTGCTTTCAGAGCTGCATTCAAATTGTTTGTGAAAAAATGAAAGAAACTTGGGATGCTAAACAACTTGTTCCGTACATCGCTGGACCGTACAATCAACCAAAGGCTGGCGTAGAAAATGTTCGTAGTATGAAATATAAAGTAAGTGAGAGGTTAGTAAAACAAACAGAAAAATAGGTATGTTCTTTGGTCTAAAAGGCAAATTATGTTAAACAAAATAATTTGGGTGGAGCAATGATTTGGACATTGGATATGGACGATTTTCGAGGTCAATTTTGCTGTCAGGGAAAATTTCCGTTGATCAAAACGATCAAAGCTATTCTACATGGACAAGTGAAGTTATTGCCAAAAGAGAAAATCTGCTCAACTTGTCCAACAAAAGAATACAAAGGTAGGAAAAGTACAATTTCATCTGAATGAAAAGATTTATGAATGGTATCATTTAGACTTCAAACCACAAACTCAACCGCAGACGACTGAAAAACCAACGAAAAAACCAAAGAAATCCAAACGTGATGCTGATTCGCCAAGTATGATATGCCATTTTCTAATGATAGAAGAAAAGAAGACATCCTCCTGTATTTGTTATCAGCACCGGAAGATGTATGCGAAGAATTGAAAGATGGACAATGGCCTGATCCATCTGATTGCAAGAGTTACTTTCTATGCCGAGGGGTTGGTAGCCAATGGGGTGAACAAAAACGCGAAGTTTGCTATACAGGTCAGTTACATAAGTTGTCTTTATCTTAGTTCTATAGTATGTCTATGTTTTTTTCAGGCGCTTATTTTGATCCAAATGAAAAAACTTGCAAATGGGTTGGCATGGATAAAGTGCGTTTTGCCATTGTTTTCTTTTTATGTTTGAACTGTATTTTTCTCAGTTGAATTGCGAAGAACTTGTTGAGGGTTACGAAAATCCAGTAGCTGGTGTGACACGATCTGCAGACAAAGGCGACGATGATGGGGATGATGATGGTGATGATGATGATGACACTTCTCACGATGCAGGCACATCGACGAAAAAGAAGAAATCGAAGGAGTCTGCATCCAGCAAATCCATATCAATACTCAGTCGTACGACGTCCGAGTTCGACACCTGCGCATCAGAAAAAGCGGTCGACTTCGATCCTGTGCAAGGTACTGAATATATTCCTTCCCTTCTTGCCGACATCATTCTTCATCTACTGATAGCCTTCTATAGGTATGCTATGCTACTCTTGCGACAGTCAGAAGGAGAACAGCGATTGTCAAATGAGTCCCAATCAGACGGCGACGATCATGTGCGAAACGAAACAACAAATTTGCTACAGCAAAAGAACAACAAACACCGCAGGTTGGAAACGAATTTCCTATCCATAGTTAATGCCAAATCGAATATTCTGTGCTTTTAGGAAAACTACTACAGTTCAGTCGGGGTTGCACAGCACCTCCAACATCAGCGTCGGGCAATACTACCCATCAAGCACAATGTTTGTCGAGCAAAACAGAAGGCAAAACCATATGCGTGAAGTATTGTCAAACCAGCACATGCAACAGCCAGGACATAAGGTAATCATCTTTCTTGTCCTGAGCTTTCTCACCTGAAACTCGTTTGTTTTTTTAAGCGATGGCGCTTTGGTCGTTACAGTCACGCGAATCACACACGTGGTTTATTATCTTTTAGCTTTATTAATCGTTGTTATATCCAAACATCATCAGTGCTACTAGTTATCACAATATGTTTCATCGTTACAGTTCGGGAACTTACCTTTTTTGCTTATCACTAATCGCTATTCTGTTTACTTCTTGTGTGTTACTTCTTCACTGTATATATCTGCTCTATTGATTTCGTATATCACTTGTGAACAAAAAACGTACTCAAACAAATACATTGCGAAGAAAAAGATAGACATTACGCATAAAAACTCATATGCAAATTGTTGCATCATAAAGTTGTTCTCCAGAATCTCCTTTCTCTTCGTAATAACAGTTTAACTACTGAATGAGTATGATTGTAAAAGATGTACTTTTCGAGATGCGTAAGTCAAATATGACACATCATGCGACAGTGAATGTCTTCTAAGAACATCAATTTCGTTCAACACATTTTCGATAAGTCATTGAACGACGAATTTTTTTGTCCTCTTGACATTCGTTTAAAGAAAGTGAAAAAAGACGAAAGAAAACGATTTTTTCGTTCTTGATATGAAACTTTTTTTCACTTTGCTTGATCTCCCCAAGAGTTTTTATCACTGAAACACATTGACTTTGCTCTCTTGCGAAATGTTATTTTTACGATGCTTTCCGTCGTGCTCTTTTTACCTGTCTTTTGCTTTCTGCTTTATGTCCATTCAAAGATTTCTGTATAGCAAATGGTGAAATGGATACCATGTCATTGATTATGTAGGTATATCGACTAATTGAATTCAACAATTTATTTCAAACTTTAATTATTAAGTCTTTTGGGTGTGATCATTCCGGTAGTGGTGGCTATTGTTATTTGTATTCTTATGTATCATTCTGGTCAGCAGCAGTATCCCAAACCGCACCGACTAACAAGTAGGACGTGACTTGAGTGTTCAGGAGTAAATGAACCTTATCGATGATTGAGAAAAGGTCAAGGGTGAGATGTTTCGTTTCCACTTGAAACTAATGGAAAAGAAAACAATGAGATCTGATGAACATATCCTTGACTTTGTTTACATAAAAGTTTTTTGTCTATATCGAAGTATTACTTTAGACTCGATCGGTCGTTTTCGTTGTCCGCGCGATCGGATCGTTCGGGAAAACTGTACAATCGATGTAGCAACTGTTTACCGCAATCAACAGCAGCATCGACTACGTGAACGTTCCCCAAACTCGGAACAATCTCCGCCCTCGTACACTAGTTCAATGTATCAAACAAGACGAGAACAATTACCGTTATTTTCATCGATTCACCTAATACCGACTATACACGCGACAGTGCCAATAGACACACCGCCGCGTGCATACTCAACGATGCCACCGACATATTCCGAAATCTTCTTAACACCTCAAACAACAATGAATGGATGAAGAGATTACTTTTCCTATAGTAAACATCGTTTTGGCATGGCTTGTTTTCTGGATAACTGATAACGACGACTGATAAACAACATAAGTCTACTTTGAGAAAAGAAAATATGCGCGATTCTGTAACACATGCATTCTCCCATGATTATCTAATAATCTATTATTAAATAAAATTAAATAATAATTACATCGAATAGTATTCCAATTATCCGACCATGACAAATATGAATTCTGAATGACGTTGATCAATAAAGTACAAAGTGGCATCAGAGACATGACACTCTAGAATGCAAAATATACAAACGTCGTTATCTTTATACAAATGCAAAACCCTATTGCTGACATGGGTGCATTGTAGAAAAATTCTGATATTTGTACGAACACATTATTCAACACAGTACTGTAACAGGATATATTGCTATAATAACTCTGATCTGTATGCGACCTATAACATCGGTGTGAAACTAACACGATTGAGCTAACATGAGTTAAAAAGCTTTTCGTTAAATAAGTCCCGCTCATGCGAACCTACATCTTAGTTGTTTCACTACATAGGAAACAAAATTCTACATAAAATGTTTTCAAGGCTCGTTCTGGGAATAAAAATATCATAAATGAAGGACTATACGAATGGTCAGTATCAATTGATACCATTGAACAGTATCACAGCTATTCAATGTTGCCATTTTATGTTCCCAAATCCAAAAGAATATGTATCGACTATAAGTGATGATAATTTTACTCAAGGAACAATATCTTTTAAAATATGATGTGATGCTTAAAAGAGATTATGTTCAATAGAAATCGATGAAGAAAATCATACGGATGGAATTAAATGGGAATGTGATAATATTTATACGCATTGTACTGGTATATGAAATTGTTGGGATGAAAAAGATGAATTGGATTGTGATATATCAGCAGCTATATTTAATTATTCTTTCGATACATTTCAATTTATATATTTATCGATTGGTAAACTTAGTGATGGTCAAGTTGATTGTCTTAATGGTACGAATGAACCAAAACTTTGTCCTGGAATGTATGAGTACTTTGGAAGATTTTATTGTATGAAAACTAATCCATCAGTGTGTATCTCGTACTTGGATTTATGTGATAACGTGAAAGATTATCCAAACAGAGACGGTGAACAATTTTGACTAACAAATCGACCAATTTCCAATGGTATCTGTCGAAAGAACAGAGATGTGCAAATATAAACACAAACTGTACTTCAAATTTTACTATCAAATATTTCTATGCTACAATATTGCAATCCATATATCGACATTCTGATGTATTCTCATGTATTGACTCTACTTTGGACCTTCAGGTTCTTTTACATCATAAAGTCAAACCATTTTAATGTTGAGAATCACTACTACGACTGGCATCATTTTTCTCGTCTTGCTCGATGAAATGACAGTACAAGCTAACCGACTCTAGGCTTTTTAGACGCTAAGTAAGATCAGTACATGAGAATACATGTCAGCGCAAGGGTCACTGTCTTAACTGTTTCACATTGAAAGTAGAGTGATAGGTATATAACTGAAAAAGCCTTTATTCCCAGAATCAATCAGATTATAAAATGTACTGGTATTCGCGCAACCCTGAATCGTTGTGACGTGAAATTATTCTTTGTACCAACGTATATTTGCCAACCTTGTTTTTCTTTGGTCTACGTCAGCCGTATAAACACTTCTATGTATTGCTTTTGCATTGAAATAGAAGAACCTTGTATTGCAAATCGAAAAGTACTAATAGCAGATTCTTGAAAGACAGAATGTCAATCCGAAGCTCAGTAATAATCCTACTGGTAAAAGAATGTGTGACGAAAAACTGATGACGAAGTGTCAACTTCGAAACGTTCTGCTTTATTGTTGTGTATATAATACTAATACCGATTTTTGTGTGCACCTTTCGGAAGGAAAGTTGCGTAGGAATCGATATTATCATCCTATCAAAACGTCGTCTATGTATGTAGACCAATGCAGGTGTTTGCACATATCACACAACGAAAACGAAAAGAGAAGAAAAAATGAGAAAAAGAAAGAGAAAGAAATCCAATAAAGAAAATAAGCGGAGGGGGAAAGTAAAACATGATTCTTTTTCTGTCATATACTCATTCATTTATTAGTATAGCACTAAAAACAGTACGTGTTGTAGACGAATCAAAATACCGAGAATTTTGAATACAAAAACACTTGTTTAGTAAAACAAACATGTTCCGTCAACTTCCATCAAGACCTGGCAATGATAATCGTGTTCCGACGACAGTGATACCAACAAATTCGAATAATAATCGCGATATATTCCGATCGAAGCCCTTCGATGATGCAACACATATACTTATGTAAGGTGTCTATGATAATTCTTCGTTTAAGGACGTTACATTCATCGCTTTCAGTTTGAAAACAAACGATATCAAATATTTGATGAATAACTTTGTCCTTGTGACTATTTATTAAACTATATCATATGACAATAACATTTGTTCTGTTTCAGTCTTTTAGTAATACTGGTTCCAGTGGCTTTTACCGTTATTCTTTGTACTCTTATATATTGTATTTATCGTTACAATAGAAAACGATCCCAAAGCGCACCAACCGATTCTCCCATTGGTACGGCATTGTCATTCTAGCGCTCGTAAACTGTTTTGACCTTTCGTTTTCGTTTAGTATCTACCGGTCATGCCAGTGCTCCTATTGCCACGGTTATCTATAATGCTCATCACAGTCCGTTTATGTTCGAAGAAGCACCTCCATCGTATGATTCGTTAGGAGATGCTAAAAAAGATCTTCATCAAATAACAACAAATGAACAAGTGCAAGTAACAATACCATCACTAACAACAATTACGACTGCTGAACAAATTCCACCTCCAGCATACATTCATTTGAACGAGCCAGGCAAATGATGATTTGCATCTATATCTATTTATAAAATGTACACATTCCAAATGGAAAAGATCTTATTCGCGGTGAAATCGGTCATAGTTTTTTCAGTATTTTCTCATTGAAAAATATAGAATGAACCGTAGTCGACAATGTTCACGATACTATCAAAGCTGTACAGGTTCAGCCGTTCACAGGTGCAATTTCTTGAAAATAGAAGTATCTCACCTACTTGGTTGATAGCGATTTGTGTATAAAAAACACTGCTTTTCGCGCTGACGCAAGTCATTCAATCTACTCTCCGGCGATCGAAGTGCGTTCCATGACTTCGACATTTCATAATGCACTTTTCCCGGCTAGAAGCCATCTAAAAACATATGAGTAATAGCTAGTAAGCATAGGTAGGAAAATGGTGAATGATTATAGAGAAAAAGAAAGAAAAAATTCCATTCTTATGTTGAAAAATACTTGAGCTTCATCCTTTGCGACAACAGGAGAGAAAAAACGGGCGAAGCTATGATTATGTATTCAGTTTTTTCTTCTCCTCTTCTTTTACTTTGAAAAAAAAACTCGATCAAGCAAACAAAATGGCAAAAGAATGAATTGATTTGTCGCTTTTTTTCTTTCTTTTTCTCAACCATTCGTTTCAATCACCAGCATCGAAAACAAACAAACAAGAAACACTGCTCTTCTCTTCATTGTATATGTGTGTGCAAGAATTGACAAGTAGGAAATGAATACATTACTACCGGTTACTATTTTGTACGTCCTCGTCTTCCAATGCTTCGACTTCATCAAGGTTATTCATTTCAACATAAGTTTCAGATCAATTAGATAAGCGTTTATTGTATTAATAGGTCGAAGCCACAGAAATATGCTTCTATCGACTTCCGAATTCTACGCGAGTAGCGGTGAGGTAAGGGCAACTTCGATTAGATTCAACTCGAACTGAGATTTCCTTTTTTCTTTTCTTCTAGCTGTAGCGATGCTTGTTGTACAACGATGGGGGTGTCGTCTGATACAACCTGTTGTTCAACTATTTCATGGGGTTCGATGTAAGTCAATATTGATTTGGAAAGCGCTTGTCTTCAATGAGTTTTCTCTCTAGTGCAATTCCGTTTTTTGTATTTACTGGTGTCTGCGTCCTCGCTATTTGTATTCTATATTGTCGGCCATTATGGAAAACATGTTTCTGTGGGCATAAATGTCCTTGTAGTCATCGTTCTCGAGGTATAATTGACTTTTTCTACCACAAAAAATTCGAATTTTCATCAAATTCTAGTAACTACACCTACTCCAAGTCCTACATATGTAAATCCTGTTTATATAGTGAATAATGATGATTTGCCAGATTATGATACAATCATAAAAGACACTTCCATAAAGGACGGAATACCACCACCTTACACGTTTGTCACAACACATCCGGGTGATTTCGGTATTGAACCAAGGGCGCCAAGTGCACCGCCTCAGTATCATTCCAGACGTAGTTCACTGTCAACTTCACATCCAACCGCTCCTGTTGAACCTTAGTATACATATATCACTGTTCTATAGTTGGTGCTCGATTTATATCTGTTTTTTACTTGAACTGATTCTATTTCAAACAATACCGGATTCGACGTGTTTGACGAATGAATTTGGTTTTTGTAATAAAAGAAAAACAAATATTTCGGCTCGTTGATCTATGCATCAGTGCTTCTTATTATCTGCAGATAATCTCATCATCGATGCGATAGTACATGTACTCAAATGAAAGAATTTTATCGCTCAAGGCTAATAAAATCGAAGATGACAGAGGAGGAGAAGCAATCCGAGATAAACTTGCAATAGAAAAACAACATGTTGTCTTTGATCTTCTAAACTTGAATCATTCCTTCTGCTAATCCCATTCAACTGGATCAAAAGTTTGATTTGACACTTAGTACACGCGTATATGCATATCGCACCTGACGAATCGACTTTTTCCCGCTTTAATTGTTTGTCTACTTAGCAATTAAGTGTCATTTTCTCTAATACTGCTAGTAGTAAAATCAACATTGATTATTTCTTGTTTGAAGCTTGCCGAGTGATCGACCGAACCACTTCGAGTGTGCATATCAATCAACTAATACATCACCCATTCGATCATTAAATTAGATTGATGAACATCTGAATTGTGAAGAGGAAAATTTCCGCTCTCGTGTTTACAGTACAGACAGTCAAACGGAAATGAACTTTAACCGTAATATACATGGACTGTGTAGGTGTTATACAGATACTTCAGAATACAATGGCAAAATGCAATAGATAGCATCGATCTTGTCTGTTTATCGTTGGTTCCGGTGTGCTTAGTATATATGAGACCGAACGACGCCTACGACGTGCTGTTTAGTCGTCACGATGATTTGTTGACGCCAATACCATGCAGCTCGAAAGCAATTAGATAACTGTCCAATCACTGTTTTTATATGTTCAAATGAACAGAAACTATTTCTCTCATTTTTCTGTTGTTCTCCAATGACTAATGTGTCTATCGATGGTCAATTCGGTATCTTTTTGAAAAAAAAAGAGAAGTAAAATGATGTTTGTCACTTTGCAAACATCACGATAGGTACGAAGACAAATTGATGCGGTAGAACATCAAATAAAAAAGAATTGCCTATTGAGACATCGTACTGTGAACAATATAGAAAGTGACAAAGAAATAGGTGAAACACAAGTACTTGCTATTGATGAGCGCATGCTCGTGTCTGAATTGTTCTCTTTCATACGCTAACAATGACAACATAATCTCGTATTACTGCTCCTTTTGTTCGAATGATGTTTTCCAGAAAAAAAGAAAGTGCACAACTAGAGATGGTAAAAGTCATTTATTGAAATAGAGCGATTGTTTTCCTCTGCATGGCCCATTCATAGTTAATCAAGCGTATTGGCATTCATTAGATAAGACAAAGCTTTCTAACACAAGAGAAAGCAAAGGAAACAATTGCATTCTGCCTGTTGATATGCCACGTGTTTCACGCCTTAGTGAAAATCAATTTATCAGCATCGAAATCTGTCTATTAAACAATGTTTAGATTGTAGGAAATAATAGAGTCGTTTTCTCAGTCTATTTATTCACACCTGCGTATGAACGCAATCAAAATAACAAACTTGAGCAACACAGTCAGAATTGATAACGCAGGAGAAAGACTTTGAGATTTCCTTTACTTTATTAACATATGTGTATCTCCTGGGACTGTCAATCAATCAATAGTTCGATCAATTCCACTTAACACACAATTACTTTCTAATCGCCCCCATTCTTGGATACCATTAATGTCCAATTTCACTTACTAAATAGCGAAGGGATTACTACTCCAGTTTATGCTAATATAGCTCAGTCATTTTCGAATGAATATTCCTTAAAATAATCGTCTTATACCGCGTTTTCAGACACAGATAAGCACGAAATATGGAGAATATGTCAACACTAGAATGATGTTGTTAATCCTCCTGTCTGCAAAGACACGTGTATGCGTGTATCCGAACGAAAAAGGAAAGAGGCAAGTAGAGGTCACGAAAAAGTAGCAAACTCGTTTTGTTGCTAGACAACGTTGACGAAAAGTTGACCGAAAGGAAAGGACAAAAGTATCTAATTCTCTCGTTCTTCATGTTTGAGAAGAGAAAGGAAAGAGAACATCATTATAAAATGTTCTTCTCCTCGTCGACAACTATAAATAGAGAGAATTAACACTCAATCATTCATTCAATCAAAAACACGATTGCCTATCGGTCACCACTGGTGATACGCACGCACAACATACATCACTTTCTCGTTCTGTGCTGAGACATCACACCATCTATAAAGACGTGTGAGGCCGCTAGACTACAGCGTGTTACAATGACTGAAAGCACAACTCTATATCCCTTATCAACACTTGTATCGCACAAATCAATGATGATTGTGAATATCAATCGAACATATTCACATCTCCCCGATATTGTGAATGATTGTGAGCAACGACAAGTTCCTCAGTCGTCTTCGAACGATCAAACCAAACTAATTTGCAAACAAATCGCACAATCCTTACGGGTTGTTGCCGATCAAATGGATCAAAAATACTGTCAAGTAAGTTCATTCAACTCTGTTTTACGTTCATAATCTATTTCTATTGTTTCTTTTAGGATGGCGACTTCAATCGTAATCTTCATTATCTATCCATACGTCTTCTATGCCAATCGATCTTCTGTACCGTATGGACTCGAACATTATTACCATACATTCTTCTCTTTTGCAAAACTAAATCATTCTTATACTGAAACGAATTATTTCGATTGTATTCCGAGTTTCTAGTAATCAATTTTTTAAACGTTATGTTCTACAAAGAACAGTGTGTTATATCTGTTTGTAATTGTTTAGTCATAAATATATATATTTCAACAATTTACTGCAGAGAATCATTCGATCTATAAACAATCAACAGATATATATATATTTTTTGTAGATATGCAAGCGTAGTTAATATGCTAAATACTTTGAGAAAAAGATTTCACCTTACTACGGACCATTTGTAATAGATGGCGTAGAATACCATTCGATTTCCTTGATTGGTTTCATACTGGAAAAAACACTTAGAAAATCAACTTTGTCTTTTTATCGAGATAAGCTTGTGTCAAACATGAATTTTTCATTCGTTTCCATCTACCTAAAATTTAATTGGTCACCAGTAGTAAACTATATCGACGAGATTTCACCATTCATTGCCTTACTTTCATAAAGGTAAGCGAAGCCGCATGATTTGGTGTTGAATTTAACAAGAACAATCGATAACTGTATCTCCTATTCTAGAGGAATCGATATGTCATCGTCATCGTCCATTGAACAACAACATCAAGAATTTAAACGACAAATGTCGGCTCATGATACTTATCCATGTTTTCTTTTGGATCAAACTTTTCAACAGCGTATTTCAACTCCTTCATCCAATGCGATGCCATCATTTCTATCGGCTCAAGCATTTTCTCCATTAGCAAAGAGTCCCATGCCCACATTGGCAACAAATGCAAGTCGATTATCAGCGAAACAATCGAATCAGAGTCGTTTATTTGCTGCAAGTCCATCGAGTAATTTAACTTCTAATCGGCCAACAACACGTTCGACCACACAAATCGTTGACGTACCAACGGAAAAAACCATTGTTCCATTACGAACAATGACAGATGTGTTTCCTGCTTTCTCCTACACAGATATGAAGACAACAAAGAAGAAGTCTTTGAATTATTCGATGAATAGTGCAAATCAAAAGCCGTCAGGTGCCACAGGCGTGTCAGTATTTGGCTTTCGCGAGGAAGATATAGAACTAATAATTCAGCAATTCCACGATATCGGTCAAATTGACAAAATTGAACGTCCACTAGGCTGTGAAAGTGGTAATTTCCTCAACATAACTTATACTAGTCATGTCTCCTGTCAAAATGCTCTCAATCGAGATGGAGTCAACTTCAATGGATATATGATCGGCGTTGTACCATTAATGACAAATTAGTATCAATTGAATTCTGTTTTTTTTTATTGTATGTTACTTATTCAGATAGAAATAAATAAATAAATCTTTCTAATTATACACACGCACACATTGGACTCGACAGAATGTGTCATCGAGGACACAAACTTATTTGGAATGAATATGGTTTCATCTTAGTTAAAGTGCATCAACGAACAAACTATTTCTCCGATGAATTAACCACTTCTATCCAAGGACAACAAAAGATATTCATTGTGAGTTTGAACATCGAGTAGAAAACGTATCCAATTCGTAATGCTCCTTGCACTTGAAAAGAGGATAGAGATACAACGTCATTCATGATCTATTTATATCAATCGACGATCTATTATTTTGACAATGATCGAGTAGCTATTGAAATATAAGTTGTTTGTACTCCTGACTACAATGTCTTGTTAAGAGTCGATTTCCGACACTGTTTCTATACATGATAGTTGGTTTTGTGTGGGTCCCAGCTACAGGAGCACTGTGAATTTTGTCGGTTATAATATATCCATTAATTATTGAGAACAGAGCATATCGTGTTGCCGGAACACAAGCGAATCTATTGATTAGGTTTAATTTGTTTGACAATCGAAAGACGATATTTTAGTTAAGGTTTTCTCCTCCCATGCACAGCGACAAGCAGGATGTTTGATTGATAAGTTATCTCCAATCAAGTCACAAGACAGCTAGATTTTTGTGCTTAGATCATTAGCACTGTAATATAATCTTTCATCACGTCGGAAATGGTGACATGAAAAAAACAACAAATGAAAGTCACCTAATGACATTATGTTGTTATTAGTCTTCTGTTTCATTTCGAATACTAATGAAACAGCCGTAGATGTGTCTAAGAAGAAAGTTATTTTGCCACTTGGATTGTCGTTGCTAGAAGTCTCGAACACATCGGAAACGAAAACAGATGAGAGTGGTGTTTTATGAAAATAGCACCGATGGGAATTGTGTGACTTGTTTATTAAATCTTTATTGTCAATATTTGTTGTGTGTTGAACGGTGAAGGTTGATGAGAATCCGTCGACGGGCTGTTTTTCATTGAAGACAATTGTACAGTTGAATTTGGAGAGTTAAGCATTGGAGATGGCAATAATGGACGCAATTGTTCATCGGATTTTCTCAGTGGAATTTGGTCTAATTGTGACGATGACACGTTCAAAGCATTCTGGTTCAAATCGTCAACTTTGATGCGAATCATTTTCGAATCATTTGTAGTGGCTGATGACGAGCGCGATATACACCGATGGTGTGCTTCTATTGATAATTGGTTTTGCTTTAAACTTGACCGTTTCCTCTGCATTGTTTTCATATGATTCGGAAATAGGTTCAGAATGAATTCAATTAATGTCTGTCGGAATTTTTGACCAAAACAGCAATAGAGTAAGAAATTGGTGGATGTATTGAGAACAAGAAGTAGAACACCAACAGAGTTTAACGTTTGGAATTTTAAACTCTTTGTTGGTGCTTTATGATCAATTGCATACCAAACATTTAAGACAAGCAGTGGTAATTGGCTAAGCACGAAGGCAATAACAACTGCCACGAGCATTAATGTGATATGATAATCAGCTGTTTTCTTCCTAGCTGCTATTGTTTTGCCAACCAGACTTTGCTTGCGACGTTTCTTTTTAATCAAATTTTTAATAATATTCGTATTAACACATGCTAATGTAAGTAGTGGCACAACATAAACAACAGGGATGTAGACATAAATTCTTGTATATTTATAGATTTTCTGTCCAAACTTTGTTAGTCGACACACTTTGTCTTTCGGATCATATTCTTGTTCGAGCCAATATGGAATACAGTAGAGAATGGAAAAAAGATAGACACAGAAGATCGCGATTAAGGTTCGACGTTGAGTTAAGATATGTTTGAATTCAAGCGGAAATTTCACCGATATAAGCCGATCTATCGAAAGCGCAAGTGTCAAGTAAATCATTGATAAAACTATGGTATTATAAACAGGTGTTGTAGGCAAACGTAGAAGAAGGATTTCAAACGCAAACGGAGGTTGATTCGACATATATACACTATATCCTAACAGATATCTCATTGAATAAGTTGGAATAAATATAAGAAGAAAGAGTATATTTGAACATGAGATTGCTGTTAAATAAATATTCGTTGATGTCGTTCGCATCGATGGGGATATTAGAACTAGGATAGTTATAATATTTCCAACGATGCCGAATATGCTTAATACCATACCGATGTAACCCCAGACAACAAGACGAAACAGTAGAATATAATCGACACTGTAATCGATATCGATAATTTGTGTAGTATTAGATATAAACGACGAGTTTTCAGTTGAATTATGTTCCATGGCAATCTAAAAATGACATGAAAATAATCAATTGACTTTCCGTATATTATCATGGATAGAACAGAAGATTTCCATATGCTTTCTTTCAAAACAACAAAAAGAATAGACAAACATCTTTATTGAGATGAGACTCGATCGGTCCTACGAGAATAGCGGATGTGTAATATCCGCCTGTTAAGAAAAGAAGAAGAAGAAGAAGAAGTATCTATGTCGAACTATAATGGATTGCCATTTTTAGTTGTAAAGATATGAACGTTGAAGAATAAAGAGCAAAAGAAAGACGACGCTCTTTCTATTATTAATTAGATGTAAGCATTGTTTGTCTACAAGAAATCTATTGCAGGGAAGGAGAGAAACCCGTCTATAACAATGATAAATTATGCAAATTAATCGAGAGGTCATTTAAACATAATATTTGTCTACTAAATGAGCGAAAAACTTAGTCGACATTTCCGTCATACCTATTTCGGAGGCGAAATATGCATCTGTTTCCCTTCTCCAATCTCCCTTATCTATAAATTAATAGAATAAATATAGGATTTTGGTATGCTACTGACGAAATAATGATTAACGCATAAGAATGTAAACTCAGATGTGTTAATTCGATAGATAGACGTCGGAGTGTTGACTTGTCTAAAATAGAAAACCCGCCTCTGTTTGTCAGTGACGGCAAAATACTTCCAGTTTTACATAATACCATAGCGATAATTATTCTTTTTTTTAATATTCTCTATCATAGCTGACTTTCCCCCATGGACTAACTTATACATTGATCTTCTCCCATTAACACTCGGTCGGAAGGTTAGGGGAAGTTTTAAAGATCGTGTTCGGATTCACTTTATGAGAGGAAGGATGAGAAATATGTTTGTTAATAAAAACTATCATAAAAATAGATCGTTAATGACAGGAAAAAAGAAGATATATATCAGTAATACGGCTATGTTCGTGTAGCTTCTAATGAATTGAGATCATATAAGTCCATCGCGGGAACAAACTTCAATCTATTTTAAATAACTCACGCCTTTAATCCAATCTAATCGAAATGACAGTTTCGACAAACATTTCTCTTCTTATTTAACATGATTGAATGACCAATTAGAGGAAACGATGATTGAAAGTCGTCTCGGATGATAATAACGAAAGTTTCTTCTTTCCGAAGGCAAATGAGAAAGCAAGTTTCAAGTTTCTCCTTACTAATATTCATTCATATATAAATAACAATCGAGATTTTCCTTCTTTCGATTCCAACTTGTCGCTTTTCTTCTTCTTCTTCTTTTTTATACTATTACTACGCTGTCATCAGAAAGAATGATAGAAAACATCGAAAACATGATGGCAGCGCAGGAAAAGAACCTAGAAAGACAAATACTACTCTCCTAACTAATTTCTCTCGTTTTTTTTTCTTTGTATGAACTTAACAGCCATTCTTTTTTGCTGATAAAGTTTCGTCGGTTGAACCCGTCAATTATGACACAGGGTGCGTGGGAACGAGCCGATTATTAGTGTGCAATATTCTCCGTAATTTTATTCACTTCCGAAAGCGAACAGAGCAAAAGACTGCTTTCGTAATGAACTTAAACGAAAACAAGTCAGCTGATTGTTTTTCCCGGACGAGTTTCAAACTCAATTGTGATTTGCTTGTTGTCGTGCAATAATAGCACATAATTTTGTATATAAAATAACCATTTCTCTCCCTCTCGTTTTCTTTCCACAAACTGTATTCAACCATCTTACCAAAAGATACGCATCATTAACCTATTCTAGTCGTCTCGGAAAACGAAAAGCTCAATTTTACGACGGGATAATTTCATTACTAGATTCAACGAGGGTCTCTTCATTGTTTTTCTCTCATTCAATTCGTCTTCGGAAGGAACGCTCATCACCGATGACACAGAAACAAACGAAACTATCAATCAAAACCATTCCAAATAATCAGATGTTGTCATTTCTCGAGAAGATGTATGATTGTGTTGCTTAATTAATCAAATAAAAGAAAGAAAAAAAAAGCGTAATATGAACTTACGTGACATATGTTAATCAAACCAATGATACATTTAAAGATTCTAATGAATGACAAACAGAGTACTACATAAAACTTTGTCAACTGGAAGAACTCAATTAAGAAAATATACGCCATCTAGAAATTCTATTAGAAATGGATCTAGTTCAGATTAAAGGAAGATCGAGTTCGGACTAGGCGAAGCTTCTACTGTTTCCTGAATTTTTCAAGGCTTTAGTGAGCATGTGAGCACTAATCCTTTACTACAGTAGTGTTCCTAACTATATTCAGGAAAACGAGTCGATTTCGTATGGAAATTCAATTTCACGTACCCGTGCTGAAAACATTCATATTAATCCTTCAAGTATAAAAGGTCTTGATGTTCTTTTCGAATGTCCAAACAAAGCAAAAAACCGAAGTTCTTCTCATTTTGATCAGTTGAATTCGTAGGATAAATAGATAGACGTGTAGTCTCTTCTCAATTAATGAGACGAATGGGGATAGAATCTACAGAGGAAGCAACCTCATATTCTATTACCGATTTTGTATGTTCTATGATCGATGGAAAGGCGAAAGGGGAGAGTGCGCGTGTAGATTTGTTTATTTTATCGTATGTCTACCTCATGCTAAGACTCGTTTACCGAAGTCAATCTCGTCGACAATGTGTCCTTAAGGAATATGACAAGGAAAAAGCTTTCCTTCAAATAAATATTTTATACAGTAGAAATCAAGTTAAAAGTTACGCTCATCGGTTTGTTTTTCTGCATTGTTATCGAGAATTAATATTTATAATGGTAGTAAACAGCATTGTTTTCTTTTTCTCTCAATCGTGATAAGTTTTGTCTAGTTGAAGGAATCAAGGTGAATGAAGGTCTTTCACACGGGCCCGAAGGAACGAGTTTGACGTTCGTCGAAATCTATGTGAAGAAAAATGTGTCTGCTGAATCTAACAGGCAGCAATGAGATAGATTAAAGACGACATGGCGTTTTCCATAAATTAGATGAACATATCGAACTGAAACACTCTCAAAAGTTCGACTAGCTTCCGGCAGATCAATGCCAAATTGACTTAAGATCTTAGATCTCGTGAGCAATGTAACACTGCTTTTTGCGTGAAATAATCGAGAGTTAATTGATTTATTGGTTGTTCATAACATTTGAAACGTATAAGAAAAAGACAACAGTGAAGAAAGATAGACATCTACATGTGTTAATTATTACCGACGCTTTTTTTTCACAAAATATAATTAGAATTGCATCCAACTCAAATCGGAATGAACGTTTGTATTAGTGGTATTGGTAGTAGTTGGTGTTGGCGTTGCTGTTGATGAGGTAACACTTGCATTGATCGAACTGGGTGGTGGTGCGAATTTCGGAATTGTCGAACCAGGTGGCGGTGTTAGTTTCGGAATTGATGAGCCTGGTGGAGGTGGTAGAATTCCAGGTACGAACGAATCGTTTGTGTTCTTGTTAGGTTTCTTTGCGTGTTCGTCGCCCGGCAAACTACTTTTCAGGTTAATCTTTATTGTTTGTCCTTCTTTGAAACTCAAGTCCAGTTTCGGTTGTTGTGCTTGTGATGGATTGCTTGCAGTCTGTTGAGCTTCTTGTTCGATTTGTTTTGCTTGTTTGAGGTATTTAAAATGATCTTGGAGAGCGACGTTAAAATCGAATGAGTCCGAACGATCGTTAAAACCAATGCCTAAGAAGGCTTGTTGGCCATTATCGTTTTGTACACGAATAACAAAATAACGCGTGGAATCTTCTACATTTTCAACGGCAATAGACGGATAGCTTTCAACTGGACATGTGGCAAAATGCGCACCCGTATTACGATCTTCCAAACGTATCAAACACTTTTCACCTTTTGTAATTACTTTCAAACGACAGATGAAATTTGGCGAGTCCAGTTTCCAATCCGCAGCACGATGCTTACGTGTTGTTGATTGACGTGGAGGTATCACATAGACATAAACTTCAGGTTTTACTAGGCCAATCGATTCGTAGGTGTCATCAGTAAGAGAAGCCATAGATTAGTTTGAAAAAGACAACGAAGATCTAAAAGTAGGAATGATAAGAAAAATAAGTATTGTAATGAAATAGTACTTGATTTCATTCATGAGTCGATCGACTAGATTATTATACACTGACTTCAATAGAAAAGAAACCAATCGAATGGAGAAAATGATTCATCGAAGATTCTAGATCCGACTAACAATAGATGACGCTCGATTTCGTCCTTATTAAGAAGAGCAGAGAATTTTTTGATCATGCAAATGAATGACTTCGGATTTTCTATGGAAAACACGCATCGGTTTTATTTAAACACGAATACATTTTACAATAGTTTCGACATTGGTTGAATGTGGAAGCATGTCGATGGGATAGATATCGGTTGGGATGAACGGTCTCCCGACTTCTTTCAATTTAGATCTCTCGCCAGCTGCCAATCTAAATTACAGCGTGCAATATAAAGTAAACATAAGAAAAGAATATACTCATAAAGATTATGCATAACTTGTTGATCGGTTTTATTTAGCACGTAGATAAGCTGTTGAATCGACGGTAAACCACGCATGATGCTTATTGTTTTATTTGCTAGAAAGGACAAACAGAGCAGGTAGGGATCAGTCAGTTCGTCTCGAGCTTACTAAGACTATATCGTGATGGATTAATAATCGCGACTAGACGCGAATTATCTCCATGTAAATCACCGATCTTTTTTAATATGCGATGCAAATTTGCTTCGGCATAACTACAAATCCATTCGATATTATCTCGACAACCGTTTAATTTAGCATTGAATTCCCCATCTTCGATGCACGACTTCAATGGATCAATAGCATAAATCTTTTTCGCGATTGGTGAAGCCATTATGGAATGAATACCTAGATGCGAACTTAAAAAAACAACAGAATGGAAGAGACGTAGTTCCTACCAATGCCTGAGCCAATGTCTAATAGAACGGTATGTTCATCCAACTGAGCATGATCAAAAACTGTTTGAAAGGAAATTTCTGAAGCTTGCTTGTTCGTTTGGAATAACGATTCAGGCGAGATACGCAATTTCTTTCCGTTGTATGTTTCGTAGAGAAATTCTTCGCCATGAATCAATTCGAGTGGATTCCTGTCACTCGTGGAACGATTGTGTGCACTAAATATCAAGAAAACAAGTGTCACGGACACGACACCAGACATATGACTTGCTTACGATGCTAGGAAATAAATCGAATTGATCTCACATTCGCGGCCAGGCCCATCGATGAAGTAATTCAATAAATCTTTTTTTATCTGATCGATTTCGGTCTAAATAAAAACGACTGTGCTGATAACGGGAATTCATCGATGATTCGAACCCAAAGCACCTTACTTAACGACTGAGGATGTACGACGACAGACATCATTAGATGTCCTTGTTCATTAGATTTTAATGACATCGTGCGCCAGTATTGATCTTTTTTCAATATATTTGTATTTGCACAAACTGGTAATGGATGCTGTTTGAGAAATTGATCGAAATGCTTAGAAAACAAACTGGTTGTCTGTCTTATTTCATCACTCGACATCAACAACTCACCTTGACAACTAAGATATGTTTCGCTTTCATACTTTTCAAATGTATCGGTGATATGCACAAAGTATTAGGAAATTCTAAGAGAGAAGTACGTCGGTGATGAACTCTACTGTAAAACAGAAGACATACTTTTGTTATTCAAAGGATTGATATAAAATCCAATCGTTTTTTGTCCATCAACATCGTATCCACAGGATAGGTCATCTTTACATCGGTATCGTTCAGTTAAAGGCTAAAATATTCGAAAGAGAAGGTGATTGATTAAGACAGATTAATCTTACTGATGGAACAATCGGTTTCACGCGACAAAAATGGCCCTCATGAAATTCCACATATTTCAAAACTTGGCTATCAATTCGTTTATCCCACAGAATAGCATTACCGATTTGATCGAATAGCTGTTCTACAATGCCTTGTTTGATCTAGAATGACGGTACATCGAATTTCGTGCAAATTAAAGCTCGGCTTACATTCAATTGTTCATCGTAGGAGTAATTCGCTAGTGGTAAAATCATATTGCATAATCTAAAGAAACATTTTGATGACGGTAGGTGAAAAATTATTTACTTTTCATATCGATTTTCTGTTGTGACATCTTCCGCATACGGTTTAATCGACGCTTCGAACTGAGCTGAATCGAATCTTGGCTTTTGTCTTTGCGATCTGTACGGAGAGCAAACATTTTTTATGAAAGAAGACACTCGAATTTAACAAACGGAATGATTTCAATTGGTTTTCGATGTTGCACTGATCGACAGAAACTGTAGACAAGTTTCGAAGAACGCCGAGTGACAAGTTTCGGAAGAAACATTGATTTGATATGAAACAAATGATAGCTTCGACAGTATTCGTTCTCCTGGAAATATTAGATGGAGTATTATCACTACAAATCACCCGTCGTATTGTCTGCAGATGTCTCTACGCGAAGTTCACGAAAATTTTCGTCTATTCACCTACCGTCGAAGATTTCTCATGCGAAGGTTTGTCAACGTGTTCAATTAGTTTAGCGACGCGAAGAGAATGCTAATGTCTCGTGAATGTTTTATTAATAGAACTTTTCGAAAAAAGGAATAAACAATAGGTTTGCTAGAACAATAAAAGAAGAAAAAGAAACAAACAAACATCCAGTATGTCAACTGTATCTATCTACTACAAATGAAAAGAAAAAAAAAGAATAATAAAAAGAATACTCAAGCTTTTCCAGAAGATAAAATCTCGATAAAAAGTGCAGTTAATAAACTATACACACACACACACGCACACGTGAGAAAGTCGTATTCAAGTAAGTCGAAGAAATTCCAAGCAAAGACAGAGAAAGTTCACCAGGAGTGGTGCCACGACGGGAAGAGATATTCATGCACATATTTATGATTTGTACAATCGAAAAGGTAAAAGAATAATTTCTTTTGATCACAAATTAAATAAGATAAAATACGGCTGATTAATGCGAAGAAGAGAAAAACACGGTAGTTCACCTCGTTTTAACGTATGTGAATAAGTAAACATTAAAAAGCAGCAGTAAAATGAAAATTGAATAAAAAGAATTCGAATTCAACTGTTAGAGATTCTAAGTCTGACACAAATGGAAAGAAGAACGACGAAAGAAGTTTGTGCCAAACTTCTTTCCTGTTGTCGTCGATAGACAAAATGAAAAACGATGTTGCATTGTGTGTCAAAACGAGGATTGAAACAAGAATTAGAAAGGTGTCATCGATGGTGTGAAAGGTGTTGGTTGAGAATATCCACCGACTAAAATAAGGAAATAGAGGCAATGAACAGAAAACAATTGAGCAACATACGTCGAAACTCGGGATTGAGCATAATCATTTTGAAATTACGTCGGCCACGAACTTGTGCAACAAGTTGAATTGCATCGAAGAGACGTGGCATCGTCGGAAAACCGTAGTCCGTTGGATAGAGAAGGTGCGTTGAGCCAGTTCGACGTTGGTATTCAACAATGAAATCATCATAAGCCATGCGACCTTCACATGGACTGAGAAGGAGAACAACATTGTAAGCGAAAAACATCGGCGGAGTCAAACGGACTGTTTGATCGATCACCTGTTAAATAAAAATCAGATTATACATCTGCCAAAAGAGAAAATCTCGATGATAAACCTCAACATAATCTCGTAGTTCGTTGCGACACATATTCAATGTCACATCTTGTTTAAATCGAACAAGCATATCTTGTTTCAATTGCCAGAAAGACAATTGACATTGAGATAACATTAAGGTGAGTACCACATTTTTGGCTAATTGAACCGTTGCGGGATTGGGTTCTTTCATTGCAACTGTGATATCGGATTCAGTGTAATGAAACTAAAAGTAGTCATTGATGATGACAAAACCGATATTGTTACTCAGTGTCGAACTTACATCAAGTTTATCTGTCATTGTCAGAAGCAGTGCTTCAATACTGGCTACGCCGAAATCTTCAGGACTGAGTTCATTTCGATAAACTTGTAAATATTGTGCTTGGAGATCTTTCAGCTTAATAGGACCGTGTGGTTTACGAACAAGTTGTTCGATGTTTAATAGAATTGCATGTGCCATCATTGTTGGTGTTAATTGAACAATTTTTTCGCCATTTTTATCTTCATTAATCTAGAATGATAGCACGAACGTATGTTACTGCTATTCTCAACTAGAGATCATACCTTGACAACATGTGAAAGTTCTTCAAGTAAGTCAATTAATCGACTGAAGCCATATGTTTGTACTTTACATTGATAACCGAAGTGATGACTAAATAGAAATCAATTCTAATCAGATCGAAGAAGTCCTTCTTGGGATCATACTGATAAGATGGAATAAATTTTTGAAATGGAATACTGAAATCAGGTAAAATGCGAAGCATATCGATCACATCTTTCTCAAAGTTACGTGTTGCATAAATTTCTAAATCAGTTCGTTCTAAAAGCAGCCAAATGACATTTGAACGGGATGGACAAACTTTTTCTTCGCCATACCTTTACGATAAAGTTTAATAATATTTTTATCAGCTTCGACGACCAATTCTTTATTATCTTTAACTTCATTAACAAGATCTTCCAAGTAGCACATACCGAAATCAGCAACAAAGAACGATTTTTTGTACGCCATTTCTTTTCAAATAAACAAATTCATACGTATGAAATCCTAGCGGAATGTTCTTCCTACCGTATTCAATCGGAATTTCACTGATAGACATTGATCGTTGTGGTTTATTTTTCAAAATACGAATAATATCATTAGTAAATCGTTTCATTTGACAACGATGTGTGATCGTCATGATGCGCTTATTCCCATCGCCAAGAATCTATTATGAGGAGAATGAAGAAAGAAAATCGACTGTTGTCGAAAATCTTACTTGAATTGATTTGGGAATTGCAAGTAAAAGATCGATAATTTTCGAAAAACCATAATCAGCTACGCGACATTGTCGACTGAAGTATTGATGATAAGCAGAAACAAATTTCGAAACAGGTAAACGACAATGAGATCCTTGATTTTTTAGTAGATCAAGAACTTCACGTGAAAATTGTTGCAAACGTTGTTGCACTTCTGCACACATTTCGACATGCACTTTTGATCAAAGAATAACAAAATAGTAATATAAGTAAAAGACCACATCAACTTACTGTTCGATGTATCAAATGGCGTTGGCATGAATGATACGCCTGGTGTGTTAGAAAATTGCACTTTTTTGATAACTCCTTGTCCTGTAACAATTTGAACGTCTTTGATACCTGCAGACGCCGAAAAAAAAGATTTTCATTGAAATTTTCAAACAAGTCGACTTACATGATATATAATGTTCAAGTGGCACACCATCATTGTGATCGATCAATGGTTCGAAACTATTGATATAACATTGAGGAAAACTAAAAATGAAGAGAAATAGTTTTCACGGAGAAGGCCACACGTCAATGCGTATACCTCGCTAAAGGCATTGAACCGCTATGTTGGGTTAATAATTGACGAACATTTTCGGCAAATGTTGCAAATGAGATTTGAACGAACGGTAAATCAAGATCGGGATTGACAATGAAATTTTTTGGACAATGCATTATACAATATGGTTGTTCCAAATGACTCTAGATGGGACGCAAGTGGGTCAGAGTGGAAGGAAAGAGAAGAAGAATGGCGTACCTGCATGTTGTTTTCATCGAAACGTACACGAAATGCAGGTAGGAGACGAGCTACTCGATTGCCACCGTAGTCTTGAATATCAATGACGTGTTTCATTGTGTACAATTCACTGACGTGAAGTGGCTTTTGAAATCTGCCGAAAAATTTTATTTTACCTTCTATCCGAAGGCAAGAAAAGAACTTACCGGCTTTGATATTCTTGAATCAATGTCACGAGTACGCAAGTACAATCGGGATGCTCCTTGAGTAGTAGAGCAATTTCCAGAGCTCGTCTAGACAAGAAGTAAATCATGACTTTAAAACTACTTATCAATGTTGAAAATTGACTTACTCAGCTGAATCAGTCGTTGATGTCGTCGATGGAAACGGTGCTGGAGGTGGTGGTGTTTCATAAGTAGATGCTAATGCAGGTGTAATACGTGATCGTTTAATTGATGAAGGCACTCGACTGTACAAATCCGGTGTTATGGATCGAACAGGTGTAGAAAATTCCAATTTATTGATTGGTTGAGTATTGGTAAATTGTCGACCTAGGATTGAAAAATAATTGAGAATAGATACACATTGATGAATGATTGTCGTTTACTATTTGTTCGGTTGGTGACATCAGAGAACGGTCGTTTTGCTGCACCACTCGTAGGCGATTGAGAGCCGAGTTCACTCATTACTGAACGAGGTGTATAGACAGATGGATCCGGCATTGATGATGTGTTCCATTGAGATGGACTAGACATCCACCATGTAGGTGTGGTGGGTTGCATGAGACCCGTATCCATCGGGTTATTCTCGCCAAGTAAACTTAAAACGGTGTGTTTGTCAAAGTCTGGCCCGAGACACCAAAGCACACTCGGATCCATCTCAGCAGAAATCAATTTGGGTTGTTGAACGTAGAGATCGTATGGCCTAGGCGAAAGGAAAACGGTGAAGAAGACCTCAATCTGGAAATTAGTGCACTAACGTCGAAAATGGCATTGTTTGGTATTTGCTTTAGTGAACAGATATAAAACAAGTCGACGTCGTCGATTTGTGTGTGCGTATATATGTGTGCGAAAGACACATGCGTTCTAGTCATCCTGGAAAGATGTATATATACATCGGTATGTACTGACTGACGATATAGTGAAGAAAGAACGATCGAGAAAATAACTGATGAACAATCATTTGTGTTTGTTTTGTTCGTTCGAGCGATTGGTGCCTCGAGGTAATCGTACTTACACGAGTACGTCTAATACGAAAGCATACATTTCTAGTTATCTTACAATGTATTAGGAGCTTTTATGACCAAATCCAAGTAGAGGAAAGAAATGTCCTTTACCGCCAACGCATGCGAGTTTTTGTATTACAATCACCAATATGAGAAAGGAAAACGAAAGCGAAAAACCAAAAAGAAAGATTTAATACAATCAAAATATTATTTTTCTAGATATATCAAAATTGAAAAGAAAATCATGTTAGATTTGCTTCTTCAGTGTCTATTTCGAAGGAACTACAAGGTAATAAATAGAGCATCACACGTAGTTGGTGTAATATGATGAACTTTCAAGATCATCATCACTTGATGAATCGGCATCGTTGGAATTATTCAGTTGTCGCGAGCAGATTTCGTGCCGTTTTTTGTTGATCTTACGTTCTTTAGCACGACGATTTTGAAACCAGATCTTGATCTATAGATTAGAAAAGTTTCAACATTGATTCAGTGAAAAACTTCGGTCAAGTTACTTGTCGTTCGCTCAATCCCAATGTTGAAGATAGAGCAGCTTTTCGTGGTATGGAAATATACTTTGACACAGTAAATTCATTTTCGAGTTCATATCGTTGCCGATCAGTATAAACAATTCGGTATTTATCACGTGTACGCGTTTTTCCTAGAACAAGCAAATCATCATTTTTCTCTTCGCTACTATAAAACTTTATAACACCCGACCTAATAAAATCTTCGTTAGCGCTTACTTCAGATATAAAAACTCAATGTATATACATCAGTATACGACATAATCAAATCTTCGTACTCAAGGTAAGTTGCATGATATTCTTTAGTCTAGGATTTTCTTTTCGCAAAGGAGAACTTGGCAAACATTTGTTTCTCTTTCGATAGGGCATGGGCATGTCGCTTTTTCATCTGGCTAGCCGTTTCATTTTTCTCTTCTTTGCCACTCGATGGATGAGCTCGAAATTAATCTTATCAATGTCTCTGTGTATCAACAATTGAAAGCCATAAAACAAAATACACGCAGGACGGTACCATTTTATGACTCTCAACAATCCTTTTTTTTTTCTTCAAGCCAAACTTAATCAAAACGGATTGAATGATTGTTACTTTTTTTTCTCTCGCTCGCTCTTATTTCTTAAATTGTTTACATTCAACACCGATCACTCTGATCAATGTCTAACACCAATGTGGAAGCGCGTGTTTAAGCAATATTCAATTCAATGCCCTTTTACTTCTTTGATATACAAAGGTCAATCGATATACATATGTGACATACCATTGGCAGGATTCTTCGGTGGAACTGGAGCTAATTGTGATTTAAACCAATTTGATGATTGTTCAGAACATTTTGTATACGAAGAATCGGATGGTTCTTCTTTACTAATCGATAGCGGATGTTCCAGATGATGCGCTGATTCGTAGTATGATGGTGGACTATAGGAAGACTCAAATTTAATTGGAAGCGCCGGTGCTGGTGTCGGCCATTGAGATTGATCGTATAAATTATTATTGGGATAAGAGTAATGACGATAACCACTTGGTGATTGATATTCAGTCGGGCTTAACCAATTGGAATTTTCGTTCAAAGGATAAAGATGTTGATGAATATGATGATGATGGTGGGTAGCTGATATTGTTGTTGTTGTTGAATTAATTTGAGATAAATGTACAGGTGAATTAGAAACAATCCTTTCCAAAGTTTGATTCGTTGTTGACGATGAAGGTGTTGGAATATGATCGGTTGTTAAACTTGCCGGCTCAGCTAAAATATTGTGTGTTGTAGTGGTGTTTGTTGGCCAATAGTTGTAATCAAATGCTTCTAATTTCGACGCTGTTGTGTAGTCAGAATAGGGCACGAAAGTGTTATAGGGTGTTTCATAAACGCGAGGATTTGATTCATGATCGATCGAGATCATTGGCGGGTAGTTCGTGTTCATCTTCTGAAAAATAAATGTCATGTGAAAAGTGGATCTATTGGAATATATGAAAATTTTCTCTCCGCTTGATTGATATTCCCGTGTTAGGAAGAAAATTCGTCGAGAGAGAACGAAGGAATTGTCTCCGTATGTTTACCTGTTTGATGATTATAGGTGTTAATAATGATGCAATAAATGTAAGTGATGATTTCACGGATAATCAAATTCTTTTTTGTTATTGTTGTTGATCGCTGCTGTTATTGTAGTAATAAAATTAGAACTTTTTGATATTGGTATAAACACATGGTACAATCATAAAAAAAATCAAGGAATTATTTTCTTCGATTGAGAGCGATGAAGATGAAGCGTAGGTATTGACGAGAAGACGGTATATGTGTGTGTGTGTGTGTGTATATACACTGCACTTTTTCTTTTTTTATGATTCAATGCCTACATGAAATAACATGATTTCTCTTGACGAGAAATTGATAAGAGAGAGAGAGAGAGAGAGAGAGAAAAGTTCGCTTTTTTATTGGTGGAGAGAGAAAGAATTTCAATCATTGGTTGATATTCACTTACACGGAAAACAATTCTTTCAGTTATATCGATGTAAAGGGTAAAACTCACCAAAGGAAAAAAAAATCGAGTCGAAACCGATTTTCAGCGCATCGTAGTATTCAGAAGACAATCTCATGCGCTGTTATTCATTTCGCAGAATTCAATAATCGTCCCTTGAAGACAAAAATTATCTATTTTCCTTTTTCAAGTGTTCTCATATTGATTAATTCCGTGTTCGATGTTCAATCACGGCGTACTCCAAAAGATAAGACTTCTTTCATGCGCTTGAATTGCATCGTCATTTCTTCTTTTGTACCTACCTTCTGTCAGATTATTCATTCTATCTCGTGCAATCAAAGGCTAATAAAAGTTATGAGAATCGTTTGATAATCTTATTAAGAAGAAATATACACGTCGTCAGATGCGATTTCGTATCAAATCGAATTCATCGTTCAATTTAAGCTTGTTGTCACTTGAGCGCAACGGAGATTTTTGACTTCTCCACCTCGATTTTCTTCACACATACTTGTGACCAATCACATGAACTTATTTAGTGTTCATACTAATTGATTCGATGACCTGTCTCAATTGGCACAAATGGCAAAAGTCAAACTGAGCATAAAATTGATACCATTCATAGACATTTCTTGTATTTAAACAACTATACACTTGTCTTTTTCTGTTCAGCTTGGGAATGACAGATACGTACGAGCAAATTTATTCTCTAGTTATGATAAACAATGAAAACAAAAACAGATATGCAAATAATAGATACTCCGAATGCCTACGAAATCAATGCATTGAAATAAAATATCAATAGCTAAGCGTGCTGACTAAACCAACAAAAAATATATGTCTAGTTATACAATAGCACCTCTTTTCTGTAAAATAAAGTGTTGTATTCTGGTTTGACAGGGGTAGGATTGAAAATAGATTGTCATGTCACATATGAAACGGAAAAAGAGAGAACAGCTAGTGGTTCATGCAATAAAAATCAGCAGCAAGCAATGAATGTGAAGCCATGCGAGCTAACAAATCGGATTGCTAGTTTCACTTGTCAGTATTATTCTTAAACAAATTACGAAAAAATGTTTTAGCTTGTGACTTGGAATTTTCAAACTGTAAGAGAAGTTCGTCGATTGTGTCTGTAGAGATAGAGACAAAAGAAAAGAAATATATGATAACCAGTTGTTTTAACGTAGAACAAGTTTCGAAAGAGGATTGCTTAATGAACGTAGTAGAGATTCTGACATTTGGGTAGACGATGGTCGAGTCGTACCTGTTTGAGATGACGATGATGATGATGCTGGAACATGAGGTAGAGGATGATAGACGCATGCTAAATGTTCCAGTTGTTCATCGGTAAGCACATGAAGTGAACTTGTCTTATCATCTTCATCATCAGTCATTTGCGATGAATAACCGTCACTGGATTTTCTTTGGTGAGTATTAGAAGTCGTTTCGTTTGGGTGTTTATCTGATTTCACGACAAGTACTGGGGGCGGTGGTTGTTGGGGCTTTGCATTGAGAAGGAATTGACTATTGAAGTTTGTTGGCGTTGTTTCATCACCTTCGGGTGACGAGCGTCCGCTTGTGTTAGCGAATATACCAGCAGGTAAAGCTTCAGTTCGAAGTAAACACGAGCGAAGTAGTTGTTCCGGACGATTTAATCGTCTTAAAGTAGGTATTTTCGGCGATGGTGGTGGTGAAGGAGTTCGTTTCACTGGGGATGGCGGTAATCGTTCCTTAACGAGTGGTTCAATGAGCATTTGATTTAAAATCTTTGTCAAATGTCTTACGAATTCAGTATATGTAAGCTGCTCTTCACCGACACCTGCTGTTCGTTCACCTAACTCTCGCCGTAGTTTACCCTGACTTCGTTGTGCATGAATTTCATTACTGATCTTTTCCAGATTACGCAACGATTCTTGATATTGAGCTTTCGCTTCGTTCACACAGTTTTCCAGGCCGAAAACTTTACGTTTCTGAAACTGATCAAACAACGAATGAATTAACAAGCGAAGAAAAGTTGAATACACTTACGTCTAATTCTTTGTGGTACTCCGCTTTTTTCTCGTAATAAAGTCTACAGAACAAAACACAGTATCCTCTGGTAAAAATTCTCACTGAGAAGACTTTTACTGTGATTTATTAATCGCACGTCGATGATCTTTCTGCAATTTTTCTACTAGTTTCTCAATTTCTGCATACGCTTGATCGGCGTGTTGTTGATCTAAATCCGCTTGGTATTTTTCTCGTTCGGCATCGGCAGCCTATTGTGTAAACATAGTGTTAAGGTTTCTAAGAAATCGTCTTTAGATATACTTTAGCAATTGCTTGGCCATAGGTTTCGTTCCACGTTGTAGCATTCTGATTAGACTTTTCCGCTTCGTCAATATAATCAGCCTGAAAGATCGTCAATGACTTAAGCAGGAGATGAAAGTAGATGGAATATTTACTGAAACAACTGCTAATTCTTTTGCTGCAACATGGAGAGCTTGTGCACGTTCGAAACGATGTTTCGCTTTGGTCAGTGCATCGCGTGCATCTCGAAGTTTAATTCGCGCATCGTAGTAACTTCGTGCTTTGCTCACCGCTGATCCGATATTTTTCTCTAATTGAGATAGCTCTTCTTCTCCTGCATCGCAAAACTCTTTGAGAGTTTGTCGAGCGTCCTAGAAGGTGAAATAAACATGAAACTGATGCGTAGATTTCGACATTGATAAGCATACATCAAGTTGTAGCTCTAAATGATTGATTGCTTCATTGGCGTGATTTAAACGTTCTAATTCAATCTAAAGAATCATTGGAAATAAATGAAACTAACGTGTACAATGACGAGAAGCAGACCTGCACTCGAGGATCAAGTGTTTCATCATCTTCTGACGTTAAGCTCGACTCATTCGTAGGTTCGATTTCAGTATCTGCCAAATTAGCCATACATAATCTGAAAGACCAAAGAAATGATTATTCACGATTGAATCATTTGAATAAGATGTGTCATTTGTGTTTCGAAATTATCTGAATCATTATTTGAAAAAATGAAAGACCAGCGAACATTTTCGTCGAGTTGACATTCGGATTCCGAAGCGTCAACGTTAGGCGTGAATACCCATCCGCGATTTTGTCGTGTTTCGATCGACGCTTCAACACGAACAAGTAATAGTTGTTCCGGAAAATATTTTCGAAAAAAGTCGATATCAGTATATCGTCGAATATCACAGACAATCCAAATAGGGTTTGTTGAACATTGCTCATCCTTTTGTTCGATAGCTAAACGACAAAATATTGAAGGATCAGCATGACGTTTGTCTTCGCCCCATCTAAAGTAAAACAAGCAGCTGAATGAAAGGAAAAATGAGAAATTTGAATTTACTTAATCATATCCTTTCGATAGTTTTCTTTATAAGACGATGAGCTCAATAATTCTTTACCATCTATTTGATGTAATCGTGCAAATTCGAGTTTTAATGGCTCACTTAAATGTAATAAAATAGCCTGTAGTTTGTCAGCTAACTTTTCTCCGATATAATCCTTTCCACATTTGCGTTTTCCAGAAAGAAGAATAACCTTCTTCAAATGCGAGTATTTCCCACTATCGAACGATGTACACATGACAATAACCGATCTAAAAACAATCCTTTTCCTTTAAATAAACATACGTCTCACGTGCTCAAAATCTTGCTCTATTGCCTTGATGAATAATTCAACTGTTTAGAACTTTAGGCACTCTATCAACCTTTGCGACGAAGTCAATTCAGGCTCTCTACGATCTTTTCGACAAATATCAATTATATATTACATACACACATGCCATTCAGATAATTGCTGATCACTAGATGGTTGAGAAATTGACTAAACAATGACTGCACGACATAGATGTCGCTACTATTTGCCAGCATTTGATCTCTCGACTAATCCGATGAAGGAATTTTAAATCCAATCGTTATCTTCACATATCGACACCGATTGTGTAAGCGGGTTATACCAGTACTCTTATCGAGAAATGTTTTCTTGCTTGAATCAACAAGCACATGTTACTTTTTTTACATACACAAAAAAAGAGCTATATACAAAGATGTAGATAAAAACGGATAATCTCTAATAATAAATAAATGAATTTGAGGACAAACATGTGCAGATTTCTATACAGGAATGATTAACTGTATAAACCTGATGCGAATGTTTGCTTTGAGCGGAAAACACATTCGGCTAAAAGAATTGAACTATGCTTATGTGTTGAAAATCAGCTGTCCTAGGAATCGTTCAAAGATGAGTGGGAGAGGTAGCGACGAGCTTGGTCGGTCACACAGCGTTGGTCCCGTGTTTGGCCAAGCAAGATTTCCGTATATGTTGGATTGTACTGAAAAGAGAGAGAGAGAGAAAATGAAAAGATTGTAAGGACGAGAAATGGTGACTTACACCGAATTTTTCTTGTGCAATTTTGGGCAAATCGAATTTATTGAAAGATAGAGACGAAGGATTTTCATGCATGAGTGCATCCGTAAACGGAAGATATTCACTAGAACGAAACAGATAGATATGAAATGATCGAAGAATGTTAAATTACTTGAAACAGTCTCGTTTTGGACTTGGCGTCAGACAAATCAAATGCGGCTAAATACAAGAACAAATTGGTATGGCATATCAAGTGTTCGTTTTGTTCATACGCGTTCGGGCGTGTTGAGTACATTGTACCTCGACGGAGAAGATCCGCTCGAGACATGTGTCGGTGAAACAATGACATTTTCATTGTATTTAATAAGATAAGTATCATCAGTTGTCAGATAATTCGTATCTGTAGACAGTGATGAGCAGGTAAATACAGGTAATGATGACGATCTCGAAGATGAATGTAATGGATAGTAATCAACCGATGATTGCGAATGGAATAGGAGTTGATGATGAAAATCGTCCGATTGTGAATTTTGACTAGATGAAGATGTGTAATTGGCAGACGAGGAAAGCATAGGTAGTTGTTTGATGGGCGAGGAAGGCGTATAGTAGAATAAATGATCGAGATCGTCTATTGATTGGTTTGGTAGATAATTGGTCATGACTTGGCAAGAAGGTAATGACTGAATTAGTTTGAATTGAATATCTCAGTATGCAAAATATCAGTATGAAAACGTACCTCCAATTGATCAGGGTAGATTGTTGATGTCGAATGCATTAACGGAATCTCGAACTCATGATGATGATCAGTGCTACTGTTCACAATTGGCGAGTGATTTTCTGTTTTAATCGTCGCTAATGGTGGTAGGATATTCTCTATGGTAGCTGGTTTGCTAGTCGTCGAATGGATTTGTGAAGATCGATTCGTGATTGTACCTAGTGGTACACGAGCTGGTTGATTCGTTGTCACAGAAGTAACAGAGTCTAGTTTAGGCCATGGAAAATCCGACGGAATTCTAATCGAAAAAGAGAAAAGTTTTGCTTGATGGTAAGTTGAAATTTTTACAATGCGGTCCAGTCCAATCCTTGCTTTTTCAGATTTTCAACTTCAGAATAAAACTTTTTCTTCATCGAAGAATTCCAATGATTCTTAATCGAATTGTCTGATCGTCCATTGAAATGTTTAGCTATTTCAGCCCATTTATTCCCGAGATGCTGATGTAGAATAAACAATCGCAGATTCTCTTCATTCGTCCAAGGATTTTTATTAATCAACGGATTGAGATGATTGTGCCACCTGAAAGCAAACACAAGAAACATCGTTAGCAAAATAGGAACTTCATTCACATGGCTCCAAACCTTTCGCGGCATTGTTTTCCAACTCGACCTTTCAATTCTTTCGCAATTAAACTCCAATGTCTTGCGCCATAGTCGCGAACAAGTTCGATCACCTTTTTATCTTCTTCATCCGTCCACGGCCCTTTTGTTATCGATGGGTCGAGAAATCTTTCCCATCGATGCTGACATTGAGCATCCGTACGGCCATTGCCTACATAGTTTGAAATACTCGACCAATCGTTATATCCATCATGAGAATTGATAAATTCTCGTAGGCGATCATCCTGAGAAATGAAAGGTTAACACTAGGAAAACACCGAAAATTTCGTGTGAATTTTACTTCTTCTTTAGTCCATTTCTTGTAAGATTTCTTTCTTGATGATGAAATTTTTCGAATAATTGGCAAATTTTCATTACAATCGAGTTCATCTTCAGTAAAACTATTCCGACTGCAGCTTTCCCTGAAAAAAAAACCATTTTGACCTCCGGAAAATCCACAATTTCAATTAAATTTCTTACCGTTTCGTGATCATCCCTAATCAAATATCCGAATGGTAGTCAATTTGTTCGTTGGCGAACGAGAACAATGAACATGCGCTTGTCCGGTCGCTCGCGTTTTTTCTTTTTCTTTCCTCGCCTGCTATGTTCGTACGGAGAAAATTCGATAGGAACGACACACGCACACACTCGTGAACATTCGGAGAAGAGGAAAAAGAAATCAGATAGAATACACAACGTTAAACAATCGAATATTGAAGAGAAGAACAGACGTGCTAAATATAAGTGCGAAGAAAAGAGGAAACTTGACGTTCCTGCTGAGCGAAAAGAACGACAGGTTACTCTTGCGAAAAGCGAAACATCTGTTGTGTAAATAATTGAATTCATTTATTGAACTAAATATGTAAATCCGTATAATCGTCTCAGAAAGAAAAATATTCATGTTGTGCAGGTGAATTTGTCAGATTTGTTGACGACTGTTGTTAACTGGATGAAAATAGATGATTAAAGTGTTCTAGTAAATATTTGTACACTCTTCGTAATTAAGCATTTCTATCGATTCGATTTGAAACAAGCTTTGGATTTGTCGAATCATTTTTTTGTTATAAGTTAACAATAGTGATTAGAAAGACACGAAAGGAGGTGAACAAATGGAACAATTCGTCTAGAGTGTGTCGGTTCATTTTAGTCTTTGTCAGTGAATTGTTCAAGTTATTTTTCAGTAAGATAGGAGTGATTATACGCTTGTACATAGAATGTATTCTTTGGAAGAAACACGAATATATTGATTTTTTTAATCTATCGACCATCATTACCACTGAGCATAACTTTTCGCTCTTATTTCCGTTCAGACCATTGATTTATTCCTCATAAATATCACTTGAAGCTATTAAACATGGATTTGTTTCTTCATAAAGTCGACATAAAGATCGAACGGAATGGAAAGTAAATTCTAAGAGTCAGGCGAGTATTCAAAATAATGATTTTCAATGGTGGCATATGAAACATTGTAGATCTTTTCGAAACACCTCATTTAATGCAAGAAGTCAGCATGTTAGCTGTACGTTAACAAAATCCATGTGTTATTCAACTTCATCTAAATACATTGTAGATCAAAATGAACCCGAGAGACTGTATCCTGATCTTTGAGATGCATTACTAGAAAAAAACTACACAACACATCAGAATGAGTTAACTTGTCGTTCGTTCTGAAGTATGTTTGCTTTCTCCAACCAATAGTTTCTTTTCTGTCGCTGTAAGTTATTCGAAATTAAATGTGCTTGTAGCGCCCATGAAAAGAACCTTACGTTTGCTTTATTTTTCCACTTATGTTACTTTATTTGTCTGTACGCACAGGAGAAAAAAAAAGAAATATACTGAGTGTCTACACCTAAAAAACAACATGGAATCTCCTTATTCGCCACCCATTGTGTGTTTAACAGATGACGACGAAGATAACGAACTTGAAACGCATGTCTCAACGTTCAATTCAGAGCCATTTATATACGAACACAATCATTTGCATCGAAAACGGAAACTATCCGACTCAAATGCTCGTGTTAATTCATCAATAGTAAATTGGTCAAAGCGACCAAGATATGATCCATATCATCAAATAAATCTTCCATACAATGCACCAAAGTACGAATCCGCCACAGGAACACTTCATTCCAATGATTATTTATATTCTGGGCCCGAATCTAATTCATTTTCGGCATTCGATTGGTCCAGTGAAACACAACCAACAGTTTCGAGAGCCTATTCAAATTTCATTCATACACCATCACGACCGTCGTATGGATCGCCGCCACCAATCACTCCGATGCACGTGACAAAACACATTTTAGATCATTCTGATTCAACTTCAATAATTCCAGTGATTCATCAGCAGGATGCATACGTTCATCCGTTTTCAAGAAAATTTAAAAACACACTTCTGTCGTCTCGATCGCCACCACCATTACCATTACCATTGCCTACGTCAACAGTTATTCGACCTACTGCTCAACGTATTCGACCAGGAAAAACTATTTTGACGTCTTATTTACATCACGTGAGTTCATATTCCTCATTTGTTTTCTTATACAGAAAATACACAGCAAAAACTGGGAGAATCTAACCATATGATCCTTGAATAGCTTGATTTCGAATCAGTCATGCAAATCAACCTTTACGTTTGTACAATAAGGAATAGACATTCGTCACGTGCTACGTTGTTTTTCTCGTTCGTTAAACAGAACACCCTGTACGGAACAGAAATCAACCTAAACAAGCTCGTTTACCTGTCTGATGTACAACATACTTAATACATGATAGTTGAAAAATGACTCACCGTCACAATCGTAAAGACGCTCAATTCTTTATCACGAAATAATTCGTGTATGACATCATCAAAGGGTAAATACATTTGTATGATGACGTCACCACTGAAAAGAAGATCATTATTTCTATTTGCCATGTTAATGAGCGGAAAAGACAGGCGATGAGAAATTGTATATCTTTCACCTGTATTTATTTAACAGCGACGATATTATTCTTATCATATCGAATATATAAGTAGATCAAGAGATTAAGGAAAACACGTACTGTCACTGCGAGAATGTAATGGATAGAATATGGGAACTATTCGAATCTGTTTTGATCGCTTTTCGAGCCACTTGAAGTGACTGCACTTGATAATGTACCCGGAGATGTTTATAAAGAAAGATCAAAGTTTTGCAAGGGAAAAATAGTTTAACCTATGAAAAAATACTTTCAATTAGCGATCACCATCACCACAACCACCACCACCATCACTTCCATTGTCACGCCGTCATCAAGCCGAATTCGTGTTTCAGCCACACAGTCATCCACCATCGCCTTCTGCTTCCCTCGTAACTCCTACGACTGCACACGAAATTCGTCGACAACCACTCAATGGTTCCGGCCTTTTATCAGCATTCTATGATTCCGAATGTTACCGATGTAATATGTGTAAATTCAAAAGTATCTCAAGGTCAGTTCGTCAACAGTTTATTGACTTCAATATTAGTTTCGTCTATTTCCCTGCGTTTAGTTCAATAATTCTTCAACATATCTTTACGCACATGTTTTTTTGTTCGCATTGCTCATTCTACACGCATTCGCATCATAATCTATATCAACATGTTTACGAGAAACATCAAATTAGCTTGTATCACGATAAAGCCGATCCCAATGATATTGATCTGCTCTACATTGTTCAATGTTCGGATGGGAAATTTGCATTGTGTATGGATACATCTGCGTCGGAAGTACCTTTGCCATCACCATTGCCGCCAGCGTCACAAGTGCCTAAATCCAGCGAACCAGCCCCATCAAAATCCAAAGTTCATCCGTTTAAACGACGCGCTCCACGGAAGGAACCCGTCAGAAAAAAGAACAAAAATGATGAGATCGTCGTCTTATCCGAAAATGTCAAGACGAACTCAGAACCGCGTGTATCAACAGCACGAACGCCAGAAACAACAAGCGCTGTGACCAAAGTTGTACCACGCAAAAAGAAACCAACACCAACTTATGTTCTTATGAAACATCGACGTTGTTACTCGATTCGCTATCCACCGTGTCTTCATCCATTGACGTTAGAATACAATATCTGTCGAGAACATACTATCCGGCAAATGTGTCATACACAAGGACCAGTCAATTGGAAAAGATTTCATTCGAAATCAACTCCATTAAGCATAATCGAGGTAGTAGCTAGTTGTTTAAAAGCAACTGTTAACGCTATTATTGTTACCGAAGAAAATGAGTAAGTGAAATCTTCGACTAAATCATAAACTTAGCAAACTTTTCTAGGGAATCACGTAATCTTATCTGTGCATTGCCTCATACATTGATCAGTTCAATAATTCCAGTTGATAACTTCAATGTGATAATCAATTCATTGAAAATCACGAATAAACACGACTTGTATACAAAGCAAAATGATAGATACAAAGCTGAATATAATATACGAATGGGGAATCGACATCATTTTATTCTATCGTCTGCTAGAGTAACAAAAACTGATCAATCGATATTTGCGTCGCTACATTCATCCATTACAAGCGATGATTCGCCTTACACACGAACAAACTTGGATAATTTCATAATGCTAAATGATAATACCGATCGATTCTTAGCAACAAGTCGACCATTGTCGTCGAAATCAACGAGGAAAACTGACAATGGCCCGCAACAATCGACAAACAGTGAGTTGCGAGAAAATATGCGTTCACTTTCGTTTATTTCCTTGTCTGAATTTAGATCCGAGACCGAACATGCCAGCTATGAGCAATCCACTTCAACAGATGAACTTCGCATCGAAAATTTCCCAAGTTGATCGAAATAATAATTTAATTACATCTTCCGCAGTTGATGTGATATGCATTGATTAGGACACTGCCTTTCTGTGATATGCTTTCTTTATACTTTCACGATTTATGGTTTTTCTAATTTGTAAACTGTCTTTTTCTTCTTCTCCTTCTTCTAAAGCATTTTCAAACTTGAATTCTATTTTTTATTTGAATATAAACAAGTCTTTTTTTTTTAAATTTGCACTTCGACTAAAATATTACATAAGGAAAAAGTCTTCTGTTTGTTTTTTTTTCTAGTTCAATGGCTGAAAGAGGTTTAACGAGTGACATTAAAACAGATGAGAATGTTGAGTTTTCGGATTTGGCTATTTCGGAACTTACGCAACAGTCACTGCAGAAGGCAGGTTTCGTCAAACCATCGCCCATTCAACTACAAACTCTGCCATTAGCTTTACTCGGCATTGATCTTCTCATTCAAGCAAAATCGGGTACCGGCAAGACGTTGGTGTTCAGTATAACTGCGTTAGAATTCGTTCAAACTATCGACGAAGATCCGTCAATGATCACGACGAAAGTGATCATGTTGGCGCCAACGCGCGAAATCGCACAGCAGATTGTTCAAGTAATCAAAACGATCAAACAACCGGAATGTTTTGTACATACATTTATTGGTGGAACGGCTTTGAAAGACGATCAAAATCATCTGAAAAAGTGTCATATTGCTGTCGGCACACCAGGCAGAATTGAAGAGCTGCTCCGGTTGAAATATCTTCGAGCAGATACGATTCGATTGCTTGTTTTAGATGAAGCCGATGTTTTATTATGCAAAGAATTTCAAGTAAGATTTGAAGAAGCGTTTCACATGCGAACAAGTTTATTTTGGTTCATTGAAAGACGTTAAGTGCATCGGTTTGAAAGAAAAATAACTTGTTTGCTTATATTCACTGTTTATTCCCCTGAAGAAATGTCTAAAATAACATACTTTTCGTTGGCCTTGACCGAAAATCATCTGCGGTGACTCATTCAGAAAATACATTGAAATCGAACGATCAAAGATTAAGTTTCGAAATATGTCAAGTGTATCATTCTCTATTTAGGACCAGATTAATTCAATATTCTCTTACATGCCATCGAATAAGCAAGTTCTACTAGCATCAGCAACTTATCCCGAGCACATTGTGCGTTTCTCTGAACGATATATGCGTGACATGACTTGTATACGTCTAGTCGATTCCGAATCGCCCAGTTTAGTTGGAATTCAACAATTCTTTATCGTCATTCCATATCATCCACTCGAATCGCATCTGTTCGAGCAGAAAGTTTTACTATTGTTGCGTTTATTACCTCAATTAAAGTTTCGTCAATGCGTTATTTTCTCCAATCTTCGCATGCGTTCATCGGCTGTTTGTGAACGCATAAAAGCTTTAGGTTACGAAACCACATTTACATCGAGTTCATTGGCACAAAACCGTCGAACGAAAGCGATGCGCGATATGTACAAACATAAATGTCAAATATTGGTCACGACGGACTTAACATCGCGTGGCATTGACTTAGATTATGTTGATTTTGTCATCTCAATGGATTTGCCTAATGATCATGAAACGTATTTACATCGAATCGGTCGTGCTGGTCGTTTCGGAGCTTTCGGTTGTGCCCTAACGATCGTCTCACATGGCGACGAACGAAAACAATTGGAATCAATTGAAAACGAGTATAAATTAAATCTAACTGAAATCGACGAAGGCAATCGATTTCAGTTGTTAAGCGATTCACTTGAACGAGTAACTATAAACACGCAAACAGCCTAGTTTTGATAAAAGAAAACGTTATAGAAGAAAAAAAGCTAACCATGATCTATTCTTTCAGATGAAAGTGTTTCTCTTGCGTTCTTTGAATAGAGCAGCATGGTGTTATGCTTATATCGGACTACTTTACGCACTTTATTTTGTTTATTTCATCGTCGTGCCAGCTTATCGTCAACGTCAACAACTATCTGACGTGAACTATCTGGTATTTAATGTAATTTTCTTATACTTTTTCTGTCAGGGTTACTTGAACTTAATTCGAACAACACTCGCTCCACTTTCATATTCACATGAAGCGAAATTGACCGATCAGTACTGTCAAATTTGCTCGAATTACCGTCCAGAACGATCGCATCACTGTCGTTTGTGTAAACACTGTATACCAATACAAGATCATCATTGTGTTTTTGTCGGTGCTTGTATTGGTAAACATAATCAACGTTACTTTCTCCTTATGCTTTTTTATTTATTATGTGCGCATTTCATTGGATATGCATTTGTGTGTGATTATCTGTGGCGAGAGATGGGAGGCTTTCATGTTTTGACAATTTTCAGGGTTCTCTTTTTTAATATTGGCTATTTGCTTGGTTTTGTGAAGACAAAATGGCAAGCGTTTATCGGTTTTCATCATTATCTTGTATATTTCGACATACTCTTTATCGGAAAGTTATTTTACGATATGTTAAGACGCTCATTCAACGGACAAACACGGTTCGAAGAGAAGAGGAACATCTTGCGACAGAAACAAACGTTTTCTCAGATATTTGGTTCGAATAAATTTCAATTGATTTTTCCGTTCGGCTATTCGAAATGAATTCAGAAGTGATTTATGTTTTAGAATTTTGAATCATGCCAGCAACCAACGGTCATAAACCCTTAGCCAAACAAGATTCAAAATCAACAGCGATTGTCGAAGTGAACAGTCTCAGCGAGGATAACCAACACGTCAATCCGGCTGATCATGATGGTAACGGAACGCCTTTGACATGTTTTCATTGTTTTTCTCCTCTCGAATGATTTAGGTGTGACATCAGACTATTCGATTAATGTCGAGAGCAAAAATACGACGTATTCAAATGAGTATATCGAAAGCAAGTATACCTACGAAATGAATGATTGCCAAGTCGATCAGAACACGAAACGTGTGAAGATTATTCCACGGAAGTATCACTACACATTCCGTACTAAACGACAAGTCCAACGTACAGGAGTTATGCTTGTTGGTTGGGGCGGAAATAATGGCTCGACATTCACAGGTGCAATTATTGCCAATCGAGGAAATATAGCATGGATGCGTAAAGGTAAAAAATAAACTTTTCGGTAAAGTTACAATGTAATGGCAAGCACGACTTTTCTTACAGAAGGTGAGCAACGTCCAAATTATTATGGTTCATTAACTCAATCGACAACTATTCGAATCGGTAGTAACGATGAAGGTAAAGAAGTTCATATCCCGTTCAATACAATTTTGCCGATGTTACATCCGAACGATCTGGTCATCGGTGGATGGGATATCAATGAATCCAACTTGTATGAAGCAATGAGACGAGCATGCGTTTTCGATTATGAATTACAAGAAAAGTTGAAGTCTGCTATGAGTCAATTGAACCCATTGCCGTCAATTTATTACCCGGATTTTATTGCTGCTAATCAAGAAGATCGAGCGAATAATTTAATTCCGAAAGGAAGCAAACAGCAGGATCTGGAACATATTCGAAATGATATTCGAGAATTCAAGAAAGCTCATAATCTAGAGCAAATCATCGTTTTATGGACAGCAAATACTGAACGATATGTGGATGGTAAGACGTACAAACGAATCGTTCGATATTCTTTCATCATTGTGTTTCAGTTCGCGCCGGCTTGAATCAAACAAGTGAAGAAATTCTTCAGTCAATCGCTGCTAATCAAGATGAAATAAGTCCATCGAATATCTTCGCTTGTGCTGCGATTTTAGAAGGTTGTCCGTATATAAATGGTAGTCCACAGAATACTTTAGTACCAGGTATCATGGACTTGGCTAAGAAACATAATGTGTTCATTGGGGGCGATGATTTCAAAAGCGGACAGACGAAAATGAAATCTGTTCTTGCTGATTTTCTCGTCTCGGCTGGCTTGAAACTTCAATCCATCGTTTCCTATAATCATTTAGGAAATAATGATGGTAAAAACCTAAGTGCACCGCAACAATTTCGTTCAAAAGAAATCAGTAAGTCCAATGTGGTGGATGATATGGTTGGCGCAAATCATTTACTCTACAACAAGAAAACCAACGAGCATCCAGACCATGTTGTTGTCATCAAATATGTTCCGTTTGTCAAAGGTAAACAAATCACTTGTTCGAAATTAGTGCATATCTGATCGATTTAGACTCGAAACGTGCAATGGATGAATATATCTCGTCGATATTCATGAATGGTCTTAGTACAATCGCAATTCATAATACGTGTGAAGATTCGCTGTTAGCATCACCATTAATCATTGATCTAGTCATTTTAACTGAATTAATGACGCGTATTACATATAAAACAAATAACCAAGATGAATATCAATCATTCGAATCTGTTCTGTCGATTTTATCATATCTTTTAAAGGCACCTTTGGTTCCACCGGGTACACCGGTGATCAATGCACTGTTCAAACAACATCGGTGCATAACTAATATTCTTTCAGCATGCGCTGGCATTGCAATGGACACCGATATGCTCTTGGAATACAAGACAACCTTACCTCAACCGAAACAAAATCAGAATTGATACCGAATTGCAATTTATCTAATCAATATTTATCATATATTTATCTAGTCATAACTCGTTTTAGTTTGATATTTTACTCTTTTCGTGCTTGTCGTGATTTTGTTGTGTATTTCAACCGAATAATCTCACCGCTGCTTGTCTCAATTCAATATCAAATGCTTAAAATATATTGTAATCTCATTTTAGATTTAGTTCTTCTCGCTTCGAGAATGTCGACATATCCTGCTTCTCCAGCTCGACAAACAGTGCATTCCGCATTGTACAAGATGCCTTCACCAACTGTTCGTTCAGATGAAACATGGAAAGATCGTTATCGACTTCACTGCAAACAACAATTCAAACGGGCACGTGATAAGGTGGTCAATAAAATGCGGCAACTTTCTGTAAGACAAATTTCTCTCTAGATAACTCACGCTGTTCATTCTTCTTAGTTCGATGACAATCAACCAACGCTATCAGCTCGTGACATCGTCGAATCGGAATGGATTAAAATGTTCGGCTCATTGCCACCGACCGCCTCGATGGATATGGATGGGAATCAGTTGCCAGCATCGGCTGAAGAAGTGGAATTCGAGGCCAATTGGGCTCTGATGAATGAAGTTCTTCAAGAGCTTGAATTAGAGCAATTACAAGGTATACCAGATGAACAACCAGAATATATCCCTTCAATCGATGAATTCAATCAAACTCAATGTCCGATTTGCTCGCACGATTCACTCTTTCAATGTTCTCCTCAGCATCCAATCACTTGTCGGCAATGTTCATTTCAATATCAAGTCAAAGCTGGCACGTTAGATGAAATTCACGCCTATCATCGAAAAACCATGGCAAATTGTAACGAAACAAAACTTCACTCGACATTGTGGCATAATGAAGATGGCATGATGCCGTCGTTACTCATCGTTTGTACAAAATGTGATTTCAATTTTTGCCTCTAAATTCTTTTCACTCTCCATGTCAGATATTCACTAGTAATATATCCTATTTATTTTATGAACAGACTTATGATTATTCTCAGGAAATAAAATTTGAATCTTAGATAAAGAATCATTGTTTGTTTAACAAACAAGAAAGTCATGCACAAACAGAAAACAAAACTAATCAAAACTGAACACAAGACAAAGTTTTTTCTTCCGATTTCAAAGACTCAGTATTCGAGTAAGACATGTATCAATACATTCTTGTTTCCGAAGAAATTTATTATCGTTGCCTTTACAACCTGAATAATCAAATTGTGAACACTGCTTCTTCTTGTGATCGTAGTACCACATAGGCAAACGGCCTAAACATTCACCTCGATCAGGCGCTGGAGCACAAGCTAAGAAGAAAATGCGTTGCGATAACTTGTTAAACAAAAGGAAAGAAAACATACTGATACATTCCAGATTGCATTCGTGTAAGGTTTGAAAATTGTTTTCATTTCCGCCCAAGCCACGATAGACAAATAAATGGCATGTATCTTGATCAGGATGATAATACCAACGATTATAATAGCGAATATGAACATCATGATAACCTGAATCGCGAGGCTGATAGCAACGTTTTGGACGATCTGAAAACGAAAAGTTAATCATTCATCCATCGGGATTTTCTTCTGATCATTTCGCAAAGTCTTACCATGCTCGGTACCATTTTCTGCTTGGCAGTAAGGTCGTCCTTCACTTGTGACAATACATGTATCATTGCCAAAACATTGATAATTCTATTGAAAAGCAATAATTAATCTAAACACGAATATCTAGTGTGCTTTTTGTCTTACTCTACAAGGTGGATCACATTCACATGTGTCGTTGATGAATTGAAAACCATAAGGACATTCTTTCGTACATTGACAAGTGAGATCACATATGGGTTTTGCTTCTGTCACTGGCAAGAACTCATCTGTGTTATTTGAATATTCATCTTCCTCGATAATACTAGTCGATGTGACATCCGAAAATACAATAGTTGTGGTCTCGATTTCATATTCGTTAGCAGAAGTGACATTCTGAGTTGTATTCAGAAAGGTGGTAGTCTCGGTTATATTGTCTTGTGAGATAGTCGTCGTATAATATGAAGCAGTAGTTGTCTCTGTTTCATTCAATGTTTCATTCTCATAATCTGTTGTTGGTATCGGAGGAAATTTGGTAGTAAAATCCAATAGTATAATAGCTGTGTCTAATTCGGACGTAGGTAACGGAGTTGTTAGATTTGTTGGTAGTACGGTTAGAGGAGCAGATTCTACTTCTTGTGTAATTTGATTTATCGATGCGACGATTGTTGTTTCTGACTCTAGTGACTTGCTGGTCAGTTCTTGAGTAATTGCACTACTGGATGTGTCAGTAGTGGCTTCAGTTGTCTCATTCGACTGTGTTTGATCGATTTTATTGGCAATTGATGAGTTAGTGTCACCTAAAGTGGTGGTTTCATTTGATACTGTGGTTAAAACTGTAGAGTTATCGGCGTCATCATTCGCTGCAATAGTCGACGACTCTTCTGTCTGATTGTTTTCAACTATATCTTGCCGCAATAGCGGGTATCTCGTTCCCTCAGATGTTATTTGGGTGCTTGTTGAGTTATATAAACTAATTTCCTCAGAAGGATCAGTCGTAGCTGAATTTGTTGTTTCTTCTTTTTCCGATGTCAATGCACTACTAGTTGATTGTTCTATAATTGTTTCATCAATCAGAATTTCATCGTTGGACCATCGTCTTCGTCGTTCATTCGATGATAAAATAGGTCGTCGACGTGATAAAACCGACTCTGCTGTGGTCAAATCATTATCGACTATCAATAAAGGATGCCGCCGATCAGGAAACCATTTCGATGCCCCTCGTAAGTACGAACGAAGACTAGCACTATTGGCGGGCTTAACAAACACAAAGAAAGAAATGAAATAAAATACAAAAGAATATTTTATATGACATACGCATATTAACAACAAACACAATGAGATTGATAATAAACAGAAATAATAAACAGACATGATATTGTTGTTTCCTTTTCTATTCGATTGATCTTTGAATGAACTCGAAGTTATTAACTATATCGAATGATTAGTTCTCGTTCTATTTCTCTTTTCTCTTGCTCTTATGCTACTAATATGTAACACGCGTCATCATTTTGTACTCCTGACGGACAGTTCGTCCTGTTATGTTGCTCTCTCTTGACTCTTCGATGTAATTTGTTGATAATCGGTCTATGATCAAGCAGAAACCTTTCCTCTCAGTGGACGTTATCATCACAGTAACGAGTTGCTTGCAAGCAGTATAATTGAGCAATATTGTTTTTATTTTCTTTGCCGTAGGCAGCAAAAGATAAAGATATAGTGGCCAGCATCCTTAGTTCAACGATCGATATGTATACAAACACATATCTATAACATAAACTGACCCTTACGTACATATATTTCATAATCGTTTCAAGTAAAACATTTGTATTCTTTCTTTTAACTGTTCTGTTCGTGTAAACATTGAACAACACTGTGTATATGCAATTGATTAATTGTCCATGTCAGCATTATTTAAATGATAACCGATGGTAAACAGATCCAATCGGACGCTTCTCGTCGAAATCAATGTGAAAATCAATTTTCAAGGTCAACACATCGTTCTTACACTTTGTTGTTTTATTGTCATTCATGAACAAACAACAGAAGATCAATTACATCATGATATATGCAGCGATAATTGTCCTTTGTCTATTGTGCAATACACATTCTATTCGTTATAAACAATAACAACAGAAGAAAAGGGAATAGTCAATCACGGGCATCGATTATTCCTATTAGATCTACGAGTCAAAGGAGCGAAAAAATGCGTGTTCATCAAAATTCTTTTGTGATATTACAGAAAAGAAAAGAATGAATGAGAAAACATTTGCAATATGGAAATGACCGGATTATTTCAAACAAAACTAAAACTTTCAATTACATATGATGATCCTTCACTACTCATTTTACATTTAATCGTCACTGTAGATTAGAAATGATGATCTTTAGTAAGACATGCGCTTTGATGTGCGCATATATACCTGACAAAACAACGTCTATGATCGAGTCCAATTTGATTTGAATGAGATGATCAGAATGAATTATTAGTATTTCACACCTGTCACATAAAATCAAAAAGATGGATCGATGTATATGTGAGTGAGAGTGAGGATAATATTAAAGCGATCTAATAGTGTGTATGGAAGTTCGATGAACTTCGATTTCGTTTGTTCGTTCGTTCATTCTTCTCCTTTCTTTTCGTTTACCTTCAGTCATCATGAATATCAATGCGCGGTGATAGCAAGTAGAGAGAAAGAACAAAATAAACCAATTTCAATCGTCGCTCATTCGCATCGAACGCTCAAAGCGAATGCTCATGATCAATTCTGTTGTCTCTACTTTCACTTTGCTTTCAGATGTGGATCAACACGTTGATATTACTGTTGTTCATCACACAGATTTCCGAACGTAGGTCTATTTAGACACACAGAGAAAGCGATTTAAATTCTTTTCTGTTCCATTAGAAGTACAAAGTGAATGTCTAGGGGGTGTCTGGACTATTCAAGACACAGCTGTTGGCTCGTTTACTGTTTCATGGAGATATAATACGACATTGAACATTCTTCAGTTTATAATTCAAGGTATGACCATTTCAGATCGTTGATGATAGTATTGAAGTACTTGCTAACTAATTATTAGGTCAAGTTAATTCGAATGTAAATCTCACATCTACTTATATTGCTTTGAGCTGGTCGGAGACTATATCAACAACGAATGCAGATATGGTATTGATCTTTCCCGACATGCAAATCGTTCGAGATGGGTAAGACGAGTTTAATACGAATCAATCTTTTCAGTTGATTTTCCCTCTGTCAGATATGTTCGTCGACAGGTTGTACCATCAATTGATCTTCAACAAGATCTGTGTATGACTCAAACCAATCTTATCGATGAAGATATTTATGTTACTTTCGAACGGTCCGTATCAACAGAAGATATTGATGATATCAGTTTTACGACAAATATATATCTTACGTTTTCAATGGGCACTTACACAGTCAATAATGACACAAATGAGTTCGATCTAAGTTCTCACTTTTTCCAAAAGTCACACAATGTTAGTATTAATCTGTTGAATTGCATATCAAGTAAATAAACGTTTACCTTTTTCTCTCGACATAAAGCAAGTTTTCTTCTGATAATAGTTGGCTGTCTGACATTCAATTGTTCCACAACAGCATGCTCATGTTTACAAGATATTTCATCGAACATTGGACAGTGCATTTGCTTTCAACCATCGTCACCATCGTGTCGATCGAGTTCAACGAAACATTCTTCAACAATGATGGCTTCATCAGTTTCTGCCCTTATTAACGGTTTGATTGTTCTTGTCAAATAGAAGCATTTCCACTTTTTCATCTAGGTTCATGTGAAAACCAAACGGATCCTTGTTCATCGCATGGCATTTGCTTGCAAATATCGTCAACACGGTTCATCTGTCAATGTAAAGCTGGCTATACAGGTGTTCTTTGTCAAACGTCATTATTTTCTCCCAACATCAATATTTTCAACGTCTGTCAATGTCTGAATGGCGGCGTTTGTTCATCTAATGCGACCTGTTCATGTCCAGAAAACTATCGAGGAAAATACTGTCAACTAAGTCTGTTAATTTTAAATTGATCCGACAGAGAGAAAAATGTCATTTTTAGCTAATCCGTGCAATGGCTATTGTCAAAACAGTGACCGTTGTACAGTTGATTGCACAGATTCATCATGTGACACGCCCAACTGTACGTGTATAAGTGGTTTTACTGGAGACCGCTGCGAGACGAGCAACCCCGATGCGTGTCAATCAAATCCTTGCGTCAATGGACTTTGCATACCGATAGCAACGGATGATTTTCAATGTCAATGCAACAGCAGTTATATTGGTTCACGGTGTGACAAACGTAAGAATGGAAACGAAAGAGAAACACCGATTCAAATGTTTTTCTTCTCTAGTCAATACATGTTTATCCAATCCTTGCAATCAAGGAACATGCGTGCCGTCATCCAACTGTACGGAACAAACTTGTTCTTACTCATGTTCATGTCTTAATGGTACAACCGGCACATATTGTGAAACAGTCACAGATCCATGCTTAAGTATACCTTGCCAGAACAATGGCAACTGTTCAGTATTGTCGAATGGCTACCTATGTGAATGTGAACCGCCGTATAATGGTACAAATTGTGAGATAATAGCTGATGTGTGCATGTCGAATCCATGTTTGAATAATGGAACATGTATTCGAGATTTGATCGTTGACAGGGTAGCATATCTATGTGATTGTCTTGAAGGTTATGTCGGAGAACATTGTGAATCTCGAGATACATCTTGTAAAATGATATCTTGTGAGAATGGTGGTACCTGTTTGATAAACAACGAAACAAACATTTCCTATTGTCAATGTCCATCGAATACAACGGGTGACCGGTAAATTCTATACGGTTAAAATAGTTGTATATTTATGTTATTTCTCAATCTGATGTTCTTAGATGTGAAACAAAACAGACGTTATGTACAAATGCAACTTGTTCTAACAATGGCATTTGTTTCAGTAAAGTTTTATCCAATAACAATTCCAGACATTGTATATGTTCTGAAGGCTTTACTGGTCAATACTGTGAGAACTTCATATATATGAATAATTCTTGTTTACGAAAACCCTGTGGCTATGATGGTACATGTATTCAAACATCAAATGCTTCGTATTATTGTATATGTTCAAATGGCTCAACTGGACAATCATGTGAAACAAGTAAATTTTTTTTTCTATACCATATCAATCGATATTCATTCTTCTCTAGATACACTAACCTCATGTTCGGGTTCACCTTGTCGGTATTTATCTACGTGTCAACCAATAGAAGATACAAAGCCTGTCAATTACCAATGTGTTTGTCCGCCGTATTTAACTGGTGACCGTTGTCAATATACGAACAATTGTCAAAATCAACCTTGCGTAAATCATGGGACATGCATCCCACTCGGCCCGCAGAACAATTTTATGTGTCTATGTCCACCAGAGTTTGGACATTATGACTGTTCAATATGTAAGAAAAGCGAAATGGCTGGAAGAAGTAAACGATCCTTTATCTTTCCATAGATATAGGTGTGTCGTGCAACTCGCATGTTTGCTTAAATGGAGGCACATGTGATGATGATAACAGTACCAATATTCGTTGCATATGTCCAGCAGGATTTGCTGGGCCACGTTGTGAATGGGGTGAGTTGAGTGCAGTCGTTTCTGTTTGAGCTGAGAAAGGATGAATTTTATTTCATAGCTTCGGTTTGCTCGACAAATACCTGTCAAAACAATGGTACATGCCGGCAAATTGCTCCTACAATGGCTGAATGTCTATGTCAAACTGGTTTTACTGGCCCAACCTGTGCTCTACGTAATTAACTCTTATTTTCCTATAGTACATATTTCGAAACAATTGAAATCTTTAGGCGATTCTTGCACTCGGTTACCGTGCAAAAACGGTGGTGGCTGCACGACACTTATTGCTGATACAGGAACCAATTGGTCAGCATATCGATGTATATGTCCTCCGGGAATGTATGGACAAAATTGTGATACAGGTGCAATCAAAGCGAAAGAATCTATGGTAAAAAAAAGTACCTTTCCTCTTGTACCTTTTAGGAATAAGTTCTTGTTCAAATATGCGCTGTCCGAGATATCAAATTTGCAGTGAACAACCAACGGGTCCTATTTGTACCTGTCCTGAAAATAAAGTGGGCACATTTTGTCAATACGGTAACCTCCCTCGTTGTGATTGTCGCGCTACAAAATAATTCATTTTCTGTTTATTTTCTAGATAATCCATGTAAAACATCAACCATCAATTGTCGAAATAATGGTGCATGTGTGTATTCAAATACAGATCCACCTGTTAGTTCCTGTCGTTGTAGAGAAGGATTCGCCGGAACATATTGCGAAACAATCATACATAATAATCCATGTTCAAGTAATCCCTGTCAAACGCGTGGTTACTGTGCTCTGTCAACAACAAATAGAACCTATACATGCATCTGTCGAGATCATTTTATTGGTGAATATTGCGAACGGAATAATCCGTGTTTGTCATCACCATGTTTGAATCAAGCCATGTGTCAACCCCATTGGAATCAAACAGACACTTGGTTTAGTTGCCATTGTGCAGGAACGTATACCGGAAGTCGATGTGAAACATCTCTATTAAATCCATGCGGAGGATTGTGTATGAATGGGTAAAATCTTTTCCTTTATGCAATTCTGAGAACAATGTGATGGTTGAATTCTTGCAGAAGTCCATGCAGTCAAGGAATATGCGTTTGTCCGGCACAGTATACAGGAACATTTTGTGAATACGGTAAAAGTACATTTCCTTCTTGTGATTTCCTATTGATTTGTAATGTAATGTACAGATAATCCATGCTTCCAACCAATTTGTCAAAATGACGGTGTTTGTTCCGTTGTTTCGAATGCAACAAACGTTTCTTTCACGTGTACTTGCCCGAGTTTATCTACTGGTCAATACTGCGAAATTTCATTGAATATATCGGCAAGCACTGATTGCGCGTTAAGTTGTATGAATAATGGTACATGTGGTAATGGAGTATGCCTATGTACATCGAAATATATAGGACCAGTATGTCAATACGGTAAACGAATAGTTGAGAGAAATGTTCAGTGTATAAATTGACTTTTAGAGAATCCATGCGCAAACCGAAATCCATGTTTAAACGGCGGCAAATGTTTTAGTCGGTACAATCCGAATGGAACAGTGACGACACAATGTTTTTGTCCTCAAGGATATACAGGAAGCCATTGTGAAGGTAGTCAAACATCGATAACATTGTACAAAGTCAAAGATTTCCCATCTAGCTATACTTTGTTCTCCAACATCATGTAACGGTGGTGTTTGTACAGCTACACAGAATAATATCGTTTGTGCATGTCCAAAAGGCAAAGTTGGTGATCGCTGTCAAGTAATAGTTCTACTTAATATTTATTCGATTATTAATCAGAACGAGTTTTTTAGTATGCGGATGCTTGTGCAAAAAATCCATGTCTACCGAACGAACGATGTGAACAAATCGGAAGTCAATACCAATGTAAGCTTTCCTTTCTATCTATTCCTAATTGAAAATCACTCTCTTGCTTTTTGTAACAGGTATATCCTGTTACGACAAGAGTTCGTACTGTTCAATCTATCAACTACGTAGTGAATATTGTGATAATCGTTATACAATTCTTGTTGATAACAACTTCCTTTCCGTTCCTCAAGCGTGTCAACGTTCATGTGGTCAATGCATACCCATTCAGCGTTTACAAGATATTTCAACATTGTTCAATCAAGTAGAACTGAGCGACGAGATAAACATGACATCGAGCACAACTACCGCTAAGGAAGATCGCGATCGAGAAAAATGCATCGATCGACGAGATGATTGTTCCATGCAAAAAGCTTACGGATTCTGTCGAATATTCAACGAGAAATATCCTGAAGATTGCGTGAAGACCTGTCATCCCGATTGTACAAATACATTTTGAATAATTGAATATTTTCACTTTGCACGCTGTAATAAATAACTAGTAGCTACTGTTCGTCCGAAATAACCCAGTTAATTTGATTAGAAAATAACATAGCAGCGTGGCGCAGTGGAAGCGTGCTGGGCTCATAACTCAGAGGTCGGTAGATCGAAACTACTCGCTGCTACCATTCTTTTTCACCTTATTTTATTTTAACAACCAAGCGACAGAAAACAACAACACAGCTAGAGTAATCACATTTTTACTAAATTGCGTCGTTCTATTTCTCTCATATATTGCGTCATTACTGAGACGGTATAAAAACTCCTTCGAACCTTTCATTTTGTTTCATTCAACTGTAAAAAGAAAGAGCTAGTTTCGATTTCAAAAATGGCTCGCCGAGCCGATTGGGATGTCGACGATTTCGAAATGCTTCCCAATCCATCGAGAATAAATATACCGCAAACGTTCGAAATCATTAGTGGTAAGCAAGCAAAACAAGTTTTGTTATTTTGTTGATCAACATTTACTCCTTCTCCACGTAGACGACGGTTTCGAGATCGTTACGAATGAAAACAAGTCAATAGATAGGCATTCTACGACTTCAGCTATCGAGCAACCAATCGAATCCTTCGATGAGGTTAAACCTCAAACTTCTCCTTATGTTCGCTACGGTTCTGCAGCGAGTATTCCTTGTACAAATAGCTTTGATTATAAATCAATCCTTACTTCCAAATCGATCGTACCGTCAAATAATCTAATGGATTTCATCCGTGCTGATCAATCAACAAAATGTTCGTTCATCAATAATGACCTCAATGACGTTCTCAGCAATTATACTCGCGATCGTGAAAACCTTGTTCGCTTAGCAAAACAACGGCAAGATGAATTTATTAAAGCAATGCGCCTTGATTAATTAAGTTTATTTCCTATGGATTTCAAATAAAAAAATATCTTTTAGAATATTCTCTTTTAGAAAGATTCTAATAGTAAATTGAATATGTAATTAAATTAATAATAATGGAAACTTCGAGAACTTGACGCAGAAATTGATTCGTCGTTCTCGACGTTAGACGATCACCGTAAAATAAGATACTAAACCAGAGGAATAAATTAAACAGAAAGACAGCAACTGAATATTCGATGACTTTAACTATTAAATAGTAAATTTTCTCGAAGAGATAACTGTCAATGTCAATGCCATTGCCATAAACTAATGTTCGATGATGCTGATCGAGAGTTCTTTCGAAAACAATATGCCGATACGAGTAAAGCAATGAGATGCAAATGAAAATCATCAACATGGAAGATAATGTTTGCACGTTTTCGCAGTCATTGTCTTTCTCGCGTAGACAAATAGTCATCGGTTGACACTCGTGTTCGAACTGGCCACGCCGACGGGTTGTTTTGCAATGAGCACATTCAACTTGTAATTCATCAAGCATATTCCGAATCAATCGGTTTGCTTTCGGTAAGTACATGTTATAATCAATATGAACTAATTCATTCCAATGCCATCGACAGATCGGACAGATTGGATCTGCCAGCTTCAAGAGACATGACCGACAAAATGCACTATCACATGTAATATGCGTATGTGGATCTTGTAATACATCCAAACATATTGGACATATTAACGATGTTGATATGGCTTGTTCGTTAACATATGTATAGTCTAATTTATTCATTAGAGAAGAAAAACGATGTTTGCGTGTTCGTTTAGTTAGTGGTGTATGTATAATGTAAGTACATGCAAGTTGGTCAATAAAATCTACAAAAGAGAAAGAAAAACATTGAAATAAAGAAAGAAAGATTATAGCGATGTAATTTTTTTTTCATTTCAATATCGGTGGTAGCTTTCAGTCAGGATTAAAATTTCTTTTTCTTCGCCTTCAGCTTGCAATAATTTGAGTATATACTTATGTTGATGACTCATACTTTTTTAATAATGACAACCTCCGTAATGTTACTCAAAGCCCAACAAAGAAAAATAATATTGACGAAAGTCACATGCACATGCAAAATACACTCAGACATACATCACACATACAGAGAAACATGTCTTCGGACATTTCGATGATACGATTGATCATCATTTCCATGAGTCAATTAGAAAAGATGATTCATTCTCATCATGTCACGGATCGTCTTTTTGAATCGATTTTGCCATGTCAGTTGTCCTATTAGTCGACAAATAGGTGAAACATACTGTTCAGAGTAGTAGTAGTAGTGGTGATAAAGGGCTGGTACGATTGATTTGGGTGAAGGTATCATTACTGATTGTTGTTCGATATCGTCAAGTGAATGTGTCGAATATCCATCATCATTATCCGTTGTTTGATCATCAAAGCAGGAAAAGGATGATGACGACGACGAGGAGAAAGTAATCTTTGTTTGACTCAAATCAGTTTGATCATTAGCTTCATTCTCATCGATTATATCATAAACATACGTCGTTGATAATTCATAACAAATCTTAGCTTCATTCTCATCATCTAAAGGAAACCATTCATGAGAATGAAAATCATTATTGAACAAACACAAACCTTGTTCGAGTAGATCAGAAGATATTTGACAACTTGTTGATTTGATTTCATCTTGGGGGGTTGGAAGAACATTGAGACAGCAAGACAGGTCTTTGTTATCACCGGTGTTCTTCACCGATATGTTCAATGAATTTCGATTGATATCATACTGAAGATTGATTTTCAACTCATCGGTTAAATTAACCGTTTGCCAAATGAGACGTGACGTTTGCAACATCGTCGTCATCGATGAAAACCTGGAAAATACACGAATAGATCGACTGGTTTCTCAAATATGTTCAACTTACGACGAAAGAGTTGTCATGTGATCAAGTGCGAAGTGTAACAAACGCTATGCTTAGATACAATGTGATGTTTGAATAGAAAAGATAGTTCTTTTCCTTTTCTTTCACTCTCTTCAGCTGGTATTAAATGGATGTGAAGAAATAAAAAAAAGAGTTAGCGTATGTGTTCTTGCTTTTCTCTCCTTTCTTAGAAAGAAAAAGCGAATTTTCTGCGTATACGATCGTACCGTCGAAGCTGCTAGCGGTCACATTCCAACGACATTCAGCAGCAGAACTCTGAGAAAAAGAAGAAAACAATTTTCCTTGGCGACCTTTTTTTTTCTTCTGCGCCGTTTATGGAGTTAACACAATGACTGCCAGTTCTGATGAACGAAGAAAAGAAAGTCATAGCCTATTTCTTTCTGCTTCAATAAGAATATTTCTCAGTGAACAGCAACAGAAACTCATTGGATATCCTTACTCACCTTATTGATTCATAGTGATGGTCAATTACCTACGCATAATTAATTTTTCGTGCTTGTTTACTACAAACGTGATTTTGTTATGTGGGAGCGTTTAAGTGAAGCGTTGGTTTCGTTTAATGAGCGTCGAAAATGAAATTTCTCATGAAACTGCTTGTTTTATTCGTCATCTGCTGTATGACGCACAACTACTCAGATAACTCGATCGAATTGATTATTGTGACGTAAAAGTCCTCGAATAGACATAAATCTTTCACTGATAAAGAGCTACTTTGTACAATCACAAGGCCTCGAATTTTATATAAAACATCGCACCAACCCATACAGTCATTAAAAGCACATTTCAAACTTTGCCATAAACAGTAGATAGATGAGGTGCATCAAATGTCAGTTGAAATTTGTCTTCACCATGATATTTACTTGTTTGGACGTACCATGTGCCTTCGAATCGATTGTTTAACTGGTTCCAAGTCAGTTGAATGGTCACCTGATGACCTAAATTTTCCGATGAGTTACCAGTCCCTTTTTTATACGTTTTTGTTAAACCCAGTCGACCTGTTTGATCCGAATAAACTCCTCGGATAGTGAATTTTCCGACGTCATCAGATCCTTCTCCAGTGATTGTTTTCGAGTTGCCTATGAATTTGAGAGAAAATCGACAAGGACCATGCCATTTTCCATATTGAAAGTAGTGGCTTTTCCAAAAGCCGCATTTAAATATGCTCAGGTCGCATTTCTGATGCTCACAGTTCGTTTTCGACATTTGGTTTTCAACAAACAGCACATTTGTTTGTCGTGGCAGGCCTCTGTATCTTTTCACACAGTAACTAATACCGAATATTAAGACAAATAACGCAAAAATGCCGCCGATTATACTAAACACGACAGTTGTAATCAAGGCACAATCGGAGCCTGTACACGAACTGTCTGACCCTCCGTGATAGATGAAACTGCCGCCTAAAAAGAGTATGAAAAGCTTAATCGGATATTCAGAATGATCTAGTGCCATTACCTCCACCCGCGGCACCACCACCACCACCACCACCACCACCTTGACATTCGATATAAAGTGCCAAAAACGTGGTTAGAATAATCGCACGATATACAAGATGCATTTTAGTGGTAAAATCGAAGAATTTTGTTGAGTTAGATCTTGATGAAAGGGCACCTGTAATCTGTATCGCGTATCTTTCAAGATACAACACATTTATACCTTTGAGCTTGACTCATTAAACACATTTTAAGTGTCTTATCGTGTTTACAGATTGGAGCGTAAGAAAAGATGAATCACGAGTTGTTCCCTTTTCTGAAAGAAAGAGTTATAGCGTCATGAATCAGGCCACTAAAATGCAATAAGTTTGTTTGCATGCTCCAATCAGATTGCAGCATTTCATACCTCAATGAAAACTTAACCAACCTCATTAAATAATGACTGATGACACGTAATCGGGGTCGAGGATCACGAATCCGACATTAGTGTTGCTTAATTAATTATTAATTTTTCATTAACTAGCCACGACTAATTAACATTCATTTTCAGAGTAGACCAAAGGATTTCTGACGTCGGGAAATTTGAATGGGAGAGCGAATTCCGTTTTATTCGCTGAGCCTGGACTTGCCCTTCCTCTTTACAAAGGAGATATTTTTCTTTATCTGTTCTAAAATCTTTTGTAGAAGATGGTGAGCTGAACGCTATTCACGGACGTCATGTGTACAAAGAGAGTAGCTCAAGAACTTACACGAAAAGATCTAATGCATTGTACATAATGACGTTTCTAATTGAAAAATCCGAAAAAGTGATATGAGCTTAGTATCATCTTTGCTTTGTAGGCTACATACATCATGTCTTTTTATGGGAATTTAGTAGAAGTAGTTCGCAAAGCGATCTAGCCGTCGGTGGAGTTCCATCTTAGTAATTACAGACGCGTGGACTGTAGAAACAGTATTCTGAACACATGCAGCGCTATGAAAGATGTTCGTTTCGAAGCAAATCATATAATAAGACTTTCTTATCTAGTTTCTTTTGGTAGTCGAATGAATAGAAGATCATGACTGTAGAAGCGACAATAAAAGAAAACCCAATCATTCAGTTTGAAAGTCGATCGAAGGCGAAAGGAATAACAGAGACAGCATGGCAACGACTAGCCGTGAGTGACCGACCGGAGGGAGGTCGACGAACGACTAGGCGTTTAAATGCTAGAATAATCCTAAAGTGTACGCTTAGAATAACCTTGCCAGGCTTCAGATAATTTTGAAAGGGATTTGACGAATGGAAATCCTGAATGAAAATATTCGACAAGGTATCATTTTGTTGATAGGAAAGAAAAGAATCGGATTATCGCTGGAAGACACAAGCGAATGTTCAAACTTTTCAAGTAGTCTACTGCATATCGTCCGTCTATGAGTGACTTAGTAAAGCATTTATGAAAATTTCCATGCGCGTGATGTGAAAATAGAAAAACAGATGACAAGGACAATGGTTGGCCGTCTGACTAGTCGTTGAGCGATGAATTTTTCAGTCAACATAGCTAGTGCTGGAGAATTATCCAGTGACAAATGGCTAATCGGTCTGATTCCTAGAAAGACCTCTGTATCCTATTTGTTTTAGTTCTAGTGTGTGACATAGTACCATGATTCAGTTGAGCACCAGTAGCAATCGCAGTGCGTCTTTTCTCTTTCGAAGTCTCTGAATGTGTTCAGCATTCGGAAAAGTCTTTCAGAAAAGGGTCAGCGAATCCAAAGGATGAGCGTTACTTGTATATATATGTGGATACATACGTTTCATTCTTCTTTTCTCTTTCATTGCCACGTGTATTAAAAGTTGAACAAAGACGTGAACAAGAATACATCGGATATACCATCTGGTCTAATAAGTCTTCTTGTGATAACTGGCCATTGTCAACATTTAGTTTTTGAACATCGAAGCCCAACTAGAGAGTACTATCTGTTATCGATTTGGATACTGTTCGTGCATGGCTTCAAGATGTTGCTAAACATGTGTCTTTCGCATTATCAACATCAACTATAACGTAAGTGCATTCGTGGTGTTCATCTCTCGTAATTGATTCGCTTCTCATCAAACTAATGCGTCTATTTCATACATACATGTGTGCATCGGTCAGAAAGATAAAATAAGCGAGAATTTGACGTGTCTCTTGCTGGGAACCCTTTTCTGGTTTTTCACACTGAATTGCAAGTGAATTTTTACGAGAAAAAAATTCTCTCATTCTCTCTCCAACATTCGAATTTTCTTCAAGTTAAATGACACATAATTAGTCTTTTAAAATGATCCATATAATGATGATTGTTTTGTCAGAAAAAGGATTTACGAAAGTGAATAATCACATTTGTAGGGCTGTCTTTGTGTTTGGCGGAATCAGCAGTGGTCCAAATCAAGGGACATTACAGGAGCATATTTTGAAGATCATTCAAACTGATGCCAACGATGGCGGCATCAATCAAGGATCTTACACCCAAGGAAGAAATACAAAAATCCAGTGATAGTTAAAGTCGAGAACACATTAATCAAACCACTGGATTAAACTCGATACTTGGGTGTTATCGTAGACAAAAGATTAAAATGGCGAACGCATCTCGACCATATTGAAGCTAAGATTGCTCCGCGGATCGGTTTTCTTCGATATCTATCGAGATCAGCACAAGAACCAAACAACAAGACGATGATAAATGTCTTCAAATCAATTGTACGCACAGTCATCATATACGGTTATCCTGTCCTTCTCACAGCCGATCAAAAAATATGGGATCGCCTACAAATCATGCAGATCAAAGCAATCAGAGCTGCATTAGGTTTACCCATATACACATCGGGCAAATACATCCACCAAATCAGCAACATCCCAAAGATCAAGGACTAGGCAGTAGAACTACTTAAGCAAGCAATTCAAGCAGCGACAAACAACAGCGACATCACGCTTAAAAATCATCTAGTAGACATACTAGAAAAGATTTAAAAGAAATCACCAACGTCGTATTATATAGAAGCGTCGATAAACTTGATCATTCTTGTGTCGGCCGGGTCTGTACAAAAATCGTTATATCGGAATAACGTACGAAGCGTTTGGTGTATAGGCGACGACATATACAATATAAAACGAATTCAATCCAGCTAACTATTCGTTCGATCTTCTTTCTCGTTCTGTCTTCCTTTCATATGTAATATCGAATCAAATCAACATGTTTGCTGACTCTTTCACCACTATCAAATCTTTCACTCGTTCTTATATACAATACGAAAACAATTCAATCTATGTAACGATTAAACTGCTACCGTATCAATTCTCTTTCCTTTCTTTCAACTTCTTTTTTCTTTCATAGCACATCACTAACGCACACCACTATCATACAGAAACCTATTTTCTCTCCATGCCTATTTTCTCACGCTTCTTTTACTAGGACAAAAGGCATACGTCATGGGTCCTTTCTTCTTTCGTTTTCTCGTGTCCAGCTTTAGTGTAACTACTAACTGTTGATTCTCTTGTCTATGCAGTATTGTTACACGAATAAAAGCTTTGTTACCAGAAAAAAATCAAGGATCTTTTTACAGCGATTTATTGAAAAACATGAGATACTACCCAGGACGATGATTCCTGAAGCAGGATTCCATGAATTTCCGACAAAATCCCTGAGGAAACTCGCCATTTCTGAGCGGAACCCGTCCGGAAAATGTCAGGAATCCGATGGAGAAAAGCGGTAACCATTTCCGACTACCGGTTTTGACATGTTTCTGTCGGTTCCGGTCCAAACCCGATAAATCCGGTCACCGGATCCGCTCATCGGGAATACTGCTTCCATGAAATCTCCGGAATACCATAGAACCAGCCGTTTCCGTGCCAGATTGTTCGACCTGGGATATGATGTGTGTTTTAATCTTGGCACTGAATTTCCAGAAAACACTGGTGAAAATTATTTGGATGTCATTGTCGATGAACGTGCATTTATGGCCAATCCATCAGCGAAACAACATAATCAGAGTAAAATCGATATTTTAAAACATTTCGTGTTGAGAATAATGTTGAGACGAAGTTTGAGTAACGATGTCATTCAATGCACATTAGCAGGAGAAGACTGTCACATCATTTCGATGAGTATAACTATTCGTTCATTTTCGAGAAATTTGAAGCATACCTATATGAACAAACATGTATTAAGATGATTTCGTTTCACGAACGTGAGCTATCATGTTTCTTTCACATAAAACCATTTAGAAGAAATTAACAGAGAAGCTTTTTCAGTCAGCTCTGTTTCGAGATAACTTTATTTTCCTAGACAAGACCGAATCAGAAATCAACTTTCTTGATGCTGCCATAAATTACTTCGGTTCACGTGCTGCTCTTCTGTGTGCAAGTGAAATAAAAGATGAAAATGCAAGGGAATTATTCCAGACGGCAACTGGTCTCTTGGCAAAAGCAAAAGTTCTCAAGAGGCAGCAAACATCATTTAAATCTTTTGATCAAAAAATAAATCAGGTAAGAGTTATCCATCGTTTCTAATCCACCGCATACATTTTGACATATTCATATTTCTATGGATGTAAACATGAGTTTCAAAATATTATACAAACCTCTCTTGACATTTTCGACAGTCGCAACGATGAATAATCATCTGTCGGCATAGAAAATTGTAACGTCCGGGTATACTAAGTTTCTCGCGTGTTCTTTCATTCAAGAAAAGACTCAACAAAATCGATCTGCTGCCTTTACTCATACTCTATTTTTCTGAAAGTACGTGAGATTAATACTGCAAGCGAAGTAGTTCAATTGCTCAGAGATTTCAATGTAGCACCCGCTCTCCATTATATAGTATATATCTATCTTTCGTCCTAAATTGGTCTTCTGTTTTTAATTTTTAGAATCTTGAACCATCAAATGACAAATCCGATGATTATGACGATAATGAAGGCCTTCTATTTTCATAGTTTGCAAAATAAAATATTCAATCGTCATCTTTGACATTGACTAGTAAAAAATACAAGAGAGCATTTTTCAACACACATTTTAAAATCTTGGTACTCGATTTGAACAGATTGCACTATTGACCAAATATTAGAGTACAAGTCTATGAATCATGAGGTGTTCAAGTGTGCAAATGAGATATTTTTCGAAAAGAAAAACGATTAGACAGAGAAACTGTTGTTTTTGCCAACAGTTTTCATTGTTTTTATTGCATTTTTCACATTCTTTCGAACAGAATTAACAAGAGATGCATTCAATTTCTGCGTCCGGTTTAACAAGTTTGAACAATAACAAATCTCTCGAAACTCGGGTCTCTTATGTGCGATACAAGCCGATGTTTGTCCATATTTATTCATTCGACTTAAACGTCGTTTCCGAATGAGAAATGCTTTATTTACAGGATCGTACTCGGCCGTTAACTCGAATTGTCCATGTCCAGGAACGGTTTCGAACTGTATCTGATACGATTTCATGTGAGTTAATTCTAAAGTTTTGTTCAATGATTTGAATGTCTGATTACGGAATGTTGGTACACGACCATCTTTATCGCTTGAACCGGCGAATTTCAATAGTTGATCGTTGAGTTTCAATTGGCTAGCTTTGTTGATTTGGTATAAACTCAACTTGGCACATTCTTTTTTGTAATCAGTAACGAACTCATTGAGAAAACCCACCGCTTGCTGTCCAAATTGTTGGATAATGGTTTCACTGATTGAAACATCGTTCCAATTTAAACACGCACACCAATGTTGTTCGATATCAGCTTGTTCACAAGTTCGATTCTCGGGAATTAGTTGAAATAAACTGTACGAGCGACTTGTCTTCGGTTGATACGGTTCATTCGAATGAAATTCAAATAAATGTTCAAATGTTTCGTGCAAATCGAATGGAGTGGTCAAACGATGCGAATTCAAACGTAAATTTGACATTAAATGAGGATATTTCTCTTGGAAACTTGGAGGCATACGAATAGAAATGAACGGCAAACGTTCCTCCAGTTTGCCTTGGTAAGTTTTTCTCAACGAAGAAAATCGAGCACCATGGTCAGTCATTAAAAGAAATATAGTCTGATCAAAATATCCATGTTGATGCATAAATTTCAAGAATTCGAGTAATTCATCATCACCATACGGCAAACGATTATTCGAATCATGGGAATATTGAGAATGGAAAACAAACGAGAACTTCGGTTGAATTGGATACATGTCATAGAGATCGCGTATCCAATTGAGCATGGATTTGAAACGTGTTATCGAGCCGAAACAGTATGGTTTCGAGGTACGCATCGATTCAGCAACGAGATAGAATGGACGACCGTAGTGATCAACGGGTTGATCACGAAAGCCTTTCAAACGCATCTGAAACGTTCCGACACTTTGTAGATCTTCAGCCCATTGGGTTACATAGCCATTATCTAAAAAAGATACATATTAGCTTTTATGCAGAAGAAAGAAGGACAAATATTGTTTGAGGATCTCTTCTCCGGACAGAAAAAAGAATGATTTTCATTACATTTCTCAAGTGTTCATAGAGAAAAAAGATCTCCCCGCGGGTACAAAATGTTGTCAATAGATTGCATGTGTTTTCTCGGAAGATAATTGTCTTTTACCTTTGAATTTCTTCCAGATCCACGGAAATCGATCTACTGTTTGTGCGTCAGTGTGACCTCGTCTTGCTTCGGGCAATTCTCGCTCTGTTTTACCAGTCAGAATCGGCAAAAGAGCTGCCGGTGTTCCATCACCAACAATATTATATCCTAGATAAATCGACATTATATACATCTCAGAACTAATCTGCACTGATGTCAAACCTTTCATTACAATACTGCCGAGTTCTTTGATTAAATAATTATAACTTTTCGGTAGAAAACGCATGAAAGTCATCCGCGATACGGAATCAAAGCCAAACATTAACACATTATAACCTAAATGGGTTTTCACCATTGGATTCCAAATATGTCTAGATGAAGAGATAATAGATGTGAGATACATCAAGAATGATCAAACTACCTCATATGTAGACCAGCATCGAACATAATACCTGAATGAATGTTCGAATAGAAACTTCCGTCACGTGCTCGACAATCGGCACGGAAAAAGTCAGATACAAGTGGCATTTTATCAACAATAGGGAATAATCGAGCACCTTCCATCGTAGAGAAATCATCCTTTGACCGGAGAATTGGACGATAAGCACAAACAATTGCTCCATGTTTCTGTAAAGCTTGTTGAGATAATCGAAATGTTCCTAAAGAAGAAAATCGCTTGATTTCATTAGATTTCTTTCCTGTCAGCAAACCATTTTCCACGTAAACCCAATTAGCCGCTTTTTCGCAATCAGGTTTGGATTTTCTCACTGGCTGTAAATATTGCCATATGTTAGGATTATCGATGGATAGTTTTGGGTATTGACATGTTAATTGTGTAGTATTGAAGTATTCCTTGGAGATCAAATGGATGTTTTTGGTTGGTAATATACGTGCATCATCGAGATCAGTTTCGTCGATATGAAAGATTTGATCGATTTCATATTGTTGCGGTAGAAAAATACTGTAAAAGTATCGTTGGAAGAACATCATAGTGAGAAATGTCGAAATTATTGTCAAGAATAACAGTGAAGCTTGAGATAAGTAATAACGTCGACACCGACGACGAATTTGCATTATCGTTGATTTGATTTTCGACGTCGATATTTCCAATCGAATTTGATGCTCATCAGATGCGTGTTTGCGAATCTTCACGGAAGTTTAACCGAGAATTAATAGCTAAAAGAAGAACACAGATATCCAATTAGGTTATTCCATTTCGACAGGTAATTCTAAAGAATATTTATATCTGGGATTCACTTGGCAAGGAAAAGAATGAGAGAATGTATTCCCGTTGACTTTTTCTCCTTATGATAATTTTTCTTTGAATCAGTAAAAAGATGATGAATAGGTTCTTTCAACTGTGTGAATACATGCGCTTCCTATAGTATATTTCATGACAATAATAAAAACACAAGACGATGAATAACCGTTACCTAAACTTTTGTATGTATCCTTGTTCTGTTTTTGTTATCGGGCAGTTTATTGCGTTCACCAAATGGGAAGAATGAGTGGCAACGTTGGAGCGTTCTTATAAATAAGAAGTATTGTCGAACTGTTACGCCCGTCATCGCCGCTTGGCTAAGATAGACGATGACGAATCAACACAAACAGATAGGATAGTAGCAGTCTGTATTCTTCGTCATTATTAGCTAGCATGCGCATCGTTCATCGCATCATAACTAGTTGAATGTATGTGAGTTTCTTTTAGCCGCTTAATGACGGTACCAATTACATCGGTTTTTCTGTTCTATTCCATTTCTTATTCGATGGATGTATCTTCTTATTCTTCGTCTTCATCGTCGTAGTCAATCGTTTTCTTCATTCTTCTTCTTTCTCTTTCTTTTCTATTTCTTGTCGAAGAAAGTCCCATGTTACTGTAAAGCTAGTTCTATCATCTTTCCTTTATATATTATCCTAAATATTAACCTTTTCCGCATGCTCATGAATGAGGAAAAAAAGCGAACCGACTCTATCGGTACGATTCTGTTGCATGTTTAGCGGGAGAGCAGACATACCACATGTGTAAGTATAAATATATATATGTCTTTCGACGTCGATTGATTGGTTTCTTAATAAGAAGAAAAAATGAACGGAAAATAAATCCATGTAAACAAGCAATCTTGAAAATGTAGAAAATCGTTCATTTCATTCCATTAGATTTTATTGATGAGGAAATGATTGAAGGAAAGAAAAACGCTCGATTGATTTTTCTAGAGACGTATGTATACGAGCGACATTTCATTTCCGGCTGGCTTATTGGCATTACACATACATTGAAATAAAAAGAATTCACAAAAGATTCTCGTCGAAAGAGTCTCTCCTTCTATCCTTGTGCACCATGTGAAAAGAAGTATTTCCGCGAAGTCGCTATTTTTCTTTTTAATTAAACCATATAATGCTTGGTTAAGCCAAATAGTGTTACTTTATTATAAATGAATTAATAATTGAAAATTATTATCACAAGAAATCAACTAAGATGTTTTGGAAGCCGCGAAATTCCATACACTTTTAAATCAATCAAATGTACATTCCTGTTTAAATGATCAAATAACTCAGTAGTCCACTCCTTTGTCTGATCACACATTGATTTCTTTCTATTCGCAAACGTACTCTATACCATAGATCAAATTCTAGTTAAATATGAGTAATTCATTGATTCGCAGTGAATCATAATCATCAATTTCGAATTAGTTTTCGTATGAATTCATTGTATAAGAGTCGCTTTCGCCCTGTATTCATCCACAACTTGCAAAACATGATCGGACCATTCCTTCAAATACTACTTTGTTTATTTTGTAAGTGAATTTCATCTCCCGTTCTCCATCATCTCTTCAAATTTAGTTCTCCATTGCATCAGTGGACAATACTTCAATGCCAGTCAGAACATTTCAAGTCAAATAAACGCCAATGGGACTTATATTCCTATTGTCATTACATATACACTTCAAAGAAATAATTCCGTTGGTACTACGAGCGTAGCACCTATTTTATTATATAATGTAACAACTCAACAACAACATACTAACAGTTCTACAAAATCTAACTCGCGTACAATGTTAACTCTTCCGCTTATTTTTTTTCTATACAATTATATTCGAAAAATACTCTAGACGGTAAAAGAATGACGTGAAGAACTAAATAAATAAAGATCAACAAAGTTAAAATAAAATCGGTAAATAAATTTCGATTAAGAGAGAGAGAAATGATAAATGTAATGTCAAAATAAAACGAGACGAATCAAGAGAAAGGCACAATTAAATAATGTTAGAATTTGAAAATAATTTAAACAGCACGACATTTAGGTGTGTTTCCTTCAAAAACACAAGTTGTACCTGCTTGACAATCTTTTGGGCACCAACGATAGTTTTCGGGCATAAGCTTTTGTTCGCAGAGTACACCTGTTATGCCATTCTTGCAGACACATTTGTAACCATCTTTTGTTGAGATACAACGGCCGTTTTTACCACATGGACTTGGATTACATGTTCGTGGGCGATTAACTAGATCGAATACATTGTTTTGATTGAAAATGGCATAAGAAATACTCACTCATTTCACAACGATCACCATAGTATGGTTTTGGACATGTACATTGTGGACCTTGTTCGTTGACATAACATTCACCTCCATTTTCACATGTTACGTTGGCGCATGCAGCATTGCTAATGGCACGTTTTCGAGCTAAGTTCATTAAAAATATGATTTCCTTTTTCGGATAAAACACCTTGAATGATTTACTTACCAAATTGACAATAATAGCCAGTGAAGGTAGTTGGACAATAGCATCGAGCTACGCTTTGAACAACAGCACAACCACCGTTGTTTTGACATGGATTGGGTAAACATGGATTGACTACAGTTACAACTGGTGTTGGGCATGGACAGATAATGCAAGCACAAACTGGTCGAGGAGCTGGTGTAGTAATTAATGTTTCACAGTTACTACCGGTGTATGGCCATGAGCATTGGCAGAGATAACCAGTTGTTGTAGCAACACACGAACCACCATTGTAGCTAAGTGGTAGACATAACTTTTAGAAGAGGCATCAGTGTGAGGAGAGACTTTTACCATGGATTTGGAATGCAGTAGTTACGAGTTTCACAACATGGTCCATAGAAACTTGGTGTACATGAGCAGACGAAAGCTAGAAAACAGAGAACGATGATTTGTTTTAGTTCTTCTACTAGATTTCACCCACTTGTCGGACTTGTTGGTGTGCAAGTACCGCCATTGAGACACGGTTGAGAGGCACATGGATTTGGTGGTGGAATTAAAATAGCGCATGTGGGTCCAGTGTATTGTGGTGGGCATTGACATTGAAATGAGTTTCCAATAACTAAGCAAATACCGCCATATAAACATGGATTGGGGTCGCAAACACGTAATTCGCATCGAATGCCGTTGAAGCCAGTTGGGCAGACGCATCGGAAGAGGTTAGGTCCAGCTACTTGGCATGTTCCACCGTTGACACATGGGTTTGTATAACATGGGTTTGTAGCAGCCAAGTTTATTTCACAACATACACCACTGAAGCCAATTGGGCACGAGCAACCGAATGTTCCTTGACGAAGATAACAGGTACCACCGTTTTGACTAAACGAACCAAAGTTTGTTCAGAAACTTTCAATCTTTTTAAACCAAGATCGGGTTCTTACCATGGACTTGGTTGACATTGGTTGGGTGGTGCAACGAGAACAATAGCTAGAATAAAAGAGAAAGATTATCACTAAAATATTCTATACATGATTACTGAGATTCTATTGTTGTCAAGATGCACACTCTCAGAACTGAATACGAATCATCTGCCCTATATTCTGCACTTCTCAGATACAAACAAGTTGTTTCTGTATCATTCTATTGAGATCTTACGTGTTACTTGACATTGAAGACCAGTGTAACCAGTTGGGCATCGGCAAGTAACGGATTGAGCAACAAGGACACAAACACCTTGGTTTTGACAGTATGATTGACAACCGAACTGTTTTGGTATGCTAGTAGCCGCATTTCGTTTCGAAACACCTTTCTGTTGTGAAAGATCAAGTGCATTAGCGTCAGCTTCAATTGTTGGATATTCTTCATCGGTATTAGTGGCGTTGGTAGTGATGGTTATATCTACATGGGAAATGAACCTAATCTCAAATCCACGTTGAACAAGACGATGCGACATACCAATTCGATCTTTTGAATCGTCACAATTTTTTACTTTTTCCTTGTCAACGCATTCTTTCAACTCCGGTACATAGGCAGTACCGGCAGCACAAGTAAATAAAACTCGTAAATTATTAAAGCAACGCACAAATCGTTGACAATTTGAACGGTCACCAGCCATATCACGACATTGTTGTCCTTTAACATAGAGAGAAGTAAAACTAAGTCAAATCATACCTGAAAATCTTCCACTTACGTTTTGATTTGATATCAGCCGTTATTCCATGTATAACAAGGCAAGCAACAAGAACAAGAAACAACCGATTCATTTTGGTAATCTGCTAATCGATAGAAAACTGTTGATCGACCACCGGGTTAGCGAAATAATGGATTGTTATACTCTCGATAAATCGGACTGCTAAGTACGAGAAGATGAATTTTTATGTGAGGTTTTCACCACTATTTAAAGTCATCGTTGTTCGAACGACATTTGCCTGTACGTGCGAGAAATGTCACACGTCGTTTTATTCACCCTTCAAGATTAAATCACTTAATTCACATCCATACTTGTTTTACAAACAAATACATAAACAGCACGTCAAAACAATAGGAAGCTTGATCAATGCCAACTCGATGGTTTAATACATTTCCTCTTTGTCTCTCGTTTTTTTTTTGTATACTTTCAAGGTTAGACCATGTTTTTGATTACATTAGATATTTTGTTCACCTTGAGCATTATCATGTTCGAGACAGAGCTCGAAAGCGTCTCTTCTCTTTTTCTGTGTTATAATCTTAACTTAAATGTGGATATCCTTTTTTTTTCTTGTCTGCACATTTGGTTCATGGACAATGTATGAAATTTCATTTTTTTTTTTTCTTTCGAAAGGTTGTTATGATGAATATTCTCATAATTAATCAAGGAGAATATGCATACTCGTTGTCCTAGGAAGAGAGACCTTCTTCAAAAGTCGCAGCGATTTCAGTTGCAAAACAAAATTTTTCTACCAAGGCACTGTAAATCCATTTCGAATATTCGTTTTCGCATCAGTAACGTCGGATCGACTTGCTTAAATTATCATGGAAGAAAACATATTCTTCCTCTGATTAATAATTTATTGATCGAAGATAGAAAAAAAAACATCTTGACTTGTGTTTTATAGTAAAAAATGGAATATAGATTTGTTAGTACCTTGTCAGAAATCTCTCTCAGTCATCTTTCTTCTCGTCTCCAGATTTTTCAATATCATCAGACTTTGAAGCTATTTGTGTCTCATATTCTTCTTCCATATTATCGTCCATTATAGTTTCATTTGGTAAACAACAAATGCAATAGCAAACAATGGATAAGACAGAAGCCGGAAGACCCATGACAAGCATGGAAATCATCGGTGCTTCGATAAACATTCCAATAACCGTACGATACAATTCCCAAAATGGACGCAGTAAACGTTTTGACCATGTGTTGCCCGCATGTTGAATAATTTGAGAATAATTCGAAGTAATATAATTTAAAATCGGTTTCATGTCAATGTTTTCATTTAAGGTGAATGCTAATGGATAAATGCCATATTTACGTTCGTTACTGTCATACAGAAACAAAAGTGGCTCTTCTACTGTCCATATTGCTAGAAGAAATGTTCGAAAGAGTAATACATATTTATGATTTCAATAAACCGTTGACCTACCAATATTGCTGAGAAGTTCCAAATCGTTTGTCCATGCAAATTGAAATGTGTCATGCAGTGAGGACGAGTATTTCATGACATAATCATGAATTTGAGTTTTGATTTCATTACTAAAATAGAATCGATGTGATCATCAGTAGAAAGGTATGAAAAGAACAAACATCTTTTGTAGTTGCCGAAAATTTTCTTGTTGTTCGTTGAATCCATAGATAACAAGAATGCGTTTAGTTAATATCAAATCATATATATTACCAGCGGCTATTTGTGGGAATGTCGCGACCTTTTCCTTCATCAGAAATTCTTCTAAACTATTGTTGTAGTGACCAGGTTCATAAAGAAAAATTTCTTCGTTTTTAATTGCGAATATGTGCGGTTGATCAGCGAGTTGATACTTGGAAAAGTATGTCTGATGAATAGCAGATGCATTTGTTGCATAGAAGTATGCTTGACTTAAATATCGATTAACAAGATCACTATATTCTTTGATCAATGGCTCATCTTGCTCAGCTTTTGTGACGAGCAAGAAGAAAACTTCATGTTCATGACGGAGGTCATCGAATTGTTCAGTAGTTGATACCCACCGTAGGGCGGGTCCGTTGACTCGTCTTAGAAAGTTCAAAATCGCAGCTTTGGTTCGCGCATTTTCGTAAGAAAATATCTGATTTCCACGAATGAATTTCACTGTTGGAAAACCACGTATATCGTAGTAATTCGCCGCATCTGAGTACACAGTTGCATCAATACGAACAATACGAATATCTTTCAAATCATCATCGGTTGCCGATAACTCGCTGACTTCTCGAGCGATTTCTTCATAAACAGGTTCAAAATGTTTACAATGGCCACACCTACATGAACACGTGCACCTATTCACGATTCTCAATCGACGAAAACACATACCATGGAGCATGAAATTTTATTAGATATCCAATAGTTGGGTTTTCGTTGATTTCTTGTATGATTGATGAATCAACGTCAACTGCCCATTTAGCATTTGTGTAAACTAAGCAATGGGCAAGCAACAAGAATCCAGAGAAAATAGAAAACATGATATCTACAAAAGAAGTTTCGTTCATGGTTTGAGATTCTCAGTAGATGCTATTATTCAATGCTGAATTTCAAATATCAAGTAGAATTTCTGGAATAATTATCGCTTTTTTTTTCGTCATGTTAAACCGAGAAAGGAATTTGAGAAAACAAACATGTAAAGAATTATATTTTTCAAGATATGATCTTGTTCAAATAACAAACATAAGTTATCTAGGAAAACAGAGAACGTCTTTTTTTCGTCTGCTCAGTTGCTAGCAGGAGGCAGTACAGGTTAAACACACAAACATAGAAGAATACTTCGATAGAAAGATATACAACTCATCACAGATTATCCTAATTCAACAAAAAACAGGTTTTACGAGAGTATTTAATATTTCTTGTTTCTGGTCGGCAAGATTGTATCTTGCACGGACCGCATGAATGCTAGTAAACCAATCTTCTTTGCGCGTTTTTTGAAATAATTCGAGACGAGATCACCGCCATTGTTCGCCATCGTATCGTCATTATAACGACTTCGCTGCGTCTCGGCGTATTGAGGTAGAACATAATCATTAGCTGAGAGCGACAAGACGAAACAGAACGGAACTGTCCAAACGAAGATGGTGAAATAAGCGAGAATTTCCGGAAATGGATAATAGTGATGGTTAAAAAATGAGAAGGCAAAGTAATGATGAATGACTAAGAGTACCATCGCGAACAGAAATGTTGGCGAAAGAAAACCAATGATAGGAAAGTCGGCTAGGATACAAAAATAGATTATATTTGATAGAAGTCCAATCCCACAAAGTGACCATGTAAATTGTGTTTCGAATATTATCAGAAGAACATTCAGAACGGTCACCGTAATCAGTAAAATACGTATGATACGTTTAGCCACCGAGGTGTACTCTTCGATAAGTTCAGCAACATAGTACATACCAGCCGCAACAGCAATCGTTAAACAAACTGCTATCAGTATAAATGCTATCCAAGACAATGCATACATGAACCACATGATTGAAACGAGTCTTGTTTCGGTGTTTTGAAAAATCTAGAAAAATATGACTGACGTGGCAATGTAAAAAAGAACAAACTTTGCCTGATCGTCTCAATCTTAATTCATGCGTTGACAAAACACAATGTAACGTCGTTGTCTTTTCTCATTGGTTAATAAACAACACAAAAGAAAGTTATGCATAGATGACGCTCAGTGAAGATGAACTCTTTGTCCAAGGCTGCAAAGTGATGATATAGTTTCTACGCTCGACCGCATTCAATTCTCTTTTCGTTTCTATATGGTCTATGGGAAGGACGTACATCAGTGTATCAGTATATGAACAAAATCAAGGATACTTATTGAACTTGTACATATTTATACTTCATCAATTTTAGTTTGTCGTACTACACTATGAGCAGAAAAACGATGTAGATTTTCATCATCTGATGAACAAAACATCCAGTCAAAGTAAATCTCGCATGAAATAGCACACCTCTGCGATTACGGATAGCAACTGATGATCATCCACTACGGCTATCTCGTTTTCAGGACGTGGTCTCTACTGACATTAAAGTTCATAGTATAATTTTGCTAATCTAGTATAAGCAGAGACTTGAAAGTAGTTTAGATTGTTCTGATATAATTATAACTGACGGTTGTAATTTGTGAAACGATTATAAATTGTGTCTGCTGGAATAATTTTGCTCATTATCAAGATGTCTAAGCTCTTGTATGTTATGAATGAGAAGATACTAAATGCCATCCATGCCGAAAAAAAACTTGGATTTTGCTGACATTGATTAAGTGCAACTTCGAACTCGGAATCGAGGATCGATGCTATACTTATAAATTACAACGTCGATAGATGTCGTTGGATGACAAGGAAAACTTTAAATTTGTAAATGATTCGTCTGTTGACCACAAAACAGTCATTAAATGTTGTTGTTATTTTTTTCATTTAGGTTAAGGCGTGTTATCGGCTAAAAACCTACGCTTGGATACTTTAATTGTTTTATTACTCATAATATCATATCTCCCATTTCTTCTTTTCTATTCGTTTTGTCGCCGTATGTTCACATTATTAATATTACCCTTTTTTCTCTCATTTCTTCTTCTTCTTTCTCCATTTTTTTTTCCTTATACTTCACTTTTTTTCTATATCAATAATTGAAGAGCAGCAACATGTGTTAGACGGTATAAAGAAAAGGATAAAATACAATGGAGACCTCTTTGACGAATTGTAAAGCGTCCTTGGTACTCAATGGCATGATTTCGTGAGTTAGTAAAATGTTGATTTTCAAGTCCTTTTATCGTTTAATTTAATTTATTTTTCTTTTCGACGTCACATTGTTTGCAAATGACTTTTGTCACCGAGATTTCTTCGCATTTTCTCTCCCTCTCTTTTCTTTCTCCATCGTTAGTTGCATAGTCTCGTCTTTATTCATCGTCATTCATGTCGTAGATTTTTACATAACAACAAACAAGGTGTGCTGTTGTCAAAGAAAAAAAAACTGCGAGAGAGAAAAATAAAAGTTTATTTTCTTAAGTGACAAAAAAATTCTCGTTGTTTTTTCTCTGTATCTTCAGTTAAGATGAATATGAATGTGTTCATCACACGTCACTGACTTGCCTTTCCTTAGTTAGTTTGTATTAAACATTCCTATGGCGACTTGACGTTCATCGTGTCTTTTCAAACAATTATTCCGGTAGGGTTCTATATACACAGAAATATCTGTCTTCTTTTTCTATGGTTTCTTCGTATTACGTGTCCCAATAGGCTATTTGATCAGTCTATGAAGAAATGAGTATGACCGATACTTTTTTTTTCGTTCCTTTCCTGATGTGACACGAAAGAGAACGAAAGAAAAAATCTTTTCATTTAGCATAAGCAATTGAAAACAAGAAGTTCGATACTATTTCAGATCTATTATTGTCTTTTGTTTCTGTTGGACTTAATTCAATTTTTCATTGTTCAGTTACTTGTGATATGTCGGTTGCATAAGTGCTCAACGATACTAGCAAGTGTTTGAACTTGTTAAGCAATGAATAAAATACCTTTTTTAAAAAAGAAAAAAGTCGAAGGTTTGTCAATTGAACTCTGGTTTTCTTGAAATGGGAATTCTCGTTTTTTTCTCATCTAGAAAGAAGCCGAAAAATCAAAGTCAATGATTCAGATGCAAATGCTGCGAAAGAATATGCTGTAAGATTTTCGTTTGCTAAAAAAATATTTCATTGCATTGTGTTCCTGCTCTAGGGCAACGAAATTTCGACGTCCAAATATAATTTAATTACCTTCTTACCCAAAAATCTCTTTGAACAGTTTCGTCGACTCGCTAATGCATACTTTTTATTCCTTCTCTGTCTACAGGTACGTGAATTGAATTATTCATTGCGTCTAATGAACTCTGTCCTTTTCCTTTTAGCTCATTCCACAAATTAGTTCGTTAGCTCCCGTGACAACTATTTTGCCACTTGTTTTCGTGTTAGCATTAACTGCAATAAAAGATGCTAGTGATGATATTGTAGGTTATCGACGAAAGTGTACTGTGCGTCTCATCTTGCTTTCTTTTCTATCTAGGCAAGGCATCGAAGTGATAGTCAGGTTAACAATCGTGAAACAAAAACTGTTGTTGGAAGTGAACTAGTGACGAGAAAATGGAAGGATATCAAAGTTGGTGATATAGTACGACTAGAAAATAATGAATTCGTGACGGCTGATATTGTTCTTGTATCGACGAGTGAACTGAATGGACTATGTTTTATTGAAACGGCTGAACTAGACGGAGAGACGAATTTGAAAGTTCGACAAGCGCTGGAAGAAACTTGTGATCTCGAAGACCATATTGACCAACTTTCAAGATTTGACGGTGTGAAAGAATTGAAAGTTCGACCTAGACTGAATGAATCTTTTTCATTTCAGCGGAAATCGAATATGAAGCACCGAATAATAATCTCGGACGATTCGAAGGCAACTTATCATGGAAAAACAAGACACTACCATTGAAAAATGACAATGTACTATTACGTGGCACGAGATTGAGAAACACTCAATGGGCTTTTGGCAGTACGAAGACTTTGATTGTCCACATAACATAGAGGCATATCCCTAACTGTTTTAGTTGTATGCTACGCTGGTCCCGACACAAAATTAATGAAAAACAGTGGTAAAGCAACATTCAAACGAACCAAGATCGATCATTTATTGAATCGAATCATCCTTGGAGTAAGAATTGAAATTCTATTTGCGTTTGACGCACATTGGTATTGATTCTCCATCGTATTTAGATCTTCTTCTTTCTCTTGGTAATGTGTGCTATCATGACCATATGTTGCGGATTTTGGGAATCATTTGTTGGCTATGATTTTCGCATCTATTTACCGTGGGAAACTTATATTTCAAAAGATCAACGTATTGGTGCATTAGAGAAAAGTTTACTAGTCTTTTTATCATATATTATTATTTTAAACACTGTCGTACCGATTTCATTGTACGTCAGTGTGGAATTCATTCGTTTACTACAATCGAAATGGATCGATTGGGATAGTAAAATGTACTATGAACCGAATAATGTTCCTGCTCAAGCACGTACGACGACACTAAACGAAGAATTAGGCCAAATTGAATACATTTTTTCCGATAAAACTGGCACCCTAACGCAGGTAACTCAACCAAACAAAATAGATTTTATTTTTCTCGTGCGCAGAATGCTCTTAATTGAGAAACAACCATCGCCTACGATGTTTACCAGATAAAAACGACAATGATGCATATGGTAGAACATATTGTCCTTTTTCTCGTTACTAAACAGTCATGTTTATATGTTTGGTTAAGTAAAGCTACGACAAATAATGAATCATTCAGATAAGGAAAAAATGCATATTCGCGTGCGAATTATACAAAAATAGTATGACACTTTAGTGCGTCCTTTGTTGTCATGATAAATTTCGTACGGTGAACTGATTTTTCAAGTACTCAGTTATGACGTCGAATAACTTGAAAATACTAAAGTTTGAATGACGTCAGTTCTGCGTAACATATTAAATTAATGGTAAATAACACTTAGTGAAATGAACAAAAAAGAATGTAATAGATTTTCGTAATTAGTGAATAGGAAATTATGAAAATAACTTAAGATAAGACGATAAAATATATTCATTTATCTGGCGAATTTGTCATTTAGAATATTATGACATTTAACAAATGTTCGATTAAAGGAAAAGTCTATGGATATGTTACTGATGAAGCTGGAAATGAAGTTCAAGATCCTGAAGTAAAATCATTTAAAGATTTTCCTAGTAGAATTCCACTGAAATACATTTTAGAAATTAAAACCGATTCAATTCGATGAAAAGGACGATGATTTCGAATGGTATGATCAAAAATTGATCGATGCAATAAAGAAAGGCGATAAAGATGTGCATACCTTTTTCACTCTGCTATCCCTTTGTCATACTGTGATGCCTGAAGAGAAAGATGGAAAGATTGCGTATCAAGCTCAGTCACCCGATGAAAATGCACTCGTATCAGCTGCACGAACATTTGGCTTTGTTTTTGTCGTAAGTTTCATATCAACATCATTAGCTAAACAAATCCGAGCTGGCTTATTTCAATTAGAATCGTACACAAAGCAGTATCTCGGTTAAACTTCAAGAGAAAGATGCTACTTACGATCTATTGAACATATTGGACTTTGATAACGACCGAAAACGAATGTCGGTATGTATATTATTGAACAATGGAAACGAGGATTGTTATAATGAACAATATTGTTTAGGTCATTGTAAAAAAAGATGGCAAGATAATTTTATTTTGCAAAGGTGCTGATTCGAAAATCAAGGAACGTTTGGACTCTTCGGAAAAAGATATTATGACTGAAACAGATGAACACTTGAACGTATGAAAAATGATTTTCACATATGTCTAGACCTTTGTGTATTTCGTTTATTTATAGAAATTCGCTACGGATGGCTTACGAACACTTTGTTTAGCATATCGAGAACTAAATGAAGGTGAATACAATAAATGGGCAGAAAAATTGAATAAAGCTAAGTAAGTCATATAAAAGCTGACTGATATAAATTGTACAGATAAATCGATCTACTTTAGTACAAGTATGGAGAAGCGTGAAGAAAAAGTCAATGAAACCTATGAAGAAATTGAGAAAAATCTCAAATTGATTGGTGCTACAGCTATTGAAGACAAGCTTCAGGATGGTGTACCACAATGTATTGAACGTTTAGCACGTGCTGGTATTAAAATATGGGTTTTGACTGGTGACAAAGTTGGTAAGTTAAAGACAAATAAAGCATTTCATTCGTTGACTGACGATTTTCTTGCGTTTATTAGAGACGGCGTATAACATTGGTCTCTCGTGTCGTTTGTTAACGAATGATATGGAGATTTACATCATTGAAGAAGAAAATGAACATAGTGTGGAGAAAAAATTAGAAGAGATTCGAAAGCAAATGATGGAAAAAGTCGAACAATTATTCGACGTTAAGATCGAAGATCGAAAGAAGAGACTCGACTGGAAAGATTGGGGCATCGATGTGATGAAATTTGATCAACACAGAAAAGCGGAAGAGCCCAATGGTAAAGCACAACGTCCAAATGGTCATGCAACAACTACGAATGATTCGGGAGCACACGATCGGGAGCAATTCGAAGGCTTTGGCTTATTGATCACTGGACAAGCATTAGCGTTTGCTCTATCAGACAAATTGAAGATGAAATTACTTGAGTTGGGTACGATGTGCAAAGCTGTAGTTTGTTGTCGTGTTACACCCTTACAAAAGGCGCAAGTTGTTGAATTGGTTATGCAAAATGAGAAGAAGATAACATTAGCTATCGGTGACGGTGCCAATGATGTTTCAATGATACAAAGTAAATGATCGCTCGAAGTTCGCTCGTGAAAAACTATGTTTCGATTGTTTCAGAAGCGCATATCGGTGTGGGTATCAGTGGACAAGAAGGTCGACAAGCTGTTCTGGCAAGTGATTATAGTTTTGGTCAATTTCGATATCTTNTTTCAAACGCATCTGAAACGTTCCGACACTTTGTAGATCTTCAGCCCATTGGGTTACATAGCCATTATCTAAAAAAGATACATATTAGTTTTTATGTAGGAGAAAGGAGAACAAATATTGTTGGAGGATCTCTTCTCCGGACAGACAAAAAGAGTGATTTTCATTACACTTCTCAAGTGTTCATAGAAAGAAAATATCACCCCGCGGGTACAAAATGTTGTCAATAGATTACATGTGTTTTCTCGGAAGATAATTGTCTTTTACCTTTAAATTTCTTCCAGATCCATGGAAATCGATCTACAGTTTGTGCGCCAGTGTGACCTCGTCTTGCTTCGGGCAATTCTCGCTCTGTTTTACCAGTCAGAATCGGCAAAAGAGCTGCCGGTGTTCCATCACCAACAATGTTATATCCTAGATAAATCGACACAATACACATCTCAGAACTAATCTGCACTGCTTTCAAACCTTTCATTACAATACTGCCGAGTTCTTTGATTAAATAATTATAACTTTTCGGTAGAAAACGCATGAAAGTCATTCGCGATACGGAATCAAAGCCAAACATTAACACATTATAACCTAAATGGGTTTTCACCATTGGATTCCAAATATGTCTAGATGAAGAGATAATAGATGTGAGATACATCAAGAATGATCAAACTACCTCATATGTAGACCAGCATCGAACATAATACCTGAATGAATGTTCGAATAGAAACTTCCGTCACGTGCTCGACAATCGGCACGGAAAAAGTCAGATACAAGTGGCATTTTATCAACAATAGGGAATAATCGAGCACCTTCCATCGTAGAGAAATCATCCTTTGACCGGAGAATTGGACGATAAGCACAAACAATTGCTCCATGTTTCTGTAAAGCTTGTTGAGATAATCGAAATGTTCCTAAAGAAGAAAATCGCTTGATTTCATTAGATTTCTTTCCCGTCAACAAACCATTTTCCACATAAACCCAATTAGCCGCTTTTTCGCAATCAGGTTTGGATTTTCTCACTGGCTGTAAATATTGCCATATATTAGGATTATCGATGGACAGTTTAGGGTATTGACACGTTAATTGTGTAGCATTGAAGTAGTCTTTGGATATCAAGTGAATGTTTTTGGTTGGTAATATACGTGCATCATCAAGATCAGTTTCGTCGATATGAAAGATTTGATCGATTTCATACTGTTGCGGAAGAAAAATATTGGAAAAGTATCGTTGGAAGAACATCATAGTGAGAAATGTCGAAACAATGGTCAAGAATAACAGTGAGGTTTGAGATAGGTAATAACGTCGACACCGACGACGAATTTGCATTATCGTTGATTTGATTTTCGACGTCGATATTTCCAATCGAATTTGATGCTCATCAGATGCGTGTTTGAGAATCTTCACGGAAGTTTAACCAAGAATTAATAGCTAAAAGAAAAACACACATATCCAATTAGGTTATTCCATTTCAACAGGTAATTCTAAAGAATATTTAAGTCTGGGATTCAGTTGGCAAGGAAAAAAATGAGAGAATGTATTCCCGCTGACTCTTTTTCCTTATGATAATTTTTCTTTGAATCAGTAGAAAGATGATGAATAGGTTCTTTCAAGTGTGTGAATACATGCGTTTCCTATAGTATATTTCATGACGGTAATAAAAACACAAGACGATGAATAACCGTTACCTAAACTTCTGTATGTATCCTTGTTCTGTTTTTGTTATCGGGCAGTTTATAGCGTTCACCAAATGGAAAGAATGACTGGCAACGTTGGAGCGTTCTTATAAATAAGAAGTATTGTCGAACTGTTACGCCCGTCATCGCCGCTGTGGCGAGGATAGACGATGACGAATCAACGCAAACAGATAGGATAGTAGAAGTCTGTATTCTTCGTCATTATTAGCTAGCATGCGCATCGTTCATCGCATCATAACTAGTTGAATGCATGTGAGTTTCTTTTAGCCGCTTAATGACGGTACCAATTACATCGGTTTTTCTGTTCTATTCCATTTCTTATTCGATGGATGTGTCTTCTTATTCTTCGTCTTCATCGTCGTAGTCAATCGTTTTCTTCATTCTTCTTCTTTCTCTTTCTTTTCTATTTCTTGTCGAAGAAAGTCCCATGTTGCTGTAAAGCTAGTTCTATCATCTTTCCTTTATATATTATCCTAAATATTAACCTTTTCCGCATGCTCATGAACGAAGGAAAAGAGCGAACCGACTCTATCGGTGCGATTCTGTTGCATGTTTAGAGGGAGAGCAGACATACCACATGTGTAAGTGTATATATATATATCTTTCGACGCCGATTGATTGGTTTCTTAATAAGAAGAAGAAATGAACGGAAAATAAATCCATGTAAACAAGCAATCTTGAAAATGTAGAAAATTGTTCATTTCATTCCGTTAGATTTTATTGATGAGGAAATGATTGAAGGAAAGGAAAACGCTCGATTGATTTTTCTAGAGACGTATGTATACGAGCGACATTTCATTTCCGGCTGGCTTATTGGCATTACACATACATTGAAATAAAAAGAATTCACAAAAGATTCTCATCGAAAGAGTCTTTCCCCTCCTTCTCTCCTGGTGCACCATGTGAAAAGAAGTATTTCCGCGAAATCATTATTTTTCTTTTTAATTAAACTATATAATGCTTGGTTAAGCTAGAGAGTGTTACTTTATTATAAATAAATTAATAATTGAAAAGTATTATCACAAGGAATCAACTAAGATACGAAATTCTCTACTCTCGTTTAAATCAATCAAATGTACATTCCTGTCTAAATGATCAAATAACTCAGTAGTCGACTCTTTTGTCTGATCGTACATTGATTTCTTCCTATTTGCAAACGTACCCCGTATCCTACATCAAATTCTAGTTAAATATGAGTAATTCATCGAGTCGCAGTGAATCATGATCATCAATTTCGAGTTAGTTTTCGTATGAATTCATTATATAAGAGTCGCTTTCGCCCTGTATTCATCCACGACTTGCAAAACATGATCGGATCATTCCTTCACATACTACTTTGTTCATTTCGTAAGTGAATTTCATCTCTCATTCTTCATTCATCTCCTCAAATTTAGTTCTCCACTGCATCAGTGGACAATACTTCAATGTCAGTCAGAACATTTCAAGTCAAATAAACGTCAATGGGACTTATATTCCTATTGTAATTACATATACACTTCAAAGAAATAATTCCGCTGGTACTACGAGTGTAGCACCTATTTTATTATATAATGTAACAACTCAACAACAACATACTAACAGTTCTACAAAATCTAACTCGCGTACAATGTTAACTCTTCCGCTTATTTTTTTTCTATACAATTATATTCGAAAAATACTCTAGACGGTAAAAGAATGACGTGAAGAACTAAATAAATAAAGAGCAACAAAGGTAAAATAAAATTGATAAATAAATTTCGATAAAGAGATAGAGAGAGAGAGAATTGATAAATATAATGTCAAAATAAAACGAGACGAATCAAGAGAAAGGCACAATTAAATAATGTTAGAATTTCAAAATAACTTAGACAGCACGGCATTTAGGTGTGTTTCCTTCAAAAACACAAGTGGTACCTGCTTGACAATCTTTTGGGCACCAACGATAGTTTTCAGGCATAAGCTTTTGTTCGCAGAGTACACCTGTTATGCCATTCTTGCAGACACATTTGTAACCATCTTTTGTTGAGATACAACGACCGTTTTTACCACATGGGCTTGGATTACATGTTCGTGGGCGGTTAACTAGATCGAATACATTGTTTTGGTTGACAATGAAATATGGAATACTCACTCATTTGACAACGATCACCATAGTATGGTTTTGGACATGTACATTGCGGACCTTGTTCGTTGACGTAGCATTCACCTCCATTTTCGCATGTTACGTTGGCACATGCAGCATTGCTAATGGCACGTTTTCGAGCTAAGTTCATTGAAAACATGATTTCTTTTTTCGGATAGAACACCTTGAGTGATTTACTTACCAAATTGACAGTAATAGCCAGTGAAGGTAGTTGGACAATAGCATCGAGCTACGCTTTGAACAACAGCACAACCACCGTTGTTTTGACATGGATTGGGTAAACATGGATTGACTACAGTTAAAACTGGTGTTGGACATGGACAGATAATGCAGGCGCAGACTGGTCGAGGAGCTGGTGTAGTAATTAATGTTTCACAGTTACTACCGGTGTATGGCCATGAGCATTGGCAGAGATAACCAGTTGTTGTAGCAACACACGAGCCACCATTGTAGCTAAGTGGTAGACATAGCTTTTAGAAGAAGCATCAGTGTGAGGAGAGACTTTTACCATGGATTTGGAATGCAGTAGTTACGAGTTTCACAGCATGGTCCATAGAAACTTGGTGTACATGAGCAGACGAAAGCTAGAAAACAGAGAATGGTAATTTGTTTTAGTTCTTCTACTAGATTTCACCCACTTGTTGGACTTGTTGGTGTGCAAGTGCCGCCATTGAGACAAGGTTGAGAGGCGCATGGATTTGGCGGTGGAATTAAAATAGCGCATGTGGGTCCAGTGTACTGTGGTGGGCATTGACATTGAAATGAGTTTCCAACAACTAAGCAAATACCGCCATATAAGCATGGATTGGGGTCGCAAACACGTAATTCGCATCGAATGCCGTTGAAGCCAGTTGGACAGACGCATCGGAAGAGGTTAGGTCCAGCCACTTGGCATGTTCCACCGTTGACACATGGGTTTGTATAGCATGGGTTTGTAGCAGCCAAGTTTATTTCACAACATACACCACTGAAGCCAATCGGGCACGAGCAACCGAATGTTCCTTGACGAAGATAACAAGTACCACCGTTTTGGCTAAATGAACCACAGTTTGTTCAGAAACTTTCAATCGTTTTAAGCCAAGATCGAATTCTTACCAGGGACTTGGTTGACATTGGTTGGGTGGTGCAACGAGAACAATAGCTAGATAAAAAGAGAAAGATTACCACTAAAATATTCTACACATAATTACTGAGACTCTATCGTTGTCAACATGCACACTCTCAGAACTGAAAAAGGATCATCTGCCCTATATTCTGCACCTCTCAGATAGAAGCAATTTGTTTCTGTTTCATTCTATTGAGATCTTACGTGTTACTTGACATTGAATACCAGTGTAACCAGTTGGGCATCGGCAAGTAACGGATTGAGCAACAAGGACACAAACACCTTGGTTTTGACAGTATGATTGACAACCGAATTGTTTTGGTATGCTAGTAGCCGCATCTCGTTTCGAAACACCTTTCTGTTGTGAAAGATCAAGTGCATTAGCATCAGCTTCAATTGTTGGATATTCTTCATCGATATTAGTGGCGTTGGCAGTGATGGTTATATCTACATGGGAAATGAACCTATTTTCGAGTTCACGTTGAACAAGATGATGCAACATACCAATTCGATCTTTTGAATCGTCACAATTTTTAACTTTTTCCTTGTCAACACATTCTTTCAATTCAGGTACGTAGGCAGTGCCGGCAGCACAAGTAAATAAAACTCGTAAATTATTAAAGCAACGTACAAATCGTTGACAATTTGAACGATCACCAGCCATATCACGACATTGTTGTCCTTTAACATAGAAAGGTAAAACTAAGTCAGATCATACCTAGAAATCTTCCACTTACGTTTTGATTTGATATCAGCCGTTATTCCGTGTATAACAAGGCAAGCAACAAGAACAAGAAACAACCGATTCATTTTGGTAATCTGCTAATCGATAGAAAACTGTTGATCAACCACCGGGCTAGCTGAAATAATGAATTGTTATGCTCTCGATAAATCCGACTGCTATGTACGAGGAGATGAATTTTTATGTGAGGTTTTCACCACTATTTAAAGTCATCGTCGTTCGAACGACATTTGCCTGTACGTGCGAGAAATGTCACACGTCGTTTTATTCACCCTTCAAGACTAAATCACTTAATGCACATCCATACTTGTTTTACAAACAAATACATAAACAGCACGTCAAAACAATAGGAAGCTTGATCAATGCCAACTAGATGGTTTAATACATTTCCTCTTTGTCTCTCGTTTTTTTCGTATACTTTCAAGGTTAGATCATGTTTTTGATTACATTAGATATTTTGTTCACCTTGAGCATTATCATGTTCGAGACAGAGCACGAAAGCGTCTCTTCTTTTTTTTTTGTGTTATAATCTTAACTTAAATGTGGATATCCTTTTTTTCTTGTCTACACATTTGGTTCATGGTCAATGTATGAAATTTCATTTTTTTGTTCTTTCGAAAGGTTGTTATGATGAATATTCTCATAATTAATCAAGGAGAATTTGCATACTCGTTGTCCTAGGAAGAGAGACCTTCTTCAAAAGTCGAAGCGATTTCAGTTGCAAAACAAAATTTTCTACCTAGGCACTGTCGATCCATTTCAAATATTCGTTTTCGCACCAGTAAGATCGGATCGACTTGCTTAAATTATCATGGAAGAAAACATATTCTTCCTCTGACTAATAATTTATTAATTGACGATAGAAAAGAACATCTTGACTTGTGTTTTATAGTAGAAAATGGAATACAGATTTGTTAGTACCTTGCCAGAAATCTATCTCAGTCATCTTTCTTCTCGTCTCCAGGTTTTTCAGTGTCATCAGACTTTGAAGCTACTTGTGTCTCATATTCTTCTTCCATATTATCATCCATTAAGGTTTCATTTGGTAAACAACAGATGCAATAGCAAACAATGGATAAGACGGAAGCCGGAAGACCCATGACAAGCATGGAAATCATCGGTGCTTCGATAAACATCCCAATAACCGTACGATACAATTCCCAAAATGGACGCAGTAAACGTTTCGACCATGTGTTGCCCGCATGTTGAATAATTTGAGAATAATTCGAAGTAACATAATTTAAAATCGGTTTCATGTCAATGTTTTCATTTAAGGTGGATGCCAATGGATAAATGCCGTATTTACGTTCGTTACTGTCATACAGAAACAAAAGTGGCTCTTCTACTGTCCATATTGCTAGAAGAAACGTTCGAAGGAGTAATACATATTTATGCTTTCAGATCAAACTTACCGATATTGCTGAGGAGTTCCAAATCATTTGTCCATGCAAATTGAAATGTGTCATGCAGTGAGGACGAGTATTTCATGACATAATCATGAACTTGAGCTTTGATTTCGTTACTAAAATAGAATCGATGTGATTATCAGTAGAAAGGTATGAAAAGAACAAACATCTTTTGTAGTTGTCGAAAATTTTCTTGTTGTTCGTTGAATCCATAGATAACAAGAATGCGTTTAGTTAATATTAAATCGTATATATTACCAGCGGCTATTTGTGGGAATGTCGCGACTTTTTCCTTCATCAGAAATTCTTCTAAACTATTGTTGTAGCGGCCAGGTTCATAAAGAAAAATTTCTTCATTTTTTATTGCGAATATATGCGGTTGATCAGCGAGTTGATACTTGGAAAAGTATGTCTGGTGGACGGCGGATGCATTTGTTGCATAGAAGTATGCTTGACTTAGATATCGATTAACAAGTTCACTATATTCTTTGATCAATGGCTCATCTTGCTCAGCTTTTGTGACGAGCAAGAAGAAAACTTCATGTTCATGACGGAGGTCATCGAATTGTTCAGTAGTTGATACCCAGCGTAGCGCAGGTCCGTTGACTCGTCTTAGAAAGTTCAAAACTGCGGCTTTGGTACGCGCATTTTCATAAGAAAAGATCTGATTTCCACGAATGAATTTCACCGTTGGAAAACCACGTATATCGTAGTAATTTGCCGCATCTGAGTACACAGTTGCATCAATACGAACAATACGAATATCTTTCAAATCATCATCAGTTGCCGACAGCTCGCTGACTTCTCGAGCGATCTCTTCATAAACAGGTTCAAAATGTTTACAATGGCCACACCTACATGAACACGTGCATCTATTCACGAGTCTCAACCAACGAAAACACATACCATGGAGCATGAAATTTGATTAGATATCCAATAGTTGGGTTTTCGTTGATTTCTTGTATGATTGATGAATCAACGTCAACTGCCCATTTAGCATTTGTGTAAACTAAGCAATGGATAAGCAACAAGAATCCAGAGAAAATAGAAAACATGATATCTACAAAAGAAGTTTTCGTTCATGGTTGGAGATTCTTAGTAGATGTCATTATTCAATGTTGAATTTCGAATATCAAGTAGAATTTCTGGAATAATTATCGCTGTTTTTCGTCATGTTAAGCCGAACAATGATTTTGAGAAAACAAACATGTAAAGAATTATATTTTTCAAGATATGATCTTGTTCAAATAACAGACATAAGTTATCTAGGAAAACAGAGAACGTCTTTTTCCCTTTGCTCAGTTGCTAGCAGGGCGCAGTACAGGTTAAACACACAAACATAGAAGAATACTTCAATAGAAAGATATACAACTCATCACAGATTATCCTAATTCAACAAAAAACAGGTTTTAAGAGAGTATTCAATATTTCTTGTTTCTTGTCGGCAAGATTGTATCTTGTACGGAACGCATGAATGCTAGTAAACCAATCTTCTTTGCGCGTTTTTTGAAATAATTCGAGACGAGATCACCGCCATTATTCGTCATCGCGTCTCCGTCATAACGACTTCGTTGTGGCTCGGCGTACTGAGGTAGAACATAATCATTAGCTGAGAGAGACAAGACGAAACAGAACGGAACTGTCCAAACGAAGATGGTGAAATAAGCAAGAATTTCCGGAAATGGATAATAGTGGTGGTTAAAAAATGAGAAGGCAAAGTAATGATGAATGACTAAGAGTACCATCGCGAACAGAAATGTTGGCGAAAGAAAACCAATAATAGGAAAGTCGGCTAGGATACAAAAATAGATTATATTTGATAGAAGTCCAATTCCACAAAGTGTCCATGTAAATTGTGTTTCGAATATTATCAGAAGAACATTGAGAACGGTCACCGTAATCAGCATAATGCGTATAACACGTTTAGCCACCGAGGTGTACTCTTCGATAAGTTCAGCAACATAGTACATACCAGCCGCAACAGCGATCGTTAAACAAACTGCGATCACTATAAATGCTATCCAAGACAATGCATACATGAACCACATGATTGAAGCGAGTCTTGTTTCGGTGTTTTGAAAAATCTAGAAAGACACGACTGACGTGGCAATGTAAAAAAGAACAAACTTCGCTTGATCGTCGCAATCTTAATTGATGCGTTGACAAAACACAATGTAACGTCATTGAATTTTCTCATTGGTTAATAAACAACACAAAAGAAAGTTATGCATAGATGACGCTCAGTGAAGATGAACTCTTTTTCCAAGGCTGCAAAATGATGATATATTTTCTACGCTCGACCGCATTCAATTCTTTTTTCGTTTCTATATGGTCTATGAGAAGGACATATATCAGTGTATCAGTATATAAACAAAATCAAGGATACTTATTGAACGTGTACATATATATATATACTTCATCAATTTTAGTTTGTCCTACGGCACATGAACAGAAAAACGATGTAGGTTTTCATCACCGAATGAACAAAACATTCCGTCAAACTAAATCTCGTATGAAATAGCACAGCTCTACGATTATGGACTGCAACTGATGATCATCCACTACAGCTATCTCTTTTTTCAGGTCACGACCTGTTGTCATTAAAGCTCATAGTATAATTTTGCTAATCTAATCAAATCTAGTACAAGCAGAGACTTGAAAGTAGTTTAGATTGTTCTAAAAGAGTTATAATTGATGGTCGTAATTTGTTTAGTGATTATAAATTGTGTCTGCTGGAATAATTTTGCTCATTATCAAGATGTCTAAGCCTTTGTATGTTATGAATCAAGAGATACTGAACACCATTCATGCCGAAAAAACTTGGATTTTACTGACATTGACTAAGTGCAACTTCGGACTCGGAATCGCGGACATGTGGTATACACTTAATTAAAATACAACGTCAATAGATGTCGTTGGATGACAAGGAAAACTTTAAATTTGTAAATGATTCGTCTGCTGACCACAAAACAATCATCAAATGTTGTTGTTATTTTTTTCATTTAGGTTAAGGCGTGTTATCGGCTAAAAACCTACGCTTGGATACTTTAATTGTTTTATTACTCATAATATCATATCTCCCATTTCTTTTTTTTTCTATTCGTTTTGTCGCCGTGTGTTCACATTATTAATATTACCCTTTTTTCTCTTTTTTCTTCTTCTTCTTTCTCCATTTTTTTTCTTATACTTCACTTTTTTTCTATATCAATAATTGAAGAGCAGCAACATGTGTTAGACGATATAAAGAAAAGGATAAAATACAATGGAGACCTCTTTGACGAATTGTAAAGCGTCCTTGGTATTCAATGGCATGATTTCGCGAGTTAGTAAGACGTTGATTTTCAAGTCCTTTTATCGTTTAATTTAATTTATTTTTTCTTTTCCACGTCACATTGTTTGCAAATGACTTTTGTCACCGAGATTTCTTCGCATTTTCTCTCTCTCTTTTCTCTCGCCATCGTTAGTTGCATAGTCTCGTCTTTATTCATCGTCATTCATGCCGTAGATTTTTACATAACAACAAACAAGGTGTGCTGTTGTCAAAGAGAAAAACTGCGAACGAGAAAAATAAAAGTTTATTTTCTTAAGTGACAAAACTTCCTCGTCTTTTTTCTCTGTATCTTTAGCCAAGAGGAATATGAATGTATTCATCACACGTCACTGATTTGCCTTTCCTTAGTTAGTTAGTTTTAAACATTCCTATGGCGACTGGACGGTCATCGTGCCTTTTCAAACAATTGTTCCGGTAGGGTTCTATATACACAGAAATATCTGTCTTCTTTTTCTATGGTTTCTTCGTATTACGTGTCCCAATAGGCTATTTGATCAGTCTATGAAGAAATGAGTATGACCGATACTTTTTTCGTTCTTTTCCTGCTGTGACGCGAAAGAGAACGAAAGAAGAAATCTTTTCATTAGCGTAAGCAATTGAAAACAAGGAGTTCGATACTATTTCAGATCTATTATCGTCTTTTGTTTCTGTTGGACTTAATTCAATTTTTCATTGTTCAGTTACTCATGATATGTCGGTTGCGTAAGTGCTCAACGATACTAGCAAGTGTTTGAACTTGTTAAGCAATGAATAAAATACCATTTTTAAAAAAGAAAAAAGTTGAAGGTTTGTCAATTGAACTCTGTTTTTCTTGAAAAGGAATTCTCGTTTTTTTCCTATCTAGAAAGAAGCCGAAAAATCAAAGCCAATGATTCAGATGCAAATGCTGCGAAAGAATATGCTGTAAGGTTTTCGTTTACCAAGAAAAATGTCTCATCGCATTATGTTCCTGTTTTAGGGCAACGAAATTTCGACGTCCAAATATAATTTAATTACCTTCTTACCCAAAAATCTCTTTGAACAGTTTCGACGGCTCGCTAATGCATACTTTTTATTCCTTCTCTGTCTACAGGTATGTCAACTGAATTATTCATTATATCTAATGAATTCTGCCCTTTTCCTTTTAGCTCATTCCACAAATTAGTTCGTTAGCTCCCGTGACGACTATTTTGCCACTTGTTTTCGTGTTAGCATTAACTGCAATAAAAGATGCTAGTGATGATATTGTAGGTTATCGATGAAAGTACATTGTGCGTCTCATTTCGCTTTTTCTCTATCTAGGCAAGGCATCGAAGTGATAGTCAGGTTAACAATCGTGAAACAAAAACTGTTGTTGGAAATGAATTAGTGACGAGAAAATGGAAGGATATCAAAGTTGGTGATATAGTACGACTAGAAAATAATGAATTTGTGACAGCTGATATTGTTCTTGTATCGACGAGTGAACTGAATGGACTGTGTTTTATTGAAACTGCTGAACTAGACGGAGAGACAAATTTGAAAGTTCGACAAGCGCTGGAAGAAACTTGTGATCTCGAAGACCATATTGACCAACTCTCAAGATTTGACGGTGCGAAAGAATTGAAAGTTCAATGTAGACTGAATGAATCTTTTTCATTTTAGCGGAAATCGAATACGAAGCACCGAATAATAATCTCGGACGATTCGAAGGCAACTTATCATGGAAAAACAAGACTCTACCATTGAAAAATGATAATGTACTACTGCGCGGCACGAGATTGAGAAACACTCAATGGGCTTTTGGCAGTAAGAAGATCCTGATTGTTCAGATAGCATAGACGCATCTTTCTAACTATTTCAGTTGTATGTTACGCTGGTCCCGACACAAAATTAATGAAAAACAGCGGCAAAGCAACATTCAAACGAACCAAGATCGACCATCTATTGAATCGAATCATCCTTGGAGTAAGAATTGAAATTCTATTTGCGTTTGACGCATATTTGCATTGATTGTCCATCGTATTTAGATCTTCTTCTTTCTCTTGGTAATGTGTGCTATCATGACCATATGTTGCGGATTTTGGGAATCATTTGTTGGCTATGATTTTCGCATCTATCTACCGTGGGAAACTTATATTTCAAACGATCAACATATTGGTGCATTAGAGAAAAGTTTACTAGTCTTTTTATCATATATTATTATTTTAAACACTGTCGTACCGATTTCATTGTACGTCAGTGTGGAATTCATTCGTTTACTACAATCGAAATGGATCGATTGGGATAGTAAAATGTACTATGAGCCGAATAATGTTCCTGCTCAAGCACGTACGACGACACTAAACGAAGAATTGGGCCAAATTGAATACATTTTTTCGGATAAAACTGGCACACTAACGCAGGTAATTCAACCAAACAAACTAGACTTCATTTTTCTCATGCGCAGAATGCTCCTAATTGAGAAACAACCATCGCCTACGATATTTACTCGATAAAAACGACAATGATGCATATGGTAGAACATATTGCTCTTTTTCTCTTTGCTAAACAGTCATGTTTATATGTTTGGTTAAGCAAAGCTACGACAAATATGAATCAGTCAGATAAGGAGAAAATGCGTATTCGCGTGCGAATCATACAAAAATAGTACGAAACTTCAGTGTGTCCTTTGTTGTCACGATAAATATCGTACGGTGGACTGATTTTTCAAGTACTCATTTATGACGTCGACTAACTTGAAAATACTAAAGTTTGAATGACGTCAGTTCTGCGTAACATATTAAATTAATGGTAAACAACACTTAGCGAAATGAACAAAAAGAATATAATAGATTTTCGTAATTAGTGAATAGGAAATTATGGAAATAATTTGAGACAAGATCATAAGATATATTCGATTATCTAGCGAATTTGTCATTTAGAATATTATGACGTTTAACAAATGTTCGATTAAAGGAAAAGTCTATGGATATGTTACTGATGAAGCTGGAAATGAAGTTCAAGATCCTGAAGTAAAATCTTTCAAAGACTTTCCTAGTAGAATTCCATCGAAATACATTTTAGAAATTAAAACCGATTCAATTCGATGAGAAGGACGATGATTTTGAATGGTATGATCACAAATTGATCGATGCAATAAAGAAAGGCGATAAAGATGTGCACACCTTTTTCACTCTACTATCCCTTTGTCATACTGTGATGCCTGAAGAGAAAGATGGGAAAATTGCGTATCAAGCTCAGTCACCAGATGAAAATGCACTCGTATCTGCTGCACGAACATTCGGCTTTGTTTTCGTCGTAAGTTTCATATCAACATCATTAGTTAAACAAATTCGAGCTGGTTGATTTCAATTAGAATCGTACACAAAGCAGTATTTCGGTTAGACTTCAAGAAAAAGATGCTACTTACGATCTGTTGAACATATTGGACTTTGACAACGACCGAAAACGAATGTCGGTATGTATATTATTGAACAGCGGAGACGAGGATTGTTATAATAAACAATATTGTTTAGGTTATTGTGAAAAAAGATGGCAAGATAATTTTATTCTGCAAAGGTGCTGATTCGAAAATCAAGGAACGTTTGGACTCTTCGGAAAAAGATATCATGACTGAAACAGATGAACATCTGAACGTATGAAAAAGGATTTTTACATGTGTCTAGGACTTTATGTATTTCGTTTATGTATAGAAATTCGCTACTGATGGTTTACGAACACTCTGTTTAGCATATAGAGAACTAAACGAAGGTGAATACAATAAATGGGCAGAAAAATTGAATAAAGCTAAGTAAGTCATATAAAAGGTGACTGATATAAATTGCACTGATAAATCGATCTACTTTAGCACAAGTATGGAGAAACGTGAAGAAAAAGTCAATGAAACCTATGAGGAAATTGAAAAAAATCTCAAATTGATTGGTGCTACAGCTATTGAAGACAAGCTTCAGGATGGTGTACCACAATGTATCGAACGCTTAGCTCGTGCTGGTATTAAAATATGGGTTTTGACTGGTGACAAAGTTGGTAAGTCAAAGACAAAGAAAGCGCTTCATTCGTTGATTGACGATTTTCTTGCGTTTCTCAGAGACGGCGTATAACATTGGTCTTTCGTGTCGTTTATTAACGAATGATATGGAGATTTACATCATTGAAGAAGAAAATGAACATAGCGTGGAGAAAAAATTAGAAGAAATTCGAAAGCAAATGATAGAAAAAGTCGAACAATTATTTGACGTTAAGATCGAAGATCGAAAGAAGAGGCTCGACTGGAAAGATTGGGGCATTGATGTAATGAAATTCGATCAACACAGAAAAGCGGAAGAGCCCAATGGTAAAGCACAACGTCCAAATGGTCATGCAACAACTACGAATGATTCGGGAGCACACGATCGGGAGCAATTCGAAGGTTTTGGCTTATTGATTACCGGACAAGCATTAGCATTTGCTCTATCAGACAAATTGAAGATGAAATTACTTGAGTTGGGTACGATGTGCAAAGCTGTGGTTTGTTGTCGTGTTACACCCTTACAAAAGGCGCAAGTCGTTGAATTGGTTATGCAAAATGAGAAGAAGATAACATTAGCTATCGGTGACGGTGCCAATGATGTTTCAATGATACAAAGTAAATGATCGCTCGAAGTTCGCTCGTGAAAAACTATGTTTCGATTGTTTCAGAAGCGCATATCGGTGTGGGTATCAGTGGACAAGAAGGTCGACAAGCTGTTCTGGCAAGTGATTATAGTTTTGGTCAATTTCGATATCTTGAAAGATTGTTACTTGTGCATGGACGTTGGTCATACTTGCGAATTTCGAAGTTTTTACGCTACTTTTTCTATAAAAATTTTGCCTTTACATTGTGCCACTTTTGGTTTGGATTCTTTTCGGGCTTTTCTGCTCAGGTATGTTGCAAATATCAAATGAAATCTTCACTGATATGGTCTATTTAGACATTATATGATCCATTCTTTGTGGCGACATATAACGTTTTCTTCTCGTCATTGCCCGTTCTAGCACTAGGCGTCTTCGATCAAGTACGTCGAAATCGCTGAATTTTCTTCGATTTGACATTGAACTTTCTCTCTAGGATGTTAGTGCTGATCATTCAATGAGTAAACCTCCTCTGTAAGCGATTTCGCTTCTTTCTACAAAAAGCACGTTGTAATTTTTCATTCGTGTCCTATTTCAGATACACACCTGGTCAAAACAATGAATTTTTTAATAAAAAAATTTTCGCTGAAAGTGTCATACATGGAATCTTAACTTCATGTATCATTTTCTTCGTGCCATACTTATCCGTTTCGAACAGTACACGACCAGGTGGTATGACTCAAGCTGATCTACAATCATTTGGTTTTATGGTTGCCACAATAATGATCATCGTCGTCAACTTAGAAAACGCACTTGAAACGTGGTATTGGACTGGTCTTTATCATTTCGTGCTTTGGGGTACTATTGTAGTACATTTCTTATTTCATTTTGTATTGTATTCAACCATTATCTATCAAATCTTTAATACAAACTATGGATATGTTGGGGTAGCACAAGCAGTGCTGTCTACAGGCAATTTTTGGTTTACATTATTCTTAACATGTACAATATTATTGTTACCCGTGTTTTGCCGAGAGTAAGTGCATTCAAACTGTTCAGAATTGAGTCGATCGTCTATTTGAATCGTTTTCGCAGATTCTTTCGTATGCGGTTCATGCCGACGAAAACCGATCGTGCACGATTGAATCAGAAGTTCCGTACGGAAGAGAAAGCAGCATTCGTTGCACATATTCAACAGAAACTCCGTCAAAGTAAACGATCAATTCGATCTGGTTATGCTTTCTCACAACAACAAGGTTGGGGCCCGTTGATCACGTCCGGCCGTATGCAATCGAAATCTGCGACACGTAATCGTCAACAACAGCAACCGCAATCTCAAAACCAAAATAATAATGTAAGTGAGAATTATCAGTCTCTCGAGTCTCCCTTTCATTTCGCAATTTCTCTATCTACAAAAAATATCTCTCTTCCGGTATTCTTCTTGTTTTCTTCCTACAATAATCTATCCGGCATCTGTCTTGTCTAGTTGAAGAATAGAGTTCACCCAAGCCCGAACAATAACGTACCATCAGACAGTACGACCAGCAAAACAACAAGCAGGAGAAATTAATCATTGAAGTAAGAGAGAACAACATTTGACGAGATTTCGGAAAACAACTCAAAACACACACTTTTTGGAGTGAAGATTGCTGTTGTACTCTTGCTGCTACTTATCCATGTGTGTACGCGTGTGTTCATTAGGAGAGTTTAACTAAATTGCACTGCTGCTTTTCCTTCTTCTCATCTTACCATTTCACTCGATAACCATCCCGACTTCGTTCCTGTTTTCATCGTCGATGTTTTCCCTTTGATGTCTTCGAAAATCGAACGCATCCACCACCCTTTAGATGATCTCAAATAATCTATCGAAACCAGTGACAATACTTGAACCATTACTAAGTATATATATAAAACTAAAATCGACCAATGACTATTGACTCGATTAGTATCCTAGTTGACCAATGTAAATACGCTCGATACGAATGATCATGACCAATACACTTGTTATTATTTAAATTATTTGTGGATGTGTGTCTGACCTTTTCGTTTTCAATGACATAGATCTGACTGCTTGAATTTTGCTAAACATCGACGTTGAACATTTTCATTTCATGTTTAATCTATTTGTGTGCTTTTGTCAACATCTCTAGAATGTGATCCAAACTCGATTTTAACCGCGAGTTAAAGTTGAAAAAGTAATAAACCATTCAACTACGAGAATGATCTGTTGTAAGGCTTTGCTTTGTATTTTATTTACATGTTGTAGTTTATGCATGCTTTATGTCTCGTAGTCACTAACTTTATATGTTAACTCGACTAACACTTATTATATTAGTTAATATAATTGATGTTTTGGTCAGAAAGAATGACTCTTCTATCGTTTGTTTAGATATCCAAATCAATATTTCTTAAAAACCGAAAAACGCATATGATGAGTGAATCATCATCTCCAAAGAATTCTGTCATACCTGATAATCAACAACAACATCATCATCATCATCAATCACCTGCGGAACTCATTCGCCTTACACCTTTAACATCATCTTAACTTCTTCTTTTCGCCGTCCATGCATATACATATATATATATTTATGTTATCACTTCGTTGTTATTTTCTATCGCAGATAAAATCTACTAAAAAATTATTTCTTTGGATGTGCTATTTGTAAATCTATGCGTTCTCTGTTTTACCTCGAACAAATGTTTTTCTCTTCTCTCCTATTTTGATAATGGTGATGGTTCAATGCAGCTTCGTTTTCTTTTTTAAATTAATTTATGCTTTTTGTTTTCTTCTTTTCGCTCATGAGATTTCAATTATACATATCTTTCGTTATTTTAATAATTACACATAAGATAATGCAAGGAATAAACAACTCTATCCATGAAAAGACGATCTGTTCTTTTTCAGATTGTCGTTTTAGACGAATGACCAAAAAAAAGTCCGCCGGACCTTCGAATAAATTTGTTTCAGGCGAAGTTCTGAAAGAGTAAGAGATTATCTTGATGACGAGCATTGTTCCTATTGATCACTGTTCTTAGAATTCAATCATGCCGACCATTACGTTTGTTCATTAAAAAACAAAGAAAAAAAGGAAATGAAGTAGGTGAACGTTTTGTATCATCAACTTGATCGTCGTTCTTTTGGTTTATTCGTAGACTCCACCGTTTGCTTTACGATCGGAATTTCTGCAAACTTCATCGGAAAAACAACTAAAGTATTTTCAAAAAGCGATCGATAAATACATTCAACTATTAGTAAGTTCGTTGTCTCATTTGGTTGAGTAATCATACTGAATGATGAATCTTTCTAGGATGAAAAAGATATCGACGAACGTGCCCAAATCGAAGGGCAACTACTTGAAAACGTGCTATCGAAACGAGAGCAGAAAGTCTATTTCGAGTCGCTCAATGCACCAAAGAAGCATCTATAGTAAGTTCAACTTGCTTTTCATCAGCAACAACTTTCGATTTGTTGTTTTAGTAATGCAGCAGCTTATTATGCTGAAATAAATAAACAAGAGCATAATGAAAATGCAAAAGCATGGAAATTGTTAACACCGGATGAGAAGAAGCCATACACTCAAATGTTAAACGATGTAAGTTATTCAGATGAGTCGCAAACGAATGTACATATCGATCGGTTTAGGCTAAAGAAGAGTATGCTGCTCAAGTGAAGAACTTCACGGAAAATTTACCAGATCGTTTGAAATGCGAGTATTTATCGTTCATCAAACCAACGCAACCAGCAACGCAAGGAAGTGGTGAAAGTACCACTTCTGAACCGATAAAACAACGTCGAAAATCTGTTCAACCACTACTGGAAAACTTCCAGCTGCCAACCAATGAAGCAGCAAGTCAAAAATTGACTCGAAGTCAACTGGATGATCTCCATAAATGTCAGCCAAGTATTCTCTACTATGAAAATAAAGTTTCTGATGACGAAAAACCAACATTTGCCAATACAACAGCAAAAAATACTTATATCCGATCGTTATTCAATCAACTAAGCGAGAAAAAACGACATAAGTTCATCTTGAAAGCAACCAAAAAATGGGAAGAATATCTCCAATCACATCCAGATGTGCCTGAAAATCAAATTCCAACACTTCATCTTCTATTAAGCAAAAATGATGATATACATTATTATTTTTCTACACTTGGCTTACCGGCTCGTCCACCAATAAGTGCGCTATATCTATACGGAAATGAACGACAACAAACGGGTTCACAACAAAACTGGGCGGATCTATCGCAAGGGACGAAAGATGAATATATCAAGCGGTTAACAAAGATAAAAGCTGAATATCATCAAAATCTAGTTGAATTCGTCGAAAAAACGTTACCGTCAGATTATATTCGACTTGAGTTTTTCCGAAATGTCAAAGTTGCATCGAAAGATTACGAAGCCGCAACGAAAGATCGAGTTCCTGATAGAGATGAAGGTCAATTGAAGATCACTCAATACTTAAAACCGAAAAAGCCGATCGACAGCGGCGAAATGAACGAATTCGATCGAATTAAACAACAATTATTGGCAACACCGTTGACAAATGAACAGAAAAAGCTTGTCGATCGATTGGGACAAGTAATGAAGAAATATCTTGGAGGAGAAAGTGTAAGTTCGATTTTCTATCGCAAGAATCATTTGAAAATAAGCATTTTTTAGATTGATACAAAGAAATCCTCGTCCGGTAAGATTTAACTCTTAAGTTCTTTTCCGTCTCTAAATGCTTTTCAAATTAGGAAAAGATTCAGCGAAACCAGTTTCATCCCATCGTGCATCGACAACTTCGAATGAAGTGGTTTTAATTAACGGTGATGTTTCCGCCGACGATGCTGAGCCAAAACCCAGCAAAAACAAGAAGAAACGCAAACATGAAAAAGATGATGTCGATGTTGAGAACACTACCTCAACAAAATCCAGTCATCATGACCAAGACAAGCAAAGTTCAACATCTTCTTCCATGAAAAAACGTAAATGATGTCAGATGATTTAAGATAAGCATTGTTTTGAAAAATCTTCCTGTTATTGCTTTGTTCTTTTTTTCTGTTACTGTGTTGTTCCTAAACATCATTGTATTTTCCATATTGGAAAGGTATTAGTGTTTTTTTAATAAACCGATTTATTTGCTGGAGACCGTTTGGACGTCTCTGTTTTGAAGTCAATTTAACTGCTTGTATTTAGTCGAAGACTGCCTGACAATTAGAGACCTCTTTTGATAAGTAGATCTACCGGTTACATTTGATAACGACACGTTTCTCATTCAGTGAAGTGGATTCCTCTTACTAGTGAAAAAATACTACCTGTCGCGGTTTTGTTCCTATATGAAGACAGAAGTCGGGCAAACTTGCTTTGTTTAAGATATAAAATGGCTTTTCTGCGTGGTGTTTCACTGTTTTCGTCATCAGCATCGTCGACAACACCAGTTAATGAGGCAACTAATCATCAAGAAACGGTAAACGATAGACTAAAATCTCTTTTCGCTACGACAAATTCTTCGTCGGCTTACAGATCGAACGTCTCTGTGATCGTCTGCAATTAGCAACACGAATCGAAGATCGACGAGATGCTGTGCGTGGTTTGAAAGGCCTCTCTAAAGTAGGTCACATATACGAATAATTATAAGGTTCTACGAAGATAAATAGAAATGTAAACTCGAAGTCGGCACACAGAGCATGATCTTACTAGCAAATGTCTTACGAGGAGATCGAACTGATTTAGATCTCATTCAATTAGCATTAGAAACGTTGACGAATGTCATGACATATGAAGCTGACAATAGCGAAGGTAGGAATCGTAACAATGTTGGTATCGTTCAACAGGAATATGCTATTTAGAACAGCCAAATTTACCACAAGATATCACTGTTCAATTCACAGGTAACCATATTGTCTTGAATTCGATACGAAGAAGTTCGCCATCTGTGTTCAGAATTATTTGTCAAAAATAAAGAAAATGTTCATGCCGCTCTTGATCTGATTGAAGTAAGTTAAGAAATGATCTATTCATGCGTTGACAGGTCATATTTGGCATGCTTCAGGAAACTGATTTTAATGTTCGACGTGCTGCGATTAAATTCCTAACGATACTTTTGACAAACTGCACGAAACTACTACAAGATATTACTCTCGAGAGCGGACCAATGGGTGTATCAAAACTAGTTGATTTACTGCAGGATGAACGTGAAGTGATTCGAAATGATGTAAACCATTGACTTTGATTTTACGGCGAATATTCTCTGCTTTATTTTGCACAGGCGCTTCTTCTTCTTCAAATTTTAACACAATCAAATGCAAATATTCAAAAAATAGTCTCGTTTGAGAATGGTTTCGAACGTTTATTCGAAATTCTTAGCAGCGAAGGTGGTTGTGAAGGAGGTAGATAATTCATATAGTTCGTTTTCGTTTGCCAAGTCAAATCGTTATTGATAGGCGTCATTGTCCAAGATTGCTTAACTGTTTTACTGAATTTATTGAAAAATAATGCATCCAATCAAAGTTATTTTCGTGAAAGTTCCTTTATTCGCCGACTCGTTGACTTTTTTGAACTGAATTCAATCGGTGACAAACGTTGGTCAACGCAAAAAATCACTAATATTCATCTTCTATTACAAGTAACTATCGAACTGATTCCATTCGACACAATCGGATTCATTCTTATGTAAAAAGGTTATTCGAACACTTGTGTCACCGACGAATTCAGTGCAGCATATTACGCCATGCCAACGAACGGTTAGTCAATGTGGTAAGTGCTAACATTGACCCAACTCGAAAATCGAACTAATTGAATCGTCCATAAAGGTCTTCTACATCGCCTATGTGTCATGCTTACAGTCTCTTCCATACCAGCGGATGTTCTAGCAGAAGTAAGTCATGTTCTTTGTGTCGTATAAAATCTTCTCAAGTATGATTAGACGATCAATACCATTGGTGACATTATTCGTGGTAATTCTGAGAATCAACAGTTTTTTGGATCCGTGATGAACACGACCAGTGATTCTCAACAGTTTGTAGTCGTCCAAATCTGTTCCTGTTGATGATAACGCGTCTTTTAGGCCAATCTTATTAAGCCTTCTATATATAATGGTCACTGGAGAGAAGCAATCATTCCCTCTTCGAATATCGATTCTATATTGCTTTCAATGCTATTTATATAAAAACGATTATGGGAAATCAATAGTCATACAAACATTGTTGCCTCAGTCTCAAGCCGGTTCGTTTTTCTCTTGATCACATCTCTATCTGTTTTCTAAAAAATTCATCCTTTTCCAGCGACCAGTCAATATACATTCGGTCATCTCTTAATCGTTGGCTATTTGAGTAAAGACATAGTTGCATCATGGTGTTCAAGTATTGCGCTCTCTCATGTTATCGCTGACAGTCAACAGTTTAAAGAAGCGATCCTTCAAGTAGTACTTGCAACTGATCCATCACAACCCGACGTGAAAACTCTGATGGATATTTCAGTTGATCTTCTACAGAATGTAGAGTTACTACTCCTTTTCCCTCCTTCGATGTATCCTCTTTGTTTTGCTTAATAGTTAAACTCGTCGTTCCACACTCGAATTGCAATACTCACTTTCCTATGTACATGGTTGGCGAATTGTACGTTGGCCGTTCAAGCGTTCCTCTCTTCTCAAAATAGTATTTCCTATGTAAGTCAAGATTCTATTCGATTTTAAATGACAGTTCTCGCTTTGTTTAGTTAATCACACAAATTTGTGCACATTCAAGTGTAGATGATCGAGAAATTCTTATTCAATCTCTATGCTCCTTTGCGTTCGGATTATGCTTAGTATTCAACAATAATCAGATATCGACATATTCGACGTAAGTCAAACAAAACAATGTAATTATTTATATATTTCGCATAATTATCTCAGAGAATCCCTTGAGCGGCTCATCAATAAACGTATCGGCGTTGAGCTATTCCAAGAAAAACTTGAAATTCTCTCCAAATCCGATCATTATGCTAAAGCTTTACGAAAACCGCAATTGAAACTATCAAAATCCAATGATATGATACTTGACTACGAATTCGCTCGGCTCTACAAAATTCTCGAAGGCTCTATTTCTCGAGCGCTAACCACCCGACCCACCGATGGTCAGACAAAACCGCCTGACCAAACGTCGCTCATGCTTGCACAATACGCCGAGTTGATTCAACAACAAAGTCAACAAATCGCTGCTTACCAGCAACAAGAAAGGCAATTTTTCGAAGAACGTAATTATTATCAAACGAAAACCGCAGAACTTGAACAATCGTTACAAGCGCTGCGTGATGAACATTTACAACTACAATCATCATCTGAGCCAAGTATGTCTTCTAAACGAACTCATCATTCTTTTATCGAATATCTTTAGAACAAACTCCTGATGATGGTCTGCGAACGCTATGCGAACAACAACAAGCAGAGTTGGAATATTTGAGAAATATGATAGTATGATGATACTCTTCGAGAAAATATCAGTTAAGTTATTTTCTATAGGCTTATCAACAGCAACAGTTTTATCAATTATCACAAACTACAGTGTAAGAAACAACGAGATTTCATATGATTTGTTCTATCGTGTCATTAGTAGACTAGAGAATGGTGTTGAACAACTTAGTTTAAATCATACTGAGAATCAAAATATCCAAGTAATCAGATTTTCGATAGAGGTGTTGATTTCGATTGATGTTGTTCTATAGAATGACGAGCAAGTGGCGTTAAATGCGCGAATAACTGAATTGCAAACAAAACTGAATGCATCGGACGAACGGTGAGTTCGATTAGATCGAGAAGGACATGAATCTGTATGTATAATGTAGATGTGCGACACAAACTTCAGAAAATTCTCGTCTTCAGTTGGAAAATAACATTTTACAAGAAAAATTAACCAATGAAAAACGAAAAGTTGGCATTCTTGAAGTACCAATGTGATCTTTTCTCGATTGATTGTCAGCTCTGATTATCTTTTCTAGAGTCTTCAAGGTCAGCTACAAGAGATCATCGATGAAAAGACAAGTTTGAATAATGAATATCAAAAGCTGAACGCAAACTATCAACAAAACATCAAAGAACAAAACGATTTACTCGTTCTCTGTTCCACCTACGAAGATCAACTAAAAACCTGTCGAAATCTAATGCAATCAGCTGGATTAATAGTAAATCACTCGTCTTCCTTTCATTGTCATTCACCTGCAATCTTCCTTCTAGGTACCGAACTTTTTAATCGAAATGGATAATACCGAATAATCTTTATAAAACGTGATATTCACATTTTATGTTTTCTTTGTCGAACTTTACATGAATTCGTCGTTGAGATTAGATTATTCAAACGTATGTTTGACTTCCGCACACATTCTTTCAGCTTCATCCTTCATTGTTAAAAGAAACGCAAATAATCATTGATTGAGAATGCTTCATCAAGCATCGTGAACATTAACGATCAATTCTGCGAATACAATAGTTCAAAGTTATTCAATGAGCAACAAACGAAGAATGTCAATACTTTCTTTTTTCAAGTATGTCATATCTGCAAGATAAATGTTCGTCTTGCTATGCAACAATGTTCATAGATTCGACTGAGATAGGCAATCCCTTGGGGGCGGTTGGAGATGTGATATGTTGATAGTTTGTGTAGACGAAAAACGAAAACAAGACAAATTTTAATTGGAAAAAAAGACTTTTGTTTTGTTCGACGAACAGCTTGCAATTTCATCATGTTCGATGTCTCGTCATCGATTGTCTAAGAGAAGAATGAATGCTTGATTGAATTCGATTTTGATTGAAAAGACAAACATTCCAAATGGCAGTCAAGCATCGATTATCGATCTGCGACGTGTTAGTCTTGCTAAACGAACAAATCATTTTCTTTGACACTATCTTGTCAAAACGAGAAATCATCCTGCGACGAATGTCTGCCTATCTGCACTGACGATCTTGTTCAATATCACTAATTGGAACGTCGACATATTTGTCTTCTGCTCTCCTACTGATATCATATTGATATGCTACTCCCTATGATGTCGTCATCATTCGACTAAATAACGATGAACGCATCTAAGAGTAGACGAACGACGAGACATTTTTATCATATCTGAGTTCAATGGAAAGCATTCTTGGCGAGATAACCTCGTTTGGATCTAACTTGACACGTTGTCGTTTGAGTTAAGAAGAAAAGGAGAAGCTGATAGTATTGCTGATCAATCGAAACGCTGATGATTAATAATAAAGATGAGAGAAAGACGACATGGAATGTTGTTATTATTGGTTGTTGTGTGTTCTCAACAGCTGAAAATTAATGATCAATTATCTGTCATTATTATCAAAGAAGACGTTTTTCAGCATTGGCTGCCAGGACAAACGAAATCTTGCTGGAACGATCAAAGATTTTCGAAATTGTTATTCAATCGAAATCTTTATCTGAATCGCGTGTCTGAGTTGATGACATTCTATGGTCTGTGTGGTTGTCCGTAATTGACACCTAGCCGCCAGTCAGACCATATTGAGTTGGAAGAGAAGGAGAAAGAGAAAAAGAGAAGAGAGAGAGAAACAGGTGTTATGTCTCTTCCTATTGGTCCATCGCATGATGAGAGTGAAAAATTCAATGAGCAAAGGTATATAAGGAAAGAGAAAAGTGAATTGTTTATTCTCTTCATTCGTGATGAACATGATGAACACTTTCTATGTTTTCCTCGTTATTTTCCTTCAAATTCAAGTAAAGCATTTTCTTTATGAAAGTTTAAGCGAATAATTAAAATGAATTCTTTTTCTTCTAGTTAATCTCTACTGCTGGTAAATTCGAAATCGAATTAGAACGATTAGTCAATCGCAAAGGTTTAAATGTTAATGGTACATGTTGTAACGGCCCCGATCGATTTTTCACATGTATTCAACCTTGTAAAACATTCATGCGTTTTTGTCTACGGAACCAAAATCCCAATTTGGACGATATCAATCGCCCAGCCACTGTAAATAATGAAGAATGTACATATAGTTTCGATGAAACGCCCATTCTCGGCGGAAATAATATTGATTTCCTTCGTTTACCACAACAAGCCAATTTAATTGTTTTACCATTTAAATTTAGCTGGATGGTAAGTAACTGCTATTTAAATGACAATTTTATGACATTTTCTTTTTTGTTTAGGGCGATTTTGTTCTTCGTATTGATATCTTCAATGATAAAACATACGATGGTCAACCGTATCCAGGCAGTGCGCGAGAATTGATCTTATCTACAACAATTCGCTCGTCGATTTATCCAAACTCGTCGTGGCAATATGCTCAAACCATCGATTCTTCGTTAACATCTCATGAATTCTCTTTTCGTTATCGAGTATCATGCGCAACAAATTTCTACGGTTCTCAATGTTCACGATTCTGCTCTCCACTCTCATCTCATTCACGATGTGATCCTCAAACAGGTGAAATCATATGTCAACAAGGATGGACTGGAGTTGATTGCAATAAAGGTAAGGATCACCTTTCAATTGAGGGGAAAAACAGCAGCTGACATATCTCTTTTGTGTTTTTCAGCTATTTGTCGAGCCGGATGTCAACACGGTCATTGTCTCAATCAACCGAATCAATGTATTTGTCATCAGGGATGGACAGGAGAAAAATGTCAAGTGCCCTTACAACGCTTGATGAGCATTCCAAAGCCGAAAGTTTCGTGTCACAATGGTGGCAAGTTTCTTGACTCAAAATGTCAATGTCCAACAGGCTTTCAAGGTTCATTGTGTGAAGAACGAATTTGTTTCAATGGTGGTTTGAGTTCACCAAGTAAATGTGTTTGTCCACCGGGTTATGAAGGTAAACAATGTGAAATTGAAACCCAATGTCCCATTTGCCGTAATAATGGCCGATGCGAAGATGGAAAATGTCTTTGTCCCAAGGAATTTACTGGTCAATACTGCGAAATCGACGTCCGACTTATCCAAAAACAAGAGCGAAAGATATTCTCTATTGAACTACTCATTCTCTTCATATTTATTCTCTTGTTTCTGTCAATCTTGATGATTATTTCATGTTTGTATTACAAATCGTCGAATCAGAAACGCAAACAATTACAACAGATCAAAGAAATCACCTTCGACAAGATCTGGACGATTGAAAATTCTTCGACGAATATTTTCAAGGAATCCAAAGAGAAAGTCATCGAGAAAAACGACATCAATGCGAAACTAAAACAAACGGACGTGCAAGCTTCACTCGTTTAAATTCGTTTTCCTTTATTTCTTTTCATCCCGGTTGTTCGAACAGTGATCTTTGTAAATAAAAATTTCATGTATTTGCACAAACGAGAAATGAACTTGTCTGTCGGTAAAGGTGATGAGCGGAAATATTCAAGCGAAAACGAAAACATTGCGACAGATGGACAACAGATGTGTCGATATACATCTTAGTCTCGCTTCGAACATATCAGGTCGAATCAATGTACCGGAGAGAAATCATACGTTCAATGCGATAGAATTTCCTAATGCTTCACGTTTATTTTGTCATTTCGATGACAACAAATGCATTCGTCGAAGTCAAGTAGGAAATATTTCGCTTTGATCTCTAATAATAAAGTTAGTCTTCGTTAGCAAACAAATGGCACGTGTGTTCACCGGAAACAAAACGAATAAATAATCATGCATATATATTCAGAAATAATTCATGTCACCGAATTTCGTGTTCATTTGTGAAGATGAAAGAAGTCATTCGCCGTGTTCTTTTCGTATCTACATGTGAAATCTCACAATAAAACGTTGATGCGTTTCGGCTCGACTCATCATGATCATCATTACAGCTCATGATGTGTCTCTTGTGACTTTATATGGTCTGAAAGTATTTACAATATTTAACACACAATCAAATGTATGCCTCAGGAAGATAATACTCGAAGAATGTTGTCGACATCGATTGTTTTTATTTCCTTCTCTCAACTTACAGGCGTCAAAGTTAAGACGAGTGACGGATAAAGACTGATGAATATAGAAATGACGTGTCTTAATTGAACAACAAAAGGCAGACAGAAGAAGGATTGTTATTTTCACTCAGACAGACACAAGCATTAGAATAAGTTAGATGAGCAAAGATATTGATGTTTGAATACTCACCTATTAGAACATTTCTAATGCATTATCAAAGGTGGTGAACATCTGCGTGTATAGCACGTTCAATGATCATTGATCGAATCAGAGAGATTTTCTATCTTGATAGTTTATTGATAATCTTTTTTTTGTAGAAATAGAGTTACTCGACATGCAATTATCATAGAAAAATGTTTGCATCGTCTTTTGATCAAATTTCCAGTGCGCTGACTAAATGCTGGTATGGCGTTAGCTACTATTGATTTATCACCCAGAATAGTTGTCTAATGTTGACAACGCTTCTTGTTACTGAGTGTCTTTTCGTTAGGTGTGACGACAACGCTGGAAATCTTCGTTGAATCAGTAATAATAGTTAACAGGAGAACGTTTTACGAAGTAATCTCATCGCTAAACTGTCTTAACATACTTTGTATATTTTCAATTGCGTGACGTTTATGGCGTTCTTTCTTTCAACAGCGACATGTTTTTGTCAACAATGGTTTCATTTTTCGCTTTGGAAGATTATAAAAAAATAGTGTCCTTCCTTTCCTATTTCACCTTTATATGTGTTTTTGGTCGAAGTTTCGAGTTTCGAGAACATGCCTTCTCCTCTCGATCGATTATTTCTCTTGCGAAACGTAATTCATGAAAATGTCTCGCAAGTGTATATCAATAAGATGCAATGTGAACGACTTTGTGAACGTATCGATCAGTTAATCGAACCACTCGAACGTTTAGAACACGCGTCGTCGTCGGTGATGCGCACTGAAACACGTGCGATTCTGGATAAATTTCTGCAATGTGTCGACGATTGTAATCATTATATTGAAAAATTCAAGTCGTCGGATCGATGGTACGATGAGGCGTACGAGTACGGTAAAAGTGAGGATAAATTTCATGAATTAAACCATCGATTATCTCAACTTGGACAAGATCTGTGCGTTGGTTTGAATATTCAGCAAATATTTGATCGAAAACAGGATCGGATTGATCAACAAGAAGATTTAAAAGAGCTAACAAAAAAACTCGACGAAATTGCGCAAAAAATGTTAGAAAGGCAATGTGAACAGTACCGATTCATCGATAAAATGCTTGACAAGCGTCTTCAATCATTTCGATTTTCTCTGGCACAAAATCTCTTACTTCAATCGAATCCTGACCTTCTCGACGAACACCAACAGTTTCTGCATATTCCATATAAAGACTTGTGCATTGAGGATCAACCTCTTGGTCATGGCGGATTTGCTGATGTTTATAAAGCGAAATGGTTGACGCACCATGACCAAGTAGCAGTGAAAATCATTCGAGTCAGTCATTTGTCGAATGCTCGAGAGGATTTTGTGCGAGAAATCTCGACAATGTATCGAATACGATATGAAAATATTCTTAATGTTCTCGGAGCATGTATCGAACCAAGCTTTTATGCCATTGTCGTGGAGTACATGCCATTGGGATCGCTCTATGATATTTTGCATCGGAACAATGAGCAGATCTCGTTTGACTGGTCTGATCGATACTCCTTAGTATGGCAAATGGTCAAATCGATAAATTATTTACATAATTTCAATCCAGCAATTCTCCATCGAGATATTAAATCAGCGAATTTTCTATTGAAAACCAATGGAACGTCAAATCAGAAGTATCTTCTTAAAGTTTGTGATTTTGGTTTAGCCGAGATTCGACGAGAAACGCTTCTACAATCAGGAGCCTTTCTTTCTCCTCAGATCGTTGGCACATTCTGTTGGAAAGCACCTGAATTATTGCTTCCACATGCTCGACACACGAAACAAAGTGATATCTATAGTCTGGGTGTCGTTTTTTGGGAGTTAGCAACAGGAAAAATACCATGGAATGAGTATGAAGATGCAACAGTGATATTAATTCAAGTCAAAATGGGTGAACGACCAACCATTCCAGTAGACATTCCCGATTCATATAAACAATTGATTCAGGATGCTTGGAATCATGATCCACAAGAACGGCCAACATGCTTTCAACTTATGGAGCGAATTTTCGAAGAAATGAATCGACTTAACATGACGACTACTCCGAGCGCCAATGTTGATTTATATTCAAAACATTTATTAACAAAATACGAGTGAGAGATTCGAATTTAGGATGATGATTTACTCAAATATCGCTCGCTTTAGTTCTACAAGAACTGCCGTACAAGTAGCTGAAGAAGAAAATCCAGTCGAGAAATCAAGGAACAGTGTTCAAGACAGCATCATTCCACAATCAGTTACAGTCGAAACAACAACATCAGGTTAGTAATTGTACAACGAACTGAAAACAAGAAGAATGAGAATGACAAAATACATCCTTTTACTATCTGACCAACTTTCACAATCTGCGCTATAGATGAACTGACTAGTCCAATTCATTTGGGTACAACAGGAAGATTTGACATCGTTGCTTCAAATGTGCTTCACTACAGTCAACAAGATGAAATGCGTGCCGTGTCGCCGAAGCCATTGGACCGAAAGTTGTCACGATCGGTTGATGATCTGACATCGAAGTAAGTTTTCCATATGATGCTTCTGAAAATATATTTATTTTGTCTTTTATTTAGTTGTGATTCAAATAGTAACTCGTCAGACAATGGCTTGTTCCAAATCTATCGACTGGAAAAACGACGACCATTGCATCGTAAATATATTTCGAAAGAAAACAATAGTTAACATCAATCATTAAGAATCTTTGACTATTTCATGGAATCGTTCAATTTTGCTCAATAAAAACTGCCATTCGGACATTGTCATATCATATTTTTGGGAAAGAATTCTTTGCTGTTCACTAGTACCAATGGTTTCATTCATTCCCCAGTATTTCTGAACAAAGATGATATAGCCATCGAAGGTTTTCTTCACTAAATAGTCTAAATTTAACATGATTTCATCGGCAAATTCGATACGTTTGATATAATCTTCAAGTTCATCATTACTGATAATTACGGGTCGACTGCGAAGCAGACTTTTTCGAATATTTTCAGCTGTTCGTTGTTCCTCCAGTTTCAACTCATCAAGAATATGAAAGATGTGATGATATTCCATAGTCATATGATACGATGATGGATTTTTAGGAAGTAAAACAGCAATCTGATAAAATTTTCTCCATAACTTCTCTAAAACTGTTGTAATATTTGCCTAAAACATACAAATAATTCAATAGTACTTGTGCACTTTATTTCCACGTCTATACCATTTCTTTCACAAGTAGGAGCAACACATCGAAGGTTTTACTTGAGTTTTGAAGAGAAACAAATATTGTCTTATCATTTGTGCAGATAACAGCAGCTAATAGCAACAACTGCTAGGAATCATTTTTGATTGTTCTAGTCATTCTATGTACATATCATATCAATTCCTTTTCGTGTTAAATAAAATTTCTTTGAAATTTAATCGTTGTGTGTAAATAGTCTTTCATTGTAATTGACTTTCGACCTGCCTGAACAAGATCGAGCGAAAACAGAGAAGGTCTGCATGAAAATGAAGACAAAAAAAAAGAACGCCGTCTATTATCGATCAGACATATTTTGTTAAATATACATAATGAACGTGCTCAATCTGCTGAAAGAGTCTTTAATTTATACAGTAGCCAATGGACATATGAGCAAAAAAATACAGACTTTTATTCACGTTCAGAGAGACGAAAAAAAAGTGGTGAACATTCTCATTACAATGAACTGTTTATTTAGAGGATTAAGTCAGTGAAGACACAGGTGATGAGAATTCACCTTTTTTCGCCGTTCGCGTTGCTTATTTGAAAAAATAGCCTTCGAACTTGTCTTCTCTGCCTGTCCTTTGCTTATGTTGGTCATCCGAACGGCTTCATACATTTATTTTTGTTCGACTGAACACAGAGCATAAAAAAAGGCACGATTCACCTACACAATACAGTTTTTCGATTACTGTCGATTAGAAAGCATTTTATCAATGTTTAATTCCAAGTTCAACTTTGATAGATGCCTTTCAATGTGCATTCTTCTAAGACTTCTTGAACAAATGCCAATCGCCTTTTTTCATGCAAAGAGAAAACGAGTGTATCATATTCTATTTTGCAAAACGGAACACTATTTAATGAGTTTCTCTGTGTAGTATTCTTCTTTGCTCTCTTTTTCTCTCTCAATTGTTCTGTATGAAAAGAAAAATCAAGGTTCATTCAGACTATTAACGAGTAACAGACACGGTCACCGCTATCATCGTACATATTTTTTCTCATTATTATTTTTCTCTTTCTCGCTTGTTTTTTTGTGTACGAGTGTGTATGCATGTTCATCTATTCTGTTCTGTACAAATCGTCGAAGAGAAAGAAAGGGAATCTCGCTATTGTATTGAACATGGGAAGAAGAAAAAAAATCATCATAAATTCGGGGGTCGTTCTCTTGCGGTATACACACATTCTGCGATATTTATTTTGTGTATACATTAGACTCGTAGTTTGCGGTGACGACGCGAGCATAGACAAAAAAAACGTGAATGGTACAGTAGAAAAAGAAGAAAGAAGAGAAAAATGGCTTCGTCATCGTTCATCGTCGACCGATGGTCAAGTCGACTGGGCGAGAAATACAATTAGACATATGTATGTATATGTCTGTAGACATATGCATAAAAAAAGAAGAAAAAAAAAGGAGAAAAAAAACGAGGGCCTATGCGAACGCACATTCTCGTTTGTGAAGAAGGAAAAGAAAAGGAAAAGATATTCTTCTTTTCTGCTTTGCGCGCCGTCGTCCACCTCGAAAAAGCCATTTCTGAACCTGCCATTATTATACAAAAAGAGAAAAGAGAGAACAAGAAATCTTGCTTGTACACGAACTAAGAGAGGAAAAAAGAGAATGGAGGCACGAGAGAGAAAGAAAGAGCGATCACAAAAACAAACGACACTAAAGACAAATCGACGAACAAAAATACATATACACGCACACTACCATCCGATTTGTGATCAGATCATTTTCGACATCTCTATCCGAACTAATCACTGCTAACATTCATCTCTCCTTTTCATTCTAGAATTTTTAGCATGCAGGATACATCTTCAACGCCTCCGACATTAACGGAAAACTTTAACATGAAACTAAGATCTACGTCGCCTATGTCCGACGTTACCGCTGCGCACGATGCTTCATATGTAAGACAGATTCGTATTGATAATCTGTTATATCGATCATCTATTTAGTCATCACTGCTATTGAAAAAGAAACTAGCAATGTCTGAAAATTCAGCGGCAGCAATGAAAACAGAAAGAGACATGGCACACGAGACGAATAGTTCATGTATTGGTGTAAGTTGTCATATTGCTGAGAAATATTGCTAAACTTGGAATACATTTATATAGGTAATCAGACCTTCAAGTATGACTTTATCAATCAATGAGAATGAACCTGTCAAAAGTGTTGGTCGAGTATGTTTGAAAGAAACAAATGATAACTTGTTGCTTACTTCTAATCACATATTTCTTTTTGAATAGCGTCGTAAACCACTTCGACCTTGGTCTTTGTCTGCACGCGTTGAACGTCCGAATTCAGTAAGTTATCATTCGATCAATTATGTAGGAAACTATTCTCATATCGTAGACTATTCAGTCCAATAACGACCATATTGAACCTATCAGTGATACTGATGATCAATCAGTAAGTTTTTCATTGAGCATAATGTATGTAACATCCGTTTCACAATATCATATAGGAAACCAAATATTCACCCATAAGTAACAATACAACGAATAGTAATGTCGATGAAGACTCATCGGTATGTTGTAAAACACGTTTCTATATGCGAAAAGAGAAATGGACATACAATTTGAATGTGTAGATTAATGAATGGCCAAAACAATTATCAACCATCGAGGAAATTTTAAAACTCTACCGCGTGGAAACGAACGGCTCTGTTGAATGCATTCGATGTGGTTGCAAAGCCAATCAAGACAATCTACTTGAACATGTTTCTGAACACTATCCATATAAATGCTATTCATGCGGGTAAATCACCCACTCATTTCAGTCGAACCCTTTTCAAGTTTGACTCTTCGTAGATTCTATACTGATTCACTTTCGATTCTTGATGAACACAATCAAACTCATACGTCTAATCATCAATCAACTGAACAGCAATCGTTTCCTGTTCCAACATCACACACAACTGCGATGAAATCCTCAGAGCCATCGAATGGGACTACCAATGAAAAGTCGACTCCAGCAAGTAAAACTAAAGTTCATCGATGTCGTCAATGTTCATTTGTGTCTAGTGTTAAAGTACAGAAAAGATTTTGGTCGATAAAAATGTTTTATTTGCTGATTTTGTAGGAGGACTATTGGGCACATCATCGCGTTCACATTCGAGCCGATAAAATTCTCGAATGTCCAAGCTGTCCATTTGTAACAGAATACAAACATCATCTCGAATATCATCTACGTAATCATCTCGGTTCAAAACCATTCAAATGTTCAAAGTATAAACTATTCATTGTTGTAGTTCTCTGTCAATAGATGTGTTGTTTCTCTTGCAGATGTGATTATGCGTGCGTGAATCTATCCATGTTACGTTCACACAAGAAATCCCATTTTCGTCATTTGTTGTTCAAATGTTCGAATTGTTCATTCGAATCAAAACAATATCAAGCTTTACAAGAACATCTGCAAACCGAAGGACATGAAGCATATGTCGATGAAAATATCGAAGAATTTCTTAAGGAATATTCCAGTGGCAATCTCAGTTCATTGAATCTAACGTCAAATAATAGTAATGCATTATCATCAACACCACCAACACTTGTGCCGAATTCGACACAAAAAGCGAATACACGTCCATCGAGATCGAAAAAGCGCAAATCAATGTCGAATACATCTCTTCCGGCACAAGTGAAACGCACATCATCGGTGTCATCGGAAGATTCTTCAACAGGTGCTTTGTCAAGCGATGAACACCAGACGGATGCAGCATCGATGTCACTTGCTTGTAGTTTATGTGATTTCGTCGCAGTATCCAAAGAAGGACTCGGTGTACATCTGTTTCAACATGCTTGTAAAAAAAGTGATCTACTCAACCGATCGATGTTAACGAACATGTCACTCGATCCAACGACAAAATTACTAGAGTTATTCAATGGTAAAATCGGACCATTTGCCGCCAATACGAATGGAGTTTCTCCTCAAGTAAGTCAAATGTCTCAAACCATTCGCATCTCATAATGAATTTGTCTTGTAGTTAAATGATTTTCTCGGTCCATACCAGCAATTTCTAACCCAACAACTCCAATCACATTTGACATCGACATCATCAAATATGCATAGTTATCAACTTGATAGCAATAACAATCATGCTTTACCACCGGCAGCTTTACTCAACGGTAATTATTCTCTATTATCGTCATGTATAAAAACTGATACGAACGAGAATATTTTTCCTTCGGCTAAACGACAACGAAAAGATCACTCGACTGATAGTGATCACAGTGAACGAAATTTGAATTCAATCGATCAACAAACTCAAGTCGATGAATGGCAAATCAAACGCTTGTTCGAATGTGTACATTGCGAAATGATTTTCAAAGACTTTGCCATGTACTGTACACATAAACAGCTTCATTATTCACCTGAAAATCCATTTCGATGTGCGCAATGCGGTGAACAAAAGACAAGCAAATATGACTTTTTCGTTCATGTTGCTCAGCAAGCTCATGATCTTACTTGACAAACCTACCTCTTCTCTTCGTTTGTACATTTGTTTTTGTTGCTGTTGATTTCTGTTTTGTTTTTGCCATGACATGAAAGTAAACAAAGGAAAAAAAAACGCCAACAAGAAAGAATGAAGTGTATCAGTCAAATTTTATTAATTAAGCAAAAACATCTTTGCGACGGTCACCGTATGTGTTCAAAAGTTCTTCGTCGACCATGTAGGTGATCAATGCGTTGTCAGCGTCTGAACCAGTTTTGATGCGATTCAAAAGATCTTCTAAAAGTTTTCCCACTTCGATATGATGGTCAAGTAAGTGCGACTCAAGATAATCTTGAGCACTAGCATCATTGGAGTCTTCGTGACAGGTCTCAACTGCTTGCAAGATCTTCTTGTTGAATTCACGAGCAGTTTCTAAGTACTTGACGACGCCAGTTTCGCGGAGTGCGTGCACGCGATTTTTGATACCCTCCTTTTTAATCAATGAATTGATTGATAATTTACGTAAAGCAATGTATTTCACGAGTTCGTGACCTCGCGATGAGTCGTCATCACTTAATTTTGTAAACAAACTGGCAAAGCCCGGATAAGCGTTTTGTGCACCGACTTTTGATGCCAATTGAAGATATTCATAAGCAAGTTCAATTTCCTGATTAGCCAATTCACGTAAACATTCTTTCATTTTGTCATTACATGAACACAATGAAACTACGGCAATAAGGAAATAGACTACTCTCATTATCGTCATTCTTTGTAAGTGTATATGGATATACTCAATGGCGAATTGAAATTAAAAAAAATATCGTTGTATTATGTCGAGAGACAAGCAAAAACAACTGTTGATGATAAAAAAAAGCACATGACTGATAACACTCGTTCGTGATCGTCAGTAACAATGGCTTACCTTTGGTCCCTAACAGCAAGTTTGTCTTGCACTTCTTTTCGGTTTCGAAAGAAATTCGGTGCATTACATGCATGTGAAAATATTGTCAGTATGATTCACATAAGTATTTCATATGTTTTCAAGACGGTAGCTGATATGAAAAAGAAGAAGTGTATGATAGCAGTTATCAAATGAAGATAGCCGGTTTTAGAAGAGCGAAAGTCAATATGGAATGTTATGCCACACACCGAGATATGAATTAGACAAATGATGAGTTTATATTTATCACGTTGGGCTTGTGTTATGTTCACTAATGCTCAATTCTCATATTTTTATAATTAGAAGTTAACTGTCTTGGAAGATTTGATAAATAGCTTCTATTGATGGATTAGTTTTGATCTCATGGACATGTTCAATGACAAAACTTTCTATTTGACACTAGATGCTTTTGTAAACTGATTCGTTTGTGAATGTAATGTAATGATGCTCGATAAATTTCTAGTTGCATTTTATCATAGTCGGCAGCGGATGGACGACTCGTGTATGTAAATGTTCCTAACAGTAGAGAGAGTTCTTCCTAAATTCTGAAGACATACAAGTGGTATTGACCGAAACCAATATGAGAATTCTAACCAGTTTAAATGGTACATCAACTAAATTAATACAGTGCAGTAAACGTTTGAAGTATGCCGTAATGGCGCAGGCTACTGGTTAGACATATAAAAATAACCTTTTCCCCTCTGCTCCGCAGGGTGGGTCGGAAGCTCAAGTAGGTCATGTAGAAGAGCGCACTCATGCATGATTTCGAATAATCATAAATATTCTTATGGGTGATGTATTACGAGTCGCCAGGTATGCTGTAAATAATTAATCACGTGTTTGCTGTTCTACATATATGCGATACATACTAAATACTTCATCAAAACAGTTGAATAAACGATTGAAAATAGATAGTATAAATCATGATCAAAACAATCCGATACTCGGAAAAACAATCTAATACTCGGAAAAACAACCGGAACAGCTTATAGTATATAAGTTAAGCACGGCCAAAGTCATAGTTACATAAAAATATTATCCTCATCCATTCAAGCTTCATCTGCTATCAAACAAACAACAACATGTCGAATTTATACACGATTGCTATTGCTCTTCTCTTGGCAGTCTTATGTGTGAATAGTGAACCATTAAATCTCGCATACCGTGCTGCTGTACAACTTGAATCGGGTGTTACAATTATATCTAGCTCATCACAGGGTAAGGATCGGCAAAAAACATAACTCATTCCTCATACGAACTTCTTTTTCTAGGAAAGAAAGGCTTAACATTTGTTAAAGAAGCTCATTTGGTTGACTTCGGTATTGATCTTGTCGGATGTCGAAACTGGTCTGATCCAAACGGAATGGATTGCAATGCTTATTCAGGTGACACTCTTTGTACTGAACGGCGACCAGTTCTTTGCACAAAAGTTGATAATTCACCTCGCCCAGCCTATATTATTCTCGGACAAGGTGCGGCCATGCCTGCGTCTTTCTATGCTGGCTGGAATCGCGGTCATATTGCGACAACTGTTCCTGTTCAAGGTTCACAATTTGCTAATCGAGCTGCTGTTGATGCTTATTGTGCACAATCATTTGGGTAAAATACGATATCTATTGATTCACTGTAGAATATATGTCATGAACTGTCGTTTTCGATTTTAGTACTGGTTGGAACGTTGCACAATTCCATGATGGTATGTTCATCTCAGGTATGAATGGAACAACATATTCAGGTGCTAGTTGGACGAACAACGCTAAGAATCAACAGTCGGGTGGTTGGCACTATTATTCGTACGGCGATGTCCGAAACGATATTCGATTCTGGGTGCATATCAGGGATCAACCATCTACTTGTTGGGCACAGTAGATAGTCGACACGTTCCATATCAATAAGACATTTCACCTTTTCTACTAACGCTACTATACTCATTATGTTCTTTTTTAATCCAAAAAAATAAAATCTTTCACGTAGAAATTTGAAATGATCCGTCTGTTTTTTCCGTATCATATAGAATTAAGCTAATGAACACCACAGACTCGCCGTATAACATGCAAGTACATGTCGGTATGCCTATCAATAATCTCTTTTCTTCTTCACATTAGTAGGTTGATCAGCTTATTTCTGTGTGATGACAACACTCAACATACTCTTGTATTTTCCATTTGATAAAACATGTTTTACTGTTGAGAAAACGAATATTCTTATATCACTTCAGACGATGATCGCAATGTTGATTTATTGATTGATTAAATGGTACATTATGTTCACAAATATCTGTCACCCATTGACAAGAAAATATTGATGAACGAATAGACAAACAAATGTTTAGCTCTCGTATGAAATGAGTTGATCTATTAGTCTCCCATTGCGTTATCATTTCAAACAATTAGCGTAACAAATCGGCTCGAGATGTGAAACGATGCTTCCCTTCTCTTTTTCTGTGTCTATTAATCTATCGTATGAGTCTAGCCAATAAAATAGATTCTGTTTTCCACGTTGAAAGATTAGTGGACGAAAAGAAATTCGTGTTCAGAGTTTAAATACGGAGATTACCTAACGTGATAGCCTCATTCAAAGAAAGAAATGGAAGATCATTGCAGTGTCAGTCCATCAAGTGTTACTTCAAGTTATGAAGAAACGGATTTGATATCGGCGAATACTCATGAACAGCTATTCAAGTATAACATTGATCGCTTCTCAATGTTGATATCATTTCTTGCTTTTGTTGTTGATTTAGGGCAGCATTGGTATGTAACTCAATGCGTTCGAAAACATCAGTAGTCCGACACAATTTCAAAAGTATCGAACAACTCCTTTCGCCTACACCTGTTTTTCATGACAAAAACAGTAAGATAAACAAAAGATCTGTCTAAAACGAAGCAACTTATTTTTTTGTAGACGACACCGGTTACGATTCGCTCTTATCTATTTGTTCGCACAATCAATGCGATGATGAGGATGAATTGAAAAATCTTCAACCGAAAATATCGTCTACTCCATACATTAGAAAAGAGACGAAAGTAAAGAAACCTCGTACGGCATTTACCGACGATCAAAAACAGTGCCTCGATCGGTTTTATTCTTTCAATCGTTATCCAGATCCATCCCAAATGGAAACTTTGTCACAATTATTATCACTGGAAGAACGAGTTATTCGTGTCTGGTTTCAAAATAAACGATCGCGGGAAAGAACTTATCCGAAATTTATCTACGATCTCGAATAGAACTCTCCTATTTTATATCATGTTCGCAGTGTATCGTTCATGTTACTTTTTTCGTCATAATAAACGTCAGAATTTCAAGAAACATTTATTCGTTCCACTCATTTTATCAATCTTAGAACAAACCAATGTTCACATATATAAACAGATGTTTCAAATATGTATGTTCATGTTCGCGGTGCTCCATGTGCATCTGGCATACGTTCAATTGTATAACGATGACCATGCAGATACATAATTGGTACACCAGGAATTTTCCGTATGCGTCGTTTCAATTCACGATCACATGTAGCAACAATGTAGCATTTATGCTGTGTGACACGTTGAACAATGCAATCATCAGCATAGGTTCCCTTGTGTGAGCATGGTAAACGTTCAAAGCGAGGATCTTTAGCAATTCGCAATGCGACACGATATTTTGTACCTAGTTTTTCGATTTCGCCCATGACACAATCTGTTATATATGGTGTGCATTTGGCATAGAGACAATCCATCATTGATTGAATGATGTCGAGTTTGACTTTGATAGAGAAGTTGATAAAATTTGTATCGACTAAGATATGATACGGTGGACCTGGAAGATGTAGACGAGTAGGAAATGAGTACAGATGAAAGAGATTGAATACATACCGAGTTGAGTATTGTACCGGAAGAAGAGTGCTGATGTGACTGGTGCAACTTGTTTCTCGATAATCTCTCCAATGTTCTTCTTTTCTTCTTTTTTCTCGTGATTTTTGGGTTTCACACGATCTTTAGCTTTTAATCGCGCATCGGTTAACTTGATCATGCGTTTCATTTCGGCAAAACGTTTCTGACCTTTTGGACGAGTCATGATGGAAACAGTCAAACAATCTAAAACTGATACATATTGTATACTCATTCAGACAAATGCGAATGGTCATTTGACATCGAAAAGCAAACAAAATGGGAAAGCAAACGGAAGAGAAATTTATTCTCCAAAAAAAAGAAAAGCAATTTCGATCATCACTATGTCTTGGTATTTTTATCATCGGCAACATAAGTCAATAGAACATCGCCTTTCTTCACGACTTTACCGACCGCAGCGTTAATCTTTCCGACAATACCATCTTTACTTGCTTTAATAACATGTTCCATTTTCATCGCAGTCATCACTAACAATGGTTGTCCTTTAGTGACTTTTGCACCGTCTTGAACAAGAACTTTATCGATGATGCCCGGCATAGGGGCAACGGGATCACCCGATGCAACAGACGAACCAGCAACACCGCCCATACCCGATGAAGCAAGTTGAGCAAGAAACGATGGTGGATGAATTTTGAAATCAAATGAACTACGACTAACATTCGAATAGAATGTACATGTGTCACCATCGATGTGCATGCGACATCGAAATTGATGACCATCGATGAGAAGAACAAGCTCGTCGTTAACAGGGCGAATCTCTACTGGATATGTTTTATTGTCGTAAGTGATAAGTAAATTTGAACTATTAATACGTTCGATTTCGAACTTATACTCTAAAAAGAAAGTTTTAGAGATAAGACTTTTAGTTGTTGGTGAAGACTTTACCTTTCTTATCGTAGGTTAATGACAACGATTGTTTCTGTAAGAAATTCGGACGAAAGGAACTATTAGCTACTGAAAATAATGTTGGCGCACCGTCTAAAATAACAAAGAGAGAATGGAATTTACAATACACAATTCGAATTCGAACTTGAACTATAATGCGTTTGTTGTTGAGAATTGATAAATGCAGAAGCAGCAGCAACGGCGATAGTTGGCGTTATTTGTTGTAGATGAAATAGAGCATCTTTGTTTTCTTTGATAAAATCAGTGTGTACATTTCCCAATTGAAATTGTTTATTATCGCATAGAGACATTAAGAATGGAATATTCGTTTTCAAGCCACCAATCTAATTTCCAATAAGAGAACAATTCGATCGGAACAATTCAAATGAACTTACATAGTACTGCTGTAGGGCATTACGAAGTTTTTGTAGAGCGCTTGTGCGATTCGTTGACCAAGCGACTAGTTTGGCAATCATCGGATCGTAATGTACAGATACTTCATCACCTTCAACGACACCAGTTTCAACACGAATTTTGCCGTCTTCACCTGTTGGAGGTGTTCGAAGATAAGTCAATCGACCACTACCAGGCATGAATTCGTTTTCTGGCTCTTCAGCATAGATACGCGCTTCGAATGCATGACCATTAAGTTTGATCGCCTCTTGCTTCATTGGTAAAACTTCCCCTTGAGCAACTTTGATTTGCCATTCAACAAGATCGGTGCCAGTGATCATCTCGGTGATCGGATGCTCAACTTGTAAACGTGTATTCATTTCCATAAAATAGAAATTCTGATTTTCATCCATGATGAACTCGACAGTTCCTGCACCGACGTAGTTAACTGCACGAGCGGCTTTGACAGCAGCTTCGCCTAGTTTCTTACGTGTTGACCAATCCAAACCCGGCTAAAGGAGAAACCAACGGTCAGTAGAAGTTCTTTCTCTGTTCAATTTTCTTACAGCAGGAGCTTCTTCTATGATTTTTTGATGTCTTCGTTGGACACTACAATCACGTTCAAAAAGATAAACATAATTCTGATGCATATCACCGAACACTTGTACTTCCACGTGACTGAAAGGTGCAAAGTCAAATTTACAAATATTCATTTCGCAATATCTACCGAGGACGTTGAATAAATTTCTCGAGTAAAACTGAATCGTCATTGAACGATTTCTTTGATTCCGACTTGGCTTCGTTCAATTTATCCATAAATTCACTTTCGCGCAATGCGATACGCATACCCTAAAGCAGATTCGTGTCGAGCATTGAGTCGAGTTTCGGAACACATATCGCACTTACTTTTCCTCCACCTCCTCGTACAGCTTTAATCATGATCGGATAGCCGATTTTCTTCGCTTCGCTGATCAGTGTTGCATCTGATTGATCTTCACCATGATAACCAAAAATAACCGGAACATTCGCGTCATGCATAATGATTTTACTTAAATTCTTAATACCCATGTCGCCTAGAACCCATCAAAAGGTGAACAAAAGCAAATAAAACATCAAAGGAACGACTTACGAATTGCATTTGGTGGTGGGCCAATAAATATGAGATTATTTTCTTTACACATCGTACAAAATTCATAGTTTTCAGAGAGAAAGCCATAACCGGGATGAATCGCTTGTGCATTGGTCTTTTTAGCTGCATCGATAATTCTATCTTTACGTAGATAACTTTGCAGAGCTGCTGCTGGACCTATATGAATGGCTTCATCAGCCTGCAACGATCGAAGAACATGGCGAATTACAGAAAATGAAGTTTAGCTTTCGACATACCATTCGAACATGTAGCGAATCTCGATCTGCATCCGAGAAAACAGCAACCGATTGGAGGCCAAGACGTTGCGCAGTGCGAATAACTCGGCAGGCAATTTCGCCACGATTGGCAATAAGAATTTTACTGAAGGTCATCTTAATCGTCTGAGATTTGCTCTTGGATAATAATTATGAGAAAAAGATCATATCTGATAAATAGATAATTATCAATAAATTTTCTCTTTTCTTCTTCTTCAGAATTAAAAAAAAGGAATAGAATGAAAAGAAAACAAGAATATATTCACAGAAAAAAAATTTGCTTTTCCTTCTTTAAAAAAAAGAAACATTGAAATACTTGATTGCACTCACGGATACAAAATAGAGAAAAAAAAGAAAAGCATTGAACACAAAAGAAAGGTAACAGAATAACTATTAAAGTTTCATCGTATCAACTTCTTGATAGATACGATTCGTGGTTGGTTGTTGTTCAATTGTTTCAATAACAGTAGCATATCTTTCGGACAAATCATCACCTATTCCACTGCCAGCTGTCGGTCGAGAATAGTAATGGGATTGAGGATTGGGATGTACTGTACCCGAGGCACTTCCATTGGCTATTTCGGCATAAAGATCACTGCCAGTGGTTGTACCTCGTTCACTATTTACAGATGAATAATAGTTTTCACGCATTTGTTGTTGCTGTTGTTCTTCCATTTGTAAACGTTGAGCGCGGTATTGTAATGATTCACGTGTGATAACTTCATCATAGTGAGGACGACGACTAGAATCATTACTATTTACAATTGGATTTCCGTAGACTTGAGGTAGAAGTGGAGGTAAAGGTGGTGGGGGAGGAGGTGGTGGTGGGTGTTCTGGTGGAGCTTGTGAAGTCATTGTATAACCCGTTAGATGTGAACTTGGAGAAAATATCGCTTGTGGAGATGAGGAACTAAATAGATTGCATGATTAGCGATTGGTAATAATCTTCACTAGACTTACGCCGTCGTCGATGCTGGTGATGAACCTTGTCGAAGAGCAGCAGCAATTGCAGCCGTAGTATTAGGTGTAGTTCGAATGCCACCACTTGCGCCCGTTCGTGTCTTATCAACAGTTGCATAAAGTTGTGTATCATCGTCAAATGACTGTTGTTGTGATCGAATCGGTGTTAGCTTTGTATATCCGCCATACTCCATAGATGCAGTTGAATCTCGATAATCACCGCCGACACGTATTTCACCATCACCTGACGAACCAATGATTTTTTCGTAGTGTGATTCTAATGGAACAATCGAAACGTCAGATGACACTGGAAGAGGTGCTAATGTGACAGTTGTTGTCGTTGGTATCGAAGTTACATTTCCATTATTCGATGAAACACTGTATGTAGCACGATCACGTTTAAGACAACAGCAAAATGAAAGGGTCATAATTTATCGCAGTAAACTAGGCAATCAATTAGTTATCGTTTTTCATAATCGATAAATAAAAAATATTTCATCTAAAATAAACCAATGAGACTTATCAAATAGTTCAAAATAATATTCTTTTTGTCATCGTAAGCGTACCAATACATACAAGTCAACAACAGTGACAGTTTTGCTGATCGCATATCTTTACGTCGAAATAAAACTCCACTAAACAATCATGCAAACGGCTGTTGATCGAACATTGAGCTGAGCGTTTACATGACTCTAGGGTAGATTACATGTCTTCCTATTCAATAGCTAGTCGACAAGTTTCCACCAGGAAGTTATTAAAAGCATCGGATCCCTTCTACTTCCGATGTTCGAATAAGAAAACATTAGCACTTACTATTGGCAAATTTCAATTGCGTGACGAATACGATCGTTTGAGACGTAGATGTATCATTGGCATATTGGATGGAACATTATCCGTTGTCAAGAAGTATAATCTACACTTTTAAATATTCATCTAGAAGAATGTTAGATGGTAAGAAAACATTCCTAAATATGCCTGTTTATTGGTATTGTATAAATAAATAAAGAAAAACGAACAACAACGAAGTTTTCTTTTGACTAATGTCGAGCGACTCGAGTGATTTTGGTTTTTCCACCCTTTTTGCCGTCACCTTGTTCGTCCTGATCACCACCACGTAGTTGAGCATACGGCGGAAAGAAATACAACATGAATCCTTTATAGATCGCATAAAGTGGAATCTGAAAACAACAATGACGTAAATCAATACATACGAACTGAAGATACGTACGGCTGAAAGTAACCACCAGAGATATCGATGGATTAAACTAGCAGATTGTGCAATAACGATTGCAAGTATAATATCTTTTGCATATCTACGCGTAGAAGTTAGATAATTATTTGAATTTCATCGAATATGACACTGATTATTCATACTCGGCGATGCTGCCGTTCAAATTCAAATCTGTGACACTACCACCTGATTTCGATGTTCCACATTGCTTCATAAATGACCAAACGTACCATGCTGCAGCAGACGATATACCAAAGAGAATCTAGGAAACATGAAAATTTTAAATAAGCGATGATTCGAACACATGGTCGTATTTACCAACGAAGTTATTGAAAATCCAGTAATAAAATAAAAGATGAAATGAACAACAAGAAAAACGCCCTAAGAATAATAATCAGACTTCAATTATTGTGAGAAAAAAAAGTAAATATCTTACATTCGCTATCATTAAAATTTTCTTGTAGAATTCAATTGTCTCTACATTTTCTTTGAGAATTTGTGCGTCACCTTTAGTCGCCTGTTTGCCTTTCTTCTGTAAAAAAATGAAAAAATGTCATGACTCGTTTTTTTGTCCAAGATCTTATTTCAATCAATATACCTTTGGACTACTGTTTCCGGCCAACGCAAACATCTGAAATTAGACGAATAAATGATTAGTAAAATTCTTTCGTAACTCTCTTTTGTCAGATGACCCATGGTCTATCTAATAGTGATTGATTTGTTTGCTCTTCGTCGATGCAACGATTTCATCGGTAGAATGTCGACAACAAATAAGCTATTAGTATATATTCTATGCATTACAGAGGGCGCTAGTGATAGGCTGCTTTCTTTATGTGAAACATTGATGAATAGCGAATAGATACAGAAAAAGAAATTTAGCTGTCAAATTCAATCGTTAATGTTTTTGCGTCGCTCTTACAAGATAAAATCATTCTTTCAGGCAACTTTTTCATTGCTTTTCCTTTAATGCCAAAATAATCAAGTTCAATGGTACCGCACGAAACGAGAAGGTCTGCTTTTAATCTATTCTTTGCAATGGAACACGAGCCCCATGCGTATCCGTTCGACCAGAAGAAGACGCCTGTCTTCTCACCAAATTTCATCGTTCGTGTAACAGCTGAATAATGAAAACCTGACCAGGCTAAAAGTGTCGCCCAGCTTGTCATCGAACGTCCATAATGATGTCCACATTCAGGTTCACTGAACGGATTTCGTTTTAAACCATCGAAACGGTCTCGAATACTTTGAACACACTTTAAGCCTTCGTCATTTTGATTTTCATAGATCATATTACATGCAGCTGTATATTCAAAGCCAGTCATTGATTCTGAAAAATATGGAAACGGATATTTCAAACGTCCACGCGGCCATGATGCCATTAGAAGTCCACTTTCATTTCCCAGAACGTACGAACGCATGTTATTGAAATGTTCATTGAATGTATCGAGATAATTATATTTCAAAATACTTCGACACGTCATACCAACGTTTTCAGGTTTACCAAGGTAACCCAAATGACATACATGTGCCATCATTTGACCGACCAATTGATCAACAAGGCAGCCTTTGCCGAGTTGATAATCGGGAACATTCGGATCATCGTCCGGAATGAACTTTCCGGTTTTAGGATCAATTATTTTTTGTTCATAATATTCTCCATTGAATAAGTTACCATCGACCCATGCACTACCATTTGCGAATAGATATGCACATTTACTAGCAAACGTGCTATCACCAACATAGGATGCCATCATATAGGCAGCACGAAGAGCGCCTAAATACCAGAAGTTGCACTGAGGGTTTGGACCTAAAAGTAGTTGCTAGTAGTGTTAATTGTAAATGCTTAGGTGCATTATTGTTACCATAGTATGTCACATCCATAGTATTTGGTTGAGCACCTTCTTCGACACCGTCTTGATCAGCATCCCAACTTTTCGGTTGCCATGCGCAACCTAGAACTTTTTTGACTAATTCCCAATTTTTCTTCAAGAATTCATCATCACCAGAAAGCTATGAACAGGTAGAGAAGTCAGTGAATTCTGCTTATTTTCATTACTTACTTGCCAGTCACGATACATTTTCATTACACAGCCCATCTGTCCATCCTACACCGTAAGCCAATCACAATACTCTCGATTTCTAATTCTCAAAATTTTCATCTTACTGCTGCAGTTCCAGTTCGTGTTTGCGGATTAGTCAATGGAAGTTGCACCCGAAAATTCATTGCCCCATCATCTTTAAACGTCGCATAATTCAACTCTACGTCTCGCATAGTTTTCGCAAGTTCACCAAAAAGAAATCCAACAGCTTGTTCATAATTCCACACATGTGTACACGACCCATAACACGAACCAAATATATCGAAAATTCCCTCCCACGCCATTAAATGTCCATCCGCAACACGAAAAACAGTCTGTGACCGAAGTGTTGCCAAATTAAATAATGCCGCTTCTTTCAACACACCTGGGTAATCACTTGCCAGAACCAGGTTGACAAAATCTAGCGTATTCGATTCCAAATCGGGAAGTAAAGGTATTGTTCTGACACATACGTCCCATGCGTCCTTGTACACTGTGGAATAGTAATTACCAACAATAGTTGATGACCAAGCCATTCGATTAGGAAAATTCCAGGTGATAAAAAATGGATAAAGTTCAGTTGCACCCGGTGCAATTTGCTTTTTCAACGCTAAACTTGCCATTGGATTATCATCAACTAGTTGCCCTTTATCATGTAATGTGCCATCAGCGCTAAACTTTACAAAAGAAGAGAGTATAATCAATCGAGAAAATCTCGATGTCGAATATTCCATACTTACATCATCCCAAAAATCGAGAATAGCATGATACCAGGCATTGTCAACGGATGACAAGCGATAAGTAACATTTACATCGGGTGAATCGGCTAATGTTGTTAATGCGATTGTTCCCCATGCGGGATCTTTTGGATCAACATTTGTCGAGTTCATATAAATACCTTTCAATTTCCCTTGTAAATCTTCTCGATACACATTCGTGTTCTTTTTCGCACCTGTCGGAACATAATCACCGTCCCAGGCAATAAAATATTTACTTCCATCTTGTCCAACAAAGTTCCTCATCGATCCACATACACTGACATCTAACACTTCATTCGTGATATTTCTCACTTCGTAGTAAAGAATAGCTATCGGAATACCACTGGATTCAGCATCCGTGGGGATGAACGGATTAAAACCTTTGATAGAAACTCGAACCTATGCAAGACATCTCTTCTATTTGAAAGCAAAAAGAAATTTTCATGTCTATACGCACGGGCATCTTCTGATCGGAAAGGTTAACGATTCCAAACGGATATGCAGCATCAAATGATGCTTGTTCAAATCGTGGTAAGCCATGATTATTACAAGCGCGTCCTTCATAATGCAAATGTTCTGTCGGATGAACAGGACCGATTAACGCTTTAGTCATTTTCGTTGATGTTGATGATTGATTAACAAAAATGGAAAAGAAGGGCGCATCATTACCAATCGTCACTGTACTAAACTTTTTCGCTGGCTTATTAGCAATTTCCCAATCGCGTAGTTCACCTCGTCCACCTAGACTAACCGTACCTGTACCAATACCACCCAGGGGAAGAGCGATATTGTACAAATGATCTTGATCGTAGTGCTTCAATATCGGCCATGCTTGACTAAGATTTTGTGTTAACAATGAACACATAACTAGAAGAATAGAAATAGTATCCACCCATCTTTTTTGTATTCGGTAGCTTTTTATAGCAACAAGATAGATAAGTTTATCTAAATGTTTATTGTCTTTTGTATAGGTAGATAACACACATACACTCGAACTGTATATATATATATATTACAAGCGAGAAAATAAAAGTTCGTTAAATAGAGGATGCATCACATATTAAAAGATATTAGAAACTTGCTAATGCTATTGATTGTCTTGTTCGTCTTCTAAAGAACAAAAAAAAAAAACAACAACGGATGAAGTTAGCGATAGATTTATTTATGTATAAATACCATTCTCATTATCACTCGTGGAATTATCGTTATTTATCAGTGCACCAGTTGAATCATCTTCGGTAATAGATAGACGATTGATTTCCGGCATTTGTAACAACTAGAAAGGAGAATCAGTGTTGTTACCACTCAGAAATAACTCACTGAAATATTGCTCTCGATAGGCGATGGTGGTATATCAGATTTGATCAAAACAACATCTTCATTATCACTCGTATGACTGTCATCGTCTTCCTCATCTTCTTCAGTGTCAATACGAACGATCGAAGGCTGAGAATGTGTTATCGGCTCGATTTTCCTAATGAAAAACAGGAATCACCTGCATATCAATCGATTTTAATCAATTCCATTACTTGTAGTAATCCAAAACAACTTGTCGAATTCGGTCAGTAAGCTCCAAGACTTTATGAAATGCCAATTTCTTGCAATGTTCGACTTGCTCTCTTTTCAAACCCAACTTTCCTCCCATATGAATGCCGCATATTTCCTTATGTTGATTCATTGAGATCGAAACAAATCCGTCCATGAAACGTTCTTCGTCGCAATGCGGATCAATCAGAGTGAACCGTCTGAAAATCGAAATGTGCTCAGCCATTTTCGGATTCTATCGAGCAACTTTACCCGTCGATAAAGAACGCAAACAGAACATTTATGGGAAAGTGAAGAATACGTAGTGGACGTGGTCGACGTTCGACGGATGAATACTATTAAACAGAAAATTCATGTCAAGATTGGTAGACAATCATCGTAACGAAACAAACCACACGGATGTCCGAACCATGTACAGACACTTCGGGTAAACTAAATCAGTGACATTATTGAGAATGAAGAGAAAAAAATCTCTTCGTGTTCATACCGATAATGATACAACGAACAAAGTGTTGCTATATTAGCACAGTCAAGAATATTTCCACAGTTGTTTAGTACAGTAAGATCGATTTTGATTGACCAAACCTTTAAATGAAAGAATGAAAACAAATTTTTCTGTAAGAAATATCGATTATACTAGTTCTCCAGCATTAATACACAAAGACTCTAAATCGACACAATTTGACTGGCGAATATTTTGTTCGAGAATGCCATTTAGTTCTTGTACAAATTCCTGATGTCTTCATGGCAAAGAAGAGTATTTCTTCAACATCGAATTGTTCATTCTTACTTCCAATTTTCGAGATTAATCAATGGAATTTTCGACATATCAAGATGAATGCGAATGTTTCCTTCCGACGCTCGCGATTCTTTCGGTTTAGTGATTCGACACGATGCTTGAGCAATCACACTAAACAATCTCATTCGTATCGAAGAATACATGCTTTCCAAAAAGAGCTTACTGCGTTTGACCGAGAGTGACCGAAACATAGCCAGGATGCGAACGAAAGTCAATATTAACTGACCGAGTTTCATCAATCGTCCGACAATCCAAACGCTGAGCGAGAGAGAGATAGAAATTCAACCACTCCTCGACATCCAATCTACTCACTTTTCGATCTCGAATACATTTCAGTATCACACCTCGTTCAATAGTTGAACAAATAAATTCTTTCATCTAAAGAACGAAAAATATCTCGAGCATAGTTTGCTTTTCTTATCAGACAATGGATTATTTCATCATTAACATATTAAAATACAATAAAAAAATAAATAAACATGGTTTCAACAAAAATGACTATTTCAAATATCGAAGAAAGACAAATTCTATTTGGAAGCTTTCAATTCTTTATCGATCTGATCGAAGAGTTCTTTGAATTTTTCCCACTGGTCACCAGCCAAACTGATACCTAAAGAGTATTTCGGTGAAATTTTGTCATCAAACGAACATCTCCTACCTTTTCTGCCAGGTTTTCGTATACCGTTATCATCATAATATTCACGAATGTTAACATAGGGTTTACCTCGAAATTGACTGACCGACACAAAACGTAATTTGCCAATCTAGGAATAGATCAGAATTCTTAACAATAACGAGCAAGAAGTTTTATTTACTTCATAAAGTCGTTCACCATTGGGACCAGTCGTTGAAGGCACTGTTGTATCCTCCTCATTTGGTTTGGCTCGTTTTGCTGGGGGCTGGAAAACTCTTCTTAAGAAAGAATTGCATATCAGATGGATTGACTTACTTCATTTTCGCCATTGGACTTCTTTCCCTTAGACTTTTTCGATGGCTCTTCGTCACTAGTTGACTTGTTGTCGTTATTCGAACTTTTTGATTCTTCAGAATCGGAATCTTCCAGGCGTTCCTTCGATTTCGGCATTGTCTGTTCTGTACAATAAATGTCAATCTGAAATTGAAATATAAACAAAAGAACTGTTCATTTTCTTTGAAATTCAATAACCAGCAATCGTTCAATTAACGTTCGTCGTTTAAGAACAATCTCCGCATTCAATCCATACTGATCACTTAACTCACTCAACATATCAAAATCATTTTCTTCCAACGCTACCATATAGAATAAGCCTTTCGGTGATAGTAATCGACTTGCTTGTTCGATTGATCTTTGAATTACTTCGGTACCTTGCTCTCCGCCTGCAAACGTTCGATCGATCATTTCTTCCACATTTGCTGTCTCAGTTGGAACGTAAGGTGGGTTAAAAAGTAACAGATCAACCTTCGCGGTCAAACGGTCAATTAATGGATCAGCTAAATTACATTGTACGAGGTTTAAACACTGCTTGTCATCGACATGATTATGCTGAAATGTTCGTTTCGTTGAATAACACGCATGTGGATTCATATCAATAGCGAAAAACAAAGATGGCGATTGACAAAAATGTTTAGCCACAAAAGTTGTCGCGATTCCCGAGCCGGAGCCAAATTCTAAGATAATGAACGGGTTCCGTTCCTGAATCTTCTTGAACTTCGATTCCAGTGCGTCAAGAAGGAGAAACGAATCGGCATCAGGTTCATAGATTCGGCTATAATCATCTCGTGTAAAGTGAAGTAAACTAGGCGTCGGAAACATTTTTCAAAAGAGAAAAATGAACGATGCCTTTATTTATTGACTGGAATCCACGTTTCACCCATACGTCGATTATGAAACATCGTTTTCAATAGATGTCAGCCGTTCTTTTCATACTCAAGTGTCGTCCGAATGTTTCGAGATATTCTCTTTCGTTCTAGTGTCTAATTCATCATCGATCGGAAACGAAAAACAATCTCACACCTTGTTAGCGATCACACGTTCGTGAAGTGTATACTCCAATGTCTGATTTATTTTCCTCCATCGTTTTTATGTGGCCATCTTATTGACAAGTAAAATGAATTAAGCAACACCTTTTCGACAATAGCAAGCACAGTCAGTGGTCACCCCTGTTCACATGTATATCATTGAGTCTCACCCTTCATACTTAAGGTTTCTTAATCAAACTTTTTTGTATTCCATGTTGATGATGGCAAGGTTTCCTTTGAACATGTGTACATATGCCGCATGTCGACTGAGATTGCTTGTCGTATGGATACGACATGAAGCTGTTATACGTATTCAATATTGATTCAGTTCTCTCGCGTTTATTTTGACATTGGAGAGCGATGAGAGAAGGATTAACTGGGTGGATGATTAGTATTTTTGACTTTAATACAAAGAAAAAAATAAAATAGAAAGAACGATAGGAGCTGCCAATTGACAGGAAACAGAGACGAAAGAAACGCGCGCGCACATTCAAGTTGACATTTCCGTTCATGTACATTTATTCAGCTGTCTGAAATTCCGTCGTTACTCAGCATGAGATCGCCACATCACGTCAAGACATCCTTTTGGATTTTTTTTTCAAAAAAAAAGAAATTCAAGAAAACAACAAGAAAAGCTGAATATAGACTGACAAAAGGCAAAGGAGATGAAAAAAGAAAGCAACGACTGTTATACACACGCGTACACCCACACACACACACACACACACATATTTATATATAAAATGAATTAATTCCACGAATGATCAGTAAACGCATTTCCGCCAGTTGCGATCACGGACGATGCTAACGGCGGTGTACTACTAAAACGTTGTTGTAGGTCGTCTGAATCACCTGCCGACGAATCAGGCACTGTGCCTGATTCGGGATGCATTGCATATGATAGATCTAAATAATCGAAGTCGAATAGAAATGAACTTTCTTTCGATATGTTTCTTTTCTTACCACCAGTTGGTCCATAATTAAGTCTTTGATGTAATTCTTGTTGCATCATAAAATCATTATAGTTCTGTGTCGACGGTGGCGGTGGTGGAGGTCGCTGGTACATAAAATCGCCTTGAAATCCATCTGATGGAACGGACATAAGCAATTTCCTTCATCAAGTTTGTCACGCAGAAAATAAAATCTCCTTACCTGGTAAATAGTTCAAACCTGGATGAGGCATCATTTCATCGTCAAATGGTCGACCGGATGTAACACGTCGATAATAGTGTCGTCGTGATCCACCACATGTGATCGATTGTTTGATACGTCGCTCTTTCGAACGACGATTCTGAAACCATACTTGAATGACACGCATAGCGAGTCCAGTTTCACGTGCCAATTCTTCACGGATATGTCGCGTCGGTTTCGGGGTTGCTGCGAATGCTGATTTCAATTGTTCGAGTTGTTTCGTCTTGATTGTCGTGCGTGGTCCACGTTTTTTCGGTCCATTTGAATTACCATTATCATTTTGATCTAAATTAGATTTTTTCTGATGATATGACGATGATGAACAAGTACTTGATGAATTGTTATTATTATTTGTATTAGTTAAACATATTTGATCATCATCTTTGCAATCTAATGAACAATCCGACATTTGCGTATCACCATCATCTTCTTTCAAACAATCCGACGAGCTAAGATTCGAGTTTGGCGTCGATGTCGATGGTTGTATGGTCTGTGATTTGAACGACGAATTTTCCTTATCATAATCATGTTCACTTTTGATTTTGTGATCATTTTCATATTCATCTTGACATTTCATTCGAGCAGCGAAATCTTCTTTGCACATGAAACGATTATCATGTGTCAAATGTATTTCTTCTCCCGTGTTCACTTTACGCAAACATAAACAACATTTATAACAGTCCCAATGATAAAATTGATCCCAAGCACTCAAGTAGTATTCACCTTGACTAATTTCTTGTAAACAACCTGAACAACGACGACACCAGTAACGTCTAGAAGGAAATCATGCATTCGACATATTATGCTCTTCGAAAAAGCATTACCGATAGAAATCTTTGTGACAATAAAGTTTTCCTTCACGTGTGTAACATTTTTCAGTTAACAATTGATCACAATCCACACAGCGTAGACAATGTCCATGCCAAAGACGGTCTAATACTTCATAAATCCATTGATCTTGAATAGCTTCGTGGCAAGCAGCACACACTGAGAACGTCATCTAAATTAATAACTTTTCCTTTTAAAACTTACTAATAGAAGATTAAACTCGTTGACTAATCTTCAAATAAACGAACAAAAGCTTAAGGCATATCAAATTGATTTTTCTTCCCTTTAGAATAGGAAAGCGTTGGATTCTCAAGTTTGCTTTCTTCTTGCAAGAATCTCGCAATCTATCTCATACGTTTGCGTTCATGACTCATTGGGTTCTTTCAAAAATGTATCCTTTTACCAAATGATGAAACGAATATGAATGGTTACGGCTATTTCATGGTTTGATGAGGCATGGAGAAACAAAACAGAACAGACAGAAAGTATTTGCTTGACACATTTCATGCTAGAGAGAAAAAAGAGTAGAGGAGGAGAAGATGAAGACGTGCGATTCGCATACTATACGATAAAATGCGTAAAAAAATATCTGTTTGTTTCTCGATTGACAATTCATTTCGTAAAATACACGTCTCGAGTAGATAAATCTGCTTCATACGCGAAGCCAAGCATTGATTCATTTATTCATTCATTCAGTAACTAGCTACTTGAGTTTCCAATTCTTAACTTCAATGGCTTTTTTTTATATTGACAATCGAATGAGCAAGACAAAAAAGCTCGAGATGTGAAATTGAGAATCACTAGTAGCAAAAAAAATAAACATTTACATCGTGCGATCATCGTATAAGCAAGACAAGAAACTGATGTGAATATGATATAGGACTAAGTCAAGCAAAAGAAGTCGTTTTCTTTCTAGATATTCAGTGTAAGTATACACGCGTATCAATGCTCACTTTAATTCATCAAATGTTGTTTTGATTATGTAGTAAGATGAAGATCTGCAAACAAGATCAGGTAGAGAGAGAGAGAGAAGGTATTGTACGTTACTCTTTGATGAAGAACAAGAAAAAAACACTCTTACTTATACGAAAGAAGGAAAGAAATAAGTTGCTTCTTTTCTTTCTATTGGATGTTAGCATTCTTTTCTCGGTCGTTTGTCGACGAACCGGCTAGAGAGAGAGAGAGGGAGGGAAAGAAAAAGATGCAAGTAAAGAACGATCAAGTATACACAAGAATGATGAGACGAAAAAGAAACCAACCAACCAAATAATAGAGTAAAACAGTTCTCGCTTCTTCAGAGAAGCAAGAAGAAAAAAAGACGAGAGAAGTATGAGGAATTCCACTGACTGAACACAATACATATGAATTTCGTCTTTCTTTTCCTTGTTCTCGAGTCTTGTTACGGTTGAATTCATCAAACGTACATGTCTATCTTCTTCGTTTGACACTCGCGCGTTGTCATATGTACATTTTTAATTATCATCACTAATTTGTATGTTGACCTCCGAATAAAGACAATGATGAATCTGGTTTGTGGTAGAATTGTTTATGACGAGCGCGAGAAAAAAAGTTTGTCTTTCATTAACAGAATGCCAGACATTAGAGACATAAATAAACACAAGAAACTATGTATAAGACTCATCACACTTTGAGTGTTTAATTATTAGTTGCCATTGGGATGGCCATGACAGGTAATACATAGTTAATAAGAAAAAAAAGTCAAATCAAACGCTGTATGGATGAAATTGCAAGTTATCATATACATACACACATATGTTTCGGACATTTACATGAAGAACAAAGACATACTAGAGACAGTGGGCAGAATGACATCAAGTGATAGAACAAGCAAACATTCTCTTTGATTTCGCATTTCTAGTGGTGTTTTTTCTCTAATAGTTTTCTTGTTTATTATGTTAGAATGAAGAAGCATTAGAATCTCGACGCTTATCATGAAAAGAGAGCCTCGAGCTATATGAAATATCTTCATATTAAGAAACATTTGTTAATTATGTTTTCAGATTTTTCTTTTGAAAAAAAAAGAGCACACGAATGATGTAAGATGGCATCTGCCGAAAAGAAAAGTACGAAACAGATGGAGAGATTGAAGACATTCGATTCGAATAATACTCATGTTTGTTCTCGTTCTGTTTTTCGATATCGATTTGATTAATATGAGCTGTTGGTGAGATTAGAAGATTTGAGACAAACAAACTGTTGGTCACCAATACACATGCTGTTGACATTAAAAAAAGAGAGAAGAACGACCGTCTAACACGTTAGAATCAATGATTAAATATTGACTAGAATCAATAGGAACTTGTTCGACAAATTTGATCAAATATCACCAGTGCAGATTTTATCTACCCAATCATTGTTATTTACATCCTGTTCTCCTCGAGATAACATAGTGAAACTTATCAAAGACGCGATTTCCTTATTGCTTCTTTTTGAAAAAAAAAAGAAAGAATCCAGTTGAGTGATGATTGAAGATGGTGCTGTTGATGTCTCATCTATCTCGTTCAGTTGATGATGGTAGTAATAGTAGTCGTAGTTGCTTGAAAATATTTGCTTCATTAATTTTTCAATTAGCCGCACGATGGACACGCTAACATCGTGCGTTCGTTTGTTCGCGTGTGCATGTATACAGATAAGGTTTCTATTGGTGTATTGAATATGTGTGAGAGTGAGCCTAGAGGACATTGTCAGAAGAAAAGAAATAGATTTCTGCTTGAACACGTTTCAAAGAATGAGACAAGATTGTTGTTGAGAAACTTGCATGGCGACGTGTATATTTCAAGTAATTCAATCTGAAGAACAAGCATTCAACAAGAAAATGTCTTCCAGATATTCAAGTCATTTTGTTGCCTATCGGTGTCATCCTAGCACGATAATAGAATGTTTCTCGGTTGATCTCTGGTCAGACATGCAACTGTCGAGCAGCACCTCAGAATGTTGTCTTACAAACAAAAGAAGATTCACTCTCTCGAGATCTGATCATTGATTGGAAATGAAGAAAAGAATGTTAACCCATCAGTATCTGAAGTCTAATATGAATTATTAATGAGCAGACACATGTAAGAGCATATGGAAGAAGACAGAGAGTGAGAGAGAGAGAAGAGCAGAAAAGAGCAAGCTTTAACCTAATTTATCCCTATTTCGTTCATTCAATATACGCGTCAGGGTGAACAATCTGCGTCGAGGGATTATATACCAATGATATAGACGAGAGAAAATGCTAATTAAATAAAATAAGCAACTGTATCATTGACTCTCAGCGAGCATAAAGCATCCGTAGAAGAGTAGAAAACTATATACTTATAGGGCATAGTCGGGTACATTAGGGTGTATGAAATATCGTGTGATCGAACGAGCTTCTCGTTCAAGTTATGATGACATGTCCTAAATTATGAAAATTCAAATCCATCGAGTTATGCCCATCTATATGTAACCTATCAGGAGTTCGAAATACAATGCTGTTGTTGTTTTCCTTTTTCAAATTACACCATCCTACGGACTCTGTCAATAGAAAAATATGCTAATTAATAATGGAATTTTATGGGGATTCCTCTTGTTCTGTATAAAACATGTTGAAAAATGCGTAAGAACTTTTCATAAGAAAAAACTACGAACAAATCAACATTATGAATTCAATTTCAATCGGGTGGAAAAGACAAGCAGAAGATCGGGTTAACTTTGGAACAAAAAATGAACATGCTGACCATCGTTCCGTTCGAAAAGTAAGAGGTTCTTTCAGTTGTTGGCCATCATCAAACCGAGGTATTTGATTAGGTCGTACCTAAGAAACAACAAAAAACGGTGAAAACTGTTGAAACGACTCGCCGAGGACCGATTTTGCCAATAAAACGTTTTTCAAACTCTCGTTCCTATGCTACGTTATCGGCGAATACTTCGGCGACTGAGTATGAAGAAGTCTATATGAAATGATTTTTTAAAATTAAACATCCTTCTAGTGTAAGTGTATACCGTCACAGACGACTTTGCAGCGTTCGAGCAGCAGTTATGACATTTATTATCGTTGTGATAATAATTCTCCTAACTGCTATTTGTCTTGGCATCGTTTTTGGCGTTTTGAAATCTCAGAATTCATCCGGAGATGACAGCAGCAGCAGTAATCTCAATTCATGTATATTCTTTCGAATGATAGATTTGTTAGACTTGTACAAATAAGTTCTTCTTATTTTAGTAAGTACACCGTCTGCAGTATCATATACTAGTAGTATCAGTGTTGGCAATCAAATTGGATTACCATGTTCGGGCTACACAGAAATCAATGATCCAACACGTAGTTCTTCTTATACTGCAAATATCCTCAGTTGTGATAATGGGCCCCTGTTCAATACTACTAATGGCGGATCTTGGATTCGATTTGTTGGTTCTGGAGGAACTACATTAGCTCTATCTCCACCGGATATAAATCGCTGTGGTGCTTATTTACCCATTTGGTACAATAATACATTGTCGATACCGCCCAATACAGTTATAAACGACATTGCGTGTGTATTGGGTTATACAGATACATGTTTGGCGGCGATTGCTATATCTGTGGTATTGTGTTCTTCTGGTAATTACTATGTTTTCTTTTTACCTCCTACCTCTTTTTGTAGCTCACGCTATTGTACTCAGTGATTTCGATTTGTGTATATGACTGTCATATCTTTCTTTTCTAATAAATAGAGTTTGACATAGTTTGAAATAAAAAACTTATACTACTCAGTTGCTGCTTTTGCATTTATACAAACGATCTTCAGTTTCTTTTTTGTCTTCAAAAGTATTTCATAATCACCGAAAAAAATCTGTGCCATTGAAAATTCAACAAACTTTCCCCGCATAGAAAAAGTGCACTTTACTACAGCAGAAACTCAAGAGAAGAAAACAGTTTATTCAATTTTGTTGTATATATTTTTCTTCTAACGTCGAGACGTCGTTTTGCTATTTTCTCCGCCAGCTGTTCTCGATGTTCCAGGCGCGCTCTTTTCGCGCGTAGACAGTGCCATATCATTGTATTTATTTTGTTCTTGAAGAGCTTTACGTTCTAAATGTTTGACTTGTTCTGCAGCACGTTGTTTCAGTTCTTCGCGTGTTAATGGTTTCAGTTCGTCATCGCCCCGATCATCACGATCGTCAGGATCACGACGATCATCACTATACAAAATTTTCAACATAATAATTCATCTTAATCGAATTCAACTATCTTACGTGTTCGGAAGATGAAGATTGTATTGAGTGACCGGAGCAGCTGGGCCATCGCCGATCAAATTGGGAGCACGCTCACGTAACGGCATATTTTGTTCCTAGATGCAAATGAAAATCGATCCTTCCAGCATGAATGAACCCTTTTTATTACTTTGGCGTTGATCATCGCTTGAGCAGTGAGTAGTTCATTTGTTCTTTCTTCGATAATACCCAAATATTTTGAGATGTTTTCTTCAGTTACACCTTCATGGCTTTGCAGTGAACTGTCGATTTGTCGACGATCGCAACCAATCTTTTTAAATAAGGAATCCACGCCTGTTTCATACGAAGAAATGTACATAGTCGAACAACGGAGATCGGCACTCTGAAAATGTTACCTGTTCGACATTGATCGAGAGTTTTCTTTGTCGTTTGAGTTTTATCTTCATAATCTTGACCTGTAGTATCTGCTTGCGCACGCTTACGTTCGATTTTCGCTAACAGATTCTGTCGTTGAGACTCCAATTCCACGCCTTGTGATTCGAAATGACGAATTTCTCTCTTGGTATCCGAAATTTGTTCTTGTAATGTTTCCACTCGACTATTTAATTCGTTAACATAGTTGAATAAAGCAAAGTTTTTGTCTTCCACTAAAGTAGAAAAGTGTAGATTTTCATTTTCGTTGAAAAGCACTATCGAACCTTCAATGAACTTATCGACAAGTTTCTCGAGATTTGGTTCATGACTAATTTCTTGAATTTGTTTGAATTTACTCTCGTACGCTTCGATAGAATGTTCTTCTTTTTCCTTACGACGTTTCTCTGCCGCTTCCGCTTCTAGAAATCAATCAATGACATTCCTTCACTTATTCATTCATTCACCAATGCACTTATACAACCTCGTCGTTTTCTGTACGTCACTAATTCTTCGTCTTCGGGTCGTTCTTGCGATTTCAATTTCATGAAATCACGCAGTTTACGATCGTGAGAAATTTGGCGTTCAAGTTCGCGCATTTCAGCTTCCGATGCCGCCTTGTCTGTTTCAGCCTTATCTGAAAATGAAGGACACTCGGTAAACTCGCCGCTCTACAAGAGTGGCACACGCACTTTGCAGGATGATCGCTTTGGTATTGGCATCTTTGCTAAAGACAATACCGGAAAGAGAAATTATGTATGAAATCACAGTGAAATTGATGGTTACCGTTGGTCGTAAGCAGTGACTGACTTTTCAATAGATGAAACTAATTGGGCACGCAATTCTTTCAGTTCATTTTCCGATTTTTGAGAGAGATTTTCAAAGCGTTCGCGTTCGTTTCGGAGATTGTCGATTTCGGAACGCAGCAAACTATTGGTCGTCAAAAGGGAATTGAATCGTTGCAGAGCCTGAAAGAAAAGTTGAAATGCATAAGAAGATTTGTCAATAAACATGCGTACCGTTTCTAATCGATTTTCGAGAACACGTTCTTGTTTCCGAACGTTAGCTGTGAAATTGGTGGACGCATGTGCACCGCCCGTTTCCGACAGTTTTTGCCGAATCTTCTTTTCCCATTCGCGCAATTCTTTATCTAATCTACCTGATTCGTCTTGTTCATTTCGAATATCCATCTTAATTTGATCTAAACGAAACTAATCTCATTCGATTCACTCCATGGAATCATTCCGAACCTTTAGTTTGAACAAGTTCATGCAGCTTTTTCGTTTTCTCTTCATCACGTTTCTGATTTTCTAGACTCTCAGCTAATTTATAAACTTTGTCCAATTCATCACGTTCTCTTGTTAATTGTTGCAAAGTTTTACTACAAAAGAACAACAAATGGCTTCCACTAATTGGAAATGATCGATTTCTCTTACTTTTGCGTGCGTAGTTGATCCTTCTTCTCGATCGTATATTCACGTTGGTCTTCGCGTGCGTGTCGATAACTATTTTGTAATTTAGCATGTTGGCTTTCTTGAAATTCCTCGTCGGAATCTTCGGATGCTAATCGACCAGCCATTACTTACTATGTTAAAGAAAGAGAAAGCTTTCTAACGAGCGAGACAAAAGAGAATAATAATAACAACACAGTCACCTTAGTGACATAATTCACAGTGAAACGATGGCAACTCCTCTATTATGTGTAAGTTATAATCTATTACATGGAGAGAAAGTGAATTTTTCGAGCAGATAAGTTCAAGTACTCATCGATAACACGATTCAATGGACTAATTGTACGACTGCTGATTTACTCATTGAATGCTGATATCGTTTATTGAAAAGAAATATATATGTATGAACAATTATTAATTATAATAACAACATGAATAACACATTTTAAAGAGGTTTTTACGAGTAATTATAAGAAGGTGAATCGTACAACTGTGTTTTACTTTTCTATTCAAGTCAAATAATAGAGAGTACAAGAATTGCATTGAAAAGAAAGAATTCCTTGAATTAAAAGTCTTCATCGTCATTGTTATATGTTCCTCGTTGCTGCGGAGCTGGTCTCGGTCTCCTTTGGCCGCTGGCACTTGGCGGTCGACGGCCAATGTTTCCGCCACCTCTTCGTCTTGAATCCACACCCATCTCAACTTCCTCGTCGTCATCATCGTCGTCACCACCATCCATCCGACCGTTGCCTCTACCTCTGCCTCTCTCATCTTCATCGTCACTAAGGTCAGCGGTCATACCGCCGTAAGGTGGACCTTTTGTTCCATTTTCTACAAAAAAAAGATATTCTTAGCCATACAGAACACATTTCAGTGCGAGGAAAAAACTACATACCCATTCGATTTCCTCGAGGAGGCGGTCGCCGGCTCATGGCTTCACCTTCTTCCGAATCGTTATCACTAAGACAAGAAAACGCTGATATCTGGTTCTTACGCTAAAATAACTCACTCATCATCATCGTCGTCATCATCATCGGAATCTTCTTCGTCTTCTTCTTCATCACTACGCACACCAATTTCGTCATTAGGATCTTGTAATTGCCTATTAAATCTCTGTTGATCCTGCTCTGTCAATTGCGAGTTCATTGCTTGCATGTATTGACGAGAAACTTCCTACGAATAACAAACAACGTCTGACGATATTCAAGTAGATCAGGTTTTACCTGAACTTTTTCCCGTTGATTTCGGAAATGTCCTTCCAGTTCCTTTTCCAGATAGGATAGTATACGAAATTTAAGAACATAATTCGAATATAATTCATTAAGCTCTGTTTCAAATTTCTCGAAATCATTCATAAATGATGGTCTAAATACAGAAACGATAGTAAAAAGTGAGAAACTAGTTTGTCTCTCGTTTACCTAACACTCTTCAACATGTCGAGTCGACGTTGGTGCCGATCTTTTTCTTCCATTCGTTTCGCGATCTTTTCATCCAATGCCACTTCATCCGTTTGAACATTTTCAATCAATTTTGTGAATTTATTCGATTCACGCTGTAATCAGAAGGAACTTTGCGTACAAAAATCTTTTCTTTTTTTTTTCTACATACTTTCGAAGCATTTTCTGCTTCACGAATGCCTTCACGAACTTCAGATAATTCTGTTCCTCGGCTCATTACTTCCAAACGTGCTTCCTAGAAATTGAATTTTCCACCTTCGACATCGATTGCCAGTTTTCTCTTACTCGTGCGTCAATCTCTTTTCCGAGTAATTCATGCAGATTGGCACCTTTTTGCGTAATAGTTGAACACAATTGCCGTGCATTTTTTAATATTCCAATCTGGAAAGAAAAACAACGAAAGGTGTTCCACCGAATATCAAGAGTTTGTTCAGATAAGTCTTACGTCATCATTCATAGCGTAACGATATTGCTGATCGATGTCGTCTTCATCTTCCAATTCTTTACTTTCACTCTCGCGCAACGATTGATAAAGGGGTGTTATAACTTTGAGAATCTCTTTGACAGCATATCCATCTGCTTGGTAGAGTTTTTTTGTGTTCAACTTCAAGTGTGCTTTTGTCGCCTGTGTAATAAAGAAAAATCTCTTAGAACCATAAGTCTATTCTCAATTCATTTAACTTACAATCGTTTGAGCAACAGTACGAATAAATATTACACGATCTTGCTCACGTTCGATACTAGTTGAAACATCTGCTAGTGGATCGTATCTAAACGGAAGGTGAAAATGATGGGGTTGGTCATGAACCATTCTAATGAGGTGTATACTGTTTAACAAGCCAAGCCATCAATTCTGCTACGAGCGGAAAATTTGGTTGACGAAAATTTTCCATTGATATCAACCGCGGATAGGAGAGAACGCGAGCCATCTCACAAAGATCTAGGAGTTTCATGTGAAATCAATTTCTGCGAAGAGCAATCAATTCGAATCAGGTTACTTACGACTAATATCTCGATAAGTCATTGCAAATTATTGAGAGAAATGTATCTGAGTAAGGAGGAACTAATAATGAATATCAATGAACTCCCATAATTTGATTCGTTTGCAATAAGGTCGCCTAGTGACAGAAGAACGATAGAGGGCGTGCGCGCATACATACAATGTACTTCGCATCCGATTTCATTACTTTGAAAAAGATCCAACAATAGTCACATGAATAAATTCATGCAAATTAATGTTTTTCTACAACTTCTTCATAAATAAAACGTCAGAAATCATTCAAATTCTCCAGTGCGTCTGCACTCATTCATACAAAAAACATATCGAGTCTCTCAACTACCGCACAAATTGATGTTTACAAACGAAAGAAACCAGTATTATTTTCATGTCTCATGTTCTTCCGATTAACTATAGCAACGTGAGCTGCATTTCATAAACAAAAAACATCGAGACTACAGAAACCAAATCCAGGCTTCGTCCTAGGACACCATTGATATGCAAAAGCCTCCGTTCCAAAGCGAGACTGAATACTTTAGCGATTCATTGCACTAGTATCTCCATGAGACACATATCCTATTTCCTATAAACCAGCTTTCTTTCGGCTGATAAAATCATATTTCCTTTTTTCAGCTACAGAATCTAACTGCATAACTGAAAAGCCAATCAAGATCTTAACTACAGAACCGACAGTAAGAAAAGGTAGATCACACAGAGACACACATGAAAAAAAAGACGCTTGGTTTGTAGGACTGCGACTGGTTTAAGGTGGTTTATTCGACTTTATCACCATCTTGAACTTTGTATTTCGTAATACCAGATTCTTTCATTACGCATATGTGCTCCAAATCTCGAAAGTATTCGTTGTAATCCTGTAATGTAAAGTCAAATCTTCTTAGTCTTGCTTTGCTAGACACAAATTAATCGTCTTACCAACGCATAACCAACAATGAAATGATCAGGTACCTCGAAACCTGAATAATCCGGTTTGAAAATACATTTCTTATCTTTACGCCGTTTGGTAAATAATGAAACAACATGGATCGTCTTGGGATTATATTTTTCCAATTCCTTCTTTAACGCAACCATTGTCACACCTGTGTCAATAATATCTTCGATGATCAACAAATGCTTATTATTTAACGAGCTTAAATCACTGATACCAATGATATCAATGGCATCAGTTGAACGATCGTTGACATAGCTTCGCACACGGATGAATTCTAAACTCATCGGTAAACTGCGATCATTGCGAAGACTAAAATATGTTTGATAAGACAACTCCAACGATAAAATATCTTCCTCCGTACCGATTTTCGTTTTGAATTTTCGAAACCAAATCCGAAAAGAAGCGATAGCCACCTTTGAGTACACACATACAGACTAAACCGAAGAGAAATGATCTTCGAATGAGATCTGAAGTCTAGCCATTACTTAGTTGCTCGGGAATATGAATATGCAAATCCGAGAAAATTCGACTAGCTAATGCTTCGATACGGTCTTGAACAAGACCATACGGAATAAGAACAGATTTCAAATCATCACGATAATGTAATGGCAAACTAGAACGAATAGATATTCCTTTGATCAAATGGCAAAATCAGAAGAATTACTTAAAATAATTCAATGGATATCCTTCGAAAGAATCTTGAATGACCAATGGACTCGATTCGATGTGATGTTGCTCCATATTTTTCGATGAATTAGCCATTGAATACTGCCCAAGAATGAAAAATGATCTATAACATAATAGTGAATAAAACGGCTGATAAGAAAAAAGTACAATCTATTCTGTTGCACACAACCGCGTTATTATATACTCGTCTTGCTTTCTGTTTTATCTTATATGATTCCCAGGCAAGTCAGCACGACAGATAGGATTTAATAAATAAGATTTTTTTTTCTTTTCTTTCTGTATATTGTTTGTTTTCTTGTAATCATATGTAAAAGAGACAGAATCGTGTTTTTTTTTCTTCTTAGTGAACTACACGTAGCGCGGACAAAAGCAAACATAACAGAGCGAATTTTATACATACACACACGTAAAACTAAACAATAATAAGAATTCAAAAGAAAGAAGGAACGTGTCTGTGAAACACTTGGTATCGAAGAACTGAAGACGTGCGAAAGACAGAGAGTAGAATGAAGATTACACATACAAAACACGTACATACACATTCGAGTTGAATTCCATCGTTTGAAAGTGTCATCAAGAGAAAAACTGATTATTTTTTTTTTCTTATTTACTTATGGAAGAAGAAGCGGAAGGGAGAAGAGGAGAAAGAAAGAGAAAAAGGATTTATTTAATTTTCATTAATATCAACATAGCGTTTTATTCGTTTTGGGCTTGTTTCACATGTTGTAGTTTCAAGAATATCATCCTCATCTTCATCATCGTTATCATCAGATAACTGACTGGACAAGCGTCTTGTTGATGTTGAAACTGGCTGTGAATCAACGCGTAAGAGTTCTAAGGAATACAAACAAACAATTCAGATATCAATCTCACAAGACAATGGACAAGTTGTTATTTACCTCGCTTGTAATTCAATAGTTTGCGTCGGAATTTAGCACGTTCAAGCAAAGCATGATTACTACGATAGTCTGTTCGTGCACAACCACTTAGATTTTCGACGACGACCGTAGATAAACTCTCCATATCACCTAAATCATAAAAACTAAGTCATCGATGAAAGGGTGTCTTAGTTAAACGTACGGCTAATAGTAATGATGTTCTGACGTTTTCGTGGCCGAATGTTTTCTTCAGATTCGATATTGAGCCAATCGAGATCACCAAGTGGAAAATCGGGAAGCGTACAAAAGATATCGAATGGATCGTTCAATGGTGGTGGTGGTGGTAGTGGTGGTGGCGGTGGAGCTGAATGAAAAAGATTTGATTAGGCCAAAAATTATCGTTGAATACTTACGAGGAACTATGGGTTGAGGTGTCGGTACTGCAAGCTGTGGCGGAGGAAGAGGTTCATCACCGGGTAATTTGACTACAATCGGAGCTAAAACTTCGACTACACTCGACGTCGAAGGTTCGTCGATGAGAATTTGCTGTTGCTGTGGCGGCGTTGGCTGTGGTGGCGCTTGTGATTGTGTTTGCTGTTGTTGCTTAGACGGATATTGAATGTAAGGAATATCCTCATCTAATTTTAAAAATTTTAGAAATTCACCAGAGCTTCGCAATTGATTGTAAAGAATTACCTTTTTCTTGTTTATAATCATGAACTTTCGTTAGATGTTGCTTCATGCTTGCTTTATTCGACGTTGTATACTGACAATTTTGTAGTACGCACACGTATATAGTTGATGCTTGTTGTTTCTCCGATCGATGTCGTTTGACGTGTGCATGATACGTTGAACGTACGCGAAATTTTTCTTCACAATCTTAACAGAAGACTGCCTACTTTTCTCGGAATGAAAAATGGACAACACTTACCAACATACGGACATTTCATAATCATATTTGGAAAATGTTTCACTCGATGATTTCTCAGCGAATCATTTCTCGCAAATGTTTTCCCACAATTGGGAAATGTACATACAAACGATTGACTTCCGCGTAAATGTACAGTACGAACATGCCGATCGAGATTTGATTGAGAATAAAATGTATCTTTACATCCCTAATCGTACAGAAACATTAGAATGAATCGCACAAAGTTCAATCACTCACTGGATAAGTACATGCAAAATGCTTATCACCTAAATGCGTTAGCATGTGCTTTTTGTACAGTAAACGTTTAGGAAAATCTTGATGACAAATCTGACATGTATTCGATGTATTTGGCAATGTTTTGGGCTTTGTCGAAGCTGCTGGTGGTGAGACCAAACGAACGCGAACTCTGAAACAGAGAGAATACGTTTACCGTCTTTCACACCATTTGGTCTTACTCATTATCGCTGCGGATCGCTGTGACGTTTGGTGTTGATGGACGCGACGAATGAATATGTTTAATATGTAGATTTAAACTCTGATCTTTCTCGAAATTTTCACCACAGATATGGCAACGAAAGGAGGCGGTCGTCTGCGGTGAAGATGGTGGTACGACAAAACATTTGCGAATATGAAAATTGTATTGTTTATCAGCTGTAAATTTTTTCAAACATTTTTTACACTAAAAAATCAATTTTACTAACAGAACATAAGACGTTTTCAAAAGAAATAAACCTGCAAAGACGGACTGTTCATTTCTTCATGGTATGCCAAATGAACACGATAGTTTTGTATCCGTTGAAATTTACTTTTACATATATGACACTACAAAAAACGAGAGATGCTTGTCTGTTCTTTCCGACCGAGTGACTTTTACTTTAAATGGATGCGTGCCAACATGACTGAGAAGATGTCGACGAAATAATTGATCGAGAATACGAGGACTTTCGGTTTCACTGAACGAAGAAAAAAACAGGTCATCGCTCAGCGTAAGTCGAATCTCCCTACCTTTCGATTCTTGCGTTGCAATGTGGCAAAAGACAACGATACGATCGTCGACGAAACACAGATGCTGTTTCAAGCGGTTTCAATGTTAGATCTTGTAAATGTCCACTACCATGCGAAACAAAATCCTCATAAACATCGAACTCAGCTGCACATAGAACACAACGATAAATTCGAGAGAATAACTTATGAATATCATTAATCTAAAATGATCAAATGAATAGTTTCGTCTTTATCTCGAACATTGCTCATACTTTGTTTGCTGTTTGTACATTTGGTTTCGCTGTTGTATCATTCATATTTTGTACAAGTGACGCACATTTGTCTGTTGCATTTGCTTCATTCGATACGACAGTGAACTCAATTCCAAATATGGATATTGTCGAACCATAAAGTTTATTCGGTTGATTATTTTCATCGGGATTATTGTTCACAGTATTGCTTTTTGCAATGACATGTTGCACGGCTGGATTAATATGAACAGTTGGAGTAACATCGGTTTTTCGAACGATATAGACATTTGACGTTGATTGTTCTAGTGGACGTGAGGCGTTACTCAATCGAATGACACGAACAACACGGCGTTGACTCGAAGTTGGGTTTGTTGGGATAGGCGTTGAATCACTACGGCGAATAATACGCACGCATTGAAATGTCGAAGGCGAAGCCGGCACAACTAAGGGTGGTGTAGGAGTATTTTTATTAGTGAATAGATTATCATCGACTGTTGGAGTGTTGGTGGTGATTGTTGACGATGGCATTAAGTTGTTTGTCAGATCTAGACCATCGAGAAATGAAAGACTAGGATCATCTTTAGACTCAGGGAAGAAATCGGTTGTTGATTGAGTGACTTTTATCTGATGGCCATTGCTGGTTGTTGTTTTTGTTGAAGCTGACGGGAAGGACTCATCTTGAAATGCGGTAAATGTTGGTTGAGACGATAGAATCAATGGAGTTGGAGATGAGAACGAATTTCGGCGATATTTTGTTAGTGATAGCGTTGAATTTAGACTACCACGACATAGATTAGCAGTTGATGATGCATGATGTAGATTATATGCAGGATAACTATTTAACATTCTGTGCTAAACTTATTATTCGTATATCTGAAAACAACAGAGAAAAAAACATAAGCATTTATTTTTCAGATTTATTTCTTTTTTTCTTCGATTTTTCTTCAGTAATAGCTGAACTACTTTCAGCTAAAAGTTCTTGTTGGAGTAAACGATGTTTTCGCTTGTTGATCTTTTCTGCTTCGCCAAAATCTTCTTCATCAAGTTGAATTTCCACTTGACTTCGAGTCATGGAGACTTCAACCAGCAATTTTAGCACGTCTTTTTCTTTCACGCGATATTCACTTAATTGTTTACCAACACGATCTTCGATTTTATGCATCAATTTCACGTCATACTGTGTTACGAGCGTTATTGCAGTACCGCAACGTCCTAATAGTTGAAAGTAATGGAGAAAATCAAATAATGCAGACATGAATCAACTTACCTGCACGAGCTGTTCGTCCTACTCGATGCACATATTCTTTTGGTACAAATGGCACGTTGTGATTAATAATTAGATCGACACTGGGAATGTCCAAACCTCTGCAGAAAGAAATGTCAGAACATCAAACAGAAATTCGTTGTTTACCGTGACGCGACATCCGTAGCGAACAAGATTGGAACTTGAAGTGACTTAAACTTTGCCAATGATGCTATTCGTTGTCGTTGTTTCATTAGCGAATGAATTTCTACGGATGGCATGTGAAATTTTCGACACATCATCGAGAGGATCTGACAGTCTCGACATGTATTGGTGAAAACTATCGTTGATTTACTGTATTTCTTCGTTTTACTTCTTCCTTCGTCGTCTTCGTCGTCATCGTTGCTACCGTGATATAACGATAGCAGATGAAAGAGATAGGCGTCCTTGACATTAGCTGGCACCAATAAATAATACTGATCCAATTTATCAGCTGGTTGATGTCTAATGAATAGTGATTGATTTTAGTAAGGACAATTGGAAATTCGAAACTTTCTTACAAAAGATTTCCATCGAAAAGAAATGGTTTGCGTTCGGAGATGGATTGAACTTGTTTAATTGTATCAGTTATGGTTGCACTGAAGAGAAGTGTTTGTCGTTGTTTCGGTAGAATAGAAAAGATCGTTTGCAATTGTTTACCAAAGTTATCTTCCAGCAAACGATCGGCTTCATCGAGTACCTAAGCAAGTACCAATATTGTAAGAATTTGCCTTCTTTAGAAACATATTTTCTTACAAGAAATTTAATCTTACTCAAAGAAAATTCAGTACCGCTCTCAATATGATCAGCAAGTCGACCGGGAGTAGCAATAACAATGTGTGGGCTTTCGCTTAGAGAAGAATTTTGTATCATCATATCTATTGATTAGAAAATTGCATTAGAGATACTAAAATACGATTCATTTACTTACCCATTCCACCGGTAATGACACAATCTTTCAAACCAAGTGGTTTACCAAAAACACGGAATTGATCGGCAATTTGATACGCTAATTCTCTAATGAAACGAATAGTCGTAGGTATAGTTGATTATTTTACAAGAGACTTACCGTGTCGGTGTAAGAACAAGTGCAAAAATACCATAGATATCTTCACTGAGTACATCGAGGATAGGCAAAGCGAACGCTGCTGTTTTACCGGAGCCGGTTTTAGCACATGCTAAAATGTCTTGGCCTGTGGAGAAAATACGAATTATTCGAGGAAAAATGACGACGAGAGATATGTACCTTCGAGAATAGGTTGAATACACGCGTGTTGAACGGGTGTCGGATGCTCAAAACCGAGTAAACGACATTGATCTTTTAGCCATTTCTTCACTGGTAATGAGTCAAACGTGGATGACTCAACATAGTCTTTCCGTAATGACGTTTCTTCTTCACTATCGCTCATATTTCCTCTAAAAATACGACGAAGTAAATGTAAAACGATTCAATGAACACAATATTTTCTTAACAATGAACTAAATAAGTCAGACTGTTTTTTTATTAATTTGATTGTGTCCTGGCCAAATTGATTTATGTGAACTATGTCAATCGATGAGTCCATATATAGTACGAGCGAACGGATAGACCGTACGATGTTTGTTTGGTCGGAAAAGTCCTGTCGTTTAACCTATCAATAGTATAGATGCTCCTCACTAATGACATCTATCGTGGGGAATTAGCTGAAATCGAACTTTTAGCGCTTAGAGACTGAGGAACTAAAAGGAGGTTGAATGCAGCTATGGATTGGCAAATTTCCTCGCAACTGCGTTAGGTTAAATGCACATATCAATTGTAACAGCATTACTTTCATGAGATTTTGATGAAAATTAATCTTAGAATGATACGCGTCACCGTATCCGATTATTTCGAATATCGTATACAGGAATCTTTCCTGACATTTCCAGATACTATTTTAACTACTTTGGTCAAGTATTTGCCCAGATGTACATACTATAATGATAGGAATATCCATAGAGAATCTTACAGATGAGACCATCTATCAATCGAAAGCTGATTTCGAACGAACGAGGACTACTTTCTCCTCCTTCTCGATTATAGAATATCGCATACAGGTATCTATATGACGATTATATTAGCTTTGAACGTTACGAGAGTTCATCAATTATGGTGTGAAATGAAAATGTGTGAGACACATAGTTATAGAATATCGATACATGAATATGATCTTATTGAGAAATTCAAATGTAATAATAGATGCCACCACTGAGGTGGTCGATAAATAGAATTTTACTATTTGTTAAAGATTTTGACCATTTATCACAATATTATTCATTCGTGGTGTGACGCTGATGATGATGAAGTTGCAGATTTTTCAATCAATGACGAAAGAAAGTGGCGCATCTTGTCGATATCAATCGTCATTGATTTATAGCACTCGATATGCATAACTAGAGGAACTAATGCTTCATATGAGCAGGTTTAACCTTGAACCATGTATGAGACTCAATATGTTTTTTGTTACGGATGATATGTCCTGAATATAGTACACAAAAAAGACTCATCCTTGCATAGATCAGTAAGCACGTGATTGTATCGTAGTATACGACATAAAACAGTTACCACTGAGATAGAGTAATCATGAGTGGTTTCATCCAACGTGTAAAGGCGTTATTTTCAAAAACTCCAAAACAAGGCCCAGCTGTTCAACGACAGCCCGTCTATCAACAGCAACCACAGCCACAATCTGCACCTCAACCTCAATATGCGCAACAGCAACCACAGCCACAATTAGCACCTCAACCTCAATATGTGCAACAGCAACCACAGCCACAGTTTGCACCTCAACCTCAATATATGCAACAACCAGTGCAATACATGCAGCAACCAGTGCAATACATGCAGCAACCTCAATATGTACAACATCAACAACAAATGCCGCCGCAGTACATGCAGCAACCAATGCAACAGCCGTCGCCGTTTGGAAATGCTACTCAAATGCCGAATTATTTCGCGCCTTCGCCATCAACGATGGCTCCCAACGATCAAAATTCATCGATACAAGCAAATAATATGACTATCGCGAGTGCTACTGGTATTCCACTTCCGGAAATTGAACGTTTTCGGCACGAATTCAACAACTACGCTAATCGAAATGGTGTCATTGATCGTGACGGTTTTCGAAGACTATTCATCGCATCGTTGCTTAACACGACCTGGCAGGATATTGAACGCGAATCTGAATCTACTTTTCGTCGCTTCGATGTCAATCAGTCAGGCGTTCTCGACTTCAATGAATATATGCAAGCATGTTCACGTATGATTTTGGGAGGGAATCAGCAGCCAACAATGAATCAATACTAAATAAGAAAAATTAAAGTTACATTTCTTTGCCAATCAGTTTTAATCTAATAAACAGAAGACAATAAATAGTTTGTAATAGGTAAACCTGCCAGGATCGTCATCTACACGAATATAGATGGATGGACGGTCCTTCGTTCTTTTCTTCTGGTTGTTTGTTTTTCTTTTCTGGAGGTCAGTTGCTATTTTGTCTTCTTGGTCGAAAAGCAACAAGGACTTTCAATTCTTTTCCCTCTTCGACTCTTCAACAACTTCGGACAAACACCAATTCTAACAAAAACATAATCTTTTATTGTAGATGTCAAATATTGATCACGATGATGACGGTCTCGCTGCATATCGTCATGCATTAACGACTCAAGCTCCAGAAAATTCATCTTCTAAGCAAGACAAACGTACTGAACTACGCTCACGTTTCCTAAATGTTCTTGAATATCTCCAAAAGAATAAAAATATTTCGCCAATAGAACTTGATTTTCATCGCGAATCATCACTAACTGCCACTCATTGTCTTAGTATAGATTCGAACTTCTCGCAAATCTTAGTTCAAGATCTACAAACGTCCATTGGTTCTATGCCAACAGCATTGATTCGAACGAATGATCTGACAGCTATATCATTTACCATTCCATCGTTATGATAACTACAATTGAACAGCAAACTATAACAGCAGCAGCCACTTTGAGCGATAAAACACCATTTGTGGTAGGAGACGTTCATTTTCTTTCTGTTAAGATGTTCTTTTTTCAAAAATAAAATAAGACAAAGTTATACATTTATTATTCGTTTCTATGTAGTATATCGATTCTTGTTTGATTCAATCGACTAACGAAGAAGATGACGAACAGTACGAAGGTTGTTCTTGCTCCATTGAAGATACATGTTTGAATTGTTCATGTGCAACTCGCTTTGGTCTCAATTATGATCCCACACATTGTTTAAATCCCAACAAATCAACTCCGATATTCGAATGTAATTCCGAATGCAAATGTTCACTGGAAACATGTCACAATCGTGTTAGTCAACAAGAAGATCAATCCAACAACGTAACAATCCTTTCAGCATCAAATAAAGGCTACGGTGTTATAGTTAACAAACAGATTCCTCGTTCAGGAACATATATTGGCGAATACGTTGGCGAAGTTGTTTCAGAGAATGAAGCACATCGTCGGATTGCGTTAACAAAAACGTTCGAACATAATTATTTACTACTTTACAATGAGCACCATTTACAAACAATTACAAAAACATTTATTGACGCACGCTATTACGGAAATTGGACACGTTTTATCAACCATAGTTGTGACCCTAACTTACATATCGTCCCGATTCGAGTGGATCGACCAACACCTCCACGTTTAGCATTTTTTACTCGACGAGAAATTCAACCGAATGAAGAATTATCCTACAGTTATGGCACAATCGTCGACGAGAAACTTTCTAAACCCTGCTTTTGTTCCAGTTCAGAGTGCACTGGCTTTATGCCGTATCAGTTAGCTGATTGAACAGAAACTGACGCATCAAATGTGACTTTTTTTTCTTCTGTTGATTGGTTTTAAATCATGTGAATATTCGAGGAAAAAAATGACTTTTCGACCGATAATGAAGCCTGATAATAGATCATGTCAGTACAACATCTAGAACGTGACGACCGTGAAGTGAAGGTCATAATTTGTTTTCTTTTTTTTTGTCTTCTTTTAAATATGATCCAATGTGTTGGCGCACTACAACCGTCATATGATCATAAGAAAGTGATTGGTCTACAAATAACCGCACTATTCTTTTCCTTTTCTCTCGCTCTCTCTTCGTCCGTTCTGCATGTTGACAATTGCAAGAAGAATATTTGTTGTATTTTCATTGCTCTTTCTCATTTTCGTACAGTTACGCACTATTCGATAATACACAACAGGTGAGGTGGACGCAGATATTTGTATATTCATTTCACATCGTAATTTTTTTAGTCACACAATGACGCAAGGCAATTTAAACGAGAACACGTCATCTGACGAGTCATTAAGAGCTGAACAATCAGTACGTCAACTATGGCTCAATGCTGATTGTGTCTGTTTTGATGTTGATTCAACCGTTTGCACTGAGGAAGCTATTGACGAGTTGGCAAAGTTTCAGAAAGTCGGCGCGTTAGTCGAATCTATCACACGTAATGCTATGGGTGGTAACATGAGTTTTCGCACGGCATTGGAGGCTCGTCTTAATCTTATTCGACCAACAACCACGAATTTAGAAGAATTTATTATTCGTTATCCCTCTCAGTTAACCGATGGAATTAGTGAATTGATCAGCATCTTACACGAACGTCAAGTTCCCGTTTATCTAATCACAGGCGGTTTTCATTCAGTTGTTGATCCTGTTGCTACACAGCTGAATATTCCAGTTAAAAATGTATTTGCCAACAAGATATTGTTCAATGCTGATGGTACCTATGCCGGCTTTGATGAAAACGAAATGACCTCTGATTCAGGTGGTAAAGGACTAGTCGTAGAATATCTCAAGAAGAAATATAATTACAAACGTTTGATTATGATTGGTGATGGTGCCACTGATATGGAAGCAAATGCTGATGGCTTTATTGGTTTTGGTGGAAATATCATTCGAGAAAAAGTACGCGAGAGTGCACCATGGTTCGTTAATTCATTCTATGAATTGATTGATGAATTTCGACATGATACAATTGCATCTCGTGTTCCAGCGAATGTTCATCATCAACGTATATCAACTAAGAGATTCTCGACTGAAATAGAAGCTAACTGAACACTTCTCATTAAAAATATGCATTTTGTTCGTCTTTTTTTTTTTGTCGCAGTAGACTCACACGATCTATATATAAATAGTTGTAATAAATTCGTGAACGTGAATGTTTACGAAAAAGAAAAATGAATTAATAACTTGTCCTTGAATAGCAAACTTCCTCTGGCAATTCTTAGTCGACCGACAAGCTCTAAAATAGCACATAGACTGGGACATTGCTCAAGTTCGAAATGCCCTCTAACTCTAACAGCATGAGTGGCTAGGAATCTTACTTGTGTTGTCTTACGGGGTAGAGAAAAGTATGACCAATGCTCTATTATACAATGTATTATTAGTTTGTCAATTCAGCCCTATCACAATTCAATTGATAGATATATTGTTCTATCGATCGTGATTAGTTCGACAACGTAGTACATTTTGTGAGCAAAGGGACACGCTGACCTTAGAAATTGGTGTTTTATGCATCGAAAATCTTCTAAATCGCATAAACGGTTTCAGTCGGACGAACGCGTTCCCAGTAGGTAACAACGATAAGGGTGTTATCATGACTGTACTTTTTGGTATTTTTCAAATAAAAAAAAGTGTACCTGTTACACTCTAGATATCAAAGGTATCTATCTGTTTTTGTCAGTTCGAAAACCGTTTGCATATATAATTAGAGCACGTGATTTTGACGCTCCATTAGTGAAGGTATACAGTACTTAAAGCAGAGCGACCTTTATTTGTTAAAAAGGAATAAAATAGGTTATTTTGTTCACAAAGAGAAAGCAAGACTGAAATAAATATGAAAAATGTTCTGTGAATGATTGTTTATTGAATATGCTGACGTTTGACTAAGCTCAGTTTGCTTTTGAAGTACCGATACGTTGATGAAGGGTGCCCTCGTTCGCAGCATTGTCGTCCAATGGGTGAACACGAGCGTTATTATTTCTCGGGCTTGTTTTTCGTGCCGAGCTCGAGCTACGATCTCGTGGCAAATCGTTGTCATCAGTTGTTGTATGTTTTCTCATCATTCCAGTTTGACGATCACTATTTGCAACAGACACGGTCGAATTTCTTCTGTTTTTCGTTTCTGACAGATGATCTATTTGGCTATTCATCTCGTCTTCTTTCTCGATGATACCAACTTTTGTCCCAATCCAACGGAATTTGGCCACAATCTCTTCTTGCATCAAATCGAAACACATGGCTAAAATAGCCATGCCGAACAGGACGTAAATAGCTCCAAGAATAAGTTTCGCACCGGCATTTGGATCATCATTCTGTTGACCAGGAACCTAAAGAAGCTCATATTCGAAAAAAATTGCCATTCAAAGTTTGCTTTGACTTACAAAATCACCAAAACCAATAGTTGCTAGAAAAGAAAACAAAAGAAGTCATTTTGTTAGCTTTAAACATTTACTCAAATGCCTTACATAATGTAATAAAACAAAAGTATCCAGATTGTATCATTGTCCATCCCTCGAAATTATGAAACAAGGCGGAGCCGATCCAAATGTAGGCAGCAATGATAATCATTGTTACAGTTAATGGTACAGCAACACGATGATTCGATGGCTGTTCATCTTCAACGAAATCGTCATCGTCACCCATGTTATTTATTGGCCCTTTCACTGAATTTTTCTTATTATCATCTTGAGCTGGCCATGAAGTAGGATTTGTACCTACGGCGTTTTCTTCTTCTGCTTTAGCTTTACGTGTCGCAGCACTTCGTCGTTTTATTAACTTGCACGGAGCGCAAATGATCTTCCCATAAATAAAACGAAACATCTCACCGAGAACACCGCTAATATTTGCCACACACAAGAGAAAGATTGGAATACCTATCGTTGCGTAGCAGATACAACACAATTGTCCCTCCCCTAAACAGAATCTTTCTACAGCTATTTTCGATTTCTACACAACTTACACGTCGTCGGTCTAGAAAAAGACAAGAAAACTTCTTAGTTTATCTTCTGGGTTTTCTCATGATTTGACTTACGTTATATTTCCGTAACCAATTGTTGTTATGATTGTAATGGCGAACAATAAGGAGTTTGCATACGTCCATTTGTTTGTTGATAAACAATCATCGCCATAGTAACGATATTTCGTACTTGTCGAGATCACGAAGTTTCGATATGTGTACAACATCGTGTTAATCTTCGCCAGCGCAACTGTAGCATTATCTTTTCCACTTGTCGAACCTGTTGTTGCCGTCGTGTTGTGTTGAATGTAACTGACGATTTGTTGTTTAAGTTTCGTTATTTGAACAACCTGTTCACCATAAGCTTCGAGACAATTGTATTTTTCTTGACGTTCTTCTAGTAGTTGAAAGAGAAATCCACCGGCGACGGCGTAGACCACCACTAAGCCCACTAGACCGATGTGTGAGAAGAGAAATTTGGTTGTCTTTTTTAAACACTGTCGAGTTTTCGATGCTTCTAATTCATCAAGTTCGTGTTGCGGACCATTATTTCTATACCGACCGTATTTGTCATATGACGAACGATCATGCGAACGAATTCCGCTGAACGCAGCCGATGCATCGTGATATGCTAGCATATTTCCTTCTTCTTACAATTCAAGTGAATACTGAAAAATAAATAAAAAAAGAAGAGAGCTCTTTTCTCTCCATTTATATAGGTGCCCAGCATCTATACTCTACCGTTTCCTTCTCTTTTCCCCCTTACTTTTTTTGTCATTCGGCTGCCGTAATATTTTTCTTGTCTTAGGAAAAAAATTGATTTGGATGGAAATGGTTCTTGTCACAAGAGGCCTACCGTTTTTTCCTCTTTATTTTTCATGTTTCTTATTATGGGCACTTCCGCTAATGACGACACTTAGCGATGTGTCGTATGGTATGATAAATTTTTTATTTGTTTTATTGAATTAAATAAAAGAAAAAAAAAGCAAATGGAAAAAAGACTTTTATCGTACATGAATAAAACATTGTTTTTGCTACGGACAATTAAACTGTGTCTGATTTTCAGAAAAGAGATTTAGTTTTCAAAGAAAAATAATTCTCAATTTCAGACATATGGTAAAATTCCAAAACGGCGATGTTTTGTTGAGCAGTAAACAAACAAGAATGCTCGAGCGCTTGGAAAATCTTCGATGAAAGTAGAATAGGACCGATTCAATATGTTATCTCTGGAGAGTTGATTATTCTTCCTAGAGAAGAGAAATGAATTCGGTTGATTAATATAGGTTTTTCCACAGAAAAAGAATTAATGACCATATTCTACTGCGGAATTTTCAAGAAAAAGAAGAAGAACACTATTCTTTGCAATGTCAGAACAAAGTTTTGGAAAGAAGAGAAGCAATTTTTTTCCGCAGTTGAAGTGATTCTTATGTTCAGTTTAAACTTGATCATCGTCACGTTTTCTCGACATCAAACAATAGGCGCTATTGCATTCTGACAGAGGGTCAATTTTTTGGCAGATCATATCACAAGCTCAATAATGAAATTAACACATTCACAAAAACAGAAATTTCATAGTCGATACTTTTCATTTCAATCTTTCACTCGACGCACGTCACGAACCATGAATCATATGAACTAGTATCCACTTTATTGTTGTGATAGTGAGGCAATCAAGTGTGACAACTAATTGTTATTATTACTATTGCAACGTGTACGGTTATTTATATTCTTCTTTACAGGTTAAATTATACAAGGTCTCGTGTATAAATACTTTTGCGTAGTGTCAGATGAAAAAGCTACAACCAACAAGTTTCTGCTTTGAACTATTTCGACAGACACTTTGTTCAGTACCAACGGAAGGCGCCCCCGTCTACGAGCGAATGATTGGTTCATTCCTCTAACATCCTGATTCTACCATGTTAACCGTTCTTCTGCATCGATTCTGGCATTTTCATGACATAAGATGCATATTTGAATGCCTTATGAAAAAATACTTCACGATTTTCTTTCGACAAAGTCAGATGTAATGCTTCATGCTAGATTCACGAAAAATCTTTCGCTGCGTATAGCTTTATTGTTTTCGTCATTCCTTCAAGCACGAATTTCGTGTTCTACATCGTTACATTCATCTTTGATTTCAAGTTCTATGATTTGTTTAGCGATTAACCTGACTGAAGAAGAAATATTCGTTTTTTTTCTCATGCCAAAACGAATCTATTAATTCAACCTTCGTACGATGCACTTTTTTTCTATATTTCTAGAATTCAAAATGTCTCATGATTATCATGCTCATCACAATCATGCAGACATGTCCATTACAACAACAACAACGATGATGACCATGAATCATGCTAATCATATCAGGCCCGCGAAAATCAATTCACCATCGGGTCATAGTGGCCATGGTTCACATACGAAAGATATGATGATGATGGCAGTGAGTATTGGATTTAAACCGTTCTAGTTGAATAGAATAGGCATTGTTATTAGCGAACAAAGAATGTGTTGTTCTGCGTACTAAATAGTTTTTAATAGAAATCATCAGGAAATCAACGACTTCTTCTATTCTTTTTCGTATGTTTGACTGATTAATAAATAATAATGTCCTTCGCAGCAAGGGGTGAAAGTTTTGAAGCCATAAAACTTATCTAAATATTCAACTTATAAAAGAGAAGAGCAGGAAAACGAGTTGTTGACTCACTTTCTATCGAGTTTTTGTTAATCAAACAAGCCAACTCGGCGAAATACTACGTTCGGAATATTCACAATCGTGCGTTCATGTCTTCTCGCTTATTTTTTTCCACAGATGACCTTTCATGGTGGCTATACGGAACAAATTCTGTTCGATCAGTGGAACACGAAATCAGTTGCTGGTAACTGATCTTATAATAAAATAAAAGAAGATCATACTTAATCGTCTTTCTTTGCAGCCTTTGTCGGATCTTGGTTTGTAATATTTTTTGTTGCGGTACTCTACGAAGGATTAAAAACCGTACGAGATCATCTAGCCAAACGTGAAATACGTCGGCATCCGTCCGATGAAGATAATCGTCAATCACCGCTGTAAGTCTTGCTTAGTTCATCGAAAGTGTGCTTTAGTATTTCTCTACCTACCATTGATTGTTTGTTCTTTTCTTGATGATTCTCACTCTAGTGTACGTCAGCATGATCAACAGAATGATCGTTCTAACAATAATGATTTACTACCACGAGTTAGAACAACAGATAACCGTACTAAACGGTGAGCACTATTTGATTAGTCATACTGAATTTCATCAAATCGAACTTTACTTTTATCTCTTTCTCCTATATTTTTAGCGCTCGACTTTTGAGTACTTACCACATCATTCAAACTTTGTTGCATATTCTTCAAATGGGTATCAGTTATTTACTAATGCTGATAGCAATGACATTCAATGTTTATCTATTCCTTGCGGTTATCCTCGGCGCTGGCTTAGGCCATTTCCTATTCGGCTGGCGCCGCTCGACCGTTATCGATTATAACGAGCATTGCCATTAAAAACAAGTGGATTGAATAATAACAACAAGGCCTTGGTTTAGATTTCTTTTTGATGTTGTGAACTGTTTTCCAATAGATGTTTCATTTTGAAGCGATTGATTTCAAATCAAAAGAGAAACAAATTTACTTACAGATCTGTCATCTCATTTATCTACTTCCCACCACTATTCGTTGTTGTTTTACTATTGTCACACACATATACTATTTTTCTTGTTGTTCGTTTGGGATTTCTATTAAAAAAAAGCCACTCAATGAATAGATATATTTGCAGAAACACTCTGTCTATCTTCTTCGAGCTCGATAATCATGCTAAATCCAGCGGACCATGGATTTTATATGCGAAAGTTCAATGGCGCATGTTATCTCGCGAGAAATATGTTTATTTTAAGGAGTAATTATTTGCTCACGATACGAATACGAGAGTGTGACTTGTCAGAGAATTCCCTGATGTATTCGCGTTCATAATTGACCAATTATTTGCCTATAACATCAGACGTGAAGAAAGAGAAAGTACTTGTATCTTCTCGCAGGGCATACTCATATTAAAATTCGTCAAACATGAGCGTAAAAGAAAGACATGATCAACGTAATAAGTCATCGAACAAAACGTGGGGAAATCAATGGTAGGCAACGTCAAATGAGTTATTTGTTTGTTTTTTTTTCCATGGGAAAGTGGGCTGAATAATATTCGATACAATCTATTACGACGAACTGAAAGAGTATACATATATATTTGGCGTTTTTCACTGATGGTCAAAAGAATGAAAGATGCGTGAGAAAACGAACAAATGTTGACATTCATTGTAAAGAAGACAAGAAAGAATCACAAATATACACAGCCGTCGGTTGGTGAAGAATCATGCTGTTTATTGTTTGTTATTTTTTTTGAAAAAAAAGAGAGAAGAAAATAGAACGAAGAAGAGAAAAAGTATATCATGAATTCGATTATTTCTTTTGAACCTAGAAGAAGATTTGAATTAAAGAGAAAATTGACGATTTACAAAGAGAATCTTACCGGTAAATATAATTTAAATTCCGGCGGCAATTCATCTTCCGAATAGAGTCGATCAGAAAAGTAAACACGTCGAATTCGACAATTCGCATGAATCTACGAAATAATTTCGAACGCGTCTGTCTTCGTGTTTCAAAAGAAAAACGCTTTCAACATACTTGAACTCTTAGCGTTTCGATGTAATTCGTACCGTAGGCACGTCGTGTAAAATCAGATAAGTTAAATTGAATTTGATTCCATCCGTCATCCAAACGCATAGGCATTGTACAAATAAACGGTTTGACACGTGTCGTCGATTGATAGTTACTGGCACGAAAACGTCGACGAACATTGCGATCATCGAGAACCTGGTCAATCATATTGTATTGATCGAAGCAAATCGAAAGGTCGGTCTTACTTGAACTTCGAACGTAAAATACTTCTTTAAATTTTTGATAATCATCACAAGAAACGGAAGTTTGATGCCGAGCGTTTTCTTCGGATCAGCTGGACATGTGATGTATGTTGTGCTTACATTAGTACCGACTATTTCCAGGACAAGGGATTGAATTTCATTATCTGTGATTCGTTTGATATGTCCATTTCGCACCTAGAAAAATCGATGAGATTTCGCTGTTTGAACATGGTTGCCATACCTTTTTGTCCCAGATTTGCAATGGCTTACTACCGATACTGTAGAGAATCGACAGGAAACCACTTTGAAACGTATTTTTGAACATATCTCTGAAGGCAAGATGAGAGAATAAATGAATAAGGGTGCAAAATGCGAGTTTGTGGCAAGCAAGGTCGCCATAGGTACCTCAGTCTCTTGGAAACACAGTGTCGATCGACAACGACAACTCTTCTTTTTTCTCTTCGTGTTGATAATCAACTTATATATATTAATATGGCCAGTTGATTGCCTAGTAACCGACATTCATGAATATATGTGGCAAAATGAAATTTTATCTAAATCAGAATTCAAACACAACTTCTTCAAAAGATAGAAATGCGTCGAAAATCTGCATTTTGTTCGCATAGATGTCGCGCTAGTACAATCTACTGTCAGGTGAATATTTGATGTTTCTTCTAGCGTTGACTTAATCAGAAATGTTCTCACGATTTGCATTCGATGTCCGAACTTTAATTCACATTGGATACATTAGTAATCGAATATGCTCGTCAAATTCGAGGATTAATTATTTTTCTTATCAAATATGCAAAACTTATTATTAATTATTTTATTGGTTGTCATTTTGAATAGAAGAAAAACTTCTGATTATCATCACCGATCCAAAAGAAGAAAAGGACAAGTCAGTCAAAGAAGAAGAGAAGAAAAACTACGTTTTGCAATTGATTTCTTTCACAAAACGTCAGCGAGAGTCAGAAAATGATAGGAGAAAGGATGAGCAACAACAACAACAATAAACACGAAATGATGAAACGAGAGATAGTTTTGTTTATATTTTTGTTAGAAGAAGAAGAAGAAGAAGATACTCGTAGACATTTTGTTTCGCCTTAATCAAAAGAAGACATGAACGAATGAGAAAACACAAAATAAATAGAATAAATACATTTTTTTCACAAATGATAAATCCATAGTGTCGTAGAGGCACGTAAAAGTATACGAGGTACGTAGGTAATCAAAAAAATGTATGATTCATTGAAGTCAGAAGAAATGAAGAGAGTGAGAGAAAAACATTCAAACAACATAAAGAGAGAGAGAGAAAAGTGCGAAAAAAAGGAATGAATACTCGAAAGAAGGGGAATTTAGAAAGAGCAAGTGCATGGATATGAAAACTCGTGAACAGATTATGATTGTAAAAGAAAATTACATTGACGTCGGTTGAGGAAAAGCTTTGATAGCCGTGGCAACAGACATACCCGAACGATGAAAATGCACACATAACCAACGTGAGTCTTTCTTGTGCCATACACGAGTTTCTTCCGTTCGCACGCTTTGTGGTTGTCCATTACTAAAATTCATAAGAATGAAGCGAACCCTCGAACGAGGATGTCGGCCAATTCGAGTTCTTACCGGTCGAGAAATTGTAGAAGACGAACGTATGCAATACAAGCTGAATCATCGCCTAATGCATGAACAACTGGCGTTAGCATCGTACAGTTAATTGTTGGTTTGTTCGGTTTAGTTGACAAAACTAGAACGAAATGATTCGATGAGGAAATGTTCAAGAACAAGTCAATCACGTAAACACGAACAACACTACACAAAGTACACGAACAGAACGGCAATGTTTACCTGTATCGGAGCGAGTAAATCGCGCTGAAAAAATTTCAAGATTTAGTTACAAAATAGAATAAAGAAACAAAGATCTAATCGAGAGGAGATAACAAGACTTCAAAGCTGTACTATGTTTGTTTTCGATAAGATCATTTCTTGGTTTGATTATCATCAACGAATTTGATGATAAACTATCGAAATAATCCAGAGAACACGGCCTGAATCAGGTCTTAATTATTCCCGATTGCCGTCGGCGAGTCATAAACAAGAATAAATTAACTTATCAGACATAAAAAAAAACATTCCGATACGATGTTTCAAGGTCAATATGCTATTATTTGTTATTCTGATGAGATACTGACGTCTGACAAATCTTTGAAAAGCATTGCTACTCTATACCAAGCTCAAATATCATTAATATCGTAGATGAAGTTCTCGTTCACAAGAGAATGTACTCTCTTACCTGTATCAAAATAGAATTTGTGAAAATCCAATCCTTCCACAAGATTGCCTATGGTTTCCGGTTCGAAACATGTGATTTTTGGATCACATAATGTTCTACATGGAAAACAATTCGTCGTTTCATATCTTTTCGTGAAAGTCCTCCGTTTACGTACTTATACATATCATAGTCACCGTTAACAATTGCTTGTAATAATTGTTCGGTTACTTTAGTGATCTCCGAATCTAAAGAAGAGAAAAAAGCATATAGGTTCTTTTCAAAGTTTAGAATAGATATCTAAGTGCGAAGATCCTTTCCCGAGTATTATCAGTTAGAAATTAATAAAATAGATGCATTTGATTGCGTGTTGATTACGTGGGAAGATATCTTACTTAAATTCGTTACTTTCGTTGCTTGTGAAGTCAGAGTTAACATGGATGGTTTTGTCGAAGATGGAAAAGGCTTTTTTCCACCTGTAAAAAGTTTTCAATATATCGAAATGTTTCATTCGTTCATCAAAGCTCGTTTGTATCAATATGCTCAAGGTGAAACTATGAATCAAATCTTTATCTTACTTATTCGATCAACTCGTTCGAGATCATTAGCATCATCGATTGTTGCACTATTACTATCTGCAGATTCTTTGATCGCACTATTATCACTTTGTGTTGTCGGTCGACGATTACCTGCAAATAGACAAAAGTTAGGAAAGGAAAAACTCGACGAGCTCATTGTTTGTTGCAAGCAAATAGAAGATGTTAAAGCATATTGCGCAAATACAATTATATCGGACAGAGAAAGAAAAGGAAAGTTAAGTCAATAGAACTATCTCAATCCTTAAAAGAATCATCGACTAACAAGACTTTCTCGTTGATGTGGAAATCGATAGATTCGCGCGTACCTCCAATAGCAAAAACTGACGCTAAAGCAGAAGTTGTAACCGGGGATGTTCCACTGCCGGTTGTTGGTACTGTTGACTTTTTCCCATTGGTTGCTGCTGAGGTTCCAGCAAATACCGCTGAATCTAGAAATTGACCCATCGACGTGTAGTGCTTGTAATTAATCTACTCGTGCATCTGGTTTTCATACATATGTGCACATCAAAATCATTTATGCTTTTCTATATGCGTTGGAAGAACGAGCACACCCACATAGCCAAATTAAAGGGAGATCTGTGTAGTTGCAAGGATAGAACAGAGCAAGATGAGATAGGAGAAAAAGGATAGGACAAGAAATGGGATAAGAAGGCGATTGCATAGAAATAATGACAACAAATATAGCGACAGCAGTGAGAACAGCACAAAGGCAAACAAGCGAGCAAGGAAAACTTATATATAACAGTAAATACTGTTTCTTTTATCACAACGAGAAAGAAGTTTCATATTATCCTACTTCTTGTATTTTTTTTGTCGATACAGAAAAGCAAAGAACTCTCTGTTGGACTTCTCTACTAGACGATTTTGATATAATCAATGTCATCGTATGCATTCATTCCCGATCAACGAATCGTGCCTATTCTAAGAGACAGTCGTCATGTACAACTCCAAAACTAGGTGCCATTTCATTCCGATATAGATATTTATAGGTGAACACGAAAAGCATTGTCCGATATAATTAAAAGAAAAACACTCTTGTGAAACAGCACATGCAAAATATGAATACGCTGACTTACTTGGTATCAATGTACGGTTAACAAACATTGTTGATAGAATAGCTCCCTAAAGAATAGGAGATTGAAATCATTTCTCTCTTCGATGAAATTCTCACTTACAACAAAACAAATTAAACAGAATACAACAAAAAACATACTCTGCTGCCTCTTCTCCTTTTCCTTCTTCTTCTTGTCAATTAGATATTCTATCGAAATGATTTTCCCTATCGTTTAGTTAGCTTACTAACGACGAGTATAATCTATCTGTCGTCCTATTCAATCTATGATATCGACAGAAAAGGAAATAACAACAAAATGTATACAAGATTATTTTTTTTCTAGGCTTTTCTCCTTCTCTTCTTATCCGTTATTATTTTCTATTTATCATGTCAAGCTCGCTTGTTTTCCTACCTTTAATTTTCGACGTGCATTGAATTTACGCAAACAATCAACCGTTTCTTGTCGATGGATCGTACCGGCGACTCGTTCACGTTGCTAAAAAACAAAGGAAAGAACATGCTTAAGTTCCATTTTCTTTCGAAATTAACATTTAAAACTCCAATTTTATGATTGTTATTTTAAGAGAGAAGAAAAAGACTATAAGAACACATCATCATCACTAAGATTTGCCATTCTATCATATAGTCAGTTCGTTTAACATCCTCGCGGCATCACCATTCTTTTCTTTTTCTTTTCCTCAATCAGATTTTCTCGTACATTGAGCAAACAAAACGGTGAACGGATCATAAAGGAAAAAAACTATCTACCAGCAAACAGAACCCTTTGAAAGCGAACAGTTTTGTATACATAGTTGAGTTCTGACATTTCCCCACTAATCCGTTCGTTCTCTTTATTTGGTTACTTACGTAAATCCATGGATGTTTCAAGGCATCTGCTGCACTAATACGTTTGCTAGGATTGATATTTAACATTGAATCGATCAAACGCTTGGCTTCTATCGTCACTGTATCCCATTCAGGTGATGGATACTAAACGAATTCACCGGGGAAATCACACGCAACATAATCATAAAAGTAGAAAACATACATCATAAGCTCCTGCTTTAATTTGATTGTATAGTCGATGTTGATCTTCATCCCAAAATGGCGGATAGCCGACAAGAAGGATGTAAAGAATAACACCTGTGAAAAAGTGACGATAGATGCTTCTTCTTTTTCTTCTTCGAAGTGTTGGGACTTACCACAAGCCCATATATCGACTGGTTTACCATACGGTTCTTTTTTGAGCACTTCGGGACTGAGGTATCCAGGGGTACCAGCAAAACCTAGAGGGCACGAAAAAGAAATATGTTTTTCTTGTAATTATTCAAGCAAAAAATGAGATCTGCCTGTGATACATACCATACCATTGTGTTTGTTCACCAGTGACTTCAATTGCCAGACCAAAATCTGCAAGTTCTATAATCGAATGCATGATTTCATCTGTCAATAAGACGAAGATGCGATACTTACTGACAGCTGCTCCTTTTGTTTTACTGGCAAGTAGAAGATTTTCAGGCTAAAAAACACAGCTAAACATTCGATCGTGAACACTTCTTGTCCTTACTTTTAAATCTCTATGTACAATATTACTTTCATGACAATGCCGTACGGCTTCAAGAACCTGTTGGATGCAGTGACTAAAATCAATTCGATACGTGCAAATCAACTTTGTCAATGAAAACCAACCAAATCATACCTGGCATCTGCTTCACTGTAAAATTCTCTAGCAACGATATCTTCGAATAGTTCACCACCGGTGACTCTAGAAGAAGGAGAGGACAGTTTCATTTTCATTCGTCTCGATCCAATGGGTCTTACAGGTCAAAAACGAGATAGTGAAAACCTTCTTCAGCGATACTGTCATAAAGGCGAACTACAAATAGAAATGTGGAACCATAAAAACACTGGAATGAAAATGATTCATTTACCAATATTTGAATGTTTTAACTGTCGACAGATTCGAGCTTCTCGTTCAAGTTTTTGATGATCTATATGTAGAAAAAAAGATAGAAGACTTCAATATCACCCATTCATGTCTAATCGCGTACCTCGCGTTGATAACTTTTTCGTGTTGATAATTTTAGCAGCAAATTCTTGTGCCGTACTTTTTTGAATACATCGTCGGACGATTGAAAATGCACCTCTATGAAAGAAAAACAAAATATCATTAAGAGATGAATTAATCTGGTGCGTAATTGATTGTTATCTATTATTAATGAAACGTTTTCTCTTCTACTTTTTTATTCTATCAGAAGAATAAAAGCAACTATCAGCAATGTTTCCTCTCATTACTTGTTCTCTATGGATGAACAGTTCGGCTTGTAAAAAAAAAAGAAATTTCATCGTTTTCTATGTTCAAACAATTGACGAGACATATTCTAATAAGACAAGTGTTGGACTTGATAATAATGACTTTTCTCCTTTTTTTCCTTCCTGCTCTTGCCGTTCCCTCAATTATGATAATATACGTTTGGTCTTAGTTTTGAACGACAAGCTCTCTGATGATCGACTTCTTCATTCATCTCGACTAGGCAGACAATAGTTGGAGTGAAAAGATGAGGTCAGAATACGAATGAGTATATATATATATGTGTGTGTGTGTGTGTGTGAGAAAAATGACGAAGTTGATGATGAAGAGATTAGGAGAAAAATAATATCTGCGACATGCAAACGCGATTAATCAGAAGAAAATGCAGTATTGCTAGTGAAGAAAGGTTCGGTAATAAAACTAGTTGCTTGTTAACTAGAACTGGAAGTCAGAGAGCGAAAGATAGTCAATATTTGTTTACATTTATTCATGTCATTAATCAAATATATAAAGAAATGATAAAATGACAAAGAGGTAATCGAATGGGAAGAAGAAAAGAATATATATATATGTGTGTGTGCGAGTGAATGTATATGTAAAAATTACTCACTTGCCAAGCTCTTCTTTAAGATCATATTCATCAGTAAAACGAGTGGATGTCACGATTGAACTTGATACTGGTGTATTATTTATAACAGCAGCCATATTGGTAATAGACGATGTTGGTGGAGGCAATACCTTTATATCACTAGGTTTATCTTTTGTGCTGCTGTCGGTATTAACGGCGATATGATTGTTTGCGTTGTTGTTGTTGCTATTATTGTTGTTATTGCTGTTATTGTTTGTATTGTTATTGATAGTATTGAGAAATTTGTTGAACAATGTATTATTATATTTCATACAGATAATAGGATGCAACCAGATAAAGATGATTTTAATCGATTATATAAAACTGAATAAATAAAAGGAGGTGGACGTTGGGTCATCATTATTGTTAGTAAGAAGAATATATCAGATTATCGTGCGTATGTTAGTGACATGCGTTATATAAACGCAACAAAACGAAGAAGATCGTTCTCGTCGTCGTTTGTCGCAATGGCAATCTAGTAGTAGTAGTAGTAAGAGCAACAGAAACAGCAACTATAGAAGCTTATTTCTGGTCGACGACACACACAGAAACAGACCCTGTTGTCGATTCAGGTGGAGGGAGAGACAGAGAGACGCACACAAACTGAGCGAAGAAAATACGGAGAAGAATAAGAATAAGCAGAGGAGTAGAAGAAGAAGAAGAAGGAGAGGAAGAAATAGTAATAGTAGAGAACGAACAAGTAAACTCAACGCGACACTATATTTAACCAGTCAGATATAAGAAACAAAAGAAAGATTAGAATGGCTGCTTGCAAAACACATGAATGCACACACGTGCGTCATGTAGAGAAGGGAACTATATCTAATACGTAATGAAAAAGAGTGTCCAAATACGTTTTTCGATTTCATTCAATGAAAATATTTTTCGAAAAAGTATGTAAACAACAGATTAAATCGCACTGATAGACGATTGGTGCATTGTGGTGAACCAATAGATAGGCAGAACTGAATAATGCAATGCAATAACGTATTTTCACTTTTACTTGCTAAATTTAGTTATTCATTTGACAGATTTCTTAATCGATAGAAATATGATTGAAATCATCTGTAACGATCGTTTGGGCAAAAAAGTACGTGTCAAATGCAATCCGGATGACACAGTTGGGGATCTGAAAAAACTGATCGCTGCTCAAACTGGCACAAAGGCTGAAAAGATCGTTCTTAAAAAGTGGTGTAAGTACCGAGAAATCATCTATTTCCACATTTAAATGATCATTTTCTTTTGCTTCTAGACAATATCTTCAAAGACAATGTTACACTTGCAGATTATGGTAAGTTATCGATTGTTTTTGCCTTTCATTCGATTTTCTTTGTTGTGGTGTTCGTTTAGAAATTCATGATGGCATGAGCATTGAACTTTATTATCAATGAAAACAATATCCACTGTAATTGCGAAACTGTGAATAAAATTTATTTCGTAAAAAGCAAATAGACTCGAAAGCGTTTGAATAAAGAAAATTCATTCTGTTCTTTTGTTTAACTTCTATTCATAAATCAATAACGTTGCATAGGTTCTCTAATAACATAGGGATAACCTTGTGCTGGTGGTGCATACATGGGTTGTGCCGAAGGCACGTACACAACTCTTTCACTGAAGTAGAAGAAGCAGACATTTGATCAATATTCGGATAGACCGAAGAAAGAAAAAGATTTTACCGTGGCCGACAACAAGGTAAACAGCAACAAAGTAAATCGAGTGGTATACAACACAGGCAGATGTCTAATGAATCAGAGCATGGGCAAATGTCCGGCTAAAGCAAAAATAGCAGATAGAATTTATTTTGATCGGTTTTAAGCACATAATCTCTTTTCTCTTTGAACTCCCGGATCGTTCCCGAGAAAAAAAAACAAGTCAATCTACGCAATAACATATACGTACAATACACATGACTTGTGCTTATTCGTTAATGTTGCTTGTTCTCTTACAGAAGTATTGATGAATAAGAAATGGTATTAAGTTCCTGTGTGTGTGCTTTTTCTTCCCTTTCCTTCTCTACGGTGGTACGCCTATTCGAAAGGAGATTTCTTCGTCGCACGATATTTTTATTCTTGTGACGTCATGATTATTTGGCAAGAGATTATTTTTATCCTTTGTCTTATGAATCGAACTCGTTAAGGTTGGATTGAAATCTTCATGTCATTGCTTATTTTGTCTAGCTTATGCCGTCTTTATTGAAGAAAACACGAATGACAGTCAATAAACATCACACACTGTTCGTAGAAAACATTAATTATACAGCAAACGAAAGAAAAAAAAATATTTAAAACAAACCAAAACATGTCAGTCAATGAAAATGTGAGGAGGTTTTGTCAGTTGTGACTAGGAGATCAGGCATTCGAGCAATACCGATTTCGTTGGAAATCGTCGTTGTGTTTCATGTAAATAAATTGAATCGTTCTAAAAATGAGAAGTCATTTTGAAATCGCGTGCTCTATGAGATTTCGAAACGTTTCATGAATAAGCATAAACATTCTGTCATTTATTCAAGGATCAGAGAGAAGCGGATTTACTTTTACTCGTTAATGAAGATCTCGTTGACATGAGTTACGATGATCTAAGTGTTTCTAAGAAAAATGGAAATCAGTTCGCTTGAACGTACTTTTCGTCGAATATTTATTGGTGACAAGAGAAGCAGGTAACTTAAATGTATTGGTCATGTTGGCCGTTGTTAATTTGCTTCCTAGAGTTGTTAAGTCGGGAGGTGGTGGCAACGGTTGACCAGTAGCTGGATGTTGTTCAGCTTTATTGAGAGACGATGCTCGAGAATTTAAACTTGATCGAGATGAATAATGTGAATGAAAGTCGAATTTTTCGTGATGCGATGATGATACGGACGACGATGAATGATCATCATGTGTTGAGGATTGAGAAGACGAATTGCTGGTGCATCGATTAATTAAGAGATTATAAGCGTTTTTACCTTGCTCGCTCAAGTTACCTAAATAAAGGAAAGAGAGGTGTTTATCGAATGGGAAAGGATTTACCAACCAGTTCGTGAACGTTCTTCGAGTTCACGTGTGAATCGACATGTTTTTTCATTTGGTTTCTTTACAGTTAATTTTGATAGAAGACGAGAAAATGAAGGAGATGATCGATTGTTCGAATCTGAAACAAAAAACCTTCGCATGTCTCACGTCAAATCATCTTTTTGATTTACCTGTCATGTCATCGGATAGAAATTGATTGATATCGAAAGACGATGATGGGTCAATCTAAACATACACCGAATGAACTTCTCAAACGGATTATTTGAACATACATGATCCGCTGGTAGCGATTGTGGTGATGTTGATCTTGTCAGTTGATGATCTTCATGAACCGATGTTGTCTCTGGCTCCGAATAAATCTCTGTGAACGCTTGCATGACCTCGTCAAACAACGATGAAGATTGGTCGGGAGTCTAGAGCAAGCACGAGTACATTCGAGAAAGCTGAACTTAATTCATACCGATCGTTGTTCGATTGAAGTTTCCGTGGAATTCTTCGAAGCGAACTGAATATCTGGATTAGCATCTTCGATCTTACTTAAACAACTTATATCACCAAAGGCTTCACCTGAAACGATGTTTGAATAGCTTTTGTTGTTATAAGAATTCGCATTCAGAGAGTTACCTTCAACTCCAAGATGAAATGCATGAATAAAATCAGCTTGAGGCGAACTAATCATATCTTTGGATAGGTGTTTACATCTTGTTTTTGTCGAATTCTTTTTTATGCCTAGGATAAAGAAAAGAATCTGTTATTTTCAAGACTATGCGAAAGCATTCTTCTCATTAGACATGCACAAACTCTTCGTCGATTCTACACACTCATGTCTGTGAAGTCAAAAGAACGAATGCTACTTTTTTTTAGAAATACCTGTTTTCCGAGAGAATATATGATTCATTGTTGCCGGACTGGAATTTGTTGTTTGTTTAGAAGGCGTTTGTGTATGTAACGGTTCAACGTCACTAATATAAACAAAACCTATCTGACCGTCGACAGTTACACACTGAATAAAGTTCTTGATTGATGATGACGAGCTAGGAATGTCAAGGCTGAAAAGAAATAAATGTACAATATGTTTAAGTTTGATGTTTTTTACATATTTCTTTCAAGTATGTCAATATCTATACGCAAGGACATCATAACAAAACTGATTTGTAAACCAATCAATAAAAGTGCGTGAAAGGTAGCGCGTCGCACGTCAAAATAAAAAGCTCTGTTCTATTTGCTCACTTATATATGCAGCTAAAGAAATGAGAATGATGTTTATGTAACAATGAATCTCAACAAAACGAATACTTATGCACATCATATTTCAGTTTCTCTCTCGCGCGCTGTTCCTCTTCTTCTCCTTCTTCTGTTCTCAATAATATATACTTAGTTGTGGTAATTTGATGCACATACCATCGATCAAGGATTGTCAATGGTTCTAGTAGACATGATTGGATGGAAAGAAAATTATCAGGTAGACTTATTGATGTGTTATGATTGTTTTTCCATTGAACTTGTTCCAATTCGATCTAGAAGAATATGACAAGTCGATCGGTGATATTGTTCCCTGTTCTAGATAATGATATCTACTTCGGCTAATGTCATTTCTAATTCAGAAAACGTTGGACGTTCACACGGTTCATATTTCCAACAATGTAGCATTACTTGATACAGTTCAGATGTCGCATGCGATGGCCTTGGCAACTGCTGATAATTCGATGCATCAATTACTTCACTAATCTAGAGAAGAAGCGTTTTTCTTTCACTTCTCGAAGCTCGTCAATGCGTAAAGAGAAAAATTTACTTGATCATTGGTCATTCCTTGCCATGGCACTTGTCCGTAGCTGAAACATTCCCACATTGAAACACCGAATGAGTAAACATCGGATGCAATCGAAAAACAATGAGAATGTATCGCTTCGGGACTCATCCATGCTATTGGTAATTTTAATCTTTCTTTCCATGATGCATTCAAATGACCAAAACTCCAATCTGAAAGTTTCACCTAAGCGAAAGGGTCGGATCGATTCGTTCTTCAATCAATACTCACAAGTGACTTGTTGAAGACCAGATAATTTCGACAAGTTAAATTCTGATGAATGAAAAATCGTTTCTCTAAGTAGCTCAATGCTGCTGCTATTTGTTTAATAAATTCAAATAAAATCTGCACAGTGTATTCTCTCTTGGCATTCGGGGAAATTAAACAATCATCAAGTGATTTCATCGGTGCATATTCCATTATCTGAATAAGGTCGTTCATCGAATAAAAATATCAGATGTTATTTCTTGGCAAAACTTACAAACAGTATCGAACGATCTGTATGAATGGTAATACCGAAGAACTGGAGAATGTACGGATGTTTGATTTCTTGTAGAACGTTAACATCTTTCAATATGTCGTGGTAATGAAATTTCAAATCGAGTTTTTTCACAGCAACGGTTAACTAAACATGAACGAGTAGAAGATCAACGAAATGAGGTTCTTTTGAATTCTATTTACTAATTCGTTTTGTTTCGTTCGATAGAATGCTTTGAGAACTAAAAAGACAAGATGAGCGAAGTACGAATGGGTATTTCAACTTACCAACACCCAGTTTTCCTTGACCAATCCGTTCAATAAATTGTAGATTGTCTTTCAGAATCATTTTTGTGTCCATTGTCGATGAGTTTCGTTGCTCATAGTGTTGACCAGACGACAAATCACTTGTACTCTTTGTCGCGTCAGTTGGCGAACGGTGAGTTAATTTCTGATGATTGCATAAAGAAAAACAAGGAATTAATCGTTCTGATTTATGTCGCTTGGTGCGAATGTACAAAATGAACACCTGCTTGCCGTTGTCTCTGTATCTAATCGAAGAATAATTCTTTTTCTTCTTCTTCTCTCTACTCGGAGAGTTTCTCAATGATTGTGACGGAAATAGAACGATGTCGGTCAAAGAAGAGAAGATAATTACGTGCTTAGATCGGCAATCGCCATTTCCTACGAACACTTACTCGAACTAATAACTTGCCCAGAGTACTTGTCAATATTGTATGATTACTCAAAGTTAAGTTGGAAGACGACGAAAGATGACGTTTGATTTTTTCAAATTGCGGTTTAGACATGTTCGAGAAGGATTGATCGTAGTCGTTGAGATAGCATAAGTCACCAATACTATACACCTTAGAAATAAAAGATAACGATTGATGAATACAAATCAAGGTGACGACGTATCAACGTAGTTCAAGTATAATTTATGTGCGTCAGTTCATTTAAATATCCGTCTATACTATATTTAAACAAGTTCATTGTTGAAAATGAGCTATGTGAAAGTATTTAATGACAGCGGAAGGCGGCAATTTTGTGAATGAGAGTAGCATCTACTTTGGCATTACCTTTCGAACAATCCGGTTTTCTTTTTCATGGTGATACTTCATCCAATTTGGTATTGTATCGAAAAGAATATGTGTCATTACTTCTTTACATTTCATGTTTCGTTTTTTCTGTTATGAAACTGTGATGGTTACTACTAGTCGCCTTCTTTTTTTCTCTTTTTCTTTCTCTTTCGTTCGTTTCTACTTACCTTGAGCTCTTCAATAATCAATATACATATATAAGATTGATTGAGTTCTTTATTGACTTAGGTGAAAAAAGATCATCATTGCTATTGTAATGACCATTTACATCTACAATAAGAAATAGAAGAAGAAGGAGAGTTCGCATGCAAATAGAAATTACCGCCCTAACGGCACGAAGTAAAAATGACTGTCAGTTCAGCGAGAGAAGAGAATGATAATCATTGACCCTTGTGGGATGAACGCATAGATAGATAGATAGATGGATTCTTATGTGTGTATGCATTCGTCATGCAACATTGTTAAATTGACTTTAGTGGGTGTTGATTATTCTTTAGATTACTACTCCCTAAGTCCTTCTGTTGCTGAGAAGACATGAAATACAAAAGAACGAGTGGACACTATGTCAAGTCGTATAAATAGCTGAGAAAGAAAAACGAAGAAGATGTTCATTCTCTTCTTACTTAATCTTAATACAAATTTGAAAAAAAAACGCACCGACGAACGGACAAAGGTTAACAATGACAATTGATGGTGTTCAGTTAGTCTTAACAATCAACGAACCGTATGATGTTAAAGTATTGAATAAACGAACATGTGACGCTGTGAGTTATGTATCTAAGACTAGACGTAAACAACAATAGTACTAGACGTGTGTCTATATGTATAAACATAGATGTAACTGAAAAAAAAAACAAGATAACGATCAGTGTTAACATTTGAAGATCAAAAGATCTAAATTAGCTGTTGCAATGTGATGATGATGATGAAGAGAGGAGGAGGAAGTATAAATAAAAATTTCTTTTGCATATCTTCAATTAGCAAAAGATACTAAATGAGCTCGAGATATTTTGATCGTATTTCTTCCAGTGATTATTGTACAATTGATTAGATGGGAAATAAACATGATATGTATCGCATATGGTCAACGTAACAAGAAATGTTCTCTTCTATTAACATCAAACGTACGTAATACTGATCGATAAAGAGTATGTTTATCACATATTTCCAGTACAAGAAACAAACATTAGACTAAAGGCAATCAGTTTTAATGAACAGCAAAGATTTATAGATATAGTCCATTGTTCGAAAGTTAATCAAGTAACAGACAGTGTACAACTCTGATCGATTGAGATCAGATGGCATGCATGAAATGGTGCAAGTCTGATATAGTTGTACCATTCGAGAAGTTCATTGAATACTTCACGCAGAAGTTCAATTATGCACAAACTTCAAGTTATAATCAATGTTCAAATATTTGTTCATGTTCATAGTCGTGTGCTGTACTCGTCATTGTAGTAAATCTCGATGGTGGCCTCTAGGAATGACTATCAGCCATTGAACTCTCGATTAGTTATCCGCATATTCTATAAAAGCAATGCTCGCTAGCCAGCTGACACAGCCGCCCAAATGTACAATTTTAACCGGATGTCTTTAGTTGTGATAATTAGGTCTCATTCGACTCGGCATGATGTTTGATTTTTTCGCTTCATTTTAACTAAACGCTTCAATGCTGTTCCAACAAGAAAAAAGGTCAACTCACACCATGGGCAGGAAATGAAATAGAATCCTTCAATTGGCATAATACTATGCCTTTGGTTGTCTCTTTTGCACACTACATCTGTTTCTCGTTTACAATCGAATGATTGCAAATTTTTTCAAACTTCTAACTGAGAATATATTGGCATAGTATTGTTCCGGTCAGAATATATGTTGGGATAATTTTTTGTCCAGAATCGATGTCGTATTAGCAAACCGTTGTTTAACTTGATAAATAGAGGCAAATCAAAACAACAAAAGATCTCACACGTATCGGTTAAGAATATGTGCTTGTTGAAATCATCAAAATCAGCTCGTAATAAAAATATGAAAAAAGAAGAGCAGTAAAACTGATAATTATCTGTTAGATGAAAATGCTTCTCGGCGTAGAGAGTGCAAGATAAACAAAGGTAAATATACACACACACGTGTATCCACTCCCGCATCGAATGGAAATAGACTTCAATGAAATCAAGTTGCTAATTTCCTTGAACTAGTCTTAGGAAAACAAACAATGATTGAACCGACAAAAAATAACAAGTGGAAAAAGAGCCGCTGTATGTGTATTTTTTTAAAACACCACGGGAGATTCGTTTCACTAAGAGCGATATTGTATCCATTCGATATTTCGAGCAACAGCTTTTCTTAATGGTGTCCAGAATATCTCCATATATCCTCATCTGGTTCACTAATTTCAGCCATTTTGTTTTCAAGTTAAAGTCTAATGCTCGTTACGGACAATTGATTGACGAATGTATTTCCTAGCTAGTTTTCTTGTATGTAGATGTTAACAACAACGAATTTGTCAGTTTGCTTTTTTTCGAGTGAGAAAAATCATCAACTTAATATTCGTTCTTGCATATTGTCGAGAAAAGACACAACTTGAGTATAACGGATATTCCAAAGGTGTTGATATCTTATGCGCATAGTCTATCGATTTGACAATTGCCACCTTTTACAGATATTCCATCCAATGAACGAAGGCGAAAAGAGAAGTCAGGATATCCAATCGATGAATTTTTTTTTGCTCTCTTTTGCCTTTTCCTCTCCTGTGTGCAGTGGATATCAGTCAACTTTTAATTCAATTTACTTTCGCATCAACGCATTTTGTTTTCACAATCAACAATACTAATCAGCAGAAAGACACAGGTGAGTCGACGACAGAGCGAAACCAACGCATAGGAGAACATACGACAAGCTAATCTTTCGTTAATCCTGTTCTTTTGTAATATGTCGAGAAAAATCTTTGATTTTCTTCTCTTCCGGATACGATCTTGACTAAACACATTGTCCACCGTTTTATTGCTAATGGCATTTCTTTTGTTTTGATTTTACTTTTTATATGCTATATATTTTCTCACTAGACTATAATGAATGTTATTCTTTTTTGAACTATTTGAAAAGCTGTAGATAGACGCGTTAATTCTTCAGCACCTTTCCTTTTCTTCATTTGCCGAGACTTAATTTCTATTATATGACGATCGTCGCTCGTAAGAGTCAGTTGTTTTATCTTAAGATGTCTACGTAGATGTTTTTATTATTTTTTGCTTTGGCAATCAAGTGATGCGCCTTGCTCACCTAATTCGTCGTTCCGACAAGCGCATAGGTGTGGATAAGCAAGAATGAGTGATGCACGAGCACTACGTAACTTCAAATAGGTTCGTAACAGAAAAAGTTATTAACACTTGCGATTACGTTTCTCTTGAAAGAGCGACAGAAAGGGAGAGAGAGAGAGGAAATGAAGAAAAAGAGCGTAGACGATATTACCACCTGATAATAAATCGTCATTTCGATGTGATGCCTCATCGATAATGACAGCGAAACATTTTTACTTTGATTACGTCGTCATATGGAAAGAGAGGAAAACGTTTCTGCTAGGATAATTATATCGGGTGCCGCCCGATTAATCTTCTTTCGATGTGATACGTATATTCATTTTTCACGATGAATAATCGAATTGATGTTCTAGTCAATCGAAGATGATGTTTTCTCTTCATTCTATATAAACTATTCTCTTCTGATATTCGTCTTTCAGATAATTATTCAAAAGAATTAATGAATTCACTCGCATCAATCCTCTATTCATCATCACCAGCAAATACAAAGAAGCGAAAGAATCTATCTTTCCAACCTCTCCCTACCAAATCATCTCGATGTCAAGTTGGCATGTTATTCCGTTCATCAACACCGAAAGCATCGTTACAACCACGAATAACAACGGCAACAGTAGCAGGTAGATATGCTAATTTTCGTTGTACATCTAATTGATTATGAAAGTTCGTCGTTTTTTGATTGTCAATCAGCCTTTCGTTTGAATACATTAACTGGGGATGAGTCGCGCCCGTCAAGACGAAAAGTCACAGTTTTATGTTAAATGAAAATCAATAGAGTTGAAAAGAGCGACAGGATATCCTATATTGAGAGTGTGTACGCGCTAAAAAGAACAGCATCACTTCGCATTTCGCTTTCTTCGAGTCAGTAAAGCCTGTGATCGATAAACAACAATTGTCATTTTCGAGAGAAAAGCTGCGAGAAGCATTTCGACTGTCTCGACAATGACGACGTTTGTTTCGCACAAAACTGTTTGATTGAAATTGCGTTATTTTATTTTCCTTGAACATTTACTTATGATCAAGGAGGACATGATCGATTGTTTAAGTATTTAGTTGTCGGATTGCTTTCGTCTCTTTGAACTTCGCTGAGACTAATCCGCCCTTCTCCCATTTACCCCACTTGAACACGAAGTTTTATTTTCGAGAGTTGAACATGAAAAAATTCAATTTCTTCGCTTCTCCTCAGGTATATCATCTCGTTTGTTCAAAAGACAAACGAAAACATGTGCCGTAGACGAGAATGCTCTTCAAACACTTGTTGACTCGGATATTTAGTCAAATATCAAATGCCACCGATGCCGACATTCTTCTCTTTTTCTCAATTGATTTTTCATCTTCACTTCCTTCGTTCTAGATCATCCAACGACACTGTCCATTTCGTCATCTGCAGTATCATCAGCAATGTCCTCTCCTCAAAGTCCACGCTGTTCAACACCGGTATTTGCAAAACAGAGACGCACACGTCCATTTATTGCCTGTGAATTGTGTCGGCAACGTGCATTTCAATCCGTAAATACCGATAACCAAAAACAGAAGGAAAGTAGCGTGAAAAAGAAAACCTCGAAAGAACCAAGTCCTCATCGCCATTATCACCATTCAGCTACACTACAATATTATCAATATCAAACCAACACGAGTAGCAGTCTTCGACGAAGACGACGACAACGCTCATCCGTTGACCAACTACTCGTGTGGATTGTCTAAAATCTTTTCATTCGATACGAATTTCGCCTTCTGAACAGTAGCTGTAATTCATGTTGAATTATGTTCTCGTTGTTTTGCTTATGTATATACATAAATTGTTAGCGTAGATTTCGTTATGTTATCATTATTTACGTAATAAACTAATAATATCTACACCCCTGAAATCGAATATTGTTTTTTCGAACTAAACCTCACGTCAGATTTGTTCGTCATGCATGATATGCAGCTGTTCGAATGTTGCAACGAGTTAGTGGAACTAAAACATGTCACCATCGCGCCGCTACGCTCATCGTCATATCAGACTATCCATAACGTTCCCTTCCCTTGCTCGCTCTCTCTCTCTCTTCGCGAATAAATGATTAGTTGCTAATCGTTTTTAATTAATGAACATTTATCTCGATGAGTAGATGACGAAAAATTCATTCAAATGAGCGGAAATTGATTATTTATCGAGAGATTTCGTAGTGGAACGAACATATAAAATGAAATTGTACAGCAAAGGCACTTCATTCGAGTCAAAATGAATCTTTCCGGCTGGTCTTGCCAATCATCACCGTGCTATCCAATGCACTATTATTCGTACCCGTACTATCCAACAGCTTCGCAACTAAATTCATCACTCCAAGCTAGTTTGAACTCGTCATCAGGCTACGAAAGTGCTGCTAATGAAACCAGTTTGATCGAGCCGTCGTTCTCACCAACATCGTTTATCAAAGTTGGTTTCTATTGTAGCTTTCTGAAATTCTAATTCGAAACCATTTCGATTGTTTTAGGAGTGCAACTATAATTCTGTTCACCATCCCCGCGAAAATAACAAGAGACCATTGGAAGAAAGTGATGGTGAAGAGTTTTCCGTTGAGACTGAACATACTCACAAGAAACGTCGCGTACTTTCACGTCCTCAACGTCAAGAAGCGAATCGTCGTGAACGTCATCGAATGGAAATTATCAATGAAGCTTACGAGCAGTTACGAAATGTACTACCTTACAAAAAAGGTCGAAAGCGTCAAAAAATGTCTCGTATGGATACAGTTGATGGTGCTATTCGTTATATACAATCGCTTTTGGAAAGTCTTCATGGACCAAATTATAACTTTCATTCGAGTGAATAATCTTTTGTTGATGTGCATTTTAGTGTTTGTTCTGTAATAAACGTTCTGTGCTTATTACGAAGATTGTTCGTCGATAGAGGTCGTCACTGTTCGGTGTTGAACTAATAAGAAATGTGTGTGTTCCGTGAAATATTTAAGAGAAGTTATTTAGCGTGAAATTTACGTTTGATTTTACTTTTTTTCTGATGAAATTGATGAGATTGTTTATTGTGAGCGAACTCATTACTGGCCAACCAATCATAGTTGAAATAAATAGGCCTTTGTTTTTTTCTTTCTCTCTGTTGCCCTTTTGGTGATACGCACTTCGTATTGATGGTGAACGGGTGTGACATTTCGAGTAATTGTTATCAATATCAGAATTGAAACATGGTATGCTGGTATTATACAATGAATCATTCGGGTGTAAAGTGCAATTTGACATTCATCGGGCGGCGAAGGAAGCGGTATGAATATTTGTTTGTTGTTAGATTGAAATTAAGCAGGGTGATTTCGATTCTATTCAGATTTGTGGATTACAAGAAATGGCTGGATGAAATGTGAAGGATTACTGCAGTAGAAAAAAAAGTCGAATTTAATGGTCTTACTTACGTAATTATGATTATTTTTGAAGGGTAAGTGTTTGAAATGCGTTAGGACGACGTGTTGAAATACGTCTTTTGGCAATGATTTTTGGTAATTAGGAAGTCTTTCTTCCAGATATCGATAAAGTGGAAATGCGACCAATAATAATGCTGGTGAAGGTGCTTGAACTAAATTATGGTTGGCTATGGGAGTTCGTCAGTATAGAAAATGCTTGCAATAAGTGAATTTCAGTTCACAATTGAATCAATAGGCAGGTAAATACGAAAAACGAACATATCTAAAGCACCTTGATTTCAATGACAATACATTGGGATGAGTAAAAATTTATATGATCAAGAGCAACCGAGAAAACGAGAGTATTTTACTGATTTTGTCTATTTGTAGATTTAGACGACAGAGGCAGGCATAGGAAGAGCCCGTCTATCGGTAGTTATGATGCATCTCGTGAACGAGTGAGAGACACATATACTAGCATTGTGCATACGGTTATATTGATCGACAGAACACAAGTTTTATTCTTCGCGTTTGTATTTCGATTTTGAAAAAAAAAACAAAGCATTTCTGTTCGTGTTATGTAACGAGAGGAGTATATATATATATTATGTATTTGTATAAAATCATATTAAATGTACGCATTTGGTAAAAAACAGATGAGCAAACAAGCTGAGATTCCATTTTAGATCATCACTCGATAAAAAAAAGTAACCTATTTTCTTGATTCATAAGATGTCAACGGAAGCATTAACGGCAACTGATGCAGTTGCTAATAATGAAATGAATCCGACTGCAGCAATCAACAATGACCAATTAGAAGCATCAGAAACAAATGGCTTGTCGCATTCAAATGGAACCAATGCAAATATTGGAAATTTCGAATCATCAGCGGAAGGGCCAACAGAACCAACGAAGAACACATACGATGATGATGGTCAGCCAACAATCAATAAAAGCGATTTAGAACCAGAAGCACTTCGAAAAGTTTTTATCGGCGGTTTGTCATATAAAACAGATGATCAAACTTTTCGAGATTATTTTTCAAAATATGGAGATATAGACGTAAGTTAAAGAGAAATCGGAAGCGAGCGAATATATATGAGTGTGTTCTCTTTTCAGGACTGTATTATAATGCGTGATCGTGATAATCGTTCTCGAGGTAAACCATAAACAGATAAACATTTGATATTTATTCATACGGCTGATTAGGTTTTGGTTTTGTTACTTATTTATCTTCATCGATGGTTGATCGATTAATGGCTGCTCGCCCACACGTCCTAGACTCACGCGAAATAGAACCTAAACGAGCGATACCTAGAGAAGAAAGTGGAAAACCAGAATCGTCCCTAAGTGCTAAAAAATTGTTTGTTGGTGGAATACGAGAAGGAACTCTAAACGAAGATGATCTAAAAGAATACTTTTCGAAAGTAAGTTTGAGAAGAAGTGAAAAGGACGAATAAGATTTGATCATTTTTGTTCAATTTAGTATGGTAATATTGTTCAAACTGTAATTATGAAAACAAATGAAGGCAAATTTCGAGGCTTCGGATTTGTTGAGTTTGATGAGTAAGATATCGATAACTAATTATATTGATAGAACTGAAGATTTCGCATTTGTAGCTATGATCCAGTCGATAAAATCGTTCTTGAAAAGCATCATGTTGTCAAAGGCAATCCCGTAAACGTCGAAAAAGCTCTACCGAAAGATCAGACAGCGCGTGGACGAATGGCACAATCTCAATATGGTGGTTCAGGGGGTGGCGGTAATAGCGGCGGTGGCATGCGCGGACCATCCTCCAGAATGGGCGGCGGAGGAGCTGGCGGCAGTGGTGGATGGGGTCCTATGGGTGGTGGACCAAACTATGGAGGAGGCGGTAGCGGTAACGGCGGCTATCGATCAGGTGGCGGCGGCGGTTACGGAGGTGGTGGAGACTATAACAATCGGCCTCCACCGTATAGTGGTGGCTATGGTGGCGATATGGGCGGTAATGGTGGTATGATGGGCTTTGGTGGATCTGCACCAATGGGTGGAGACAACTATGGAATGGGTGGAGGCGGTCGAGGTGGTTATGACGAAGGTAAATGAAAACTATCTCTCCAGAGAAAAATTAATTCTATAAATATAACTGGTTTTTGAATAGGTTTTGGAGCTTTTGGTCAACCGTCAGGATTTGGCTTTGGTCAGAATTATGGTTCATCGTCCGGTGGTGGTCCTATGCGCCGTGGAGGTGGAGGCCGAGGCGGCAGTGGTGGTGCACCTTATGGGCGCGGTGGAGGTCGTGGAGGTGGCAGCGGTGGTGGATTCCGTGGTCGCAGCCAACAATAAAAGAACTATAATCTACATGTCCACATTTTTTTTTCTTTTCTTTCTACATGTTTGTGTTTACATGTGTGTGTGCGTGCGTGTGTATGTGTAAATATCTACATAGCGAACAACACAAAGAGAATGGATGTGTTTCCTTCATCTTTTTTTAACAAATATCTATAGACTGTTCGCAATGGAATATCTCTTTTTCTTTCCTAAAAACACAATTTTCCTTTGTTGTCTCTGCTCGCTGTTGTTATTCATATCAGTGTCATTTACTTGCTGAACCAAATAAAGGCGTAATATGTGAGATGCATTCGATAAAAGTTCATATGATGATTAATCGGATGACCCAATACTACATTTATGACAATTGCGAAAAAAAAAGAGAGACAAAAAGAAAATGAAAATGAAGCAGATATGAGTAAATAAAGACATAAACACATAGACAAAGACAACAGCGCCGACTCTGTACACATATATATCACTGTTGTGGACCTCGCGCTGTTCGTCGTCGGGGTTGTAGAAGAAAAGACAAGTTCCACACATAATCATGTAAAACGTAAAGAGAAATGAATTAAGAAATAACGAATAAAAGAAAAGAGACAAGAGTAAATATGATATCAAAGAAAATCAGTTCCCACGTAAAATAGGCAAACGATAATAACGAAGAAAACTTTGTATACACAAATAAATGATTGTTGTTTAGATTTTCAACGGCAGTTGTTCAGATCGTAAATTCGAAATCGGCAAGATGATGTTAATGAACAAGTATCCATCCTGATGGTATGAGTCGTCATTTCTACCAAACTAAATACAAGATAATACATCGATCAAGATACGAAAATAGTTTACAAAATAGATAATTTACTTTTTCCTATATTGATATTTCACTGTTCATTGCCGATTGCCGTCTTACAATTTCACCTTTTCCCTGGTCAAGTTCCATTTATTGCTTCTGACCACCTTTCCTCTCCGCCACACATTCATCTACTTCACTGTGAGCTACATAACGAACGACTGACCAGCTTGTTGGTCCTATTCTCTGTCTTCGTATTTCTCTCGTTTTTTTATTACTCAAAAAAAGAAAGCGAAGAACAAGATAGAAGCGCAATACTACCATAGCGCATTTTCTTTTTCTTTTTCTTTCTCTCGTTCACTTGTACCGTGGTGTCTACGTATTTGCATTGATGTCTGGACAATGTATACGCAAGAGAATGACCGAGGAACAACGATAGTCTTGGTCAGTCGACGAAGAATTATCAAATACAACCATCGAGAGAGGGAGAGAGAGAGAGAAAAAAGCGTGCAGGAAACAACTACCGCTGTCGAAATGGACATGAACCCATGTGAGTACGAGTGCACAGACGTCTAGACAGACCGCTCTTCTAACCTATTTAGAAGTCGTCTCCGTTGTTGTTGTGTGAGAGAGAAAGATAGAGAGGGAGCAAGAGAGCGAAAGGGTTACTAATGAATGTATGTGTATGTATATACACATAAATATATACATCGATGTATATGCACTCAGAAATGTGTGAAAAGAAATGCAAATACAACAAAGATGAATAAGACAAACTTTTATTACTAACAATTGAATATACATGCGCACGGGTTATTATTAGTCTATTGAGACGGAATTCCAATGTGTGCATATAATCGTTTTTTTTTCATCTCTATAGAAAAATATGACACAAGTGTCTGACTGGAAGACAATCGCATGAGAAACATATGTTCAATATTGCGTGTGGATTCGAGATCGATTGATTATTCATAGGATATGTCGTCAATGGACAATGAATCAATATGTATAATTTGCGAGCAAAGATGGACTTTTGTTTCAGACGTCGATAGTCGATCGGAGAAGAAAGAGACTCTTCAATTAGGTTTAATTTGTTTCAAATATGAATAATAGATAAAGATTCAGATTTATTTACATTGTGCTTTGTTCGATACACGTACTGAATTGAGAAATTTGACTCCTAATCTTTTTTTATCATATCCATTTCATGTCTATTGAGTTATACAAACGTGTAAATGAATTACTTTTCAATGAGTTATAGATTAAAACAAATACGAATCCGAGCTGAGAGCCAATCACTTTGAAAGTGAAGTTGAACTTTATTTTTATGAGCAACAAATGGAATGTATGATTATTTACAACAAAATAGTAGTAACAAGATTTAATCGTTCTTTTTTTCTAGTTTTGTCTTCTCAGGTGGAACATGTACAGATTTTATCTGACGGTAATTGCAAAGAATGATACATAGGATGAAAACATTGACAAAACCGAAGAGAATCGATGCTAGCCATATTTGGACGAATGTATTTTTCGATTGAAATTCGAGTTGGTACGCTTCATAAAGCCACCAGCCTTGTGATCCTAACCAAGCGACAAGACATATGAACAAAGTTTTCCATATTGAACGTAAATTGGGCAAGAGTAAAGGTATGAATATCAGATACCAAAGGAAATATTGTGATGTTGTCACTTTGTTAAATGTAACAAATGAAAATGTCAATGCGAATAAACATAATTCCAATTGATCATATAATCGACATGAAAAAATGAGCGTATTCAATACTTGTGGAATAAATGTTATCAAGGAAAGTAAATGGTGATTTGGACTAAGGTATGTTAAGTAGAAGTATGGTGAAAAGTTATGTCGTGCATCGCGACGAATAATATGATAGAGATATGTTTCGTGTAAATATTCATAACCGTAGAGGTAATAAAAGAGTACATTGAGAAGAATCGTAGTTGCAACGAAAGAGATCACCAGTTGAAAACGACGAAATGTCAGATGTAAGGATAGACTACGTTCAATGTGAAAATATAATGCAAGAGAATATATGACTGGATAGATTTTTAAATGTGCGGCAAATGCAAGGAGAATCTGAAATGAAAATTCAAGATAAAAAGAAGAATTATGACTCAAATAAGAAAAGACTTACTCCCGTTAGCCATGTACGTTCATTTGGTTGCTTTGCATTGTAAAGTGTCGCAAGTACAGTGGCAGCTACGATTGCCTCGTAACTACCTCTGGTTGCAATTATCGCAGACATGGGATTATAAAACCATAGTAATGCATATTTCCGGTGTTGCAACGGTAGGATCCTTGCAATGAAGACACCGACAAGAACATCACAAATTGAAAAGAGTAATTTTCCCCAGTTTTCATCAAGAAGTAGATTCGGTGTTAGTAAATAAGCTAACAAAGGTGTATATCGATATGTTGTACGTTGGTACGGACTTTCGTTGTGTAAAACATGATTTGCACCATCGGTGACAACACGATAATCGATATCAGTGTACAGCGGTCCATCACCAGCTAGATCTTTATCATAGACGTCACCAACAAAAATTAAGACAAGTCGGAATAGAAGACCAACGATAGTATGAACGATCAACGATGCCATTTTGAAAAATGAAAATGTTTATGGCTTTGTTCGTCGAAAATGATATGAAAGGTTAAGTTAGATAAACGCCCTCTACAATATTTGATTGGAGCGTATATTGACAGGTGAACGTACGTGTCAAATTTCGTTTGATATTTCTCGCAAATTAGGAATTCTATCGTTAGATCGTCTTGACGTCATTCCATATCTGATTTGCATCGGTATATCGACCGATGCGTGAGATAGAGCCAATTCAAAACAAACCTTTGGTTACTTTCAGAAAGAGATACAAGTCAGTTTCGAATTTCGAAGAGGAAATGAGATTGATTAATTGATATCTATGAGACAATGTGGTGTATTTTCGATACAAGTATGCAAGATAGTTTTAAAGCTATATTCCGTCTGCAAAAGAAGGTCACATGATGCATGCGAAGCGAGTTCTGATTGTATTGTAACAAGACCGTCTAGTCAAAATTATCTTGAAAACGAACCATCTGATCCATAGAGAAACCCACTGTGTTTTCCTTCCTAATCATCTCGAAGGCGAGTGTATAGACTTTTTTTTCAAATTTATCTGCTTGTACAATTTAATCAAACAGATAGTGAATGGTTCACTGCGAAAAATGAAACGATTCGACGAGCAACATTCTGCCGCTACTGATTCGTATCGATATGAAAATAAAATAACGATTAACGCTGAAGTGTTCCTTCCTAATCAAAAGAGATGATCTCTTTTTTCGATGACTAGTGCTCAACTTGCTGTTACTTCTGTTCCTGATGGGTTCAAAGGCATTTATCCATATTCTCTACGCTTTGATCGATCTGATTTGTCTTTTTGTTTCACATGGAAAAGGATTCTTTGAAAATAATTAGCCGACATTCTTCACTGCATATACATTAGATAACAAGCGTGTTGCTATTTTTTTTCCCTATACGATGCTAACTGGACTTATCTGAAAAAGCGATCAGTAACATCGAACATATATTAGTGGTGCTTCTGCCTGCTGTCGCCTGTTTCATTTTGTAGTCAGAGCTTAGCGAAGCATAGATTAAATTATGCAGTGCATTGACTTGAAAGATCTGTAGAAAATGATAACAAGATAATCAGATGACCATGTTGATCGCGAAGTTCGCTTTTATACTCGCGTAGTTCTATTTCTTGGATTGACGAATATTTAGATTCATTCTTGAAAGAAGTCACCTGTCATAAGATTGATGAGCGAAAAGTTTCAGGAATCAGTTGACTTTTGTTTGTTTTTATCCATATGGATTGCTCGTCTTCTTCAACAGATAGACAAATGTCGAAAGAAGAGAAAATGATTGATCGAGACCGAGCGGTGGACGACGTCAAGAATATTATATACGAATTATTATGTATATGTGCATGGCAAATCCACGCCTGCTTAGTGGTGCCATTAGAAAGTCATTTTTCACGCCAATATGCACCTCTCTGCTTGATGGATATAAACCTTTTAGAATTAATAAGAAGATATTAAGAAAAAAAATGCTTTTTTATGTCAGAAAATATCGTCGAAATAATGTCAAGTCAATGCGAATCTCCAACAAAATCGTCTCTTATACTAAACGAGCATGTAGAGAAGATTTGCTCTTTTGATTAAGCGAAGAATAATGTCAGAAATGTTTACTGTATCGTTTGTTGATTAACCAAAATAGAAAGTTTTGAAAAAAAAAATCGATCTCATATTTTCTGATATCTTCCTATTGTTAATGATTAGTTCCTATGCCCTTTTGCATTCTTATTGATGAGTATATACAAATGTCACAAACTCGAAATTGATTTTTCTTCCGTACTCTTCTCTTCCGATATTAGCATCTAATAGCCAGGCTCACAGTGACGACAAGTGTTGAAAGACAAAATGTTTATATATCATTGGAATTTCGAACAACAGACCGGTTGATGAGAGTGAAAGTGATGATGTCTGTCATCATCAAGCTCGACGTTTCGACGGTATTCTTTGGCTGCTGCTTATATTTCTTCTTCGTCGATCGTGCTATATGTCAAATGATAATTAGAAAAGATGCTTTCTTCTGTGTACCCGTCCGTTCTCTTTCTCAAGCTACTTACTGTTCCACGTGCTAAATAGATCTATTCATTCTCATTCGACAGGCAGCATACGTACATTCTGATTTCTGGGAATCATCTATCATCACTCATCTGACTGAAAGGACATTAACTATTGAACAAGATGTACGTAAATCATCAAAGATTTCAAAAGAAACAACGAACTATTCGATACAATTTTCATTCATGCTGAACATACAATTAACTAACATCAAATAAACAAAGTCAAGTCAAACCGTTGGGAATTGAAATAAATAAAAGTTCTATTATACAGTTCAATAAAGACGAGTACTGCTATTAAACGATTCATTTCCAAAGAAGATGAAAGATCACACTGTAATCTGGTATATCACTCAGAAAGTTCCCATCTCTCGCGTTTATTACAGATGTTCAATATCTGGCAGGTTGACTCTGAACTCAACAGAGCACGTTGATCGAATGTGATACGTATAAGCGAAGTAGGAAATCCGTCATCATCAGTTATGGAGTACGTGCTCAGCACACACACACACACACAAGGCGAGTCAATCAACAAACATTTTTCATTGTATATACATAATGACCAGCATTCGCATATACATTCTTGCTGAATGATCAGTTGCAATAACACTAGCAGACGCGTTCTGATCAACTCATCACGAAACAAGCAACTGATGATAATGATAATAGGCAAGTAAGATTGAAAGACGAACAGGTTGCCAAAACAGGCTGACAAATGGCAACAACAGAAGGGCAGAATAGATCGATACTTGTTTATCGTTGGACTCGTGATAAATATTAACCATTGACAACGTCGATGAGAAAGAATACTATGCAATATGATCGCTTTATTGCTCATTTGTCTGCTACATTGAATGATAGGATTGCTTTTCTAGACGAGCAGGTTATCTTCTCCATCCGCTCCATTCGTTTTCTTTTGATAGAAAACAAACGTCAATCAAGATCAGTTCTATGTTCAGATAAACTCACTTTCTTTGAGATTTTCAACGGAAGCGGCAACAATTATGAAGTCTGTTTTCTCATCATTAACACTCGTTAAAGCAGAACTATGCTTATATTCAATTTAACGGTTGTTCGCTTTTCCGAGAATGTATCTAATCGATTAAGAGAAAGATAGAGAGGGCAAGAGACTTGAAGAATGGAAGAGAAGGAAAGGTGATTTATGAGCACATAAGTCGTTTGTTCTCGATGATGATGAATGGTCGTCAGATCTTTCGTAAATTCTTAACTTATCGTCAATTTGACCGAGGAATCTTGAACAGGAAACTGACCGAAACGGAAATTCACTCGCCCTATCCCGACACGGTGATAAAATTCGAGTATTCATTTCCTATGAGTTCGTTCGGCAAGAAGAAAACAAAACTGTCTTCTGATTGTCTATCGTTTTTATATTATAAAGAGAGAAAAAAAAAGAACAAATTGTGACAAAGAGAGAAAGATGCACAAAGACAAAAAGTGTACATATGTATGCAATAAGGTCAGTTAGTGAAATAAATACACATCAGAATGATCAGGGTACATAACATGAGAAAGAAAAATACTTGCCAAATACTTGAGAAAAACCCTATGTTAAATCGAAAATGCAGCCGTACTGCTACATTCATCAAGAGTATTCGTGTCTGCTGTTGTTGGTACAGACACCGATGTTGTTGTTTGCTGCAAACAGTTTTCCATATGTTTGTTGAGTAAGGACATACGCGAAAATGTTTTCGAACATTTCGTACAGCGATATTTTTTAATATCCGAATGGGTTTGCATATGTGCGCGCAAATTTGATCGGTCGGCAAAGGCTCGGCAGCAGATTTCACATTGAAAGGGTTTTTCTCCAGTATGTGTGCGAACGTGTCCTTGCAATAGCCACGGACGTGAAAATGCTTTACCACAGATTTTACATTTACACGGTAGCGTATGTGTGCGAATGTGCATCTTCAATGCGCCCAATGAATTGTAGGTCTTTTCACAAAATTTACATTGAAATTGTTTCTTTATTTGAGCGATACAGTGAAATTGTTTATGTTTAGAAAGTCCGCCAAATGTTGAGTATGATTTGGAGCAACCATCACACTGATAACGTGAATTGATTGTTGAATTTGGTGAGGGAGACGACGATGAACATGATGAAGAGGTTGGCGGAGTGAATGAACACGGTTTTTTTATCGAAGGATGGTTAGTTGGCTGGATTGGATTCGTTTTGGACATTTGCATAGCAAAGTATTGATAACTAAGATAATAGAGATAGGAAAAATCATTTGTCGACATTAAACGTGGAAATATCATTGAGGGTTTCGGAAATGCTCGATGTAATTTTGTTTCATTAGGAAGTTTCCCTTCTATTGAATCATCGTTCATTGAATTATTTTCTTCTTCGTCTTCTTCAGCGTCTAACATAGATTCACCAGATAAGAGATTGGATATGAGAAAACTTTTTCGATTGTCCGATTCTATAATATCATCGAAAGAAAGATTGAAATACTTTTGTCAAAGAAATAGAAGCTCGATTTCTTACCAGTCATCGTTTCGTCTTCGATTAGATTGTCGGTCGTAGTACTCATGATAATTTCTCTTATTTGGATAGAGCAGTATCTGCTGTCTTATGTCTTTTCTTCTCTTTCTCTCCGAATAGATTTTCTCACTTTTTATTCGTGTTCTTCTTCTCTCTCGTCTCGCGCATTCTGATAGGCTCGTTTTCTCTCTATCGTTGTCACAATGTATAACGCACTGGCTGTGTTTTTTCTGCCACTATCCAACCAGGCACTGTGCAATTATCATCTTGATGATAGTGAAGCGTTATTTCTGTTTCTTCTTCGCCTTTCCCTTTCTCCGTCTTTCTATGTCGACATAACTATGTCGTTATTCCGAGAAAATTGCCAGCTGAAAAGCAATAGTGTTGTAATTCTCAACGCAAATTACTCCATTTGATCGATGCAATCATCATGCATAGATGCGAGAATGCCTCCTATTATCGAGCCAATAGAAATGAGAAAAATCATTATTCGATGCACTTGTCCAATGAAAAGATTGTAAATGATCTACGAGATTAAGTATTTGTCTCTGCAGAGATTTTTCAGGGTGTGACTTAATCAGTTCTAAGCTTCATATTACTGCTTGAATAGATTTATATAATATCATCTTGTTGATCATAATGGTAGTCTTCATTCAATATTGATTTACGAAAGGCAACAGATACAACAGCACGCGTATGGTACGATGTATATATTAAGAGGGAGAGTCAATCAATCACTTCATGTATCTGTTCATTATATAAAACGAAAAATCTAAGATAAACAATTGAAGGAAAGGAAGAAAAACAGAAATGATGATACCGCCCTTCGACACCGTTTCGAAGCATGTTCTTTTGTTGATATTACTCGATGAACGAGAACAACACTCAGCAAATAAATGAAGTTCAATTCGAACGTGATCTCCGGCTGAAATTTCTTGATTTACATTCATCAATTATGGCAAAGAAACATTGCCCTCTTTCTCCTTCGATACTGAAAGGTGTGGATTATCGTCATTCTCTCGCTCGGCAGGTCGCACAAACCTGCTCAACGTTTCAACATCATTAGCATTGTTCGATATTTCTTTCTTTTTAATACATCAATGTTCGACTGCTCTTCTCGACACGTTCAGAAAGCACACCTTTCTCGTACGAATATTCCCAGCATGGCAGTTTGACTTGTAGGAAGGTCATTGTTACTATAGAACATCTTATTATTGCCATTTATCAATTAATTAATATAAAATTATACAATAAGAAAAAGGCAAAACAAGTAACTGAACGACAGATCGAATAATTTGATTTCTGTACATGGTAGCGATGAGCGTTCATTTCGATGGTGAAAGCGTAGGCAACGGTTCTCTTTGTAAGAGTTCAATGAGATGTTTTTGCTCTTCAGATGGTGTCACTGAGGGTACAAGTTGAGTATTCTTATGCAATTCAGGTGCAGATGAAACATGCGTAATCACTCTAGAAATCCAAAGTAGAATAATAAGTTGCAGTTCGATTCGTCTTACTTTAAAACATCTTCCGATTCGTATTGAGTTCCTTCATCAACAATATCTCCTTCTTTTCGTGGGGGTTCGATCGTTTCAGCTAGAGAGAATACTACCGGTTCTTCAGCTGTTCCTTGAACAATGGTGTAGTCGATGCCAAGTTCAGCGTCTTCAGCTTTCGCCAGAGCGATTGCCACTGTTTTTGGATCGACACGTCCTAATGGTATCTTAGGAACAGCACCCCATGCGAAATCACGATTTGTACATTTCATACGAGTATAATAGGCAAATGCGGCCAAAAGGATCGCACAAATAAATAACATTGGCAAAACAATGGTATGAAAATTCGGATAATCACTATATGGAATTATTATTGGAAGAACTTTTGCAGTTAAATTAGTGTTATTGATTGAAGAATGTCGTGAGAGGATTTCATTTGGTTTGACATGCTTTGGTGTCCACCAAGTGACATATGGTTCACTACCATTTCGGTCTAAACCGAAATAATGACTAACGATGGAGCCAAAAGAAGCCGGAGTGTTGGTGATTGTCTTTGCGAGCCAAGTGGAAAGGAAAATTGAGACTAAAGACATGACTAAGATGCAACATATGATTGTTGTTAAACTCGAACGAGCTTCGAGCATGAGATGTTTGGTTTCGTCAGCGATCGCATGTGTGTCTAAATGAATGAAAACGTTAATATATCGATGAAAATCGTACAATTTATCCTCTACCTTCGCGAAGTGTTTCCGAAACATCGCATGCGTCATCTTCTTTGGACATTTTGTATTTGAAATGAATTGAACAATACAAACAAAAAGTGTACGTTCATATTCGCTCATAATTGGTTTATTTCTTCCGTCAATTGTCATTCTCCTATTCTTTAACGTCATCTTTTCTGACCTCGTCGCGACTATCAACGTTGTATTTCTATTCGCTCACATATTTTCATACGAAATATTATTCAGTTAGATGATAAATAACTTGATATTTAACTAAAACAAAACTTCATTCGATTGTATTTAAACAATCTAGTATTCCGTAGCCATGTCGAAGTCGACTTGTCCATCTCATTTATCTTCCACGGCGACAACACCAGATTTAGATTTGAATAACATTCAAATTCAAACTCTCATGGACTTTCGTAATCAAACAAACTCCAATGATAAACGTTTGAATAATGTTAACTATGTTCGACAAGTTTTGCGACGATTTTTCGGTATCTACAATAAAAAATCAACATTGAACAATTCTACCGATGATAATTATTCGAACAATTTAATGTCTCCGATATTAATTCATCCATGTTTACAATTGAGTAAACATGCAAAATTTTCCGGTAAAGAAAATTCACGTCAAAAAAAGCGCCTGAGAGTTCAAGAGATTTGACTTTGTTTTTAGGTGACTTATTAGTCGACTGGTTTTTAGTGCATTTCGAAGATCGTTATGATAATCTTCCATTGATTAAACAGGTCATTTTACAATGTTGTACATGTCTACTTGGACTTGATGTTCTTCGACGGGAAGATCAACAAGAGACAGACTTGTTTCAGGTATGTTCCGAACAAATTTTCACTGATTCCGCGAAATTTCTCTTTCTATTCAACATTAATATGAATCAGGACAGATTTTACATTCGTTATACTCATGAGAAATCATATTCTCTAATATCAATAGCGTTATATTAAGAAAACGCTCTATTCCCATCTGTTTTTTTTTGTCAACCAAAATCAGAGATAATCGAAGTTTTATTCGTTATTTATATTGTCGGACGACCATGTATGATGAAAAAAGGTGTAAAAAACCTTGTCATCTGACGAAGGTAATCAATTGTATTCACTAGATATATGTGAATAAAGGAGGGTAGAGGTAACGAAAAAAAAAAGGTGTCAGAAACCATCATGGGTCTTCGTACACATACATATGTCAAAAGCGATCAATGATATCGACATAATTGAACACGATGCAATACGTATTTGATGTTCGAATGACATAGATTGTTTGACAAACACATTTTTCTTTTCCTATAATGTCATTCTTGAAGCAATCGTGTGGATAGACGGGTGCGTGTGCGCTTTCAAACTACCTGTTCGAATTGCATTAGATATCATTATTTATCATCTCACCTCGTTCTATAGAAAAACGTTCTCGTACTGTTTGTATAATAGTTGATATCATCTTTTCTTTTTCTTACACATTCATTTTTCTTTTTCGATGTATACTCAATAATTATAAACATCAATTTCTTTTTTTTTGTTCCGGAAAAAGCCATACTAATTCAAGTGATTTTTTTTATCTCGATTGCTTGCATTCATAGTTGTTGTTCTGATTATTTTTACCTTGATTGGAATGGAAAATGGCCTTGATGTTCAACATATCCATTCAAGTCTGTCAAAACCTTCGACATCGATGATATCGAATCGATGTGCACAACGTTTGTCTGCGCGTTATTTAGTTCAACTAACATGCTGAACAGTAAAACAAAGAAGAAGAAGAACAACACTAGTCATCAAGGTTTTTGTTCATAGAAAGAGAAAAAAGTCATGACCTGAGGAAGAATTTGTTGATCATGTCTGTTGAATAGGAATAATATTGATCATTTGTTGCATGTTTTTCGATGATTCCAATCGCTTTTTATCGGCATGGATTTGTCGAATGATCAGTTGACATGAACAGATCGAAAAGAAACAGCCGAGAACGAACAGAAGTATAAGTTTCGCGACAATTAAACGATGAGTTGATATGTACGATTTGTATTCCTCCATTGTCGCATTCATTTGTTTTTATTCGATTTTGCAGGCAAGTTTGCGAAAAAGATAATGATGACAAATCTGATCATTTCATTCGCAAGAAAATGACGAAACGGAATCTCGAAGTCAAGCTTCATTTGTATCTGTTGTCGTTTGATTTCTTTTTTTCTCGCTGTTAAATGTCATGATTGATAATGATGATCAATTCTATCTTTCATTTTCTCTCTCGATATTACTTAGATACAAAACGTGTACTCATGGACAACTAACCATAATACAGATATGGAATACTCTTCCTCATCACCATCCGTTATTAATGAGAGTGAGTTTGGTATACGTGTTGTGAACGTATATGTGTGTATATTGTCTTTTATTGATGATAGTGTAAGGTGTGAAGCTTTCTGTGTTCGTGTCAAGTGTGAAGGATGTTATATCGATATCGTTCTGTGTTCTAGTCAGTAAGGTGTGACTGAAGAAGCGAAAGAGGCAGGCCAAACAGGTATCATTGTCGATTGCTCTTTTGGTACGTTTATAACACACTATTCTATCATTTATATCTCTTATTGATCTGCTCATTTCTCTTTCTGCCTTCACTTTCATATTAATCAATAGAGAATATCAATCTCATTCGTTTTTCCTCTCAATATACTCACAAATATGAACAAAAAATGACGACCTTCATCTAAACGTATATATTCTTTTTTTCTAATAGTTAATCACCATCTGATCGAAAGCAAAGAATATAAATATAAATCATCGACAGCGACAACCATTTTGGATATTCTTACGGTGCGTGTATATTGAATTGACATAGAAGAAGAAAAACGATATTTATCTCTAATTTTATCTTTAGAGTGAATACGGTTTTCATTCCGATGTTCAACAAATAGAAAGCAATTCGATATCTACCCAAGTCAATCTTGAGAACAAGATTGAGAAAAAACACGTAGCAATCCAAACAGGCCCAATCGTCATATCTTCCATTGAGGTAATTATCAAACCTTCTAGACTGCAATCCTTGTTGTACAAAGTATTATATTAGAAATGTTCGACACTTGATACTGATTCCATGTCGTCATTTATTGTATCAAAAACCGATTCGAATAGTAATCCATCGTCACCGATATCGCCACATCGTGTCGATGAGAGTACTGTTCGGCAGACAATGCAAAAACTCTTTCTACATGATAATATTAACGATTCATCGTCGCCCGGTGATGATGATGATGTTCGTTCACCTTTAACATCTTCACAATCATTCAAAAACGATCATGCAAAGTTTACAAGTATTTCTTCGTTCATTATTCTGTTCGTCACTCCTACACAGTTCGAGTTTTTGTCTAGGTGAATTACTTTTGGAATGGATCACATTGAATTCCGATTCAAGAAACTCGAATTCACAACCAGCTACTGTACGCTCAAATATTAACATCAATTCCAACGATAACGACTTTTACAAAGTAAGAAAAGAGTTTATTTTAATTAATAACAACATACAACCAAATTATTCTCGTTTTAGCCATTCAACATGTCTGCTAGAGGATCGTTTCTTTCCTGTGCTAACGGACAATATGGACCTTCTTCTTCACTCATATCAAAATATAATATTGACGATGACGTACAGTCACTACTCTCGGATCTGGTTATGCAAGTAGATAAAAAATCAAACGAAATAGTATCAACACCACCGCCACCACCTCTTCCGCCTCCTTTGCCACCATTTTGCCAACCGACAAAAGAGATAATCACAACATCCGCACCTGTAGCAGCAGTACTGGGCTTTAGTAGTCCTCCACCTCCACCGCCGATGATGCCAGAATTTAGTGGTAGGTTCAAATTGTCATTCGAATATGCATCATCTAAGATTCCAAATTTCAGCTCCACTTCAACTGCCACAATATTTGCGTAAAAAGCGGAAATATTCTGTTATCGAACCTGTCAAAAAAGTTCAATGGAGTAAAGTTAGTATTTGATCAATTCATTCTCGTTATAATTGCATTCTCATTATCAGATCAATCCATATACAATCAAAAAAGAATCAATGTGGGTCAATGTTGATGAAGAAAAATACGTCAATGATGTACTTTTCTCCGACATACGAAAGAATTTCGCCAGTAAAATCACTCCGAGTATATCATTCTTATATTTCAACGAAATTCAACACGAAAAACAAAACGAATTCTTCTAGATCGACAACCCATTCATGAACTTGTTGATAAATCGAAAGAACTGCGTGTACTCGATGCAAAAGCTGCTCAAAATTTTGGTAAAAGACTTCTTTTCCTCAAAGAGAACGAATTTTCTTATCGAAATTCTTTCTCTCGCTGTTTTCTAGCGATCATGTTTAGTCAATTGAAAGTAACGCCATCGGTATTTCGGGAATGGATGTTAACATGTGATAATGAAAATTTGAAATATGATTTTTTGAAACAATTAGAAAAATACTTACCATCAAGTGAAGAATTGAAAATTTTAGCTGATTATCAACATGAAATCAATGATTTACAATACTCCGAACAGTATTTTTGTGCAGTAAATTATCTTTCGAAAACGATCGAACAATCTATTGAGGTAGTAATTGCATTTTGATTTATGTTCAGATCGGTGATATCAAACGATTGAAGCAACGTTTAAAAACACTTCTCTTCAAAGCAAATTACAAAGAAACAGTTGAAGAAACAGACAAAGTTTGTTGAATTCGATATTAGAAACAAAACATTCGAAGTTGTGTTGCTTCTTCAGGCATTTGTTGAAGTCCGTTCTGCATGTGATCATGTCCGACATTCCGTTCGGTTTAAGAAAATGCTCGAATTAATCTTAACTGTTGGTAACTATATGAATTCAAGTGCCAAATCATACGAACCCATCCATGGTTTTGACATCAGTTTTCTCCCCAAAGTAATTCTATTGACTGATTTCGAAGAGAACGCAGAATAGAAGTCGACTGGTTTGTTCTAGTTACATTCCACTAAAGCAAATGATGGTCGTCGTTCATTATTGCATTTCATTGTTCAAGCCATTCAGGACAAACATCGTGATCTACTTTCATTTTCCGATGAGTTTTATCTGCTTGCTGATGGAGTATCGAAAAGTATGTTGAGATGAATTTTATCAGAGTGGAAACATTTGCTTTTTTTTGTCGGTTTTAGTTAACATATTGGAACTTCAAAAGCAACCACAGGAAATCAAACGTGAATTGAAAAATGCTCGTGAAGAACTAGCGATTGCCAAAAATGCAGAAGATCAAATTGAAGGCGATCAATTTGCTGAAGCTATAGAAGTGAATTTAATCGAAATTCAGATGAAAATGTTACTTTTCGTTTTCTAAGGATTTCCTAAGCGTTGCTGATGACGACGTTGCTCGACTGGAGCAACTCGATGAGGAAATGACAAATGCCTATCAAAATTTATGTGATTTCTTAGCGATCGATTTGAAAAATTATTCTCTGACTGAATTTTTTACTGATCTTAAACTATTCTGTACTTTCTTTTCCGTAAGTCTTTTCTTCTTCACACATGAAAAGTTCAGTTTCATCTTTGATTTCCGTTTAGACTTGTTTGCAAGAGATTCGAGCTTGGCGTGAACAAGCTGTTCGTGCGGCGAAAACAACGTAAGTAGTCCATACACCGAGAATAAGGCTCAATCTCACGTTAGAGAATTGATCATCAAACAAGAAAAGTTACCTTCGCCCTTTAGTCAAAACCTGATGTCTACTTCACAATATTTCGTTCGTACATCGTCGTCCCGTCGTTTTCCCACACGGTCTGATTCGACCGATGATTTTCTTTTGGCAGTTGCCGAAAGTGGTCTATCGCCATCACGTGGTACATCTCCATCGCAGACATATCGTCGACAGGTAGCTTGCACAGATCGAGCATTGCATGACAAAGCTAGAATAAACCAATGCGAAGTGCATGTTTTCGTTTTTCTTACTAAACTACTAACCGACAACACTCATTGAATATGATATTCAAATTTGATTCGTTTGTTTTAGAAATACTCAATCATATGTCGAGAGAAAGACTCTCGATATTCCCGATGATACAATAGGAACAACTCGACGTCCGTTATCACGTATTGAAGCTTTGATTGATAAACGCAAAACCAATCGTGGCTTAACCCCGACAACAACATCAACCAAAAAACGATCTCAATCATAGAGAATGATCATTTTTCGTTCGACGCTGGCATTCCTAACCTATATTTTCACCATCCAGTGATTCTGAAATAAACTCGTTTCGTTTTTCGTTTTCTCTCTCTTCACTGTTTGTTTCTGTGTAAACACGTGCATCTGCTATTTTTTTATCAGTTCATCATCTATTTATTTCATTTCTTTCCATTGATAAAAAAAAAGTCGCCGTTCTAGCCAAAAAGATTACTTCACGAATCATTCTAGAGCTTGTCTTTTCACAAACATTACAGATGAATGTCTGTTTGTTCGCATAGATTCATTCGATTACTGACACGGCAAATGCATTTGAAATTACCCGCAGCAGTTAAGGGTAAGACAACGTTAGATCGTGAGCAGTTCCAACAAACGATCAATGTACCCTACGTTAACGTTCCTGTGGAATGTATTCAAACGTCAAAATGGAAAAATGCTCTATTGACATTACCATCAATGAAGAATGTTCGAGATCTGCAACCAGTATCGAAAACCCATAAACAAGTCCTGTTAGATCCGGATGTTATTGTGACGAAAGAGGATGCGATTAAGATGATGCCATCCATTGCAAAATACATCGAAGAATCATTCGATTTCATGGACTTAGGAATCAAATATGAGAATTATTCTATAGAGCAAGTGATCAAAGCAATCCTACCGGATGATTTAGGAAAAGATGGACCGATTAATACCGGCTCTGGATATAGTCTCATCGGACATATAGCTCATTTCAATTTGAAAGATGCTGTTCTACCATACAAACATGTTATCGGTAAGTAAACATTCATAGACTAAAGAGTATCTTCGAAAGAAGTACGATAAGCATTGCGATTGACGATATTTTCTTTTTCGAATAAATACATTCTCTTCTAAGAATTGTAGCGCAAGTAGTTCTCGATAAACTTGTTAATGTTAAAACCGTGGTGAATAAACTGCACGAAATCGATTCTGTTCATCGAAATTTTGATTTGGAGATCCTTGCCGGTGAACAAAACACGATTGTCAAGTGTCGCGAAAGTAAAGCAACGTTCCAATTCGATTTTTCCAAAGTTTATTGGAATCCTCGATTAAGTACGTAACCACAAATACTGATGCTTTCCATTTCCTATTGAGTGATTCGTTCAGGCACCGAACGCGAACGTATCGTCAAAATTCTTCATCATAATGATCTGGTTTTTGATGTTTTTGCTGGTGTTGGGCCATTCGTTGTTCCTGCTCTAATGCTTGGTTGTAATGTTTATGCTAATGATCTCAATCCGGAATCTGTCAAATGGATGACAATTAACTTAAAAACAAATCAATCAAAGAAATCTTCCAATCAATATCATGTATTCAATTTAGATGGCCGAGAATTTCTTCGCACGATTGTCTTTCCTCGCATTGAATCTTATCAGAAAGAGATTCTCGACGACAAAGAAAAACGTTGGTGCCTATCGGACAATAAAATTGTGATTCTCATGAATCTACCAGACATCGCTCTGTCATTCTTGGATGTTTTCCCTGAATGGCTAGAGAAGGATTGTGAAGAAAGACAACAATGGATCTTACCGATTCATATTCACTGTTATACATTTTCAAAAGCTGAAAATACCGACGAAGATATTCATTTACGATTGAAGACTTTCATGCCGAACATCAGTGATCAACAAATATCATGTCGATTCGTTCGGCAAGTCGCACCGAAGAAAGATATGATGTGTGCGAAGATTGTTCTTTACGAAAAAAAACACAATGATGAAGATCATCCATCGAAGCGTTTTAAAAACGATTCTTCCGAGTGACTGTTGTCACAATGTTTTGTTATGAAAATCAAATAAAATTTTGCTCGGTAACGAGAATATATTTCTTGCGAGGAAAAAAAACAATTACGGAGATGATAAAAAAGACATTTGACGATATATTTGTGCATTAGCTAATGGTAATTGAAATTTCGAGCGATTGACAAGAAGCTCTTCGAAACATTGGTAAGCAATGGGATCGACTTTGAGATAGAATTTATTGGCAATCAACTCATGACGACCAGCTAGTAATGGTAAATCAGCGGTACCAAATACACATATACCACGTATGATAGTACCATGACATTGGTATTCACCCCAATTACAGAACCGGCCTGTCCATTTGGCAGGGTCAGTTTGTGCTATGAAAACAAAGTACTACTGTAATTGAATCGAACGTTCATCGTAGGTGCATCAATTACCTTTAGATCCACCGGGAACTTTTAAATGTGTATTATAGTTTAATGTTGCCCAAACATGTTCGTCAGGGCTGTAAGTATCCTGTGACCAATTCAACAGATCTTTAGCAATTGGATTTGTTTGTATGTAATTGACAAATCCACGAGAAAATACACCTAGAATTATTAAAGGTATTTATCTGCCTTAATAGAAAGGAAAACGGCACCATACCATAAGCAGATCCTTTGAAAATTGAAATATTGTGCGGAGGTGGTTTCTTTCTTTCGTCTGTTCTGCTGATATAAGATTCATGTGTTCCACGCGTATTATTATTGTACTTAAAAACATATTCAAATCGATGCACGTTTCTATTTCTCCATATGCCTTCAATATCATTGAATCCTCGGTAAATCGACAGAATTTTCACCAATTCGCTATTGGTTCTCAACGGTAGTTCTGAACCGGCGATATTTAACAAATATTTCCACGATGGGTATTTCAATAGATCTTCCATGCAATTCAAGTCCGCCTGTAAGCGCCGGAAAGTTGCATAAAGGACTCGTTCACGTTTGTTTGTTAGGAAAATATTATCGAAACAATTGGCAATAGATCGCACAGATTCGAAAACCGTTCTTTCTGCACCACTATCAACATGAATACAATAGATATTTTGTGGACGATAGATCAGACGTAAGAGACGTTCGAATTGTTCGACGTTGTCATGTAGTAAAATAGTAAATGCTATCGGAAATTGTTGATTGATTGATGAATCTCGGTAATGGAAGGGTTGATTGAAACGTTCGGAGCGATAATTAATACATAGACTTTTCGGTACATGATATTTCTCGTTCGAAATTGCAGGATATGAGTTCGTTTTGTTGCGTAAGAGATTGTTTGCGCGCTCAATTTCATTTGGATCACTTTCGAAAAGTTTTTGACACGATACAGGATACGAATATGATTGTAAGTGTTGAAAGAAGGTTTTGTACGAGATGGACGATTGAAGATTATAGGAGTAGGAGTCAGCAGGTTGAAAATAGGTCGTACGAACGAATGTAATCGTAAAGAAAAATCCGAGAAATAGTAAACAATTATTGAGCATTAATCGGCGATTAGGCCACACCTTTGTTCGCCATGAATTCGATTGCATTATGAAATTTTCCAGCTGATAATATAACACGAACTTGTACGGTCAGAAAACAGAAGAAGCGCTCATTTTGTTTTCCACATTTTATCTCTTCATAATATATCATCCACATTCACACTTCGATCTATACATATTTAAATTTCAGTGAATACGACGAAACCAACATGATAGACGTCATTTTTGTTCTCTTGTCTTTATCCAAAATATATGGAGATTTGTCTCTCAAAATTGGACTGAATATTATTCTAGAATTGATTAAATTAATGATATGCACACGGTGTCATATGGAATCAAACATCGAAACTTGTATTTTAGCCTCGAAGAACAATATATACCTAAGGTTGTCACTGAAGACTGATGCTGCACAAGAGAACTTTGTTAATTATAGAATATACCGCTTCTGGCTTTTTTTCAGTAGTTTCATTTTGATTCGAGTAACTTCGTGACATCGTCAGATAAAAAGTACGAGCGTTATCATCAAGACTGGCCGTTTTCTGATGAGAACTTTTTTTTACTGGAATCATTTTTGTTAGTCACAGAATTGAAAGTCTGCATAGACGTAATTCAGTCGCACGAACACCGATATGGATGAATTCAATGTGTACCCCTTGTAATGGTTCAAAAAAGAAGCTACAATAACACATTTCCCCTAGCAATAATGCCGACTTCGAACTTCATATCCTATAAATAACGCACCTCTCTGTATTATTTAAAACAATTCAGTATACCACAGATGGTCTTTTCTCATCGATTATCTTCCATGATAATCATCTATCTCTATGTGTGTATATAAATACAAATCCCCTTTCATACCCGCCAGTTAGAAGACGTTTGTGTATAGTGATGATCACCATTTGTATAATTTCTCTGCTTGTTTCTTCCGTCACATCTCAACTCACTCACGGACAAACTCGAGTGCTCTACGAATCTTTCGACCCTCCGACACTCAACACTTCCCTCTGGAACTACGGATATCCATGGGGTACTTATTACACTCATCGAGCGAACACAAACCAGCGTCTCGTTCGAGTCACTCAAGATGGTTATTTGAATCTAACTGCTATCAAAGAGCGATCCATCACACTCGGTGTCATGACAGAATTTGGTCCACTCGATATTGACTTCTCTTCAGGTGCTGTCAACACCAATGGAAAGTTCTGCATGAAAAACGGCTTCATCGACATTACTCTTCGTGTACCACCGACAGAAAGTACATGGCCTGCCGTGTTTCTCGTACCAGAAGATTCAGGTCGTGTGCCTATGCTTACTATTATGGAAGCATTCGATTCACGATCTCGCTATGCCTACGGATTCAAGTACACGAACAGCAAGGGTGAAGTCGAAGAACAGAACTTTATTGCAGACAACAAACAAACAAGTGACAATCTACATCGATATGGACTAGACTGGGGATATGATCAGATCACATGGTACTATGATGACAAGTGGGTGAACACGGTCACAAAATCTGATGAGCTGAAACAAGTGGATAGCCTGTGTTTGGTGATTGGACTTGGTGTGGGTGGTAAAGCGCAAGCTTCAACAATCAATGCTGCTGAATATCCATCAGTGATGAGTGTGGATCTATTGGAAGTGTGGCAACCCAAATATGATGGATTTTACAAGTTCCGAAATGTTCAAACAGGTTTGTTGCTAGAAATCGATAGCGCCTTACATGATTGGGCTGCTTCTGTTCTGCAATGGCATGATAATGGAGGTGATTGGCAAGTAAGTGATATTTATTTCGTATAGAGTTAGATGCGATAGTTGTATGTTGTATAGAAATGGCATGTTCAATATGCTGGTCATGGTCAATTTCGACTTATTACCGGACACAGCCGGCAAGGTTTAGATAGTGACAACTGGGGTACAGCTGATGGCACAAGGTTAATTCAGTATCCATATCACAGTGGAAACAATCAACTGTGGAAGTTACAAATCGTTGATGAAAGCAAGCCGGATATTGTTCAGTTGATTAATGTTCATACTATCGGTAATTCCGATGCTCCAAAAATGGTATCTGTGCCTGCAACTGATACAGCACCGGGTGCGCGATTACATTTATGGCGCGACATGAATAGTGATCTGCAAAAATGGCAGATGATTCGTCTTTGAAAATATCTATTGTAATAGTGGTTTTATTTTCTTCATAATAAAAGGAAAGGTGAATTGCAATTCCAACGATGACTGTGGTGTTATGAGGGTTCAACTGACGGAAGCACGATTGCTTGTTAGGCGGCATTCTACTGTATCGTACCTTGATTTCGTTCAGAATGTAGACAGCCAAAAGTGGTGGGTTGAAAATGATAGTTATTGTACCCAAAGACAACAGAGTGATTTTCCATGATAAAGAGTTTGTGAAGTTTATTTTTTCCAGATAAAAGGAGATAACAAGCAGTAGGTAGTGTGCATCTTCTACGAAACGATTGTCTCAAAAACAAAAAAGGTTAGTATCAATTATATTTCTAGAGAGATAAAAAGTAGCTTTGGTATCGTATCTGTCATGATATTAGAAAACAAACAGTGATATGTATGAGCACTAAAAATGGAGGACAGTATTGAGAAACTTTGTTAGCATTAACGCCTATCGAAAGACAAGCTGATTGTTCTTTTAAGATATTATTTCAGTCTTCCGTATGTAAAAAATAAAGTCGGTTGTGTCTAAGACTACGAAATTATGCACATGATGATGTCAAGAAGATAAACGTTCGCAACCAGCGAATGCTCCTTCACACATCTGGATTAAATACACGATCCAAATACTCTTCTGATCAAATATAAATGAGATAGCTGATCATATCGTGTAAGAAAATACCGTACCTGAACAATCCGAACAATAAGTCAATTGAGACATTGAAACGAATGAGAAGGAATAGCTACGTGTTGAAGGTACACCATCTTATCCTATTAAGGTTGCCAACGACACTAAGAGTGCGATGGTAAAACTCATTTGACTAATCTTCAGCATTATATTAGTTTTCAATCCATGTTTGTAATGAAAGTAACGATTGAAAATGAGAAGTAAATGGCATGATCATAAAATAACGTTAGTGCTATGTATGGTATGATCAATCAGGGGATAATGGTCTTTAAGTTAGATTCGTTTTTTTCTCAGCAGAGAGAGAGAAAGTCATCGGTTTTTGTTTGAAGCAGACTACTACAGCAGCATTGTCTGATAGAGAATGGCTTACATATACCACTAATTAATATTTACTCATCCAAATGTGTGTCACGAAGCGTTTTTTTATACTTCGTTAAAAAGAGAACGTTCGCTTTTCAATATCATAAGGGCAGTCCACCGAGGAAAACCACATTGACGCTGTATTTATCAGCGAGAAAAACATCTTTTCCAATCGGAAGAAGGTCATATTACTACCGATGGTGTATGTTAAAGTCGCAAAGATTAGTGAATGAATTCTCAATGTGTAGAAGATAGCTCATGTGTGACACCGTAGAAATCGTCTATTCTACTTTAGCCATTAAATGGCAAGCAGTTTTTGACGAGAAAAACAACAATCATGAAGAAAAACGTTTTTAGAAATCTAGTTACCGGTGGTAACCGTGAAAATTTGCACCATCTTAAACGACAATTGAAACACTCTGGATACTTTTTCTAATCGACGACTATGAGAAAAAAGTCACTCTTTTTATTTACGTTCATGTGTAGAAGCCCGGATTTGCAGCTGAACATTATTGAAAAGTCACGCTGACATATATATTTCTTGTCTGAGATCCTATACAATATGCTTTCTAACGCTTTTTCCATACGAATATACAGTTCATGTTACAACATTGTTTTTCGTTCGCCCTTAATAAGGTATGTGTTCAAGTGATATTTTCTAAGGAAAATTACTAAGCACCCTATCACACGATATATGGATACTTTCTCTTGCTGACATGCACGCGTATATCAACATAACCTTGTTGAAGTTATTCGTTAATAATTTAGATACCATACAGACGGAACCACATAGGAAATAAGTATACAATAGTTTAAATCAAGTTATCATTTCTCCATGAGAATACTTTCACCAAAATTGATCTTATAAGTGGCGAAAGATTCATCTCATAAATATCCAAATGAAGGATTGGGTAAATGTGAATTAGTATTCATGATACATAATGCGAACAAACTAAACATCCATTTTTCCGGTAGTTGAAACAAGAACATTACCCTATATTTTCGGTCAACATCATATCCTATAAATAATGCACCTCTCCATATTATTTAAAACAATTCAGTATACCACAGATGGTCTTTTCTCATTGATTATCTTCCATGATAATCATCTACCTCTGTGTGTGTATATAAATACAAATCCCCTTTCATACCCGCCAGTTAGAAGACGTTTGTGTATAGTGATGATCACCATTTGTATAATTTCTCTGCTTGTTTCGTCTGTCACATCTCAACTCACTCACGGACAAACTCGAGTGCTCTACGAATCTTTCGACCCTCCGACACTCAACACTTCCCTCTGGAACTACGGATATCCATGGGGTACTTATTACACTCATCGAGCGAACACAAACCAGCGTCTCGTTCGAGTCACTCAAGATGGTTATTTGAATCTAACTGCTATCAAAGAGCGATCCATCACACTCGGTGTCATGACAGAATTTGGTCCACTCGATATTGACTTCTCTTCAGGTGCTGTCAACACCAATGGAAAGTTCTGCATGAAAAACGGCTTCATCGACATTACTCTTCGTGTACCACCGACAGAAAGTACATGGCCTGCCGTGTTTCTCGTACCAGAAGATTCAGGTCGTGTGCCTATGCTTACTATTATGGAAGCATTCGATTCACGATCTCGCTATGCCTACGGATTCAAGTACACGAACAGCAAGGGTGAAGTCGAAGAACAGAACTTTATTGCAGACAACAAACAAACAAGTGACAATCTACATCGATATGGACTAGACTGGGGATATGATCAGATCACATGGTACTATGATGACAAGTGGGTGAACACGGTCACAAAATCTGATGAGCTGAAACAAGTGGATAGCCTGTGTTTGGTGATTGGACTTGGTGTGGGTGGTAAAGCGCAAGCTTCAACAATCAATGCTGCTGAATATCCATCAGTGATGAGTGTGGATCTATTGGAAGTGTGGCGACCCAAATATGATGGATTTTACAAGTTCCGAAATGTTCAAACTGGATTGTTGCTAGAAATCGATAGCGCATCACACGATTGGTCTGCTTCTGTTCTACAATGGCATGATAATGGAGGTGATTGGCAAGTAAGTGATATTTATTTCGTATAGAGTTAGATGCGATAGTTGTATGTTGTATAGAAATGGCATGTTCAATATGCTGGTCATGGTCAATTCCGACTTATTACAGGACACAGTCGTTTTGGTTTAGATAATCCGGGTTCAGGTGTGGCTGATGGCACAAAGTTAATTCAGTATCCATATCACAGTGGAAACAATCAACTGTGGAAATTACAAATCGTTGATGAAAGCAAGCCGGATATTGTTCAGTTGATTAATGTCTATACAATAGGTAATGCAGATACTCCGAAGTTGGTATCTGTACCTGAAAATGATACATCAGCGGGTGTGCAGTTACATTTATGGCGCGACATGAATAGTGATCTGCAAAAATGGCAGATGATTCGTCTTTGAAAACACCTATTGTAATAATGATCTCGATGTTTTGTACAATAGAAAAGCATGATATACAGCTTGCTGGAAACTATATAGTATATACTGTCTCCGATTTCGATCTAACACCCTCTATTGATGAAGAATTATTGACTTCACACTGATAGGATACAACGAGGTTGACGATGAGTCACAATCCTTTTCTCTTTTTCTTCTTCTTTAGCATGTCACATCACGTCAATGGGTGGAAGAAAGAACGAATATATCCGATCCGACTACTAACTGCAGCTGATTGCACGATTGGGTAGTTAAGCGTCTGTACTAAAAATACTAGCAAAAGACAGACGTCAAAAGGTGTGGGAATGTCCTGTCGACTGCGCATGTCAAAATAGTCACCCACACCTCACCTACACTTTCTTCAGCGTTTTTATCATCGCTGTTTCCCGACTTTTCCTATCGGTATCGTTCTTTCAATATTTAGATGTGAATTTCAAAGATGTCGATTTTCCGTTTATTTTCCAATACTAATAAAGGTTTGAACTTCGAATCGTTATTTTTTCCCCCCATTGTATGCTCAATTTCATTGTCCAGAAAAAACTCGTGAGCGCAGTCGAAGTCGCAACCGAGCAGAAAATCTCTCCGGTGTTCAACAATGGCCCTACTATCGTGATTTAGCAATACAATCAGGTAGAATCAAGTAATTCTTTCTATGAAAATAAGTCAACGATTGTTGCTCTAGGCCATTTTACCATTCCATCTGAACTTGCTTCACTACGACACTCCCGTCTAAATCGTTCACTTTATAATCTTGTTTATACACCAAATGATGAATTGAACTATTTCATTCTCTTTATGGAGTCATGCTCTTTATCGGCTTATTTGAAATTCATTCTTGACGTTCATGCATTTGAAAAACTAAGCCGACAACATTCCGCGAAAAATTCCGACCAACAAACAGCGGCACTGACTCTGTTTCATCGATACTTTGCAATCGATGCCAAATATCCCATTCCAATTGACGATGATATGCGTCAAACGACATTTTGTAAATCCAATTACTTTTATTCTTGCAAGTCGATTAACTCGTACGTTGTTTTAGCTTTGATTTGTCCATCAAGTGATATTACTGAAACAGATTCGGATTGTTTTCGAATGGGAAGGGAATATGTTTGGAATTTAATCGAACAGAAGTTTGTTTGAAAGATGCCAACACAATGAAGAGCAATCTCATGTCTTTTTCTTTAGTGCTTATCCGTCGTATTTGACGAGTGCATATCATATAAACTATCAACTTAAAATGTTAACATGTAATGAACTTCAATTACATGATATTCTTTACAATAACTCATCGTTATCTTATTTCATGGAGGTAAAACTACTTTCTTGCCGAAGATTTCGATTAGCTCGTTTATCTAGTTTTCGGAACAAGAGAAAGTTATTGATTTAGTTCGTTTTTGGCTCGCAATTGAACATTTCTATCAGAGTACTATCAATCGAATGATTGACAATCAAACATTAACAGAAAATGCTTTGAATATATATGATAAGTATGTATATTTTCCTGAATAACACGAGTATAAATACAGCAAACACTTTCTCTCTCCCTCTCTCTCTCTCTCTCTTCACTAGATACATATCATTACAAGCATCATCACGATTAGGATTTGATGATGCTATTCGTGCACGTATTGAATGTAGTATATGTCAACCAGACATGGATGCTGGTCCATCAAGTGATACATTTGACCAAACAGCTTGGATTATCTATGCCATTCTTCAACGTGTATGTAGATGAATGCAAACAGAACTTGTTTATGTAAACAATGTATTTGCGTATTTTTTTCCAGGAATATTTTCCTCGATTTTTACAAAGTGTGATCTTCTGTAGACATATCAGTGATCTAATGTTAAAAATACGAAATGAAGAAACAGCATTAACATCTCGACCTGTGAAAACGGTTGAATCGGGTAAGGATTTCGTATTCTTCATGCTGAACAAGTCGAAAATTGTGTCTTCAAACAGATGCGGCGTCGATTAATTCGGATAATATGGTGCCATCTTCGGCAGTTCCAACTGCAGCGTCTGCAACAACGCAATCAAATCGGCAAAGGAATCCGAGTGTTTCGTCATCGTGTCCTAGTTTAAATCAAGAGTTAGCGATCAAGTCTATGGGAAAGTATTCCATGGGTTATATCGATCCACTGGGTCGTTTTATTCGTGATCCTGATGTTGATTCTCTGGATAGTGCATCCTCTTCTCAACGCAAAACATCTTCGAATCCAATTCAATTTCTGACGAATTTAGTTCGTAATGAACAAGATGAAGTCGTAAGCTATTCGCAATCTTACTGTTAGTTTTCGTATCATATGTACTCTATTTAGGCAATGGATGAAGCAGCTGCTCGATTCGCTGAAACGTTTATCAATGAAATCACTACAATGACAGCAAATCTTGATAATCAATAATGATATGATTCTTCGTTTTTGTGTTATTTCAATCGAATGAAAAACAGTGTTTATTTCTTCTTCTTCTTCTTCTTCTTCTGCTTCTTTTTTTTCTGTCAGATGTGTGCCTCTTTCTATTCTTATAAGTATTCCTAGTCACTTGTCTTTCATCAATATGTAATTTCCAAATAATTCCGACGTAATTATCTAAATTTAATTTTAGATTATGTCTTCATCATCACCACCTAAACGTCTTCGAAAACATTCTCAAAATGAATTCATCTCATTAATGATCTCATCGAAACGCTTACCATCGACATCCTATCATCAAATAACGGATTTAAATCTTTCAAATTTACAATTAATTCAAATCGATTCATTTCCATTTGAACATTTACCTAAACTCGTTTCGCTCGACTTATCCTACAATCAGTTAACGGTAATCAATCCTGATTGGTCGAAAGCCAAAGAAAATTTCATTGAGAAATTAAACGTCAGTCATAACAAATTAGAAACATTGTTATTTCTTCGCGATTTCAAACACTTAAAAAGTTTGAACATCACTGAGAATCTTCTACGAAACAATGAACGATTCTTATCATTACAACTTTGTCCGACTCTCGAACAACTAACTGATGCGAATCGAAATCAAATCGATGATGATCAGTTGAAATTAGATCAATGGTTACAAATCATCGAAACAAAGATCGATCGTCTCTGGGCGATGTCTTACTATGACAAATACAAACAGGAATTGCCCAATGAGAAAAATCAACAAGTAGTCAAAAAATTAATCGAAGATTTTCGCCATGCAACAATCAAAATTATTGAAAGGCAACCGGATTTCAACCAAGCTCATCTATCGCCGTTAGCTAACTATTTAATAACGAAGAAGATCGACGAACTTTGTAGTTCACCACCGAAGCTGCAAGCAAAAAAGAGCTTTAAAACTCATTTAACGGCTGAATTCAATGATGTTATGGATATCAAAACACATTTCGAACCAATAAAATTTCTCCGTTGTCATCAAGCAAGTGAGAATGATTTGACAACAGTATCTGTACGAATGGGTTTGTTCGAACCAAATACAACACAAAACATTTTCGCAACTTGCGGTGGACAAAAAGTGTGTTTCATCGATTGTGATATATGCGAAGTCACTCATCTCTATGAAGTCGCCGCATTGCGTTCGACGACAATGGCAACACCAGCGCGAAAACTACGTGATAAGAGTGGCACAACGTCAAATGAACATTTTTCGTGTCTATGCTGGTTGGAAATTGCTGATGGAAAGGAAAATCACAAAGTTTTAGCTGTTGGAGCAACGAATGGACATATCTATCTTTTATCGCACAAACATAAACTTATGTTTGGACATATTGAGCTACCTGTAAGTTCTCACTGATCGAAAGAAGTCAGATTGACAAATCATTATCGTATTTCTATATTCAGGCATCGTCCATCAATTGCTTAACATGGGAGTCCAGCAATCCATCAATATTGATTATTGGCTCTTATCATACTGTACGTTTCTTAAACATTCAATGTCATCTAGATCGTTTCCTATCATTCATTCGTAAACAAAACAAGCCAATTGCTCAATTTGACTATGTCGAAACAGCTGCAGCTAATAACAAACTTTCATCGAATCATGTTTATTATTTCGACAATGGTGATGATTCAGTTCTCAGTGTAACAGATTTACTATGTTACCCATCGACAAAAGAGAACATGCTTCTCCTGGTTGGTACAACATCAGGTCTATTCGTTATTCATGAACAAACGCCAATTCGATTAACATTTCCACAATCAATGTGTACAGTTGGCGAACATATTGAATCCATTCGTTTAGTCGATGGTCATCCACGTTTAGTAGCAATGAATATTCTCGGTCTTGATCAAATATGTTGTTTTGATCTTGAACAATCTCTTCCTCCTCATCAGCAACTCCATATGAGTCTGTCACTTCCAAATCCTTATCGACAAATACCAACGAAGATGGCTGTATGTTCAACAAACAATGAAAAAGAAAATAATAACACTTCATTCGAATGTATTCTTGGCAGTGATCATGGTTCATACTTCTATCATCAAATCCGTATGAATGTACATAATAAGAAAACGAGAAAAGCATCATTCGACAATAAACGCTATGAAATTACTTGGCCACAAGTGAAAACATCTTCAGCCCCTAGTCTTCTTTCAGCTTGTCTCAACGAAACCTATCTGTGTTTAACTACAAGTAATAATCTGATATGTATATACAAACGAAAATGAATGTCTAGATTAGTCATGTTATTTTTCCTTTGTTGTTATTATGTGAAATAGAAAATAAATTTGCTAAACAAATAAAGATGCACGACTGGAATTGAGTCTTTCTTGAAAGCGCTGTACAGCATGATGTCCTTGTACAAATGTTTCGAACATACCGGCTAGTTTTGATGCATATTGACGATCACTTTCTAACATAACTTGTCGGCTGCGTAGGGCTTGAAACAAGAAAAATGCCATTAGAAAATGGTAGATAAAAAAGAAAAGTGTAAATAAACTAAGAACGTAGTAATCGATCATTTTTGATATGCTGGTATGTCGAATAAGAAAGCCAATTATTGAATGCCATATCGAATTGAGAGAAATGAAAACTAAGGATACTAATGTGTATTTGTCTAACAGGGTTAAGTAAGACACTGGAGGAAGCAGGCGAGATACTGACCAACGGAACATGATCGACGTGAGTAACAGTGTACCTAGACGAAAGAGCAGAGATAGTTAGCTATTACACTTGATTAAAACGAACAAGTGATCTGGAGTCGACTTTGAGGATGTTCGGGAGCAACACCATATACAGTCAAAGCAATGAGTGTGATTAAGAAAATGAGTAGATAGACATTCCAATAGAAATATCCCGGTCGACGAGCAACGCAACATGTTACTAAAATAAGTAAGAATTCGTGTTTTATGTGAAACATTGCTTAAATTTACCTAAAAATGTTGATTGACGAATTGGTCGAAAACTAAAATCTTCTGTTGTTATGGTCGAACGTGTCTCAATATGTTCGTACAGAAACCACTCTTGCTGTGCTAAAAAAAACTCGTGTTTGCTTATATAGAAAAAGTAAGTCCATGAATCAATACTAACCCAGAAAAGCTTCTCGATTGACCATCGATGGTTGAAATCGATTTTCAACGAGAACACATTCTTCAATGGGACATCGTGTGACAATTTGTAACGATAACTGTTGCACATCAGCTGGAAAACTGTTCAATTCTAGTTTCTCCCAGAATGTTCCAACGACTTTTCGAATCTCCCAAACATAGACAATATCATTTCCTTTATTATTCGCTGAAACAGATTCATCTAGATGATTAACAAATTCACTGGCCACTTCTTGTTTTATATCTCCAAGTGCATTTTTAACATAAAGATTCGGATTCCACGATGTTGCTTCAGGATCATATAACCAACGAGCTTCGATTACAACTTCCGCGTAGAATTTCTCGTGCAGTGTGTTGACCTATTGTTTGCTAATCACAATGAACGAATAAGACGAGACGAATTTCTACTTACTTCGCCAAGACGGATAAATTTAACACGAAGTGCTACTTCACGTGGTGGCTTTGCTTTTGGAATTGCCATGGTTTTTTTTACATGTGTATCCATCGAATGTCGTGGACTTGGAAGACGCTGATGACTAGATGCCGAAGTCGCAACTGAAAAACCAAAATAGCCATTCGCATTCGTAACAGTCTTTAACGGATGAAAACATGCTTTACTTGCTGATACTGTAGCAGATCTTGAGTTCGAAGATAGATTAGACATCGATGGAAAATGTGTTGATGTTCGACTCACATTTCCAGTTGTTGCTGATCGCCGTTGTTGTACGATCGGTGATGTTGTGAGTGGGTGAATGCCTCGTTTGACAGATTCAGAATAGGAATCGGATCGTATCGAATTAGACATCATTGAAACAAAAATCAGACATGAAATTTTGTTGGTAGTGTAAGGATCATTCAATAACTAGATCAATATCTATGATAACTAGCTAACGAATGGAATCTTTTCGTCTGTTGTAATCTTATCGATGAAGATTGATATGATTGAGATAGTTAGTTCTTATCGATTGCATAGCGGACAATTGTTACTTAGTTTTGTTTATGTAGCATTGAAAGACGCACCAGATGAAAATGAAAAATCGAAGAGGAAATGTAACCAGACAGATGACGCACGATCGAAGAAGAAATGCAGGACAATTGAAAAAAGGAAAAAAAAATAGAAGAATGTAACATTGATTTTTTTCCACTTGATCATCTTGCGGTTTTCACCATTCAAGTGACAGCTGACAGCAGGTACGCAAAATAATGATATACTTATTAAAATCTTATTGGATCATATCATTAATGAGACAAGTACCAATTCATCGAAGTCTTTATCCAACTTAGAAAGGACTGAGAGAGATTTATCTTGCATGTTATGTATCGATCTGACTAGCAATTGAGCGACCTCTATGTGCTAAATCCAATTGATGATACCATACGCGAATCGAATGTAAGTAGTAGCATCATTGCTGCTATATTTCGATCTGTATAAGTTGATCTCTTTATTTAATCGCAAAACAGTGAAATGGCATTTCTTCGCAATTCTCTACTTAAAGTAAATGAAAATTTGACAAAAATATTCCGTTTCAATTTTAATTTGTATATATAGCTTATACCTACACCAACCAAATCTATTTTTGCATCACAAAAACGTTTCTATTTGTTACTTCACGAATATGTCTCAATGGGATTATTGGAAGAGGCTGGTATTCGCGTGCCAAAGTATCGTTTGGCGGAAACGGCTGATCAAGCCTATAAAATTGCTGCTAGCCAAGGTTGGAATATACATTCTTTGTTGGAAATTTATTTTCACAAAACCATTCTTTTAAGAACTTGGCAACGATCTTGTTATCAAGGCACAAATTCTTGCTGGTGGTCGAGGCAAAGGTACATTCGATACCGGACTGAAAGGTGGTGTGAAGATGACCTATTCGTAAGTGGTATTTGTCCGAAAAATGTATCGTCTTACTTATTTCTATTGTATTCTTCAGACCAGATGAAGTGAAACAGATTTCATCAAAAATGTTGGGTCACCGTCTATATACTAAACAAACGGGTCGTGAAGGCAAGCCTGTTAGTAAATTGATTTTGTGCGAAAAACTATTTACTCGACGAGAATATTACTTTGCTTGTAAGTAGTAATTTCCTCCGAGTACTTCAAGATACTTAAGAAGTTATTCTTGTGCATTTCAGTGGCATTAGAACGACGTTTTGATGGTCCAGTGCTCATCACTTCGACTCAAGGTGGTACAAATATTGAAGAGATAGCTATGGAACATCCAGAAGCAATCATTCATCATCCAATTGACATTCATACAGGTTTAGAACATAAAGATGCGTTGAGCATTGCGGAGAGACTTGGATTTCGTAATGAAGCTCTTGAAGAAGTTTGTTTATTTTTTTCTTCTGTTTTACATATACTGATTTTCTTCGTTCTTTCTTTTTCAAAGGCAGCAGACACTATGATGAAATTATACAAATTATTTATTAGCAAAGATATCATTCTCTTGGAAATTAATCCGTTAACTGAAGGCGCCGATGGAAAAATCTATTGTTCGTAGCAAATATCTCATAAATTTTAATGGAAGATTGATTTCGTATACTTAGGTATGGATTGTAAAATAAATGTTGATGCTAATTCTGAATTTCGCCAACATGCGGTATTCGAGCAGAAAGATAATAGTCAAAACGATTGGCGTGATATCAAAGCTGAAGAGTCAAATCTGAATTACATTGGTCTCGATGGTGAAATAGGATGTTTGGTCAATGGTGCTGGTCTAGCTATGGCAACTATGGATATTATTAAACTACATGGTGGTAATCCAGCTAATTTTCTTGATGTTGGTGGTGGCGCTTCGGCTGCCCAAGTGAAAAATGCATTCGAATTAATTACAGCCGATCCACGAGTATGTAAAAAGAGAGAGAGAAAAGAATGTGCCATTTGAATGACTGTGTTTCACTCAATTAGGTGCAAGCTGTGTTCGTGAATATTTTCGGAGGAATTATGCGATGCGATGTTATTGCCCAAGGAATTGTTGCAGCTGCCAAAGAACTTAAACTAACCATCCCAATCGTTGTTCGATTACAAGGTAACTGAGTACCATTTTTGATATTGATTTGCACTGAAATAAGTTTAGGAACACGAGTTGATGACGCTAAAGCTATCATTGCCACCAGTCAATTCAAAATTCTCCCTTGCGATGATCTAGACGATGGAGCTCGATTAGTAAGAAGAGACTTTTTCTTATCTATTTCTATCATCGTTATTTTTCCAGGTTGTCAAACTTGCTCAGATCGTCAGCTTGGCTCGATCAGCTTCCATAGCTGTTCAATTCGAATTACCAATTTAAGCGTTGCATGAATTATCTGCTCGGCATCGATCATTAGTGCTAACTTTCTATTGAACTCTGTTCTAGAATAGTGTAATCGAATAAATTTCTTACTTCTTCGCTTATGACATTTCCCATTCAACTATTTTTCCTTCACTGTTGTGTATATTAATGTTCACATAGTTTCAAATAAGTCATTAGTCTATAACAACAAGCAATAACAAATCTTTCGATCATATCAAAGATGCTGTAGTGAACCGTCAAGGAGAAAAACACAAAATTTTGAACGTTTACATCACTGTACGATCTTCTTAAATACATGATAAACCCGTCAAACAACTGTTTCTATCATTCCTTTACTTTTATGTGAAATGTGTGTAGCCATACGACAACTCAAAGTGTTCGTCGGCACATGAATACAATAAATAATAATTATAATAACATCCTCACCCACAAGGTAGAAGATTTCATTCAATCAATACAAAGCGAAATCGTATTGCTAACAAATATGCTTCGTAATAAGAACACGTTGCCTTACGAGAAACGAGGAGACATACGTCATTTAAAAACAAACAATTCTTGTTTTTAGCGGTAATTGTCATTTTATAACTAACAAACGTAAACAAGGCTCTTTGCATTAGATTTTATCTGGACGTTCATAAATGAATTGTTGATGTGCATTCTGAGCAAAGTGCATGTTTCCCTGGCTATGAAATTTTTACACTCACATGATGATTGTGGTTTCTTTTTTCAAACAAATTAAAACCTAGTTATTTACTTAAAACCTTCTAAAATTAGAAACAAAATTTGTGATCTACTATGCAAAAAAAGTACATTGGAAAAAAAGCGAGTGGTTAATTGGAATTCTAAAACATCTAAGCCTCCGTTCATGTTATCTTCAGAGAATTCCAAACATATTCACATCATCCACTATCTTTTCATATGTCCATAAACTCAACTATCATAGTTGACACACAAAATAATTTTACATATTATTACAACAAAATTCCTTCACATAATTTCACCTATACCAATCAGTTTACATCAATAGTTCAATTCAAATATTTATTTCTCATTAGAATTGAAAATACTCTATATCAATGAGTAGAAAATCTGCATGTGTACTTGGTTACCCGTCTAAAAATATACGCGTTCGAACACTTGTTATCTTCATGTGCATACAATTGAAACATGTGAGTGTTTCAAGATTGGTTATAAAACATTTTTCGCTCGTATTGATTTAAATAAAAGAGATACTCGGAATATTTTAGGTAAGGTTTTCTGCGCATATTTTTTGACAGCTGAATGAAAATAATTTGCTTATTTATATTACTTAGCATTCTTTTTTACATCTGAATACGCATGATTTCCAAATAAATCTTGATATGAACACACAATATCAATTCATTGTAATTTATAATAGGAATGGAATACTCACAACAACAACAATTCACTCTCTCTCTCTTCACTGAAATACACAAGGGAAATAGCTTTGCGTTGATAGACAACTGTAAAATATTCATTTCCGGATAGCTAGATTTCTCCATCGGATTATTTTTGGTTCACTAATGAAGTTCAAAAAAAGAAAATCTCTTGTTTTTTTCGATTATGTTCTTATCAAATATCTGCCTAGTTCAATCCATTGACAAGGAAAATCTATTTTTCATCAATACATCTATTTTCTTTTCTTTGTAGAACAATGAGAACGGTAGTTTTTCTTTCATTTTTCTTCATCTATTATTCCGAAGCTTTGTGAAGAAATCTCACTGCATGCAATCATTTATGCTTTGTTCTTTTCCGGAGTCGATTTACTTGGTACTCTTCTAATATGCAGTTCATGTATATATTTAGTTGCACACGGTGCAAAAAAGAAATGCGTTTGCGGGAAACGCGAATTTCGCCGTACTGATATTCGCCATAGACTGTCACAACCATTTGTTTTCCTTAAAAAAAGTTTCTACACTCATTAACACGTTTAGTGCGCACACACAGCACCAGGTGAGGGTGAGAACTCTATCTGAATTGAGTAAATATCTTTTTAACCAACATTTTAACTGTACGGCGAAAGTCATTACGGCGAAATTCATGCTACCCGCGTTTGCACGCGCGTGGAAGCAAAACAAACGAGAGAAAGAACGCGAGATAAAGAGGAATACTAAAAAAAAACGAAATATAGAGAACAAGGCAAAGTAGAACAAAAAGAACGTCAACAACAACATCAGCAAAGCAAGCAAGCCAAGATGAAAAGAAATGAATATGATACCTGAGATACAAGGTGAACAAAAAGCGCGCGTGTATGCAACTAACTCTTCATAGAGATATGTAGTGACAAAAAAACAACCGGGTTGTTCATTTCTGTGTATATATAGTCGAATAATACAGGATGATAGTAATACACTGATATACCGTTACAAGTACAGTAATAACAGTTGAAATAGAAAAGAAACAAAGAGAATAGAAGAACATGGCAATAGGGTATGCGATGTTATTTACAACAAATCGAACAAAACAGGAATGTATACATATACATGTGTTAGAATTAATGATAAGTAAAGACGAAACGAAAGAGAGAGAGTGACAAATGAAAAAAAAACCGGTGAGAAGAATTTTGCTCAGCGGGACTTGACACGGGATTTCATGGAGTAAAAGTTAGTTAAGGGAAGAGTGAATAACACAAGGATCAAACAAATATTGCCTTTAACATATAAAACATTTGAATGATAGTCTGTAATTTTATCCCTCGTGAATACCAATTTCCATTGGTGTTCGATCATGTGTACCCGATGAACAGCAATTGCGTAATGGTGATCCACTCCCATTACTACTGTGATTTGTTGCACCAAATACACTTGATGATAAGAACCAAGATATTCCCCGACTGGGTGATGATGTTGTTTGTGTCGGTGAGTCGCTTAGTTGTTGAGGTATATTGATACTTGCTGAAGACAAGGTCACATTTGGAAGAGATTGCAACGAAGACTTTGTCGTTGGTGTTGATGGTGTGTTTGCAATGTTTGTTTGCTGTTTGTACGAATGTGAAAAGCGTTGCGATTTGAGACGTCGCACCGCTTCCTTAATTAGATTTCCCTCATCTATTAAACGTTGTAATAAACTTGGTAAACGACGTTTCTTATCATTATTTGGACAATTCAAATGATGATGATTTAATGAACGTTTTGAAGTGGATGATTTATGGTGAGTATTCAACGATTTCCATGTGCCCGTCGATGAAACATCGGATGTATTCGTATGTAAGGGCTCAATGCTGCCTGATTGTAGGCGTTTCAAGTTGGTTGTTGATGTTGAATTCGATTGTGTTTGTGTTGGTTGTTGTTGTTGTTGCTGATGATAACCAAAATGTCGACGACAACCCGAACGAAATCGGAGAATTTCAGTTAATTTATCCTATGAAAAGTGTCGCGATTATTGAAAGCTAATCTTTAACATATTCAAGTAGATATTTACCAATAATAAATTCAATTCAGGTGTTGATGATTCGATTTCAGGTTCAGTTTCATTCGACATTAATGAATGACTTTCAATTGGAATCGGAGATGTACGATCAAGAGAACACATTGATGATAGATAAGACACAAGCAATCACCACCAACTAGGAACTGCCAAGCAGTACAAATCGAAGTTGATAATCAATCATTGAAGAACATTTTTCAAATATTATCTGAAAACAAATGAAAGAAAAATTTCATTGACAACAACAACAACATCGACAATAATAATAATAATAATAATAATAACACGAAGGGAAAAAAAGAAATAAGGATGAGTCAGAACTGGCTTGATTGGACAATGAAGACGAGCGACGACATATTGTCGCCGGTCGGCAGTAGTAAACGGGAAAATGGTGATGAAGAAGAATAATCGTAACGAGAGGGGGCGCGCAATTCAACCTAATCTTACAAAACAAGTTCATATATTTATGCGTATATATTTCTTCTTTTTCTCGTAGTTAATATAAATAAACATGCTTTCTAGGAGGCAAAAAAGAAAGAGGCCAAAGATAAGAATAAACTCAACAAGAAGGTGCTTATATATATATATATATATATACTAAAATAAATTAAAAATAAACAGATGATATATTTAACACCTTCTGCTCTTCCATCAAGGTGTATAATAATGATTGAAAATAGAGAACTCTATATATGTATACGCATGTGTGCAACTACGAAATCAATTTGACAACTTTACTATTCAGAACACAAGCTACTATTTTTTTACCTCCTCTCTCTCTCTCTCTCTCTCTCTCTCTCGTTCTCGCTTTCTTTCTTTCTCATTCTATTTATATATTCATTCGTTGTAATAGTAATCGTTACCGCTGCCACAATTGCCGCTGCGTCATGCCTTTGCATGCTTGAAAACAACACAAAATGCATACGCACCACTACAATCAAGCAAGCGAATGAGAGAGAGAGCAAGCCAATTTCTAATAATATAAAACGCCAAGTACACGATGGGGAGGGGAAAGAGAGAACGAGAGTTATTAAATAGAATAAAAAAAGAAATACGAACAAACATTGGAATATAAGATTTGATCAAATATATTTATTGTGAGAGGAGAGGGGTGGGTGGGTTGGTGAAAGAATGAGAGTAGATAGCTCATTGGTAAAAAACAATAGTCACATCTGGTGCACAACATACACATTCACGGCTAGTTTGACAAGATGAGTAGCTCTGATATATGCACGCCGCCTTAATAACAACTGTGTATGTATGTATGCCTGTATGTATGAGTGTCTAGAGACACGTCAAAAGTGGCATCGCGCTGCTGTTGCTGTTACTACTTACTAAAGAATTCGCTTTCTCTTTTTCCTCTCTGTCTATATGTTCTGTCTTTTTCTCTTCTTCTCTCGTGCGCTTTCTCTTTTTCATTTAATCTTTTTTTCGCACATTTCCTGTGTGCTCAGAAGATGATAAATGAGACAAAGAAGAAGAGACACAGACGCACATATACATACATACAAATCAGGGGGCAGTACTAACATAGAAAAAAAAGGAAAAATAGAATAGAAACAAATCAGATGTGCATGCACATACACACATCATCTCTTCCTAGTGATAGTTTGCAAAAACGAGTGCATTCATCACTTGTGTTACTGTTTACTGGCACGAAGCCAAAAACGAATAAACGATCAGTTTTCTCAATCTTTTCCTCACTCATCCAAAAGTATCTTTTACATCACATATTACTTTATGTTTGACAGTTTGTATACTAGATGTAAGAAAAAGAAAAGAGAAAGAAAAAAAAACAAGATAAGCGAGTAAACATGTAGACTTGGTCTTTTGCCAAGATATTACACGACCGAAAGCAATATGTGTATGTAAAAAAAAAAGAAAAGCAGTTTATGTAGTTAGAAAATGAAAGATAACTTCGCTCTCTATATACATGCTTGCCTTTATCTCTATTCCAATGTACTCTTAAAGCTTAACTTATGAGTATAGAGTATAACTACTCACATTTCAATCGAAGCAGGACAAAGAAGAGAGGAACTAGTACGACGTACTTTAAATCGATGAAAGAATGCGATGAACGAGTCGTAATGGGAAATTGAATGGGCAATCGAGCAAAGAGAAAAAACGAGACATGGAGGAGAGAGAGAGACAGAGTTAACGATCAATAGGTGATCACCAACAGAGTACTAATGTTCTCGTTTAATGGTAATACTCTTGTTGTATTAGTTTCACTCTAAATTTATCATCGAATTGGTTCATTGCAAACGAGGCATCGCATTAGAATGAGAAAGGGAGAGAGAAAGAAAGGCACGCTCGTGTTACCTTTCTATTCTTGACATATTCTTAATACCTCGCAAATCAATGTGATGGCCGTCGGATCGAGCGAGTGAATATAACGTCAACGATCAAAACAAGCTGTGACAAGTATCAGCATCTCGATGACGGTGTTGGTAGTAAATAACACAAACGCATATGCAGAGTAAATTTACATATGGCATACACGCACACACACTACACTACATCAAATGCCGCATAAATTGAAAAAGTAGAACGCAGAAGAAAAAGAAGAAGAAGAAGACGAAGAAGAAAGAAAAGAGACTAATCGATGACTAATCACATACGTCAATCTACCCAGGGTTCGGGTAATGTGTGTATATATATACACCTGGATAAGATTCCCAATTTATACATTGATAATAACATGACAATGATGCAATCTCTGCTAACAAGAATGTGCATGAGTACGGAATGTGTACACGCACATCTAGACATACTTTCATCAAAATAGATGACCCACTCTCTCAGTCATTCTTTCTTTATTCAGTTCTTTTTTTCTTCTTTTTCCTTTCTTTTTGACCAGAGGGATTTGATTGACAAACATATGCATTCGAGAAAAAAACGAGAATCAAGAGAAGATTGCTATGACTATATCCGGCCTATGAAATGTATGTGTCCCTTGTGTGACTACGATCGGCTTATCTTATGTTTTATCTCATCTATTCAAGGTGGATCTTCTACAACTATATGCCAAGAGAGAGAGAGAGGGAGAGAAGAAAAAAAGCCAAGATGGAAAAGCCATTAACAATTATTGCTTAGTTTGAAAGATGTTACTAATTGCTGTCATGAAGTAAGAAAAGGAAAACGGATAGGAGTGAATGAAAAAAAAAAGAAATGTATGTTACTAGTGTTTCTATTTTTTATTTGACTTCGACGACTACTTATTGGGATCTATATATTTATATAAATACAAATATATATATGTGTGTGTGTGCGTGAGGAGTACACAACACATTTTCACCGGAAGACAAACGGCTTGACAATTTAAAAAAAAATTATATAACGAAGCATTTGTTTTTTCTTAAAGCATAATATAAATAAATAGAAGAAAGTAAAATAGATTGCCTGTGCGCTAAGACAATTATATATAACATTGAACAAAAAGGAAATGAATAACATCAGTATATTGTTATAATTAATATAAGTCAATGTACCTATGTTATAACTTTTCATTTCGATTACGAAAGTGAGCATAAATATGATCAGCAAGTAATCAGTACTACTTGTACGTAGAAGTACAACGGAAGAGAGAGATGGCGAGCTCGAAGACTAACATTTTACTGCTGCTCTATTCAATGTCTTGAAAAGATAAACTATCTGATCAATTTATATAATGATAGACTTTTTACTTTGCTAAGATTTCCTCCAGGCAATTAGTCAATGTATATGTCGTGAGCAAAAGAGCGAAACAAGCAAATACATGTAGGCACTTGATCTCTTATCTTATGTACATCCATACCGGCGCCGATGGGTTTAACTGTATGTGATATATATATAGAATGAGAAAGAGAAAGATGTTCGGTGCTGTTTACAGATCGACGCACTAATTGGCACGCACAAGCATGCAATACTCTTTCTGTCTTTTGTCCCACTATAGAGATAGTTAAATAGATGGATAGCCGATCAAATGTGGTTCGATGAAGCCAGTGCTGTACGAACATACTTCTCTGTTTCTCTCTCTTCTTGATTGCCTCAAGGCGGGAATGCATCAATATGGGTGGGGCTTTACCAGAATTTGATCATTCCTATCATCATTCAAAGAATAATCGAAGATTTCTTTCACTTCAATTAATAATAAGAAATCAAACAAAATAGATTCTCATCTGCATCGCAATTAATCAAATCATGTTGCATCGTAGAAGATATATTCGCTCAAAATCATTCCAATTCCGGCCATATTTACTTTTTGTTTCTCTTTCTCTCTCAGGAAATTCCTTCTATTATTGATGATCTCTTCTGGAAAACTATTTGATTAGAAACAAAATAAAACTTCTCCTTCGGACAAGTTGTTCTTCGTTAACGAAGACGACTAAATAGATTATTGTTTTTCCCTATTTCTATCTAACAATCATCTTAACCTTGACGAAACAATCTCAGATTTGAGATGCATGTCTCAGTACGATTAATCATCAAACATACAAGTCGACTGGAGTCTTCGAAGATTTCTCTCGGCATACGCAAGCATTTACCTCTAACGGTATTTTCAAGTTAGGACTATTAGCAACAAACCGCTCGATCGAGAAACCTGAATTTTTGATGAAAATCATTTCAATATGTTCATACAGACAACGGATATGTATGTTTTTTTTGAAGCATCAGTTCAAGGAAAGAGAAAATGAACTAAAAGTTTCTCATCCTGATTTATATATCTGTATATCAGTTTCTACGAAATTTATTCATAGGCTTAAAAAGAAAACAATCGTTTCAATTCGTACATGATTACATAGAATGTACAGATTACGATAGAAATGGTGAATGTTCATCATGAAACCAACATGTTTGTCGTACGAGTGAATGGATCAGTATCCGAAGTTCGTTCGGATAGGATGTGAGTAGTTTGGAAAAGACGTCCAGAGAACTATTTGCATTATTGATTAATAAATGAGAGAAAAACGCTCGAATGAGACATGAGACTAAATTTGGCTTAGATACAATATCGACAAGTTCAGTTGTTCGTCCCTGAAGGAATTCTTCCAATACGTAATGAACGAGACGGTAGGGTAAATAATCAAGAAGATATTTATCACAAAGAAGAAATAAATCCTTGATGCGATCTAGTTGAATGATTTCGTTGTTATTTTCAAGCAAATTGATTAAATGTGTGAATGACTCGATTGGGACTGTTTCGGGTAGATAAATTGGAATAACCGATCGATGACGTTCAGCAAAAGGACTGTGAAATAAGGATTGAAAATACTCGGAATGTACACTTAAGAGATCAATGTTGACAGTTAGTAATTGTTGATTATTAATATTCAATTCAATGGATGTTTGTTGAGTAACTGGCAAACTTTGACAATGTTTCTGTAGTTCATTAAGACTAAAACAAAGATTGAAATTGATTTTGAGAGGTGTATATGGAGAGACTTACAATTCAGAAAGATAGTTTCTATCTTGTTGAGATGTACATCGACTAACTAGCTTGTGAAAAGCCCAAAAAGAAGTAACGTCAGTGGATTGAATGAGTAGATGGTCGTAACCTGAGCATTTATCAAACAGAATAGATTTCAATGCTTGTTCTCTAGATAAAATTAAAAACATGCACGATTGTAATGAAATGAGTCGTTCTTCATTCGTCTTACTTCAGTGTAGCGACCACGGTGAGCATCAGATGAGATTTATCATCAACATTGGGATCATTTAATCGTCGAATGACTTCATTGACACCGTACGGTGTATTCAGACAACTGTCAATGTTCTTGATTAGGTTGTGCTCAATAACTTTCAACCGATTCTGTTCGTTTGTCCATGACAAGCGTTGGAAAAATGCGCGATTATCATTGAGGAGAATATCGAATAAATACTGATCATCGCTGGTAGGTTTCTCGTGGGACTGTTTCGAAGAGTTATTGTGATAGAAAATTGACGACATCAAATAGGGTAAACCGAGATCGAGTAAATATTCTGTACAGTCGGTCATTTTTGTCAAACGAGAAAGTATTCGTATGGCACGTGGATTCGGTTCATCGCATAGAGAAATGTATCGAAGCAGGACGGAAACAAGCCGACGAGTATACAGCGAACGTCGAAGAGTTTTCTCCGTTGTATCGTAGGAGAACTTCGATAATAGAGTGAAAATTAATGCTTCAGTACGACGACGGATTTCAATATTTGTGTTTGTCAAAGGAATCTGAGCCGATGATGATGTTGGTCGTTCTTCATCCAAGTGTGTATTTTCAACAAATTCAGTAAATAAACTTTCGTTGATGTCAATCATTACGGAAATACGTTTTTGTTTACCATCAGTCTATCGAGAACAAAAATAGTGCCATTTTCTAAGGTGAAAATTCGATTTTTACCGTGTTCTCTGTTTTCATTCGCTTCGTCTTACGGAAATCTTCGTCATTATCAGCTCCAGATCTTTTCTCATTATTCTCATATTTAACCATAACCACTGATTCCAATAGATCACACATCCGTTCAATAAACTGCATTTGCTTCACAAAGATACTCAATGATTGCTCATCATATATGAATTGTCCGATGGCTGTTAATAACAAATCCAGAAAATTTGATCGATACTGGTATTTTTCTAAATAGTTGAAGATTAGTTGTAATTTGTTGATATCCTCTTTGATTAAACGACGATTGTTAGTTTCTTGACAACAAACACAAAATAAACCAATAAATTTCAAATGTTCGTACGTAGATTGGTATTGATGATTTGTAATTAACTTCAATAGGAAGTCTAAACCTTGACGTGCACCAAATTCCGTACGCATATCACTATGTCGCAAAAGATTATTCAAAAGACGAAATGCAATATGACGATATTCTTTATCTGATTTAGCTTCAATCGTTGTAATTAGAAAACGAAAGATATCGCCTTCGCGTAACTAAAATAGAACAAGTTCGATCGAGATTAAATAGAAACAAAGTGAAGTTTTACTTGACAACGACTTCGATCTGAACTTTCAGTATCCCATTCTAACACAGCTTTCATTGCTTCTTTTCTCAAAGCAACTTTTTCAGCAAATAATTGTTTACATATGAATAACAGACACGCTGAATCCAACATTCGATCACGACAGAATGCATATGTACTCAATTTCCTAGTGCGAAACAAAAAAGAATGATTTGATTTCGTGCAGCGATCATGTCATACCTTGAACAACGAATAGTTGAATGCAAACATGCTGGATCTGAACAATCGCGTAAAACATTTCCCATCGATCGAGCCAAGTCTAGAACAATCATATAGAGAATCGTTTATGAAGAAAGTCGTCACATACCAGCTTCGATCATTTTCCGTGCAGCATCTTCTGCAGTGCACACATTGCCTAACAATCGAAAACAACGATTAATGATATCGATCTCACTGACATCGACGATTTTCTGACAGACAATTTCGATTAAATTAGTTTCAAAGATCTTAAATAGAAAATTAATCATTCAAGAGCATTCTCCTCATTAACAACTCATTTACCTGTTCATGTGATGCCTGTTCGCATGCAATATTTCCAAAAATACTCAACACCGTTGATTGAATTGCTAAATTATCCGTTAATAGATGTTCTAATAGTATACTAAACAAATCATCATGAATACGCATGTATAACCATGCATTTGTTCGTGTCGATAGTGGTTTAAAATGATCTAATGAACTTTGTTGTTGTTCAATGGATTGCGATTTAACTGATAAGCGTAAGCGATCAATAGCATTTTTATACAGATCAAATGATGAAATTAAGGTCCGTGGTGAATCAATGTATTCATCATCATCATCGGCGTCGACGAGATTGTTGAGATAATCGTTGTTGTCTTCTTCGCTTGAGCCAGACCGAGGTGGACTGAATGGTGGTGGAGATATCGACATTTCAATGAAATGAAATAAACCGAAGTGGTAGGAATATTTTTAGTTCTGTACGCTTTTATATAGCTCACACGCTCGTCATTTGATTGGTTAAGTCATTACGCAAACAGATGCCCGAAAAGTCTTTGACGATAGATGGCAATATTTTCCAACTACAGCTGGTGTATCGTTGAAAGTCAAATGGATTGACCGAATCGAATTAAGTAGAGTAAGAGTATGACAGAATGCATGTGCATAACAAGTCTTTTTTGCATTTTGATATTAATCACTCTCGTGTGTAAAATAACTACACTAATGATCTACATATTGTCACAATCGTAATATCAAATAAATGTATTTGATTTATTGTATTTACTATTTAATATCGGAATGTGTTCATTCGTAATCACACAGTCATTTCATAAGATAAATATAAAATCAAGAATAATCTACTTTTCAGCCTATCATAAATTCTAACTGTCATCTTTGAGCTGTTATACAATCCGACAGTACGGTAAATGTATCACACATAATCCGTTCTATTGAGTGCATCTATACGACATCGTGTGTGCAATAATTAGCGGATATCATAACGGTGCTGTTCGCTCGGTTTGAGTATAAACAGTTTAATTTTACAAATAACTAAAATGGTATTCTCTCTCTCAGTACATTTCAACGTATGTTTGAAATAAATAGTCAACGAATTTCTATGAGCATTTACCATAATACGAATATGCAAACATTCGCCCATGGAAATGAGTTCATTGGACGTAGAATTTGATTATGCATCGACTGATGATATTTTTATGGACGGAAATTCATTTGAACATAAGGTTTCGTATGATTTTCTGTTTTCTTCTGCTTAGCTAAATGGTGCGAAACTTATTCATTGAGTTCAATTGTACTAAACTCTAGGTTGAAACAGCAATACTCTAGCCTAGTCCAACTATTCTTCGATGGTAGTCCATGATACTTCAAATCCTTTCTGGAATATTAGCGTATCGCTGTTTCTCTCTTAACCAAACTACTTTGAAATGAAGTACCTGGTGGTGTATATGATGTTTGTGGTAACTCAGAATCTGAAGAATTACTCAAGTAAACAAGAATTCGGACAAGCGCGTGTTGACACTTAAAAAGTGCTGCTTTTGAGCGAATACATACGCTTGTTGTTCGAAAACATTAATATTATCACGTGTATATTCGAACATATTGTAGGCATTCATTTTAAATTTCTTTGGAAATATTTTTAAAAAGCTGTTAATAATAGTAGAATTCAAATCAAACACGAGCATAACAACCTTTCTACTGGAAAAAGTTTGTTTTTCAATGAGATGTAAATTTTGATAAATGATAATCAAATAGCAGCTCTTTTAAAATGGTCACTCCACTTTCTTGGAGATCCGCGCACTAATGGTAAAGATTCAGAACGAAAAAAATGGACTTGAATCTTGACAAATGTGAGAACTACCAGTAGTGCATTGTTATTTTACGAGTCTCGACGTCAAATTATCTCTAGTTTCTAAAATAATCATTATTACTGACTTTTGTTTCTTCTTTTGCGATCCACTTTCGTTAATATTTCAATGGACCTTTTAGTTAGTTTCACGTGACTTTACGACGATATAGCGTATCATTTTCATTAGGTAAAAGGATATCATTTAGTTAGATCAATAAATTTGATATGTTTTCGAAAGTGCATTACACACACGATAAACATAGTCAGTATAAGTATAGTAAAATATAAATGTAATATTCATTTGAATTTTGATTGGCGAGCAAACGGGCCAATACTCAGTTATCAAACAATGATGATTCAATGATTTCGTTCAAATTGAAAAAAGAAGACGTAGATGATGATAATCATTTCAAATGTCATTCCATCGCAATACCGTACGTACCCGATCGATTAGTACTGGTCCACATCAATCATCTCGATTCTATTCCAACGAATCTGAGAGCGATGACTCGTCTCGAATTGATTACATTCCAAGTATTCTACCCGAAATAGCAAAAATCGTACGAAAATTATTACCACGTATGTCCTATTATCAGTTGTCAATAGTAAAAGTCACGGATATGTTCGAATCGTTTAGAAGAAACTCCATTACACGTGCATGTACGAAATGTCGAATATATTGAAAATGGATGTCAACGGTTAAATGGCACATTGTATATGACAATATTTCGTTTGATATTTGCACCTGACAATGATATAGATAGTAATAATCTTGTAAGAACTATTCGATTTTGAATGCAGTTCGATCATCGAGTTTTGTTATTTATCTATTTAGATTGCATCAGGAAATAGATACATAGGCGAATATGATATCCCATTAGCATCTATCTATAGAATTATCGTTGCACGTTAGTGTTTCGGAATTGTTCTACAAAATCACGTGTTTTTGTTTTATAGCTGTTGATTCTAGATCGGGTTTTCGATCGTTTCTAAATGAAAATCAGATTCAATCGGAAACTCGTTCGTTCACAATCATCACTCGAGTATGTTGCGATCTCATTTTGTTTTATTAATGAATTTGTGTACGTTGTAAAGGACTTCCGAAACTTAACATTCTCAAAATGTTCAGTAACAAAATCGAATTCTCTGGGAAGTAAACAGCAAACATCTACATCACAAATGGAAAAGGTATAAACCGTTCTACAGAAGCTCCTTTATCGTAGTCTGTTTTGCATAGTACATCAGTTCGTTACAAATTCAATATCGTTGTCAACATAAAGAACAATTATATCTCTTCCATCTGATACAAAAACCTCCAGCGAATAATTTAAATTCTCGACACCCACGTAGCCGTGCATTGTCACCAATAACATCTTCGTCAAGTGGTCGATCCGCCGATGATGAGATCGCTGGTAAGACGTCTCTCAGTATCGTTCTTCTTTCAAAATGTATTCGTTATTTCGTCTAGACTTTTGTTTGAGCAACGATGAACGTATAAAAAGCTATATGACCTATCAAGATTGGAATGATGAATTGTACGAGGCGAATGAAAGACAGTGGGTGGTTAACCACGCCAAATTTGATAAATCATATATCGCGCGAACGTATGTAACTAGAATTACTTTTAGGAGGAGGTATTGATTCTTTTCTTTCGGTGACAGTGAAGGACCATATGTTCGTTTGACAACTCTAAATGAACGAGAGAATCTCGACGAATTGGTAAGTGTCATGAGATACGTTCGAATCCTTTAATAGACTTGTTTATTTAAAAAAGATTTGGCATTGGACTCATACACCTGACGCGTCAGTCGATCATCGTCAGCAATACAATAGAGAACAAATGCAATATATGCTTATCACTATACCCGATATAGGCGAGATCACCGTTGCTGGAGATCCGTAAGTAGACATCAGTGTGCTTTCACACAACAGAAATGAATTTCAACGCAGTACCTAACAATCTCTTTCTTTTCGATCAAAAGATGAGTTATCTATCACTTCAAGGTAATAGCCACAGGATTAGATGTTGCACGTTGGTGATGAATAATGAACTAATCCATACTATTGTGCTATCATCTTCACTCAACAGATTCATTGATTTTAGTTTTCGCCGAAATGACACGGATGCTAGTTTAACTTACTCGCATCACTATATACATGAGAGAACATTTCATCGATATAACTTAGCAAAATTTCCGTGCAATTTAAAACGCTTGCAAACTACTTATGAGAAACTACTCGAAATATGTACGATGTCTTGTGGTACGTACACGCATCGTCTGCTAAAATCATAGGTTAGTTTCTATACTTCTTAGACGATGATGATGAAAAATGGCTAACTAAACTTCAAGCATGCAAATGGTTGAAATACGTTTCGAAAACATTGCACGGCGCTGCTTCACTTGCTAAATTGTTAAATTGTAAACATATTGAGCTGGCAGGTATGAAATACGATTATGCATCTGTGGAAAATAAATTTCTATTCCCATAGGAAGTGACACAGATAATAATTGTTTGATGGCATCATTAATTCAAATATTTCTTCGACCGCATTGTCGAACGATCAAAGGTTTTTGTGAGTTAATTGTTCGCGAATGGATCGTTCGTGGTCATCCATTTCGGGAACGCTTTGGTCAAGTGTTGTCTGATGTGTACGGTTCACCGGCACAAGAAGTTTGTTCTTTATTTTCAAAAAAGACTTTTTACAAAAGAAACCTATTTCATTTCAGGCACCAGTGTTCCTTCTCTTTCTCGATTGTGTATATCAACTAATCAATCAGAATCCATTTGCATTCGAATTCACTGAATACCTTTTACTCGAACTCTATCACAATGTTTGCTATTGCTACCAACATACCTTCGCTTTAAATTCAGTTCTCGAACGTCTCGATGCAATCAGCAATTGTCCAAAATCGCGTTTGATTCTCTCCGCGTTTGATTTTTCACTATATCTGCTTCCTGATATTGTTCGTCTGTTGAAAAATCATGCAGCATTGATTATTCCTCCAAGATCGGCTACTTCCATATCACATACGAGAAGTAAGTCATCCACTGAACACTCACCAGGTCGTTTTGTCTACCGTCTTGAAAAACCTAAACCACCGAATTACGTTCGTCAAAATTCATTGCCATCACCAATGTTGGATTCCGAATACTATGAATACGATAATATCGAAGCGCCACAAACATTTATCCATAATTTTCAAGTTGATTGGCGTATATTCAATATTGTCTTATGGTCGAAATGTTATTGCCGTTATGATCAAAATTACTTTCCCAACCTCTTCGAACGACAATTATCGTTTGAAATCAGTTGTCTACAAGACGATATCAAACATCTGCGTGCAAAATCTCGACGTCAACCTCCCATAGACAGTTTCCATTCGGTAAATCATTTGATAATAACGAGGTGAATATCGATTCTACTTTGCATTCTTATAGATTCACTATACCAACTCGTGGCATCCACAGATGCTCGAAACTCACGTGTGAATATGAACAAAGCTATCATGACGCGTAGTGATCAATAAACATTCCATGATATGGTGCTATGTTTTTGCCTTTTATATTGATGTTTTTATTTAAAATCCTTTCTTAGTAATTGCTAACAAAAGATGCTTTTTAAGTTTTGATTGAACTCAATATTTTCTATACAAACCAAATATTACAGTAGTGATAACTTTATGATTTTTTTCTCTTTTACAGAAGAATAAATTGCTTTAATAATACTATCTCCGTGCTGTATAAGTATTAAAAATTGAGAAGATCATAGAATGGATAGGATGATGTTACATGGCGACACCTTATGGTTTTAAGATTACTGCTAAATGAGTTTCATCTATGATGGTGATAGAATAAGCCAATTATTTCGTATTCAAATCAAGGCGAGTGATTATTTTAGATAGAAGAAGAATGTTGTTCAAGCAGATTTTTACCCATCTATCAACGATCAAATCCTGTATTCGTTCGTTTTCTCGTTCTACTCGATTGTACAGTAAAGAATTCGTTGATCGTCATCTGCAAACTCTTATTGACGATCACGAATTCGCTACTGTTTCGTCTGTCTTGCTACATATTCGATCCTCCGGTCATCGTGTTTACATTATTCAGCCATCCATGAAATTCAAAGCGCGAGGTCGCCAATCGACCACTGCTGACTTGCAATTAGCAGAGTCCATTTCACTGATTCACACTTTGAACAAGTGGCAAGTTGTTGGACATGGCATTTATACATTAAAAACAAGCGGCTCCCAACGATATCTGTATGGAAAAGGCAACATCGAAAAGATCACTGAGGAAGTTCGTCAATGTCAAGCAACGGCAGTGTTCGTGTCAATTGATCGTCTTTCACTAGTTCAAATAGATGGATTGACGGAAAAATTTCATGTACCTGTCTACGATCGGTATTCAATTGTACTTCAAGTAGGAGAAATCTTTTCGTTTTCACTCATATGATGAAACTTTCATTTGTAGATCTTCAAAAACCACGCTCAAAGTGGTGCTGCTAAACTGCAAATTGCTCTGGCAGAAATTCCTCTATTAAGATATCGTAAAAATGATTCTGAATTATTCAAAGTAAATCTTCGAAAAAGATTCAAAGAATTGCTATTTAGTAGTTGTAAAGGATCGCGAACGAAAACTTCGTGCTGAAGTGATGAAACTTGAAGAACACCGAAAACTGATCAAACGTCGTCGCATATCGATGAATATTCCTACTGTTGCAGTTGTTGGATATACAAATGCTGGTAAAACATCATTGATCAAAGCTTTATCAAAGGATGCGTCCTTACAGCCCAAAAATCAATTATTTGCTACATTAGGTACAACAATCACAAAAAGGAAATACATCTTCAGGCCATATTCACTTCTCATCTAGATGTCACAACTCATGCTGGTACTCTTTCTAATGCTTTAAATGTTCTTTATGTGGATACGGTTGGCTTTATTGGTAATAACAAATTATGATAAATTGAATATCGATGAATGAAAGTTTTTCTTGTTCATATAGCTGATATTCCGACGACATTGATCGAAGCTTTTCGTGCGACGTTAAATGATGCCATAGATGCTCATTTATTAGTTCATGTTTGCGATATTAGCCATCCAGATTATCTAGTACAACAAAAGATTGTTATACAAACATTGAACGAACTCAATGTTTCTCCATCGAAGATTCAATCGATGATAACTGTTTTCAATAAATCTGACCTATTAGAAAAAGAAGTTACTTTGTCAGAGCAGTTCAATTCAGAAAAGAATAGTGGTTTATTTGTTTCGTGCAACACTGGCCAAGGTCTTGATCAGCTTATGGAAACAATACAAAACAAACTTATGGTTGCTAGTGAACGTGTTTCATGTCAATATCGTGTACTACAAGGAGGGCAACTTTATCAAACACTCGTGGATGGGAACATATGTTCCATCGAGTCAATGACTGTTGATGAAAATGATCCACAATTTATTCATTTGAAATGTCTTTTTTCCAAAAGTGGCTATGCGAAGTTTCAATCGCGTTATCCCGGTGCTGCGAAATACCAGGTTTCAATTGACTGATAACGGAATGTTTTTGCATATAGAAATAAAGTAGAAAAAGTGTTATTCTTCGTAAAAACTCTTCTTGCATATCAAAGATTTCCGAATGTCAGAGCTGAGAAGAATACAATTGTCAACACCTGCTCATATGTTTGTGTAAATAAATTCTGCTTTTATTTTACTTGAATAACTACTATAATCAACAACAATCATATCAATCGGAATCTGTTGATATGACTGGCTTTTTCTTTCTGTTCTATATACTTTCCTTCCGTCTGTCCAACAACGCCTCTTCATGCCAAATAAGGAAAAAGGTTATCTATTTTGGATGTAACAGGATGCATACTAGCTTATTCTACCCTTATGGCCTACTGTTCGCGATATCTACGATGATTCATCCATCGAACTAAATAACCGACATTGATATTGTTTACTGGCACATGCTGTATATTGAATAGATTGTTCATGGCAGCATTAAAACGTACCATCGATTTGAGCGGTGAAGATCTTCAAGAAGCCTGGCAAGATGTTAGAAACGACGCGTCAAATACGAATTGGTATCGGATCGATTTAATTATTTTTTCGAGAAATTACCTCTATTCTTGTTTCTGTCAAGGGTTCTGTTGACATATGGTGATAAAGGTGAAATCGTATTACGTGGTAAAGGTTCAGGCGGCCTTAACGAAATGAAGCGGAAACTTCATGACAATCAAATTTACGTAGGTGTTGTTCGAGTTCGAGCAGTTGATGAATATGGAAGTCATCGTGCTAAGTTCGTGTACATCAATTATGTCGGAGCAAACGTAGTAAGACGAGTATCATATACAGTTATTTCTAAATGATTGAATATATGTTTTGATTAGCCAACATTACGTGCTGCACGCGCTTCTACTCAACGATCGGATTTCGAGCGTTTTTTTCATGGTTATCATATACAAATTTATGCTAATACTCTCGAAGAACTATCAGAAGAACATATCATCGATTTATTACAAGCATGTGCTGGTGCACATAAACCACAAGCTTACGAATTCTCTTAGTTATTTATTCTTACTTATGTTGATCTTTTTGTTAGATGTTTGAATTTCATATCTAATAGATCAATCAATCTGACAATCGTATACTTTCTTTAGTTTAAAATATACAAACCGGATCGTCACAACAATAAACACCTAAAGCAAAACAAGTTTCTAATTCGAGAATGTTTTGGAGCAAGCCTTACAGGACAAAAAAGCTACCAAATTGTACCTTCAAAGTCTGGAGCATGATATCACTACGACGAAAGAAATGATAAGTACATGCAACTTCGATCGTTCGTTCAGTATTATGTTAGTACTGTTCCTATACTGGTAAAAATGGAAAAATTTCAATATAGACAACGTTGTTTCTTTTGAATTTCTCATTTTGTCAAGTAAATACATGAATTGATGTGTCTTTAACTAGAATAACTATCAGAACGTAAAGTCGTGAAAATGGCAGGTTATTTTTAAGTTGTTTGATTAGGAGGTTCATTATAATAACATTCTCACCAGAACGAAACGACCTGCGAGCAAAAACCAAAACACATATTAATTGTTTCTCCTGATCGTCAACAATTTGTGTCACGTTGGCGCGCTTGAGACTTCGTATTTCCGTTCAATTATCAAGTGTAATATGAAAAAGATTGCTAATTAATGTTCTTTACAGTAGATCATTTTCCTGCGTACACGTTTTTCTACGATGACATCAGGTAGACTTTGAAAATAGCTATTCGGATACAGATAGGTAGGCGTCCTATTTTCCCAACTACGTAAGATTTTCTAATGGAGTTTTTACTTCGATGCAGAAAAACATTCTTCTAATAACATTTCATGAAATACGGAAATTCATTTCTTTTTCACCAATTCTAAACTGTCTTCACACTTGAAAACACCAAGTACAATATAAGTTGCCTATACTCAATTAAACTTGAAAGAGTTGGCGTTTTGCCACGTGTGAATTCTAATTTCCAGTAAGTGTGAAGTTCTACAATTGTTTTTCTTCGGCTAGTGTTAATCAATAAAATCATATCACACTTTTCTCACAGACAAGTATAGCAGAAAGACATAATTAATTGAAATATTATTAGTGCGAACGAAAATATGAATTGTTCCGGCAATCAACACGTATGAAACGAAGGAAAATGATAAATATAGAAAGTCAGTTTTAGTTCATTTAATTAAAGAACATCGTTGAACGGAAGAAATCTGAATGCGGAAGCTTGATGCTGATGTTTGTAGATTTCTGTTCCTCTCAGCTCAATGGAGGAAACAGGCGTTCGGATGTTTTAAAGTATCGAGAAAAATCATATAAAGGAAATTGACTTGAAATTCTTTGTTACTCATCTGTCGTTTTCTTTATTTGACGAAACATCATAACAATAGGAAAAATCGAACACCACAGACATAAAAATCATTTTCGACTGATTTTTTTTTCGCTTCCGACAAATAGTTAATCTTGTCACGTAATTTGCACATTCTAAATATAAATCAATGATTCGCATCGTCGAGAAGAAAACGAACGATCTCCTATTATCATGTTGTCTTTAAGGAGAATTATTCTTTTATTATTTTCTTAGTTTATATACAAAGAGCATTTGCACAGCTTCTTTGAAACATGACTCGCGTTCGATACGCGAAGTTAATTCACCGCAACGCTTATACGCAGCTACCAAAGGATTCCAATGTGGTCGACTGTTGTGACGTTGTGGGGTTTGTCGAAGTCTATTTGATGATATTGAACGTTTTGATTTCAGCTGCCAATTGTCTGCAATATTATCTTCATCTTCGAAACTTTCATATTGTATTAATGAGTTGGTTTCGTCTTTGAAAGACGAGTCTTTTGAATCTGGATGCTAGAAGAGACAAACAGTCAAATGAGTATTTTGGGTGTGATGGATATACCTGCTGATCGTCTGCATAGATTTTGTAAAGAGAAACAGATTGCAAAAGGATAAAGAATAATAAAAGACAACGAATATGAATTGATGAGGATATCATTTATGTTCAATAGAGAGAAACAGTTCGATATCTAAAGGAGATGAAGAAGAGCATGAAAAGAAGCAAGTGCAAATATTTATATACTACAACAAGAAGAAAAAATATATGGAGGCACCAACAATGCAGTCCTCTCCTATTTCCTTCTTCTGTTACAGTTCAGATGTGGGTAGAACAAGTGTGAAAAAAGAAAATGCGACAAAGAGAAAAAAGAAAGAATGAAGGAGATGTGTTGATGAAGAGAAAAACCTCTAATAACATTATGATCGGCATATGGTATAGAAAATGCATCGAATATTTCTATCTTTGTTGCAATACTGTCATTAATGTTCAGTGTCCACAAAGAATTTGAAGGAAAAGTTGACATTTTCTGTTTTCTTCCCGTCAAAAAAATGTCAGAAAAGTACGAAAACATCTTGAAAATATTCTGAAGCTTTGCTCACAGCCTGTGTCACACTGATATGGAAAATAACATGGTTAGAATGATGAAATACATGTATTAAGATAATAACTTCACACATTTGCTCTTGAATATTCGCTCAAAAGAAATTCTCGGCCTTATACTTGTTCGTTTATGATACATTCATCTTAATCTTCGTATTAATCGACATTTGAAACGCCTACCACGGATCAGTGTGCAGACAATGAATGAGATATCCGATGTGATTTTATGATTTTTCACTCGGAGAGGTATTAAGAGACTTCGCCGGGTCGAGAAGAACAATTTACGGCATATTGACTTTCATTTATATTATTAGATTGATTATGATAAAATGGTGGGAAACGTTAGAAGTTGTACCCATTGATCTTCGGCGTGAGAAATACTGACATAATATGTGTTTATAGATACAAAATTCACGAAGTGAATTGTACGCAGGTGTTGCTTATGAAACAAGAAGATTCTTTTCTAGCAAATGTACTGTTTAATCAACAATTTAAGTTCAGTGTTTTTACCTGATAGAGAACATAAATAAACAAAATGGTACACCTGTGGAGTTGCATGACTCGATCTACTTTTTTAATATCGAATAATCCTGTTTTTCGATGTCTTCATAAAAGCGCTTTGTCTACCTTAGACAATAAATATTCTTGATTGAAACGGTGTTTAGCGTTACGGAACGCGAAGTTCTTTGTCATTTGATCGATCTAATAAGTAATTTAACATTGGTTCAGATTCAAAGTAATCGTACTCAACAACTAGATGTTATATGCAAATTGATTTGAAGAAGTGTTCGTTTATTGATATTTATACATATCCTTTACATAGAGCAAATGTATGGTCAGGTCCAAGTGCAACTGAGCGTACGCGTGCAGGTACAAAAACACGCATAGGCATAGGCGCATCTTCATCGAACTCGACACCTAATGCACCGTACCGATTCTTTCCCCACATAAATAATTCACCATTAGTTGTAATTGCCGCCGTGCTCATTAAGCCACTGGTTACATGATCAATTTTAACATCTTGATTAAATTCATTTTGTCCGAACAACTCCATTGGCATTGCTTGTGGAATATCGATCGTTGTATGCTTAGGACCGAAGCCAAGCAAACCAAAACCCCACATATATAACTGACCTTGATAATCGACAGCTGAACATAAAGAGCCACCAGCAGCAACACACTTCATATTTGTTAATGATGAACCATTTCGAAAGCGAAGACGACGTGGCTGTGCACATTGTAAAGAAGCAGGTGAATCAATAGGATCATTCATAATTCCCAATTGACGGTATTCATTGTTACCCCAACCGAACACGTCACCGGACTTATTCAAAGCTAACACACAGTCACCTTTCGAGGCAAGCTGAACAATATGTTCGTGTTCAATGTCACCACGAACTCGTTCTGGTCGTGCGACGCATTCATAATGGCCGACGCCTAACTGTCCATCTGTATTTAATCCACAAGAATAGACTCGACCTTTTTCTGTAAGAAATAACGTATGATCTTGCCCACAAACAATGTCAGTTACTTTATCATCGACGTCATTTAAATCAAGATTGAATGAATGAATTAACATGTTATTTTTATAAATCTCATCAGGAACAATTTGACGAGCACACTGACCGAATGCATTATTGCCAAATGAGAAGAGACCTGCAGAATGAACAATGATAACGATAATTTTTCTTTCTAGTCAAACTAACCAGAATTATCAGTTAAGACCACCGAATGTGCCCTACCAGCTGCTACTTGTATGATTCGTGTCGAACGTGGGTGCTTCATTGGTAGATGGATGACTTTTGGCACGATAATATAATCACCGAAACCTTTCGGATGATTACGATCTTTGAAATATGTCAATTGACTATCGGTATTCAGGCCGCAAGCCCACAATTTATCATATTTTAAAGTATTCGACGAGAATAATGTGAAACCATTTCCGCATGCGATCCGACTAATTTTAATCTGATGTTCATAGGAAAATGGATGTCGATATGGAATTGAACGGCGCAGACGAGTCTGTTGTTTCGTATCCGTACGTTTCGGATCAGGTCGTTTATTAACAAAATCAAAAACACCTAATGCACCCGTACCAATGTATCCCCAACAGTAAACAGACGGATAAAGGTATGAACGTTCACCAACAAAACTGACTGTTGGTACTGGTTTCTTTTTTGGATTGATAATATTTATATTTATGTGACGAGTGGACAATTTCAGGTAACATTGACTACATAGATTCAAAGAACGTTGAACGATAGTCATTTATTTTATCTATCTGGAATCAATTAGCGATGTAAGAACATAAATTACGGTATATGTTTATCACGAAGAAGTAAATGCAAAAAAAAGAGAGAGAAGAAAATTATCATTTATGGTTTATAACAAGGAATTTGAAAGATTTTCGGATCAGTCCAACCTTGTTGCATCACAGAAAATGGAAATGCGTCCATGCCGTGGCACGCTGCACCGTATCTGCCATCTTTGCGCAATGCTAAGACAGCACCCGTGTAACTGGGATAATATTTGGCAATACGTTTGACAGCGTCTAGACATGCTTCGTCAGGTGATGTTCCTTGGCGCATCAGTTGAACAGCATGATAGGAAGGAACAAAACGTTGCATTACGTCACCGTCGCCTGTCGCACACGCGCCGCCAATTTCATTATCAACATAAGCACCACTTCCTATGATAGGTGAGTCACCGACACGACCAGGAATTTTATACTGAAGACCGTTGGTTGAGGTGCCAGCTGCCATATTGGCCTCGGAATCTAAAGCAATCATACCAATCGTATCATGTTCGCGAGTTGGTAATTGATGGTGCGATGGTGATTTGTTTCCATCTATGAAAGAAGAAAATAATCTACGAACAGAAATGAAAACTAGAGAGTACCATCGTATGGTTGAGGTTTGTACGGTCCGCAACTTGTTGTCGAGTCTGGTTTAACATTACGTCGAAAGTTAGGTTGACAATTTGCATTTTTCCATTTGTTCCAAATATCAATCGATGCGTTACTATGAAGATCTTCTTCTTTGAAGCCCATGTCAATCGCAAATTTCGTCGCACTTTCTCCGACTAAAAACGAATGAGTAGAATATTCTAAAACTGCACGAGCAACACCAACAGCATTTTTGATACGATGCAAACTAAAACGATAAACAAACCAAATTCAGATCTCCACATTGTTGAAAAAATCAATTATACTTCGGAAACTACACTACAAGATGTCGTCACTCTCTCCCTCTCTTTCTCGAGCAAACGGAGAACTCTATTCAAAACTTAGGATATACTTGGCGACAGCACCAACACTCATTGTGCGTCCATCCATAATTAATGCATCCAATGTTGTTTCTCCGTCTTCTCCTGGATGATTTCCCCACCCGACGCTTCCATCACACTGTTCATCTTCACATGTTCGGCAACCGACTTCGACTGCATCGAGACATGTCGCACCTGGGATTTTCAATTTGTTAAACGCATTTCGGGTTGCATTTACAAACGGCCACGTGTTAACAACAATAGGCGTTGTTGCTGTTGTATTCGCCGTACTCATTGTTATATAACAACCGAATGCAATCAGAAGATAAAGAAGATCGTTAGACATCGAAATAAATAAAAAAAAAGTGAAAGATAAAAATGTAATAGAAGAAAATAAGAAGAGTTTCGTTTCTCTCTTAGTCTTTATATTAACACAAAATAAAGTTTCGCTATTTAGACACAAAAGAACAACAAATTATTTCAAACAAAAACGATTTTTCACTGGCTCATGCGAATTCCAACGTTTTTCTGGATCGTATGGTTCCCAACGACATGCTGGGAAGATATGCTTATTTCGTTCATACCACGAACGTAAACAAATCTTTCCGGCATGAGCTGATGATCCTCCAGGTTGATTATCATTCACGCCTGACGATGAAGGTGAATCACCTGAATTCACATCTGTCGTTGTTGTCGCCGATGCTGGTACTTCGATGATCGTATTAAGCTTCAGTGATTCTGTGAAAGTAAACAGAAGACCTGTTCGACCGCGCGCACGTGTGACGATAAAATCGTAGAATGAATAATGATGCGGAAGAATGACATCGTCTTTAACGAATATCAATTGATCGACTGATGCTGATTTTAATTCATTAAACATATTTTCTTTTCGAAGGATTTCCAATGCTTTCGAGAGAAACATTTGTATTGTCATGCGCTTCTTAATTCGTACCGAACGACGATGTCCTGAACCATCCCAGTAACTAAAGACAAGATCGACTTCTTCATTTTTCAACTTTTGCTGTTTCTCAACCCATTCTTGACGAAGCTTTTCGCGTAGAATTCGTTCTTCTTCTTCGCGATCTCTATCAGGTAAGAAACTTGTATCAACATCTGAAAAGATAAAGCAATATGATAGGTTATCGTTGTGATGTTTGACTTTTACCTGGATTTTTACCAAGACGTTTCTTGTTCGTTGCAGCAACCAACTGATCAAGTTCAGTATTTGTTGGCCCAGATTGAGATGTACTATCATTACTATCCGCATATTCATTTGTTGGAACATCATTCGATTTCTCTGAGTGATCATCTGTAGTGACAGGCTATGAATAACAAACGAATCAGTCGAGATTCCACTCGAAAGTAACAGCACAACCTACTTCTTCATTCTTAACTGGTTGAGGCTTCGTGTCTTCTTCAGCATCTTCTTCTTCTTCGTCGTCCCATTCATCAGCAAATGATAGTTTACTCGGTCGCTGATGCGCTCCAGCATTTTTCTGATTGTTTTGTTTGTTTTTCATTGAATCACCAAGTTTAGCTTCTCTTTCACGTGCCAGCTGTTGTTCTCGTGCATTGATAATCTCTTCTTGCTTCTTCTTCATTTCATCTAAGGATACCAGGCCAACCGTATCCGTTTTCAGCATCTGTTCAACAGCATCATAATGCGCTTTGAATTTCTCCTCGATGGCTTGCATACGATTTTCTTCTTCGATCTTTTTCTTCTTGATTTCAATCTGTTCGTGTTCTTGTTGACGTCGTTTCATGAGTTGATCAGCGCGCATCTGATCTTTGCCAGCTCCTAAAAATATCCAGTTCAAGTCTGCAAATGATCCTACGGATTGAACTTACCAGGGAAGAACGCCATGATGAATTAATCAATCTAGAAAAAGATAGAGAGCATTATTTTTATCATGATCGATCATATAGATATAGCAGAACATTCTGCTCACAAATGGAACCAGACAATCTATCTGACACAGTTATTATTTTAAAGACAGCAGAAAATATATAATCTCGTATTAAGGAACAAAATGCACACATTGATAGTAAACGTTGTAAAAGAAAAAGAGAGAAAGGATGAAGTGATTCAATCGAGACCACCCGAGAGAGTTGCAAAATCTGACCATTGTAATGAACAACCGCGAAAACTGAGACAATGCCGAAGACTAAATGAGAGAAAAACGTAAACTAGTAGGTAAAAACTGAAAACTTTCGTTTATACCGTCGAGTAGAAGTCGATTCAGCAGCTCGTGTTTGCTCATTTTGACACATTTGTCTAATATATGGTCGATAATCTAGATAAAAAGCTGGCCGATTGATAAGATTTTCCGTATTTTGTTCTTGCATGAACATTTTGAATGTATCATATAATTCGATTCTAAATGATTAATTGATAAAAATCTCGTTTGTAGAATGTGTAACACTTATTTACCTTTTCGAGTCATTCTTACAGTGATTAGCTAATAAAAGATGAGATTGTTCATATTCACATGTGTATTTTCTCGTCAGATCGTCAAACGGAGCTTTGAGAATGGACTCATCCCATTGCTCAGCAAGATAAGAGTAATACATTGTATCAAAAAGACGTGAAGACTGCAGTTTCGATTTCTCTTCGGTCCGTTCAGTTGAGATGTGATCTGTACAAGCTATCGGCGACGATTGTGCAAGAAATTGTAATGTTAATAGACTTTGACGTAAGTCACAAGAGCATGATTGAAAAAGAGCTACCAGATCATTGAGTACAGGTATTTCGAGCGTTTCAACCAAGAGTATCAGTCGAAGAAAACAGAAAATAAGTTCCTATAAGAAAACGAATTTATGAAAGGTATAAAAACAAAATCAACGTACTGGTTCGCTGGGTTCAAGATGAATCATTTCATAATCTCCTATTTTGGAAAGATTAAATATAACATCTTCTGGATTACTTCGACTATTCGATGTTAATATGATCGGTTTCTTTGCGGTTTCAAGCACCTTCTTCAAACATGACCAAAAATGATCATCTGCTGTTAATGTTTCAATCTAGAAGAAAAACGACGACAATCAAAACATTTAATTTGTTTCGTGATTGACAAACTTCGTCAAAAAGAATCAAAGAAGACTTTTCCACATGTACTGATGAAAGTAAAGATGGATCCGTAGACACAGGTTGTTGTTGTTTTTCTTCTTCTTGCTTCTTGTTCCGTCTAGTTGTCATTGCATTGACTTTGTTTGTTGAATCTGACCGACGTCGAGTATTGTTTTCTTTATGTTCATCAGTTTGATCAGTTTTCTTGCTATTGAAAAACGACATGATCGTACCGCGCTCATTCTTTGCTTTTTTCTTTACTGGCAAAGACGTATTGAGTTTCATAGGGTCCTCTGATTACCGATCAAAAGTCATAAAGCAGTTTAAATCAATGGTTCTTACCTGATGGTAAAATCGTATCTGACGCACAACGTTTTAGTGATAAGTAATGATGACTAGTCACTTGTTCTAGTTGTTTAAGTAGCGGTGCACGTGCACGAGATTGTGCTCCATTGATCTCAGTCACCTGAAATGGCTTATCGCTTCATCAAAAAGTGTCTTTGAAAGGTGAAATTTCTACTTTAAAATGGTGTTCTTCTGCAAGTGCATGTACAAGCGATGTTGTCCCGCAACCGTGTATAAAAATCAACTGTGGATGTTCCTGTTTTGATTGACAACGATTATAATATATCATATCTTAAATGATAATAATAACGAATATCAAATACACTTTATTCGATTGATTATGATTACAATTTTGACTTACTCGATTCGTCTATGAAATCCTCATCTGAATTATCCTCATAACCTCTGGTACGTTTTCGTCCTTTGCGTGTGGTTTTCTTTGGCTTTTCGTTATGCAATTTCTTTGTCCAATGTTTAAACCATTCATTTAAACGTCTGATCTGTTTCGTGTGACTACCGAGGTAAGTTTTCGTATGTCGCGCTCGATACACTTCCGTCCAAGGTAACTGTTCGTATTGATCTACAATAAGAAAGTATGTTTGATGAAATGAAAACGAAATGATTTACTTTGCTCGATTGCTTTCGTTCGATAGTCTTGCAAATATTGAAACATTGTTTGCCAATCAATAGTCGATTGAGCGTATGAACTCAGTTCATCATTAGTGTACTGTTGAAACAATTCCATCTGACGATCACGCGATGAAATATGCTTAAACTTTAAAAAACTGATATGAGTAAAAGTCTTACAGCTCGAATTCTATACTTGAACTCTTGGAGATGCAGTCTGGTCTGGATCGTTGAAAGGACATATACGATAAAAATCATTGGAATGATGCAATGGGATACTATCATCGCCATCCTCTTCTGCCACTTTCCATCGACTGATTAAAGGTACGATCTCATCTTGCAATGATGTATCGTCTTGGCGTACGTGTACTGGTAGAAGAAAATCTGTTTGACATTCTGGTTGCTCGATTGATAACGGCGGTTCAAGTTCCACATCACATTCGATTATATCTGGCAGAAAAAGAAAAGTAAAGGTTTTCTTTTCGATTATAGGATAAGCGTCAAAGGCGAAACTAATTTCGAATAGCCTGTACTAACTTAAGTAAGTTCATTTTCAAATGTTTTTTTTATCATACCATCATCTTTTTCATTTATAACTATTGGTGATTGTTTTTGAGACTTATCAAAGCATTGAAATATGGTCTTTTGTGTTAATTTCATCATAGAACAAATAACAGTCAATGCTTAAGTAATGAGAGAGTCACTTTTATTTCATTCATTTCAAGTAAGTGAAATCTCTTTTTTCCTGATTGGTGCATTTGTTCGATCAATTACAAATTTGAAATTATATTTTTCGAAATATTCCGATTAAAATCAAAATTTAAACAATATTGATCGATATTTAAGTTCATTCAATTATTTTTCTCACCTCTGTCGATAGTAGCGACATCACTAAATATTCAATTATATACCCTATGATGTTTATTGTTTATTTCTCATCCTCATTCCATAAAATGAATATTTTATCAGACGTGATGTGATGATCTGTTTCGCTTATCAATGGGATCGAAATCCTCACCGTCCGATATCGTAAGAAAAACAAATGAGTGACTTCACGTGAATCTTATCTTCTAATCATTTAGATCAATCTCAAACTAATTCTTGTTAGTGGCAGAACAGCTGAATTTCAATTTCGACCAACAACAACTGCATCTGATGTAGCTAAACATGTATTTGAAAACTGGCCTGAAGGTACGCATTCATGTCTTAAGATTTGTTTTCTCTTCATCGTTTTGAATTAGATTGGGGAAATGAACAAAGAGTTGATCGTTATGAAGTATTAAGATTAATCTATCAAGGACGATTTCTTCATGGCAATGTCACATTAGGAGCACTTCGTCTTCAGCAAGGCAAAACAACTGTGATGCATCTTGTTCCACGTGAAAATCTCCCTGAATCAACCAATGGCGATCAAAAACGTAAACATAAACATGACGCGAATCAAGAGCGAACAGCTGATCACTCCCAGAATGCAACATCACCGCATCGATCAGACGCAACAAGTCCAAATTCATCCACACCCGGGTGCTGTGAAGGATGTGTAATCTTCTAATGACAATAGAAAACTTCTTCTCCCTGTTGTTATTGTTCTCTCTGTGTCAGATGAACCATGGAGATTTATATCGGAGCATTTTCTCAAAAGAAAAGAAGCCGTCCGTTGTCATGTTTTCTTTGTTCACCGGTGGATCTTTAACACCTGCACTGAAAAAAAAAGGTACTCTACCAAATCCATCAAAAAGGTTTCGTAAGTGTTGAAAGCTTGCAAATGTGTCGACATGTTCAAAAAAATGCTTTTCAAAATCTTCCAAACCAAAAAACGATCGGTCGGCGGGCACACGCTCCGAACCCTCATCACGGAACCTTTTTAAGTTTCACATGCACCCAATAAAGGTTCGTCAGAAAATATGGAACCTTAAGGTTTCGCACCATGGTTTTATACGAATCTAAGAAGGTTTCGTATTTTGTGACGAAACCTTAAAAGGTTCCATGATGAGGGTTCGGAACATGTGCCTGCCGACCAATCCGTTTTTGGTTTCGTAGATTTTTGAAAAGCATTTTTTTGAACATGTTGACACATTTGCAAGCTTTCGACACTTCCGAAACCTTTTTGATGGGTTTGGTAGAGGACCTTATTTTTTTTCAGTGTGTTGTATTTTAAATTCATCTCATGATTTTTTTGCTTATTAATTATTGTACAAATCTAAATTTGCTTTTTGTTTGTTTTCTTTTTGATAAACATACTCGATGTTCTTATTCATTCGCAATTAAATGTTGTTGGTTATTGTAATTATTCATATTTATATACATATATATATACGAAACAGTAGACAAGCATGTGTCTACTTCATTAAAAGAAAATCTGATATTTACTGAAATAATTCAAACAAAATTAATTGTACTTGTTAATATAGAGACATTAAGTCGACGTAATCTCACATTATGAGCAAAGAAAATATACTACCTACTATCCGTCTGGATATATTTCCATAAAAACACACGTAAAGCGATATTTACCCTCATGGTACGATTAATAGATGGATATTAACTACCCATGCTCGACTGCGATGTCTTCGGAAGCACTTTGGTCTAGCGCGTATTTACTCAAGATTATAGATTTAAGGATGCTCCATCAAGCCTTGTCTTGAAAGACTTTTAAAGGAATTATAGGTTTAGTAATAGATAGATATATTTATAAAGATTCGACAACTGACGGAATAAACTAGTGCAGCGATTTCGAAATCGTCGTGTAACGTTGGTATGTGAACATTACAAAACGAGTCGAATTAAAATTCTTCTCACATGCACTGGTTGGCTTGACTCTTTAGATGTTATGCTTGAAATTTACTAATTATTTTGGTCCTGTGAGAGAAAGGGCATGAACTACTTAACTCTTTTGACACTTTGAGTGAGGTTGTCGGTGTTCCCTCTTGGGAGAAATAAGCCGGGTGAAACACGGTATGCACTTATCACCTCAATTCTGTTCTTTTTGGAATTTCTACTAAACAGTACTCCAATAAAACTATTCTTTGAAATATTATGAGATTTACCTGCAGGTAAGTGACTTAAGTCGTTTTCAGACTTTCAAATATCGGATTCTATTTTCTAAATTCATATTTTTGCTTTTTTTCTAGTCTTATTCGGACCATCTGTCTCGTTTGTTTTTCTTTCGAATTCATCTCTATTTATTAATCTTGAGAGAAAAAAGTGGAAAACTATTTCATCATCAGTTGCAATTGTAACGCTCTCGTTTTCTTATCGGACCAATCAGCTGACAGTCCATATTTAACTCTTTCTTGTCAACGTCGAATAGTAAGATATATCACATCACTCGTTCCCATTGGTTTTCGAAGTGATTGCTGTGACTTCGGTCTAACATGACATAAAGCCAAATTTTAATATTTGAGCTTTCATGCGCTGCGCGCCTTTATATTGATTTGTTTACATTTTTCAAGATGTCTAATGATCAACAGCGGCAAGATGCGGAAAATAAACTACAAAAGGAAATGGAGGGTATGTATCAAAGCCTGTTTTATTGATCAATTTGTTTTTGATAAAATCTATGCTTATGCTAGGTATGGATGATAGCGAACGGTTGGAGTATATAAACAAGTTAAGTACCACTGTTTTTGACGAAATCATCGAGAAGAAAAATGGCGAACCATCCAAATGGCAAAGTTATTGGGAGAAAGATGAAAATGACGTCGAACACTGGACAAAAAAAGACATTCGTCGTGATCCTGTCAAAGGTTTACTGACCGCCGTGGAAGATGGAGATCTTGCACGTGTTCAACAATACATCACTCGTGATCGATCATTACTCAGTGCACGAGATTCAGACGGCTACACCGCATTGCATCGTTCAGCGAACGGAAATCACTTGAAAATCTGTGAATATCTACTTGAATCAGGTGTAGATATCCACGCAGTTACGGAAGATAAATGGACCGCATTGCATTGTGCAGCCTTTTGGAATAATTATGAAATAGCTTCTCTATTATTACAAAATGGTATCGCTATAAATAGTCAAACAAATGGTGGACAAACAGCATTACATTTAGCTGCATCGCAACGAAACAATCGAGAAGTCATTCAACTTCTTCTTATGCATCCATTCATAAATGTAAATATTGAAAATAAACTAAATGAAACCGCGGCTACGATTGCCAAACGTTCCAGTTCGGTTCATTGTCTATTTGATTTATATACAGATGCATTGACAAAATTGAAATAAATTCTTATCAGGAATCGAGATATGTGCTATTGAATCTCACATATGACTTTATTGATGTGTTTTACTCTTCGCTTGTCAATGAATGAAGTCATAACTCGGATAAAAAACAAATGGGCAAGAGCGAAAACCGAATGTTTACCGATTTGTCGTCAAAAATAGACCGGAGTAGACTGCATGAATTTTGGAACTGCCCGATCTGGACCCATCTCTGACATAGTGTGCGTTTTATTTTACCCATAGACATTTCTAATTTCATTGGTGAATAAATATAATAAATTGTATTCAGTGTTCGATTCATATCATATCGATCTCATAGAAATGAAATTCAAAGACATGTCTAATGAACTTTTTCTGCGTATCTGGGATAAATTATTAATGGCCGATGTTATTTATAGTTTTTGTTTTCTAACCTCAATCAAAGAATTGATCTTATGCTATTAGAATTTTGTAGCCTTTACAAACGATTAGCTTTACGTTATTTTCCACATGAAAAAACATTCAAAGACGAATGGTGTTTAAATCTAACTGTTCTCAAATGATTTTATTAGCTGTGAATCATTTGAATATTTATCTATATCAAAGTATCACCGATGTGATAATGAACTTGATCTGAATTACAACAGTTGTTCTCTTAGTATTCTTTGTCAAAAATTGATACATCTGCGATCATTCCATTTGGCAATTCAAATACAATTCTTCGAAAGAAAACTAATAAAAATCTTGTTGTTAAAGATTTTTGTACAAATATTTTCTCTCCCATATACTTTTAATTCGTTCAATTAATTTACTTCATATTCAATTTAATGCTGATTTCGAACTAAAACAAGATTTATCGGAAAAACTTGAAAACCTTTCATGTGGAATGAATCGATTATATTTACATTTTGAGAAAGATCAAAAAATTATCATCATCGTTTCTTCAAACTTTACAATGTTCGTCTAGTCAAAGTGAAATATTCAACATTTTCTTTTCTTTGATCATTCAATTTTGTTTTCATATCATACAAACAAAACAGAGACATTATACCGGAAGATATACAAAGTCCAGTTCAATTGACATATTTCAATATATTTGAACTACTTGCTTCTCATACGTTTCCGTGTTCGGATCGGTATTGAATGAGAAAAATCGATGTGAAGTTAACACAATTAAACAAAACTTTAGCTGAAAACTTTCTTACTAGATAAGCCTTGCCCATAAAATTCTTTGCCTTGTGCATAGAACAACATACTTCTATTGATCAGGTCATTCTCATTATCCTATTTCATTTTCAAAGAATTGGTTATGTTCAACGATAATAGTTTCCGATTATTTTAGATTTGATGTTTTCAAACAACTCCTCATCAGAAAGTTCAACATCGAATGAAAACAATGCCACTGGTAATGGTAGTAGTGAAATTGAATCAAACAATTTACTTATCTAGGAGAACAAATGAAAATCCATTACCAGATGCGACGGGCACGGTATACATGATCAATTATGATGTATTATATACCATGCCGAGAATAACACTTAATCAACCGTACAAATCACGAAATCACCTAAAAAGTTCATTTTCAATGAACTGCTATTTAATGATAACATTTACTCCGTTTTTTCAATTATTTCTGCGTATTTTGAATATATAATTAACATATTTCTGCACGTATCGTCAAGGTAAAGAAATTTAGTTTCTTGATTTTCTTCATATTAAGAATATTTAGTATTATTATGACTGATCAAAACGATGAAATATCTCAAAGTTGGAACCGGACCGTACGAAGCGGCATATTTGTCAGTTGACAATGTCTAAAAATTGTCCTTGGTTTCCATGCTCTTTCACCGGAAAACTATTTTTATCTCTTTTTTTCTCTGAAATCTTGCTAATCATTAAAAGTATTTCATTTGCATGAATGATCATCTATTGTTCATAGCAGTTGCGTTGCTACCGTAAAAATTCAGGATTTTTGCCAGTTTTATGTGAAAAATCATCCGATCTGACAAGACCGGATGGAAGAAGTTCGTTCAATTTCAACTCTAGGATGAATTATTCTTGTTCAATATATTTTTATACAAAACTTAGAATAAGAACGTGCACGGAAGAACAGAGAAGACAAAAAAAAATGAATAACAATCATCACAGCAAATGAAGAAACGTTAATAGATTGAAATAAAGTTGATTTTTCCTTAAATAAAACGAAGAAAAAGAGATAATTGCTTGAGCTGTGTGTATATAAATAAATCAGTACACATCAGAAGTGAATGCGAGAAATAAAGAAAGTCTAGGCGATAATATGTAGGTGTAAAAATCACAACTGAAAAACAAAGTTTTAGCAAAAGAAACTACACAGCGTCAATGCTGGAGCACAGTTCACGGAGCAACTGGAGGTTTTTCGGTGTTACTGATGAACTTGAGCTAGCTCGGTCAATCAAAGTAGTGCCAAGTTCAGTGTAGAGAGCGGTTGTTATAACATGTACGGATGAGTTCAGATTGTTCGCACCACCAGCTGACGATGTGATTGTAGTAGAATTTTGACCACGAAGTAGAGATAATAGTTTCCAGTAAGTTGGCAATAGATGAATTTCGACTTGTTTGGGTTTACGTTGACATAATTGAGGCACAAGAGCTATGAGAAGATAAAAAGGAAATTCGTTTGTGAAAAAAAAATAATCAAATCGATCAAAGAAGAGATTTCCCCTTACCAGCTAGTTTTAAAATAAGTTCAGGTCGAATACGAAGATTGCTATTTTGACATAATGTACACAATGGTTGAACTAATACTCCGCAATCTATGAGAAATTTCATCAGAAACTTTTTCTTCGTTCGTATTCACTTACCAATGTATTCGATAGCAGTGTCAATGATATCCGATGCACACTGTGAGATGTCTCGATTTTTCGATGCGATATTCTGTGCAATGATTGGTAGAGTGGAGTTGATGACATTGGCCAAAGCATCACTTAGGATCGGTACGAGTTGATGCATCGTGTTCAATGCTTTGAGTACAACTTTGGAATTCATATCCGCTAGACATTCATTGAACCCATCGAAGATTTGTACAAGAGACTGAATTGCTGTTTCGGTTTCGAGTTCACATAATTTTTGAAATTCTTCAATGCCATTGAGACGTTCGCGAAAATCTGAACTTCGCATTTGCTTCGTTAATTCACGAACCTGCTCGGCTTGATCAGCTGTATTCGCTTTACGTGTTACAGATAGCTGACTGGTAAAACTCCTATAAAAATCAATTCCTCAAAATCAGATATATCACCTTTCAAATCAGAGTCATATTTACGGATTGGAATTCAGTTTGTCATTCGATAGGGCACGTCGAGCGTTGTTCCTTGCCGATTCACTTGGTGTTTCACCAATACCTCCCTATCCAATTATGAACGAGATAGAAAGTCATTCTATGGAATCTGGCACTTCTTTTACTTTAACTCGAATATTATCAAGAATTTCACACATGTTTGTATAGACACTCGGCGTGAGATATTGTTTCATCAATGCGTCCAATGTTTCGAAAGCCATTAACATATGATAGATCTTCTTACCGTACCATCTAGAATTCAAATTCAAAATTGAACAAAAACTTGAAGTGATCTTATCTTGCCTGATCTCCGGCGGTCCATCTGCAGCAAATGTCGCGCCAACTTGTAAGACACGTTCTGTAATATCTCGCGTACCACTTAGAATTTTAGTTGGGCCCAATTTTTCACAAACATAATAGATGTATTTCGCTGACGCTTTCCTCGCAGCTGGATTTCGATGTCTAAAATCAAACGAATTCCGCATGCAAATTGTTTAGATAAAGTTCAATCCGAACACTTACGTTGCACCAGCGGCGATCAGTGCTTGCAAGGCTTTTTGTAGTGTAACATTATCCACCATCGTGCGAAGGCACTTTTCAGTATCTAATCGAAAGAATTCGTTACACTCGGCACTCTTTTGTATTAAGGCTTTGACAGCTAGGTCAAGTTCGATATCCATGTTACGTTTCAAATACTTGAACATATCACAAAACGTTGATAAGGCAAAACGAGCAACTTGTGATCGAAGATTTTTCACCTAGAAAAGCAAAACAAATTCAATTAGTTCGTGAGAAAATGTCATATGAATAGAAAATGACTTCTTGAATGAGAGCTAGAACAACTTGATGTAGATTCTGTGTCACTGTGTCAGGATGCTGTGCAAGAAGTAATTGAAGTAGTGTGAGACCAGCACATTTCTGTTCCCAATCGTCATTGGCTACCGACTCCATCGCTTCTCGATAGGTAATTGTAGGATTTTTTATTTGTTCGACAGATCGATCTTCGGACAATGGACGGTTCAGAGTAAAGCGTTGATCATTCATGGAAATATCACGTCGATTGTTGAATGTTTGAGAACGAGCCATACTAAAATGAGAGAACGCACGATAACAAATACATAGAAAACATACTCAGACTTTCTTACGAATTTTTCAAAACACGTGAACGTTGTTGAGATGGAAAATTGGGTAAAACAGAAGTGATGTTTGAATCAATTTGGCGTCGATTACTGACTGGAATATCATTAGGAATTGCAGTTAGATCAGGTTGAGATGAATATCGACTGGTTGAATTGGATGACATTGGTATATCGTGGTCATCGTGATCATTGAGTTGGTCTTCGTGAGAACGATTTTCACGAGCTTGTCGGCGACGAGCCTTTTGCTCGATTTTTTCTTGAGTTTTCTGTTGAACACGTAAACGAAACGATGCTGATAATGATTGACCCATGTCCACAATCTATTGAAGAGATATTATGCAAGCAAAAAACGAAGAATCTCACATACATTTTCATTCTCTTTTGAATCACTGTCGAACTCATCGGACATTGTATCGATCTGATCACTCTGTTCATTCATGTAATTATTCATAATATTATTATTCTGTACTCGGAGTATATCGGTGTCCGTTTTTGTACGTAATGGAATATGTACCGCTAGAACAAATACAAAGAGATTAAACCGACTGCTTTCCAAATGTTATCTCTATAAACCTTTTCCAATCACTCCTATATCATGGGCGTCTTCGGCGTAAGATCCATCTTCCATATTCATATTTGCATTTGAGGAACTGTTGACGACAGAACCTGTAGATAAAGATATGAATCATGATCAATTGAGTACATATACTTTTGCGTTTATCGAAATAAGCTTTTCAAGGGCACATGAGGAAGAACTTGTCTATTTACCTTTGATAATTTTTGCTCGAGATTTTGCTCCGGACACATGTTGTTTATCTTCCGTACTGTCGTTTGACAAGCGTCTCGATGACGCTTTTTCATCGTTGTAACCTCGTCCAACAACTTCAACATATCGATTATTTCCTCGTTGTATTGTCTTCTCGTTTGAATGTTGATGATCATAATTTTGTCCTGATAATTGTTTTGTCAATGGTCCTTGTGACCTTTCAATAAGAGATTTCGAACCAGAACGTGCAAGACGTGGCTTCGTGGAAAATAATTGATCTTTGCTCAATGATCTATACACAACGCCGGAAAAAGATAGTTGTAATTCCACTTTTGCTCGAACCTACCTTGTTGCACTATTTGTATCATAATCAGTGTCGCGTCCAGATTGTGAGTAGACTCCACTCTCATTGCTCGTTTCTGGTGTTAGCGTGTGTGTTGAGGGTGATTCGACATCACTATTGGTACTGAATAGACGAGTTACTTTTCTTCGTGTGGAACTGCTGTGAACTGATCGGACCGGCTTTTTCGGCGTGGACTGGACGTTCTAAAGTATCCTCTCTTGCGAAAAAAAAACCTACGGCAAAACTGTTTTGCTTTACCTCACGTTGGTTCTCATCGACGGTATTGATCGATAACGATCGTGATCCAATGGTGCTATCGATACCTTCGTCATGGTCGAGATCGGAGTCGAGTTGGCGTGTCAGATACTTTTGTTCGTAATGATTGTGCACTTGTGAGGCTACAAGAAGATTGTGCGATGTTGGCATTCGGTTACCCGACAGACGATGAGGTATCACCGGACGAAATTGTAGTGTACTATTGTTATGAGTAGTTTCTAAATATATAAGCAAATCACACTTTGAATGACCGGTCACAAAAGAAATATTTGTCTTAATCTCAAGAAAAACACCTCACAACGATATTCATGGAAATTAACACAAACCTTGACGATGAACTGTAATCATTTCTTTTCGATTCGTATTTGTAGTCAATAAAGTGTTTGTTCGATCATTCGACACTACTTTGCCTGTATGTATATGATTAGCACAAGTGTTTCTAGGTTCGCCGGTTACTTTTATTGCTAAAAGATAGAAATCTACTAATTGCATATGTGATTAAGATGATTCGTATCGTTTTCCAAATAATCGAAAGAAAAGAGAAGTTTCATAAACGCAAAAGTCCATTGATTCAAACCGAAGAAAAGAGAATTTTTTTGTTTCTTTTTCAATAAACTTTGTTATTGTTGATAAGAGAAAGCGAGAGAGAAAAATAAAAATCAATCACCAGAGATATTCGTTTGTATGCTTAAAAAAAGACTTATTATAGTACATGTTTGGCTAGCCAGACAAGAAGAAGAAAGAAAGAAAAAAAAACTTTTGTATTGTTGTTTCTTATTCCTATACTACCAAGATGTCTTTGACGTGTTCTTCAGTCGCCTTTTGAATATCTTGCGAGAAATAGATTGAAATACTTACGATTGATCGATGCTTCGTAGTGTTGATTGTTATTACTGGCATACCGATGAGAATCATATTCAACGTTGGATGGTTTCAATGGCGGTATTTCCCGACTACGCATTACCTGTCAAAGAAATAAAATGAAAAAATAAGTTGCCAGTCAAAATCTCCAAACGACTGATCCGAAGATAGATGACAGATTATCATAGTTAGTTTGACAAGTCGCTCGTAGGAAGCTTATGATCTGCGTTACATAGAGTGTATTGCATAGATTGTTCATCAAGAAGCAAGTCTCATAAATATTTAACTCAAATGAGTTTCGATTTGAATAAGCTTTCAATATCATAATCGGATTTATTATTCTCAAGAAAATGAACGAAATCTTTTTAAATTCGTAAGTACCTGCGTCATCTACTATTGATTCAAAACTCAACCACAAAACAATACGATTATGAAAGAAAGAAGAAAAACACGACGAATATCAAATTTCGCCAATAACGTCCATAGAAGACGTATGTATAATTCTGTGTAACAATGTTTTTTTCTCTCTTCTCATCTACTCGCTGAATAAATGCAGAAAACCTATAAAAACCTTTTAAGAGCATGCATGCATGCATACTAAAACAAAGATAACCTGTATATTTACAGCTTAATTCAAGTCTATGACGGTAAACAAAGTCGTTTTATCACAAGCAAAGGTTGCAATTACTTTGATTGACTCGGTCATCGTTAAATGAAGAACTTCATACTGAGTACGCGTTTACTTTCTTCTCTGGAAGAACAACAGAATTCGTTGTTTGTAAGAATTTTCATGAGAATATGATTTCATCAGCATATGCGTGCAGCGGTCTAGCAGCTGATTTCTAGACACTCATTAAAAGTAAATGTACGGCGAAAGAGAAAATTTCGAATATTGACATATGATCTTTTACACTTGAGATAAGACATTTTTGTCGAACACATGATGAAATCTCGATGAGAACTTTTTAAACGATGTAATAAACAATGTGCTTTTATAAAAAGGGAACACTTGCCCAGGTACACTAAGCTCTCCGAGTGCAGAATCAAGTTCAAATAGAAAGTCCGACATTCTCTTTTAGATATATCAGACTATATCAATTTCTGTCATTGCCAAGAGAATCTTACCGGTTCTTGCGTATTCGCCTTCTTCGTAACAAATGGCATAGCTAATTGAAGCAGTTTGCTGCTTGTTGGTGACATTTTGGCAGATGAACTCTCATGGCTATTTGCTGTCTGAGGCGTTCGTACTGTATTATTGCTGTTCGCAAGTGCAATAAACTTCGCATCGGGATCATTCATTGTGCTTGAATCGCATACTAGGCCAGGAGTTATATTACCTTCGTCTGTTAGCGATGGAAATAGGTTACGTTGTAAACGAAAGCGTAAAGCGTTCGATGCATCGTACGACAACTTATCGATCAAAGATAGAACTAATTTAATCGATTGATTCGTTTCGATCATGGTTGACGTCAATGGTTTGTAGGCATTGAAATATGTACATATTACTGTAAAGCATTCCATGGCACCGTGTCGGAGCTCTCGTCGGTTTGACACCAACATGGGTAGTAAATGTTTGTAGATGTTCGATATACTGTCATAGTGATGTTGACGATGTTTGATCAGCGTTGCTGTAACTATAGCGAGAAGTTCTAACTGTATGCGGTAACTGTAATATTGAAATTGCTCGTCGATTAGTTCATTGAGAATGATTTGAGGATGAACGAAATTTTCGAGTAAGAGTATGAGACTTACGCTGAATTTCTATGTTGAAGGTAGAAAGGATTTGAAAAAAAAAGAAACGAAGGATGAGATAACATACCGCCAATTGTCGATTGTTCGATTGACCATTGAGAAGAACGTTTTTAAATGTCGTACATATGGATTTATAATTCTTCTTACAAAAATTGCCCTGTCCATGTTTAATAACCCATGCTAATGATGTCGATAGGACAAGTTTGATTTTAACCGATAGTTCAATATTAGCCGACATTATATACGATAAAATCTCGAGTATAGGTGATAGGAGTGCATTCAACGCTTGATGAAATTGCGCGTCGAATGCCGATGATGGTGGATGTTGAGAACGAAAGATCTGAAAAGCTTTATCCGATAGAACAATCAGGCGGTCGAGGTAGTTTAAGCGATTTGTATCGTTTGATGTCATCCATTTGGCACGCATAGTATCGATGAGTGAAAGCATTTCGGAATTGTCGCTTTGGGAAGAAAGGATCGATCGTTGAGTTGTAAAGAGGTTGTTCGAAAAAGCATTGCCGCCGTTGGAACGGTAGCCATTCATTTCTATAAAATTGATAAAAAAAATCTATCTAAGATGTGCTGAGATCATCAAATCTGATTGGGAAAAACTTTTGTTGTATGATTGCAAGTAATACAATATACTTTGTAATCGGGTCTTTTGCATATTTTTCAGTATGCATCAGATTTCTTTCGGTCAATACACAAAGTTTGCTCAACATGTGTTCTACACTTCTGAAAATCACATTGATAGAAAACTGCTGACATTAGTTTTGTCATCGACTGCTTGCCTGATGCATCACGTTTGTACATGAGTAGGAGAATGAGTTGTTGACATGCCTGCGAGCCGAAAAATCGCTTAAGAAATCGTTAATCAACAACAAATGCTACCTGTTTGGTTGATTTTAGTGCAAAAAATCCTTTTTTTTTATGTTCGTCTAGTACGGTCAGTGTGTATTGAGAGAAAATTTCTTGAAGAGAAAATCTCGAACGAAATTTGCAGATCACACAAGGAATTGTTATTCAATTAATTGTAGACAAAACATTGACGTGTTTTTCGAAATACTTATATCAACATATTCCAAAAAAGAAACTATTTGTTCTGTGTATACTCCCATGCAAATAATTTCTTCATTAGAACAATAATATTTAAGGCTTACCTTCGTTTATGTAAACATTTATTAGATTATTTCAATCAAAAGAATAGTTTACCTGTTTGAGAATAAACCAAATCATTCAGTTGAACGGGCGCTCTGGGAGTGGCTTCATCATCTTCGAAATCATTGTCCATTTGTTGAGGTACATATGTATAATAAAGTCGTCGTAACGAAGGGGAGTACGACTCGAGATAGGTGTTGAATAAGTCCGGTGTTGATATGCGTTTGATATGTTGAATAGCTCGAATCAGTATGGTGTTATAATTTGAACGGAAAAGATTGTCTTGCAAACATTGGAGAAGTAATTCGAATATCGGTGAGAGATTTTCATATTGATGACTTTTTGTAAATAGATCGTTTAATGCTTCGATGGACTTGATACAGATTCGAATATTTGGAGATTTCAAGCCATCTTTGATGTAGATATGTAGAAATGTTTGTGTGTCATCTGTTGAATGAAACTGTTTTACAAGTAATTGAGATGCCAAGGTTTGAATGTCATGGGATGAGGAAGAGAAGCATTGTATAATCACTGAAATTAAACTGATTGGTTTCGATTTTGACACATGCGTTTACTTACCAGGAAGATAAGTTCGTTGATCGTAATGATGAATAGTTGTTTGAAGTTCGGAGAGAAGTGCTAGACAATTATATTGATACTCGCTGTTTGTTGTTTGTTGAAGTGAAGTTATCAGTGCGATTAAAACATCGTATCTTTGAGAGACGTCGAGAATATTTGTCAGACGATTTCGTCGCGTATTTTTACACCAATGGTTAACGACTTGAAACTTATTTTCATTGTTTTGTCCATGAAGAAGTATATCAATTAGTTGACTATCAGCCATGGTGAGATCATGTTTAGGAAGAATGTATGGATTTGCAGCAGGAGAAGTAGAGTTTTTGGTCATCGTGTGGAGTGACGATGTTAAGGCCATGGAAGAAAATTGAAATGGAAGCAATTGAAAAAGTTGTCTTTCGTCTTTTAACTGATGATGTTTAACGACACAATGCCATGAATGTTATTTCTTTTCTCTCGAAACTCCTTCTGTTTTATTTATTCTGTAAACAAGGAAAAGAAGAAGTTATTTCATATGTGTGTGTATATATATAACCTTCGGTTCAAATTCGAGACAAGCTGAACTCTTGTCTGTTAATACAGCTTGATTAGAACTCTTGAAAATCCATATTGTCGATATTCATTTTTCTATTTATTTCATTAAGTGCTTAACGACATCAACGTTACTTCAGCTCATAGCAACCGCGTTGTTAATAGGGAAGAGAAAAGAGAGAAAGATTTCCGTTGTTTTTCTTACAAATAGCATTTCAAATGTAGGGTTTAATTCAATTGCAATAAGAAGAAAATTAAAGGATTAAGATTGAAGTTTCTTTTTTAAGTCGAGCTATTAGCGACCTCTGCCGCGCTCACCGTTGCAAGCAAACCATCCTGTCGTCATCGGTTTGGGGTAGCCAGGTTCGACACGTCGGCTTCTGATATCAAATACGTAGACATTACGATCAGGTTCAGTAAAGAAATAGTGCTTTCCATCGTGTGTGAATGCTGCGCGGACATTTTTCGGAACACCAGGAAATTGTTCGTCAATACGTTTGGGCGGTCGGCGAAATTCGTATTGAAGATCGTTTTCGTCGAATTTGTAAAGAATACCACCTTTTAACAGCCATATATGCCCTTTTTCATACAGAGCAGCAATAGGATTATATCTAATGAAACACAATATTCACGCGTGTATGTCTTGAAGGATAATTCGAAATACATACGGTGTGCCGGTGCCAAAAATACGTTTAGGAAATCCTTGGTCAAGTGATGACGGAGACGAGAATCGCCAGACACGGTAACCTTTAAACAAATAGATTTTTTGTGTTTTGGGTGATAGAATGCCTGCCATCATATGTGGTTCAGCACCAGGAAAAACCTCTGTGATTGGAAGACCTCGAGTGTCCCATTGACCGAAATCTGGATGATAACGCCAGACGAGGTCGTAGTCGAGTGTATATAGCCATTTATCTGGACCACCGCCGAAGACAACATCAAGGTAACGAGCACATCGATCGTGTGCCAATACTGGTGATTGTGTGGCTGTTGGTCTTTTCGTAGTCGTCGTTTTCTTTGTTGTCTTAGTGTTTGCGGTTTTCTTTGTAGTTGTTTTCTTCGTCGTTTTTGTCGCAGCCGTTGTCGCAGCGAATGTTGTGGGTTTATTTGTTTCACTCGTTCCATACAAGGCACGAATACCATCTCTATCCTAGAACGAAAGTGTCAATCAGTAAAGAAATCGATACCTAAGAGATGCCGTTACGTCTTTTGGAAGTAGGTCTTGTGGTTGGATTAACTGATAAAATGGATACATCAATGACTTAGAATCTGTCGAATGTGCTAAACCGAGTGCATGCCCTATTTCATGCGAAGCAACCAAACGAAAATTGTAACCGAATCCGTCGTATCTACGCCGGCAATCAAATGTATTTCGTACTATAAATTGATTAATGCATACTTATCTGTCCACTCTTCAGTAGAATCGAAATGAACTTTTCCATCGGTGGGAAAGAAAGCATGTGCGAGTGTACCACCGGCCCCATCGAATGGAAAACCGTCTTTATGTTCACCAGTTTCAAAGCTTATAAGGAAATTCGGTTTTTCATCACCTTGGACTTCACGAAACTTTAACGGGGCATAGCGTGCCCAGTCATCAAACGCTTCCTGCACATGGAAACGAATATTCTCTTTACTGAATTTTGGCGTGTTGCCGTCCAGTCTCCATTTTAATGTTGTATTAGGCCTAAAAAACATTTAATATATACAAACTCATTCAATCTACAACGGAACGATCACCATGGTCGAAAAACAGTATATCCCATTGGATAATCGCCCAAACTACATCGCGGTCTATTCATTAAATTAATCGTTGCTTCATCGAGTTTACCGGTTACGGGTAAGCGAAAGACCGTTTGAAAATGTTCGATCATGGTTTGGAAACTTGATTGACATAGGGGCCCTCCACCGACGACATTCTTTCCATTTCCATGCCCACCGCATGCGTTATAACCAAATTTATCAAGATATTTCAATGCATCAGTATTTGTTTTCACTTTTGGTGCTTTGGCTGGTGATTTTTCTATTGCTTTTTTTCCTTTACTTTTCACTGGTTTTCCATTGGTAAAAGTAAATAAAAAGTAAAATAAAACGAATAAGTAAGGCTTCACCCTCATCGCTCGTTGCCTTGAATGAATCTGCGCTTACTCGTTTTGACGATGAGGACAAATGAAGGAAAGATCAATTGATAAGATTTTATTTAAACTCAAATTACAATATTTCGCTTTATATCACATTTCAATGATCATCAATGAATACGCCATACTCGAATAGTTTACGTAGATATACTTTACGTTCTTTCGTTGACATCTTACTATTGGATGTCCAATGATGATCAACAGTAAAGAAATAGAATGGACCACCATGCACTAATGCACGTTGTTGACCAGCACTTAGATCTTCACCAACTTCTGTTTCAGCATAGTCAGAAAAGTATACCGGATGTTGATCTCGACATGTCCATATATACCATTCAATGGGATATTTTTGCTCAATGATAAATTTGCGCATAAGTAGGCTTCTGGGAACATTACCGTCATTAACAGCATACGCTGGTTCGTCTGCTTGACTAGCAGCTTGATAAGCAAGTCGAGGTATGTTTGCTCTTCGGAGTTGTTCAATCCAAGCACCCGAATAGCATGTGTCAGCTATGATAGTTAATGACGATATGTCGTTGTAACTATCAGCCACTGGACGAGAACGCCAAGCATTAATGATATCTTGACATGTTATATCGCCACCAAAGGAAAATCCCCAATTTCCTGAATTGTATAAACCATGACCACCCCAATAGAGAATAAATGTTCGTCGTTCGTAAGCATTCTCATTGTTGTCAAGTTGAAAAAATTCAGTAATTGACTGAAATGCTTCGTTTCGAGAACTACGAAGACTAGTTGGTATGGAACGCCAAATAGTCGCATGAATTCGTTCGAAATATTCCGCGATAGCACGAAAATCTCGTTGCCATAAATGTTCGTCTAAATGAACATCCTGTTTAGTACGGAAACGTTCATCTCCTCGTCGACGTCGATTAGTGATACGCACATCAGCACCATCATCATAAATTGATCCGCCCAATAGGAGGACTATTGTACGTTCATTTTTATATACTTTCTTGTTCTTATACACCGGCTGCCATGGCATGGTTTTTAATAATCCATTCACGATCGATATTGTCTTGCAATGTCTAATTCATGAGATTTTATTCAAGAAAACGTGTCAAAAGGTATTGCGAAAGTTGAATTGCGCAAGTGACATCAATGACACGCAGAAAAGAGCCGTCCTGTAATTGCGTAATGTGTGTGAAACTTTCCTTCTCATCACTTGGTTTCCCAACGGCATTTCATCTCGCTGAAGAATTCATCGAAAAGTCTATCAATGGTATTAGCTGCTCAAAATAGAAGTTTTCATCCATGACATGACTGTATTTTTTTATACAAAATATGCAAAAATAGAAAACGGACAGAATATCATATATTAACACGTGACAAATGTTGCATTGTATATTAAGACTGTTCGTATTGTATTCCTGTCGGTGAGGTTTTAGCAAATAATGCTGCAATAGCAGCAACAAGATTGAAAACTACAGCAATAATACCTAAGATTGCAGCTGCACCCAATCGGAATACGTCCGCCTTTTCATTTAGTACCTGTAAAATACTACCGCCGACTCCTACACCGATACTACCCATGACAAGACAGACGAAACCGAAAATCTTGAAGAACAGTAGTAATAAGCGGTGGTGACGATCCTTCATAGCTCCAAAAATAAAAAACGCTATAGTACAGATGCCAGATAAGATGCAAGCCAATGCCATGAAAGCTCGACCTACCATCACTCTTTCGCACACACCAGTCGTATCGCTACTCGATACACATTTAAAATCGCCACACACAGTTGTACCAACACTAGTTACACATGTTCGCCACAGACCAGTTGCTATAGTAACACCTTCGCCAATGGTCCAAAACCTACGCAATAAAAACAAGGCAGCTTGATTACAGTTCCTTGGATAGAATAACATACCAGTCTGGAAGTCCATTACTAACAGCATAGAGAACGAGGGATGCACCGTACAGAACACTAACAACAATAGACACAAGTCGAATGCTTGCCTGCATTGTTTTCTGATGTCAATCAAGGATATTACTATAAAACACAATATGGTAATCTCAGATATACAATTATTTATGTGTTTTAGAAACATATCTTGGACAATCTATCAAAGCTAGGTTTAGACTTGAGTCTTTTTCATGAGAAAAAGGTACAGTAAACTTCACTTCTTATTTTTTGAAATACACATCAACGCAGAGACAGCTTTTAAATCTCGATAGATCTCAAAGAATAATATAAACACCAAGCGTATACTTACAATGTAGATCGATGCGTAAGAAATTATGGTTATAGTGAGTAGTGTTTGACACAGGTTATATATAATATGTGGTAAGCAGAACACGGCATGTAACTTCGTAGGTATCAATTCAATTTTCGAACGTCATGCGGTGTAGGTGTGCATCTCGTCCTTAGTGACATCAGTCAAGGGGAAAATATTTTCATACTAATGACGCATATGTATATTTTCGTCTTTCGTCTGCCTTCTATACTTCGTCGTTTGCTTCTCTGTGTTATATAGAAAACTATTGATTATAAACATTATTCATCTACTAAAAATACCCCATGTGCGACAAGACTACGAATATGATAATGTCCAATCATTTTCTGATATCATATGACTTTTTATTGGAGTAATTACTATATGATTATATAAAACAGCATCGATATTAGTGAAAGAGCAATCTTGAATGACAGTAAAGTAGACAAACGTATAATTTGCAATTCTCTTTTATTCAAGGTTAAATAAAATACATAAAATGTTTTCATGACTCGAAAACCGGCTCGGTACAAATGTGTATGTGTTTTTTTACTTTCTATGTATTACTGAATGAAGAGTGATGCTATCGCGCCACCAAGGTTGATAATGACAGCAATAATACCAACGATTGCGCTCGCCCCCAACGAGTATCTTCCGAAAGTTTCATTCAGTGTTTGTGAGATACTGCCACCAACTCCAACTCCAATTATACCCATAATAAGTGTAATGAATGCCAGAACTTTGCTTGCAATAAGCACAATGTTAGGCACCTTGTCACTCACAGCTGCATATACGATCAAGCAAATAGCACAAATGCCGGATAGGATACAGGCTAATGTCATGAAAGCTCGACCGGTTAGTACTTTCCTGCAAAACGAAGTATTACCATCTGCTTCTGGACATTTAATATCGGAACACACGGTAACACCGATAATAGATAAGCAAGCTTGCCAAAGACCAAATTTCGATGTATTATTAGATCCATCGGAGATTTTGCTCCTAACAGGCAGAATCATGACACATGCTAGTACACATTACAACTGAAATACATACCATTCAGGAAGGGCATTGCTAACGACGTAAAGTATGAAAGCGACAGCTATAGAGCTACCAACGATGATTGATACCAGTCGTGTTTTTGACTGCATAGTTTCGAATATGATTGGTATGAGTATATAGTTTCAATATTTATATGAGTTAACAGTCGTTTGTTTGCTTTACAACTTGACATATTTGTGTCGAATTTATCATCAACAGTAGACAGAACTACGTCGCAGCGATATTGTAGTATTTTACGAACAACAGAATGAGAAGACCTCGACTAACAGAAAGAAATTCTCTTTTCGATCATACAGGTTCTATTGATTTAATCAAGTACTTCTCTTTTCGAGTAATACTATATTTCATTGTTGAAATAGAACGTATAGAATGTTGCTATTAACATATATCGGCTAGCAGCCAGCATACATTATAAAATGCTAAAACATTCAAATGTTTAGACCGTCGAGTAAGTTTGTGACACATAAAAGGATTAACATAATCCAGATACATATAGAATCACATCTGATCATTTCAGTTTTATTCTCAGTCGTTTGCAAGAATCAACTCATTGCAAACTAGCATGCAAAGCAATCAGTACTACTGCATCATTGCCTTCAATTTGAGTTACATGCTTTGCCGCGATCTCTCAGAACTACACTTACAGAAGATCCAATGAGGAGCGAACGAATCTCACTGAAACTAGATCAACAATGGTTCTCATTCAAATAATAACTCTACTACCTAGCGACAGACACGTTTTACAGTCATGAGTGTACTTTTTGTAATAAAGATTAACGAATTATCATAAGACTAAATAGTAATTGATCGAGGTTAATGTGCAGTATATACGTAGTTGTCAAATGATGTAGTTCTTTAGTGTCATGCTGTGGGCTAATACACAGTCCGTTGAAGACATCATTCTGCTATCTGACTTCTACCCCGTCTCGTTTTTGTAGTGTGACAAATCATATAGGTCTCTATATTTATGATGCATTGGTTTAATAGTAACAACAAAAAGCAAACTCATAACATATAGACTCTTTCGTTTTGTAACTACAATATATTTACATTATGCAAACTATTCCCTGAAAATATTCCAACATACGACTACTGATTATTTTCATGTTCTACAACATTTATCAAACAGAGTAAATTCATACGGCAGTCTCAGCATCTACTATGCGCATGTTTATTCAGTTTTGTCAGAAAGATCCGTACATATGTGAAGACAGTGATCCGTCAGTACTACATCGTTGCAAAAAAAAGCCACTAGTCAACACGCATTAGAATAACGTGCAGACCCAATTATCGTGTCAAATGATGAGAAAATAATTAGCTAGCAGAAGCTTCTACAATACAAGTGTACCGTTTTGAGGTTGATGTTTAAACAAGTTTATACATCAAAAGCAGTTGTAATGAATCTCAACTTCAATAGAAGCGATTTAATGATGATTAAATGAAAATGAAGTTACGTTTGAAGAGAAAACGACTTCCAAAAGATTGAAAATGCAAACTGCACTATTCACAGAAATAAATTCAAATTTGGAATCAAACTCGAAAGTGATCCCATAGTTATTCAAAACAACCACCTGTCGGTATATGTCCTGTACAGCACGAGCAAATAGCAGATGTGATGTTGTCAAGAATGTGTCATATCGCTTTTATCCAAAGTTAAACTTCACATGGAGAAAATAAACTCCATGCAAATGAAATGAAAGGACCAAAGGAAATCTTCATCTTCGATCTTCCCTAATGTTTCACTCATTGTGGAATGAGAAGTTAGTAATAGTAGCGGTCAGGTGAATGATAACGGCGACAATACCAATGATTGCAGCTTCACTTGTCATCATCGTAACACCACTATCAACACCAACTCCAACTATATCCATTACAAGTGTGAAAAATACAAGATATTTATATACGATAAGCCACTTTCGTGGAATTTCTTCGCTCATCACTACACGTGTGAACATAAGGTTCTGTGTGATTTTTTGTTTTCTGGTGCTAACTTCACATGGATGACAGCTGCTGTCATCTACTCATTCTTTCGTTGACACGTACAGTTTACCAACGAATGAAATATACGTACAAACAATGATAGCAAGCACTATGTTTCTTTTCCACAGCAGAGATACCAATATAGCATAGCGTAATACCTTTTGTCAAACGGTAAATTAAGTGTTCGAATTGATACTGCATGCAAAACCATCTTCCTATGAGTTATCATTTGAAGTTTCAAACGTGAAACTACCACGACAGCAGAGAAATTGTCCTTATTGGTTGAATTCTTGTGATGTGGAAGAATTGAGTCATTGAGTTTCATATAACGAAGAAGTCGATCGAGATCTTGAGACATACGGTACGATACATATTTCAGATATGTACAAACTCGCGTTACCCGATCATGTGGTTTCAGGATTCCGACTCGTGTCAATAGCTTTGTTTCTCGTTTTCGCCATTCACATAAATATCAAATCAATCCTAGCTGCTCTTCTTTCACTTGGTAAGTCGTTTTAATTCCTCATTTTCAGATGTCATCATCCACTGTTGTTCCTAATCGTGTTCTAATCGTTGATAAACGTCTTGTACCGGTCAATTGTGAACAATTACATTTCGTTCAACATAGTCATCCTCGTACGAAACAGCCTCAATCCTACGCGATCGATCAACAGTCAAAAACGATATTTGAAGTTATTCAATGTACACGTTCACATTCAAGTTGGTTCATCAATGATCAACACGTCTTACCCGATGGATCTTTGTACATAGTTACACCAATAAATGTCATATTTCTTCTTTTACCTTCAATTTGGTCAGATGCTCGAGAACAATTTCTTTCAACAACAACATTGAACAGTTCGTTGAAAAATTTACAATTGGATGAAGATTTTGTTCTGGAGAAACTCACTTCGATCTGTGATATTGATTCAGAAAAACATTCGGTTAAACTCAATGAAGAAAAGCTAATCAAATGGTTTCGTGATCGAGTCGATCGATTGAAAAAGCATGTCGAAGATGAAGAGCATGCTTTTGATTTAATCTGTGAATATGTACCCGATGATATCATCGAATATTGTCAACAAAAACTGGAACTGCATGGAAATGTTCGATATGAGCTGCCAACTGGCCAAAAATCAGCAACTGTGATCAAGAAAACAGTCGAAGTGACAACGACAAAAAGCAAACGATGCAAAAACTAAATTCTTCGTCTAATCTCTCAGAATGTTGATGTGCTATTTTAATAAAAATGACTAGTCTTCACTGGATATATTCTATAATGATACTTTTATTCTAGGTACGCTCTATCTTTTGGAAAAACGTCATTCCAAATCTCGGTCATCAAACGAGAAAACAACTTTGACGACGAATGATACGGAAGTTTCCAAAACAGTTGTTGAGTAGGTTCTCGATTTGATTGTTTATCACATTGTCATGTATATTGTTTAGTCATGCGAAACAAGTGCTATTCGAACATCATCTCAATGCCAGTCAATCATCATTGTTTCATGAATTCCATCGCATCCAAAACAAATCCGATTGTATATTTGCTAAGCGAGCTCGATGTTGGAATGCACCTCATTGGTTAGATACGATTTCAGTCGAAGATAATTGCGAACGGTAATATGTCGATAACAACGTTACCGATTTGAGAGAAATTTCTTCTATTTAGGTTATTACCGAATTTTATACTCTTTTGTGCGTTTGTCCAAGAAGTATCAATTGATGGGTATGTCATCGAAATTCCTCACAATGATCTAACAGCCACACTTGAAGTATGTACTGTATAGTTTGATGGAGATTATTGAATGCATAGAGATTGTCTTAGGATTTTGGACAAATTTTGAAAAAAGTTCTTCGTTACCTCTCCGATCACGATCCAGCCAAACGGCACTGTATGAGCGTTGCACCGGAGCGTATTGGTCAGAAGGGTTGGGTTTTTCAATTCGATCGGGTTACCTTTTTCATCACAACATTCGCGCCACACTATCCAGAAAACCATCCACGTTACGCACACGGTTCGAAAAAGTATTGTCACATTCTTTTTCAACCTGAAATCTCCTTTCTTCGACATAATCTACCCGACGACACGCCAGAAACCAATTGGTCGCAGCCGATAACAACTCGAGATAAGACTCGAGTCGCTTTCCGAGAACACGGAAGAGAATATCCAATTCGACCAACAATTTATTATCCACCAGCTCATGATATAATCAGACCGTTGAGTAACGATTTAGACGATATCATAGAATGGTGGTTATAGACTACCAATTGTAATCTTTTTGATTCTGTACTCAATTTTATCAATAAAGAGACAAATTGTAACTTTATTTGTCAGACTCTCGGGATCAGTTTCATAGTCAATATATGATATTATCAATTTCACCATATTTCTTGTTTTCTTTTATCATGTCAAACAAACATTTCCAACAAGAAAAGTTCTCTAAACACACACACGCACACAGAAAAAGATCTTTCACAGAAAATAAAACTTCTACAGATAAAGCCTGAATATGAGGAAGAGAAGAATAATTGCACACGAAAAGTACCCTGATAGCACCATAAATAAACACACACGCACACATAAAGAAAAGAGCAGATCACCAAAATATCGAGAAAAAAGAAGAACCAAATGACTAAGAAAAAGTAGAGAAGTATAACGAAAAACTAACGAGCTGTTTCATTCTATGACTTCAAAATATCTATTTGCGTTTGGTTGTTGGGGTGGATTCTTCAGCAGCAGCTGCTTGAGCACCTAACCAAGTAAGTAAAAGACCCATGGGTGTTGATTGTAATGACAAATTTTCAACAGTATTTTCGGCTTTATTTTGTAATGTTGGCTTACGAGCAATTGCATGAGCAACGATAGCTATTGAAAACATAGTGAAATGAATCGATTGAACTATGTACAATGCGTTACCTGCTAACGGAAAAGCAATACCGAAGAGAAAAACAAACATGGTTCCAAACATTCGAGTGACGACGAAGGCAGTAACCAAAACAAGAGCAAGAATAAAGATCGGGCGATCATGTAAAAATGGTGGCAAAGCGATCTTTTGACGGGTTGCGTAGACATAACCTGCGATGAGTCCGGCAACGACAATCAAAC